TGCCTCCTCTTGCAGAAGCACCTGTTGTCGGAGCTTCTCGAGCTCCTGCGACACCTTCTGGATCTCGTCGTTCTTCTCGTCCAATTGCTGGTACAGCTTTACCCGCTCCTCCTCGTACAGGCCGATTTGTGCGTGTAACGCGAGAATTGACACACCTGTGCACGTCTGAAACATTCAATTGTTATGGTTCTTATTCTGCTTGCAAACTCACAAAGTGCTCGGCGAAATGCGCCTCCCTCCTACTCTATCAGATCCTAATGACTGACACTTCGAAAAGTGGCAGTCACTGCTACATCAAGAGTGGGAAGTTTCGTGACTGTTCTTCGCCCTGTTCTTCGTCATCATCTCCTTGCCCTCCTGCTGCTTGTCGTCGGCCTCTCTCTGAATGCGCGAGTTCTCTTCGCGGATGATCTCCTCGTTCTCGCGCATCGTCTGCAGTGCCTCCTCTTGCAGAAGCACCTGTTGTCGGAGCTTCTCGAGCTCCTGCGACACCTTCTGGATCTCGTCGTTCTTCTCGTCCAATTGCTGGTACAGCTTTACCCGCTCCTCCTCGTACAGGCCGATTTGTGCGTGTAACGCGAGAATTGACACACCTGTGCACGTCTGAAACATTCAATTGTTATGGTTCTTATTCTGCTTGCAAACTCACAAAGTGCTCGGCGGAAATGCGCCTCCCTCCTACTCTATCAGATCCTAATGACTGACACTTCGAAAAGTGGCAGTCACTGCTTGCATCAAGAGTGGGAAGTTTCGTGACTGTTCTTCGCCCTGTTCTTCGTCATCATCTCCTTGCCCTCCTGCTGCTTGTCGTCGGCCTCTTTCTGAATGCGCGAGTTCTCTTCGCGGATGATCTCCTCGTTCTCGAGCATCGTCTGCAGTGCCTCCTCTTGCAGAAGCACCTGTTGTCGGAGCTTCTCGAGCTCCTGCGACACCTTCTGGATCTCGTCGTTCTTCTCGTCCAATTTGCTGGTACAGCTTTACCCGCTCCTCCTCGTACAGGCCGATTTGTGCGTGTAACGCGAGAATTGACACACCTGTGCACGTCTGAAACATTCAATTGTTATGGTTCTTATTCTGCTTGCAAACTCACAAAGTGCTCGGCGGAATGCGCCTCCCTCCTACTCTATCAGATCCTAATGACTGACACTTCGAAAAGTGGCAGTCACTGCTACATCAAGAGTGGGAAGTTTCGTGACTGTTCTTCGCCCTGTTCTTCGTCATCATCTCCTTGCCCTCCTGCTGCTTGTCGTCGGCCTCTTTCTGAATGCGCGAGTTCTCTTCGCGGATGATCTCCTCGTTCTCGAGCATCGTCTGCAGTGCCTCCTCTTGCAGAAGCACCTGTTGTCGGAGCTTCTCGAGCTCCTGCGACACCTTCTGGATCTCGTCGTTCTTCTCGTCCAATTGCTGGTACAGCTTTACCCGCTCCTCCTCGTACAGGCCGATTTGTGCGTGTAACGCGAGAATTGACACACCTGTGCACGTCTGAAAACATTCAATTGTTATGGTTCTTATTCTGCTTGCAAACTCACAAAGTGCTCGGCGGAATGCGCCTCCCTCCTACTCTATCAGATCCTAATGACTGACACTTCGAAAAGTGGCAGTCACTGCTTGCATCAAGAGTGGGAAGTTTCTTGACTGTTCTTCGCCCTGTTCTTCGTCATCATCTCCTTGCCCTCCTGCTGCTTGTCGTCGGCCTCTTTCTGAATGCGCGAGTTCTCTTCGCGGATGATCTCCTCGTTCTCGAGCATCGTCTGCAGTGCCTCCTCTTGCAGAAGCACCTGTTGTCGGAGCTTCTCGAGCTCCTGCGACACCTTCTGGATCTCGTCGTTCTTCTCGTCCAATTTGCTGGTACAGCTTTACCCGCTCCTCCTCGTACAGGCCGATTTGTGCGTGTAACGCGAGAATTGACACACCTGTGCACGTCTGAAACATTCAATTGTTATGGTTCTTATTCTGCTTGCAAACTCACAAAGTGCTCGGCGGAATGCGCCTCCCTCCTACTCTATCAGATCCTAATGACTGACACTTCGAAAAGTGGCAGTCACTGCTTGCATCAAGAGTGGGAAGTTTCTTGACTGTTCTTCGCCCTGTTCTTCGTCATCATCTCCTTGCCCTCCTGCTGCTTGTCGTCGGCCTCTTTCTGAATGCGCGAGTTCTCTTCGCGGATGATCTCCTCGTTCTCGAGCATCGTCTGCAGTGCCTCCTCTTGCAGAAGCACCTGTTGTCGGAGCTTCTCGAGCTCCTGCGACACCTTCTGGATCTCGTCGTCCTTCTCGTCCAATTTCTGGTACAGCTTTACCCGCTCCTCCTCGTACAGGCCGATTTGTGCGTGTAACGCGAGAATTGACACACCTGTGCACGTCTGAAACATTCAATTGTTATGGTTCTTATTCTGCTTGCAAACTCACAAAGTGCTCGGCGGAATGCGCCTCCCTCCTACTCTATCAGATCCTAATGACTGACACTTCGAAAAGTGGCAGTCACTGCTTGCATCAAGAGTGGGAAGTTTCTTGACTGTTCTTCGCCCTGTTCTTTGTCATCATCTCCTTGCCCTCCTGCTGCTTGTCGTCGGCCTCTTTCTGAATGCGCGAGTTCTCTTCGCGGATGATCTCCTCGTTCTCGAGCATCGTCTGCAGTGCCTCCTCTTGCAGAAGCACCTGTTGTCGGAGCTTCTCGAGCTCCTGCGACACCTTCTGGATCTCGTCGTCCTTCTCGTCCAATTTCTGGTACAGCTTTACCCGCTCCTCCTCGTACAGGCCGATTTGTGCGTGTAACGCGAGAATTGACACACCTGTGCACGTCTGAAACATTCAATTGTTATGGTTCTTATTCTGCTTGCAAACTCACAAAGTGCTCGGCGGAATGCGCCTCCCTCCTACTCTATCAGATCCTAATGACTGACACTTCGAAAAGTGGCAGTCACTGCTTGCATCAAGAGTGGGAAGTTTCTTGACTGTTCTTCGCCCTGTTCTTCGTCATCATCTCCTTGCCCTCCTGCTGCTTGTCGTCGGCCTCTTTCTGAATGCGCGAGTTCTCTTCGCGGATGATCTCCTCGTTCTCGAGCATCGTCTGCAGTGCCTCCTCTTGCAGAAGCACCTGTTGTCGGAGCTTCTCGAGCTCCTGCGACACCTTCTGGATCTCGTCGTCCTTCTCGTCCAATTTCTGGTACAGCTTTACCCGCTCCTCCTCGTACAGGCCGATTTGTGCGTGTAACGCGAGAATTGACACACCTGTGCACGTCTGAAACATTCAATTGTTATGGTTCTTATTCTGCTTGCAAACTCACAAAGTGCTCGGCGGAATGCGCCTCCCTCCTACTCTATCAGATCCTAATGACTGACACTTCGAAAAGTGGCAGTCACTGCTACATCAAGAGTGGGAAGTTTCTTGACTGTTCTTCGCCCTGTTCTTCGTCATCATCTCCTTGCCCTCCTGCTGCTTGTCGTCGGCCTCTTTCTGAATGCGCGAGTTCTCTTCGCGGATGATCTCCTCGTTCTCGAGCATCGTCTGCAGTGCCTCCTCTTGCAGAAGCACCTGTTGTCGGAGCTTCTCGAGCTCCTGCGACACCTTCTGGATCTCGTCGTTCTTCTCGTCCAATTTCTGGTACAGCTTTACCCGCTCCTCCTCGTACAGGCCGATTTGTGCGTGTAACGCGAGAATTGACACACCTGTGCACGTCTGAAACATTCAATTGTTATGATTCTTATTCTGCTTGCAAACTCACAAAGTGCTCGGCGGAATGCGCCTCCCTCCTACTCTATCAGATCCTAATGACTGACACTTCGAAAAGTGGCAGTCACTGCTTGCATCAAGAGTGGGAAGTTTCTTGACTGTTCTTCGCCCTGTTCTTCGTCATCATCTCCTTGCCCTCCTGCTGCTTGTCGTCGGCCTCTTTCTGAATGCGCGAGTTCTCTTCGCGGATGATCTCCTCGTTCTCGAGCATCGTCTGCAGTGCCTCCTCTTGCAGAAGCACCTGTTGTCGGAGCTTCTCGAGCTCCTGCGACACCTTCTGGATCTCGTCGTTCTTCTCGTCCAATTTCTGGTACAGCTTTACCCGCTCCTCCTCGTACAGGCCGATTTGTGCGTGTAACGCGAGAATTGACACACCTGTGCACGTCTGAAACATTCAATTGTTATGATTCTTATTCTGCTTGCAAACTCACAAAGTGCTCGGCGGAATGCGCCTCCCTCCTACTCTATCAGATCCTAATGACTGACACTTCGAAAAGTGGCAGTCACTGCTTGCATCAAGAGTGGGAAGTTTCTTGACTGTTCTTCGCCCTGTTCTTCGTCATCATCTCCTTGCCCTCCTGCTGCTTGTCGTCGGCCTCTTTCTGAATGCGCGAGTTCTCTTCGCGGATGATCTCCTCGTTCTCGAGCATCGTCTGCAGTGCCTCCTCTTGCAGAAGCACCTGTTGTCGGAGCTTCTCGAGCTCCTGCGACACCTTCTGGATCTCGTCGTCCTTCTCGTCCAATTTCTGGTACAGCTTTTACCCGCTCCTCCTCGTACAGGCCGATTTGTGCGTGTAACGCGAGAATTGACACACCTGTGCACGTCTGAAACATTCAATTGTTATGGTTCTTATTCTGCTTGCAAACTCACAAAGTGCTCGGCGGAATGCGCCTCCCTCCTACTCTATCAGATCCTAATGACTGACACTTCGAAAAGTGGCAGTCACTGCTTGCATCAAGAGTGGGAAGTTTCTTGACTGTTCTTCGCCCTGTTCTTCGTCATCATCTCCTTGCCCTCCTGCTGCTTGTCGTCGGCCTCTTTCTGAATGCGCGAGTTCTCTTCGCGGATGATCTCCTCGTTCTCGAGCATCGTCTGCAGTGCCTCCTCTTGCAGAAGCACCTGTTGTCGGAGCTTCTCGAGCTCCTGCGACACCTTCTGGATCTCGTCGTCCTTCTCGTCCAATTTCTGGTACAGCTTTACCCGCTCCTCCTCGTACAGGCCGATTTGTGCGTGTAACGCGAGAATTGACACACCTGTGCACGTCTGAAACATTCAATTGTTATGATTCTTATTCTGCTTGCAAACTCACAAAGTGCTCGGCGGAATGCGCCTCCCTCCTACTCTATCAGATCCTAATGACTGACACTTCGAAAAGTGGCAGTCACTGCTTGCATCAAGAGTGGGAAGTTTCTTGACTGTTCTTCGCCCTGTTCTTTCGTCATCATCTCCTTGCCCTCCTGCTGCTTGTCGTCGGCCTCTTTCTGAATGCGCGAGTTCTCTTCGCGGATGATCTCCTCGTTCTCGAGCATCGTCTGCAGTGCCTCCTCTTGCAGAAGCACCTGTTGTCGGAGCTTCTCGAGCTCCTGCGACACCTTCTGGATCTCGTCGTCCTTCTCGTCCAATTTCTGGTACAGCTTTACCCGCTCCTCCTCGTACAGGCCGATTTGTGCGTGTAACGCGAGAATTGACACACCTGTGCACGTCTGAAACATTCAATTGTTATGATTCTTATTCTGCTTGCAAACTCACAAAGTGCTCGGCGGAATGCGCCTCCCTCCTACTCTATCAGATCCCTAATGACTGACACTTCGAAAAGTGGCAGTCACTGCTTGCATCAAGAGTGGGAAGTTTCTTGACTGTTCTTCGCCCTGTTCTTTCGTCATCATCTCCTTGCCCTCCTGCTGCTTGTCGTCGGCCTCTTTCTGAATGCGCGAGTTCTCTTCGCGGATGATCTCCTCGTTCTCGAGCATCGTCTGCAGTGCCTCCTCTTGCAGAAGCACCTGTTGTCGGAGCTTCTCGAGCTCCTGCGACACCTTCTGGATCTCGTCGTCCTTCTCGTCCAATTTCTGGTACAGCTTTACCCGCTCCTCCTCGTACAGGCCGATTTGTGCGTGTAACGCGAGAATTGACACACCTGTGCACGTCTGAAACATTCAATTGTTATGGTTCTTATTCTGCTTGCAAACTCACAAAGTGCTCGGCGGAATGCGCCTCCCTCCTACTCTATCAGATCCTAATGACTGACACTTCGAAAAGTGGCAGTCACTGCTTGCATCAAGAGTGGGAAGTTTCTTGACTGTTCTTCGCCCTGTTCTTCGTCATCATCTCCTTGCCCTCCTGCTGCTTGTCGTCGGCCTCTTTCTGAATGCGCGAGTTCTCTTCGCGGATGATCTCCTCGTTCTCGAGCATCGTCTGCAGTGCCTCCTCTTGCAGAAGCACCTGTTGTCGGAGCTTCTCGAGCTCCTGCGACACCTTCTGGATCTCGTCGTCCTTCTCGTCCAATTTCTGGTACAGCTTTACCCTGCTCCTCCTCGTACAGGCCGATTTGTGCGTGTAACGCGAGAATTGACACACCTGTGCACGTCTGAAACATTCAATTGTTATGGTTCTTATTCTGCTTGCAAACTCACAAAGTGCTCGGCGGAATGCGCCTCCCTCCTACTCTATCAGATCCTAATGACTGACACTTCGAAAAGTGGCAGTCACTGCTTGCATCAAGAGTGGGAAGTTTCTGACTTTTCTTCGCCCTGTTCTTCGTCATCATCTCCTTTGCCCTCCTGCTGCTTGTCGTCGGCCTCTTTCTGAATGCGCGAGTTCTCTTCGCGGATGATCTCCTCGTTCTCGAGCATCGTCTGCAGTGCCTCCTCTTGCAGAAGCACCTGTTGTCGGAGCTTCTCGAGCTCCTGCGACACCTTCTGGATCTCGTCGTCCTTCTCGTCCAATTTGCTGGTACAGCTTTACCCTGCTCCTCCTCGTACAGGCCGATTTGTGCGTGTAACGCGAGAATTGACACACCTGTGCACGTCTGAAACATTCAATTGTTATGGTTCTTATTCTGCTTGCAAACTCACAAAGTGCTCGGCGGAATGCGCCTCCCTCCTACTCTATCAGATCCTAATGACTGACACTTCGAAAAGTGGCAGTCACTGCTTGCATCAAGAGTGGGAAGTTTCTTGACTTTTCTTCGCCCTGTTCTTCGTCATCATCTCCTTGCCCTCCTGCTGCTTGTCGTCGGCCTCTCTCTGAATGCGCGAGTTCTCTTCGCGGATGATCTCCTCGTTCTCGCGCATCGTCTGCAGTGCCTCCTCTTGCAGAAGCACCTGTTGTCGGAGCTTCGAGCTCCTGCGACACCTTCTGGATCTCGTCGTCCTTCTCGTCCAATTGCTGGTACAGCTTTACCCTGCTCCTCCTCGTACAGGCCGATTTGTGCGTGTAACGCGAGAATTGACACACCTGTGCACGTCTGAAACATTCAATTGTTATGGTTCTTATTCTGCTTGCAAACTCACAAAGTGCTCGGCGGAATGCGCCTCCCTCCTACTCTATCAGATCCTAATGACTGACACTTCGAAAAGTGGCAGTCACTGCTTGCATCAAGAGTGGGAAGTTTCTTGACTTTTCTTCGCCCTGTTCTTCGTCATCATCTCCTTGCCCTCCTGCTGCTTGTCGTCGGCCTCTCTCTGAATGCGCGAGTTCTCTTCGCGGATGATCTCCTCGTTCTCGCGCATCGTCTGCAGTGCCTCCTCTTGCAGAAGCACCTGTTGTCGGAGCTTCGAGCTCCTGCGACACCTTCTGATCTCGTCGTCCTTCTCGTCCAATTGCTGGTACAGCTTTACCCGCTCCTCCTCGTACAGGCCGATTTGTGCGTGTAACGCGAGAATTGACACACCTGTGCACGTCTGAAACATTCAATTGTTATGGTTCTTATTCTGCTTGCAAACTCACAAAGTGCTCGGCGGAATGCGCCTCCCTCCTACTCTATCAGATCCTAATGACTGACACTTCGAAAAGTGGCAGTCACTGCTTGCATCAAGAGTGGGAAGTTTCTTGACTTTTTCTTCGCCCTGTTCTTCGTCATCATCTCCTTGCCCTCCTGCTGCTTGTCGTCGGCCTCTCTCTGAATGCGCGAGTTCTCTTCGCGGATGATCTCCTCGTTCTCGCGCATCGTCTGCAGTGCCTCCTCTTGCAGAAGCACCTGTTGTCGGAGCTTCGAGCTCCTGCGACACCTTCTGGATCTCGTCGTCCTTCTCGTCCAATTGCTGGTACAGCTTTACCTGCTCCTCCTCGTACAGGCCGATTTGTGCGTGTAACGCGAGAATTGACACACCTGTGCACGTCTGAAACATTCAATTGTTATGGTTCTTATTCTGCTTGCAAACTCACAAAGTGCTCGGCGGAATGCGCCTCCTCCTACTCTATCAGATCCTAATGACTGACACTTCGAAAAGTGGCAGTCACTGCTTGCATCAAGAGTGGGAAGTTTCTTGACTTTTTCTTCGCCCTGTTCTTCGTCATCATCTCCTTGCCCTCCTGCTGCTTGTCGTCGGCCTCTTTCTGAATGCGCGAGTTCTCTTCGCGGATGATCTCCTCGTTCTCGCGCATCGTCTGCAGTGCCTCCTCTTGCAGAAGCACCTGTTGTCGGAGCTTCGAGCTCCTGCGACACCTTCTGATCTCGTCGTCCTTCTCGTCCAATTGCTGGTACAGCTTTACCCGCTCCTCCTCGTACAGGCCGATTTGTGCGTGTAACGCGAGAATTGACACACCTGTGCACGTCTGAAACATTCAATTGTTATGGTTCTTATTCTGCTTGCAAACTCACAAAGTGCTCGGCGGAATGCGCCTCCTCCTACTCTATCAGATCCTAATGACTGACACTTCGAAAAGTGGCAGTCACTGCTTGCATCAAGAGTGGGAAGTTTCTTGACTTTTCTTCGCCCTGTTCTTCGTCATCATCTCCTTGCCCTCCTGCTGCTTGTCGTCGGCCTCTCTCTGAATGCGCGAGTTCTCTTCGCGGATGATCTCCTCGTTCTCGCGCATCGTCTGCAGTGCCTCCTCTTGCAGAAGCACCTGTTGTCGGAGCTTCTCGAGCTCCTGCGACACCTTCTGGATCTCGTCGTCCTTCTCGTCCAATTGCTGGTACAGCTTTACCCGCTCCTCCTCGTACAGGCCGATTTGTGCGTGTAACGCGAGAATTGACACACCTGTGCACGTCTGAAACATTCAATTGTTATGGTTCTTATTCTGCTTGCAAACTCACAAAGTGCTCGGCGGAATGCGCCTCCCTCCTACTCTATCAGATCCTAATGACTGACACTTCGAAAAGTGGCAGTCACTGCTTGCATCAAGAGTGGGAGGTTTCTTGACTATTCCTCGCCTTCCGAAGATCCTTGTGGGTTCTCGTGTCCGACGTAGCGAGAGAAGAGAGAGAGAGAGTTTAAGTAGGGTGTGGCAGTTTCTTCTACTAACTAAAAATTCTAACATGTAAGTCATATGCGCGCAAGAGGTTAACCCCCAAAGAGTGCCCGTCTCTGTCTGCCCACATTCCTCTCATCTCAGGCTTCCTTCAAGAAGTTATCGTTAGGGTCACTTGAAGGGATCTGATCCGTAAGGACCGTGCAACTCCGCATCAAGTACCCACGGTCCGCAGAGCCGCCGCCCCGTAGAGAAGGGGGTCAACCACGCCACGTGTAAGGTGGGGGGGCGGTGATTTTTTTCCTCCGTGACAGGGCAAATCACGTCACGAAGGTCACCGCTGTGGCCCTACTCAGAGAAGGACGTACAGACGGATACTCCCGAGGAATACACCTCTTCTAAGCTATTGTAGTCACATAAATGTTCTATTAATTCGAAAAGACACCACTGGTAGGCAAGATTTTGTTTAAAATTGATCGCAGGGAGAAAATAATTACTCAGAAATGTACGCAATTTTTACTGTTTGCCACACCCTACACTATGCCCAACTCATTGAGCACCGATCTGAACGACAAAAAGTGAGCATTTGTTCCGGTTTTCACAAAATACATAGGAATAACAGGACGGTTTGTTTCTACTACATATAGAGGCATCCGAGAGTTCAGCGCAGTTTTTTCAGAAACTCTCCCAAATGTGATATCCTGTGAGCATTTAGAAGCAAAATGAAATTAATGCAACTTTTGTCGGATAAGAAAGGAACTTTACAGAGATCACAGCTGAAATAGCTTCGGAATAGAGTGCACTTCACTTCCGTATGGACTTGACATATGAAAGAGAAAATGAAGTAACGGAGAGAAAGGGGAGAAAGAACAAGTGGAAAAATATCGGATCGATATCGATTAGCAGAGGGTCTGGAAAGTCCGCCCGCCCAAAACGCGGGCAGAACGAGACGATCCGACCGTCCGCCAAGTCGGTATGTCCGAATGAATGGCTATTCTTTCCCACGGGGGCCCTTTTATACTTACTCCTCACATATCGAGTAAATCAAAACGGCCCTTTCCCTCCATTTCTGTGTGTAGTCTGTTAGGATTATGAATGTGTAGTCTGGTAGGATTATGAGTGTGTAGTCTGTTAGGTCTACTCGATATGTGAGGTGCGTCACGGATGGATGAACTGCTCTGTCTCTCGATAGACCGATTGTATAGGCTATTAGGAATTTTTTAAGATTCCATCTTCACCGTGCTAGAGGAGGCCAAAAACATTAACAAGTCGCTGACGGCGCTCGGAATCGTCATCTCGGCGCTGGCCGAAGGAACCAAGTCGCACGTGCCGTACCGTGACTCGAAACTGACGCGCATTCTGCAAGAGTCGCTCGGAGGAAACTCGCGGACTACGGTCATAATTTGCGCGTCGCCGTCGCACTTCAACGAGGCGGAGACCAAGTCGACGCTGCTGTTCGGACAGAGAGCCAAGACGATCAAGAATGTGGTGCAGGTGAACGAGGAGCTGACGGCCGAGGAGTGGAAGCGCCGATACGAGAAGGAGCGCGAGAAGGTACGCTTTTTTTTTTGGTGTAATTGCCCTTTTGGACAAGAAAATTTTTTCAAGTGATTTTGTGTAAAATGAATGATTTTAGGTGACCCGCCTGTCAACCCTTCTCCAAGCAGCCGCCCTGGAACTCTCCCGCTGGAGAGCCTAAACCGAAAAACCTAAACCGTCTGAATGACAAAAACAGTTTTAAAACGTCTTTTTAGATATGTGTAACTCATTTTCTGCTCATAGGGGTTGACCAGATTAGCGAAAACCCCTATCCCCTGGGGTGGCCTTATAAACTTGCAACGGTTGCAAAAAGCCGATTTTTAGTTTTATCGAGGTAGTTCGGACAGTTTTCCAGGTATCATCACGAAAATCACCAAACATACGTAACTTTGTGCCCTGAATCCGATTTTAAAGTCGCCGGGTCGGAAATATTTTCGAGCGCCACGTTGCAGCGACTAATGGGGGTGGCCTTATAAACTTGCAACGCACTATATAAACGGGATGGGATGCGCCATTTTGATCGCAATATTTCATCATATGCTTTAGTCACAGTTGCGCACTCTTTATTTTTCAAAGGTCGTGCAAACACAAATCTGCTAAACACATCAACGACGACAAGAATGTAGCAAAATCCCTTATTTTGTCTCTTCAGCGATGGTAACATTGCCAAATCTAGAGTGAGTTTGAGAGAAAAAAAGCTCGATCCTGTGGTCTTCACACCGTAATACCTGAGTCACCCCTTTTCTACAAGTATTGCATGTATGTTCAATGATAATAGGCAGCAAATTGTGACGACATACAATCTTCGTGTTTTTGTCATTTATTTGATATACATCAAGTCATATTTTGGACAATTTTTTTTTCGGTGTCATCTGAATCCTCAAATGACTTCTAAATTTTTTGGATATGTATTTAGATGAACGGAGCACATTTTTCTGATAATTTTTGCTCTTGGATGCTTCTCGATAGCTCCATCCGTTGTCGAGATATCATCGGCACCACAGCGCCCAACCTCGTCCGTCGCCATTATATATACGCCCCATGGGTGATTGAGCCGCGTGGCCAGGGTGGTGTAGGCGGTTAAGCGTGTGCTTAGCAATCCGAAGACCGCAGGTTCGAGCCCCGCCGAGTGCAAAGAAATTTGCCTCGGTTAGACACTAATCGTGACGACTTTCAGACCTGACTGAAGGACGTGGCAACTCCGGAAGTGTGTAAACGGTTCAAACCCAAAAAAGTATCGGACGAGAGAAAGAAGGATTCTGGCCGGACGGTTGAGGAAAGAATTCTAGAGTGAGTTTGAGAGAAAGAAAGCTCGATCCTGTGGTCTTCACACCGTAATACCTGAGTCGCCCCTTTTTTACAAGTATTGCATGCATGTAAGTTTTTAAACTTACATTGGTTCAATACTTGTAAACAAAATCCATGAATTCAGGTACAGATCATGGACGCGCATTCCGATTTTGGTTCAAATTTTTTTTTGTCGACGCGTATTATTACGTAGAATCCGAATTTTAAAAGAACTCTTTGCACGTCAGTGCTAAAATTTTTCAGTATGACGAAAAAACCGAAAACATTTTCTGAAGTTTGAGAAAAATGATTTTTTTTCTACCCGAAGAAGGAGAGCTAGAATTTTAATGTGAACATAAAAAATGCTTAAAAAGATGCGAGAAATCGAATGGCGTTTAGTTCGAGTCCATAGAATTTTTTGGAAATTTTTTAGCGTTTGGGGGTACGGTAGTACAGTAATCCTGGAAAAGGGGAGGAGCCAGATGAAACTAATTTCACATATCTTAGAACGGACCAGGTACTCACTGTACCCAATTGCAATCAAATCGGAGCACGATGAGTTTTTCGTGCCAGGCCTAGTTCAGTCATTCTTCAGTCTCTCAGAATTTCACTCTTAAGTGTCAGTTAATCTTTAGTACGTTTTATCAGGTCTACAATACGTTCAAACTAATCTTGTAATTCCGTCTAATTATGTGGCTCCTAGTCAAATTCGGGAATTGCTGATATATTAGAGATAATCGCTCTTCCAGTTATTTTCTGAAGTATTCGATTTTGCCATTTCCCGCCGGTTTCTTGGAACTTTTGTTCCCTTCTCTTTTTTCGTAAGAACGTGGAAAGCAATGAGTGAATTCCACAGCCGTTCATCCATTCTTGAGCCTCGTCCCGATCTTCCTGCTTGATTCGGACTGATTCTGATCTGACTTGATTGAGTCTCCGTTTGCTCAAGCGATGTGTGAGATTCACACGCTGCGCACAAAATCATACCATTTCCACCGATCTTAGAGGTAGAAGACTTGGGAAGGAATTCGGATCTCAAATACCTTGGCGTCGTAGTGAACTCTGCGGCGCTTGCCAATGCCAGATCACTCTGGTTCAGTGTCGGGGCGCTAAATCACCTGCACACGAATTGGTCTGATTTTGATTGAATTTTTTGTTTGCCATTTTACGCAAAAAAAATTGTGTACGTTTATGATTCCTGCGCGCAAGTTGAGCGACGCGCGTGCCACTAAACTATCGCCATTTCAGCGCTATGCTACGAAAGCGTGCCATGTCGGACCGTCCGCTAAGTTTCTTGCAAGCGGACAAAGGTTTCCCTGCAGCTATTTTTCAGAGTTTCTACTCGTTCGACCCGCAATGTATGGACTGATCTATTTCTGGCGGAACATGTGGCGTGCGACTCTCTGGGAAAAACGAAATACTTGAAACTTTTATTGGCTGTTATAGAAATGAATTTAAAAAATAGAAAATACTAGGCAGTACGACACACAAAACATAGAAAGAATACATAGGTACCAGTGAATGAAAACATCATCGCACATAATTTCTGTCCGGAGGTGAGCCTCACGGCTGTATAGTCATCTAATCAACTGCCTTCTCGTGCTTTCTCTTCAATATCGCTTCCTGAGCAACTCATGCGAAAGGCAGAAGGTGATAGGTATAATTTTCAGTATAATTTTCGATGATTTATTCCATCACGTTCCAACGTTTGGGCGTGGGGTTGGGACATGTGACGGATCTGGTTCTTTGCGGAGAAGTTGTCATGGTGGGTAGTTGGTTGGCATGATCGAGGTTCTGAAATTGGAAACGTTACTTTGCTGCATTGCTCTCATTTTATTCACCATCGGAGCAATTTAAAGTAAATGCGCTCTGTTGAGAAAACTTTCTCTGTTTTTGATTCGCGCCGGATTTCAACAGAGCTCATTTACATAGAAATGCTCCAATAGTCTACTGGTCAACTGGGACAACCAGTCAAGACTAAAAGAAGAGCTGAATAGAGCTAATGTTCCTTTCGAGGAGAACTATCGTTATTTTTATACTAGCGAATTTATCGAGATGTTCGGGCGATATGACTCTAAGAGCCGTTAAAACTAGAAAACTGGCGATTTTATTCGAATATTTTATGATTGTTTGCGGAAAAGAACGATACGTTCGGTTTCAGCGTTCACAGGACCGATTCAAATAGGATTCCTGATGGTTTCTGAGAGCTCCAAACTGCTATATTTGTTGCGATCATGGGTGTAGTGATTACATGGGAACCAAACTTTGCATATGTGCACACACACGTTCAAATTCCATTTTTGTCGCTGTCAGTCCCTTTTTTGCAAGTCATTTGAAAAAGTCACAATCGGAAGGGAACGGAGCACGGCACTACTTAGACTATCAGCGTTCTCATTCCACGTCATCAATATAAAAAAACACATTTCTGTCATGTGCTGTCTTTTGAAAAACAAAAATCCAATTCAACCATTCTGTTTTGTTCGATCGGTGTCATTGTATTTGTTCAGAGTCGCTGCTTACCATTCTCTCCTTCTAAAGTTTCTTTTTTTTTTGACTTGCGGCTGCTTCGCGTATCACCTGTCGAAAGCGCATTCATACCAAGAAAAGGAGGTCATTTCTCTTTTGGAAAAGAAGAAGATGCCTGCTTTTTGATCCAATAATCGAGTTTTTCGAACAGAGTTCAGGCTGACTTTTACGACGATTCTTGCGCTGATGTCCTCTACCAGTGTCAACGGGCAAAAAATGCGGGGGGAGTAGAAGAAGAGACACGCTTCTCCGCGGTTCTCCTGTTCTTATCCGTCGTCAGTGCGTCCCGTGGGAGAACGAGTAGCGCCATATCTTTTCGGGTTTTCTTTCTCGAAATCTCTCAATGTTCCACACATTTCCGCGTTCTTATCCCAAAGTGCAACCGCCTCATATGTCAACTTTTTCCCGTGAAACTGTCGAATACCAACCCGTGTCCCGTTTTTCTCTCATTTTTCTTCTCTTTTCTGTGTCAAAATTTGTGGCTTGGCGTGTTCTTTATTAGAATCAGAGGCAGGGAAAAATGCAATCAGATCAGAGAGAGAGAGAGAGAGAGAGAGAGAGAGAGAGAGAGAGATAGACAACTGATGAGCTTTATGAAGTGAGTATCCGATATGATTACCTTCGAAAACGTTTTCCAATTACTCGTCATTCTTCTCTTCCTCTTCCGCCTGTTCCTGTTCGGCAACCGTCTCGTCCTCCTCCGGAATCGTGCTCACTTTCCCGATTCTCTCATCATCGAGACCGTTCTCCAGTTTCGCTTTTTCCGCAGCCATCTCTGCCTCTTTCCTTTCGTACTCTTTCAAACGTTCCTGTACGATTACAGTCAGTTCCTCGCGGGCCTTCTCCTTGAAATAGGCGGCTCCTTCTGGGGTTCGGGAGTAGGCCAGACGGGCCTGATGACGACGGAGCGCGGCTTGTTGACTTTCAAAAGCCTGAAGGCCTTTTTTGAAGAGGCCCACTGCCGCCATGAAGTTGTCGGAGCGTGCATTCTGTAGCGTTGACTCATTAGTCGTACATGTACATGTATGTTGAGAAAGGAAACCGAACAACCAAATTTGCAGCTAGTAAAGTCAGCAAAAGTTTGAGCTTTTCTTTTTATCATCTAATCTGAAAGCACTGTTTTGGCTAATAAGTGCGTTTGAATATGTAGTTATCTAAATAGCTAAACATTTTAATATCACATGACTGAAGCGATGTTCTTCTCGCATCGCTCGCGCAATTGAGGCTACTTCCCGTCTTGTATTATCTCTTGTACATAGTTTTTGCTAATATTGTATGACTCTCTCTCTCTCTCTCTCTCTCTTTCTCGGGTGAGAGCCAAACCCCATCACCTTCTGATTTTCACGTGAGAGCTTTATTATCTATGCGCTTCCTCAAGCCTGACGAGCCGGAATTCTCATGCTTATCTCGTGAACTTTGTAGACTAACCTTGTCTTTTTCATGTTTTGCCGCTGCTTGCAGTGATTCCGTTCTCTTTATCATTTGGTCGTTGATGAACACCGCGTGATCGAATAGAATGTCCTCTTTGCCGTACTTTTCAATGTCCTCGTGCTGAAAACGTGACTTTTTCTTGGGGGTAAACAGCGAAAAAAGTAAAACTCACGCTTTCTTTCAAGTGTAGACGGAATTTGACCAAAAGACGCTTGAGGCAAGACTGAAAAGGGAGAAAGAGAGATTAGAAGAGATGTTGTGAAAGAGTGGAAACATACGAGATCTTGTTTGGTGAGAAGTTTGTGAGTTGCATGCTCATCCACACCTCGAAAAAGTATGGAATCCGCTGCGAAATTGTGATTGTAACGTTCTCCTTGTATTGCATTGAAGTCAGGGACCACCATCAAGCCTGAAAAGTTTTGCCAATTGCTGAAAATCAATTGAAGCTGCAGAAGTGTAAGAACAGTTGAATTGAAAAGAGAAAGAAAGAAATAGAGAAGGGAATGCAGAAGAGTGAGACGGAGAGAAATGCTTTGACCACGGACGCTGCCGCCGTTTCCAAAAGCTAAGGGCAAAATCGAAAAACGACGGATGGAAAGGCAGAGTGCGGAGAGAGAGAGTGCCGAGAAGAAAGAGACGCAGATGTTTGGCGCCCGCTCATCTGGAGGCAAAGTGTGAGTCCGTCTTGTCTCCGCCGGGTCGCTAATGCAAGAGGTGCCCCTCCCGTCTCTCCCCGCTCTCCGGCGCCCTCGACCGGCGGCCCGACCTCACAGGCGGCCGCCGCCAGCTTCTCGGTCGGGTGTCAAGAAAAAGTGCGAGATTGGGAGAAGAAAGAGGAAGAAGAAGATGAAGGGATAGAAGTGAACTAGGTGATGAATTGGCATTGAGAAACGGATACCACCCGGTCAATTAACTGCGGAAAATGCAAATTCAAAATTTCTCACTGTTCGAAAGAAGATTTTCCGGGTTGAAAAGAAAGAAACGCAAAGTCCGCTGATGTTTGAACAAGCTGATAAACTCAGTCATGCGAGTTAGGAATGGGCCTCATTTTCCATTTAATGAGCCGCCGTCTAAGACGGGAGAACACGGCAACCGCGTATTTGCATTTCCGCACATATTTTATGCTCACTATCCATACGTAATAAGACGGGAAATTGAGAGCACCGCGCCAACGGAGAAACCGAGTTTATTAGCTGCGTGTTGACTGAAACGAAAGGACACACGGAACAATACAAATGGGAGAGAAGAAGAACGCAGCCATTTTCGTCGTTTTGACGGCGCTCTCGCCTATTTTCCGGGTGTTTTTGGACAGAATAGTACAACAATCTGTGAATTTTAAAGGAAGTCGCTCGAATCTACATCTAGCCAGTACATATTTCGGGAGTATTTCTCTGCAATCGCGCTCTGTTCCTCCTAATCTGACCGAGTTGTTTTTCACTGAAAAAATGACCGCACTTTTTTATTTTTCTTAAAACTCGGCCCTGTTTCAGTTTGCACTGCAAAACGAGTTTCTCAGCAAAGCGCGAATGCAGTAAAATTTCTCCGTACGTACTCTTTCCGAAAAAGGATCTTCCTCACAACGGTTTTCCTTAGTATTTCCCTACCATCTCCCCAGAAACCTTCAAACACCGCTGATTGTCTAGACATTTCCATTTGTAAGCCAAATTGCTAAACAGTACCGCCCGCCTGTCACTTATAAGTGAAATATCTGTCTGCATCCTTGAATGCGTGGTCCAGGCGGTGTCTAGACAGATTTAGGAACGTCCCCCACTGTCTAGTAATTAAATCATTACTCGTTTCCACTCACTCTGCACAATACAATGCCTTTTAAGCTGAAAAGGTCTCTTTACTCTGCTCTGATGACTTTGTAGTGACATTTAGCCGCAATTTATAGAGGTTATGATAATTGCTGCCATTTCATTATTTATTTTGGGGGTTCGTGTGTAACCGAGCACTTTGTCCAGTCCGTCTCCTTGAATGGAACTTTTTATCTCTCACCCGGATTAGCGAATGCCCGAAGATTCAATCCGCACAAGGCGGATCGGCCTCCAAGTCACATTTTTTGCTCCGTGACATGTCAAGAAAGGATTATAAATTTCTCTTAAAGTAGTTTTGCATGCCTCTAGTACGTTTTCCCCTGTTCGTAATCTATTCAAACCAGTCATTCGTCATTCTCGATTCTTTTCCGTAACTGAAACGTTTTCAGCAGTAATGAGTGCGAACTCCGAGTGTAAACTCATGAAAGGTTTACGTGTAACACTGACAAAGGCAATGGCGATCATCGAGGAGATCCGACGAGAGAAGAGGGAGAAGGAAATGCCAAAAATGCCGGAGGAGATCGAAATGGAGGTGTTCTGGAGGCAGAGAGTAAGTTTTTTGAGAGGGCACGGCTATTATTGGCGAGATTCGCTTTTTCTTGAAAATGGTTAACAGATAACTTCTAGTTCGGTCAGTTTGGTCTTCCAACCAAGGTCGGTCCGGATTTCAGTAATCAAAAGTAGTTTTCTAGCTTGTAACAGTTGAATTCAGTTAAAAACTAATGTTCCTTATGCGAAAATTTGAAAATCGGTCCATTCGCATCTGAAATAAGCCCAATAATCTCTAGTCCGGACCAGCGAGAAGACCTTGTACTCCAGCACAACCTATCTGTTTCCAGGTTGTCCGTTTCGTCGAGCCAGAGGAGAAGTGGAGCGAGGTTCGCTATCGGTTCAATCGCGTCGAAAGCAAGCCAATCGATATTCCGCGTCCTGTACGGGAGGAGTGCTGGTAGACCGCTGTCCTGCTTGTTCCTTGCTGTTCCCCAACCGTTTCGGGTGCTGTTTCTCTATGTGTTCCTGCCTGAATTCTGTGAATTACCCTCCGTTGAAAGCTTTATTTCTCACTTATTTTTCCAATTTCAATATTCGTTCAAATGAATCTTTTATTGAATATTATATCAGAGTTTATTACTAAAAAAAGAAAAGAGAATGCGAAAAAAATGGGGGTTGGAGGAAAAAGAGAAAGAGTGAGAGGATGCTTCAATAAATAGAACTAATATAGAGAGAACCGAATGGAAAAGAACAGGGAATGGTCATGAAAGATAGGGGATACAGTGAATGAGCAGACAGGGATAGGTTTAGATGAAATACTCACGCGGGAAGTCGGGAATCTCGGATCCGCTCTTCGTCTCCTCCTCATCGTCTTCCTCCTTGTCGTCAGCCTCAGCCATATCCGGAAGATCGACGATCTCTAGACTCTCGATCGCTTTCGCGATTGTCTCTTCCGAAAAACCCCTTTTAGTCGCCGCCAAAATGTTTGCAATCAACATCTGAGTCTCCGCCATATTCATATTCTCAGCAATTTCCTCCGCCAGTTCCTTCGCGACCATCTTTTCAGTCTTCGAGCGTATAATTTCGATCAACTTCTGAGTCTTCGCCATTTCCTTCGCGTTTTCAGCCGCCTCCTCCGGCGACTCCTTCCCGATCAACTTCTCAGCCTCCGACAATTCCTTTGCTCTCTTCTTCTCTTCCTCCATGTCCAACGTCGCCTGGACCCACTTGGTCAGCATGGATTCGGCCTTTCTCGGCGTTCTTTTTAACTCCATCATGATGACAATGTTGTCGCAGGCCGGCTTGGCCTTCTGGTAGGCGGCGAGACGGCGAGCAGTGGTGCTGTTCTGAATAATTGAATGACTGACAGTCTGTTTGCTATGACGTGGCAACTAACCGGCGCGTACTTGCAGACTCCGCGGGACAGAACCTTTTTGTTCATCTTCAGAGTCTTTCCGACGGTTTTCATGGCGATCATGTAGATAGTCTCTTTGGTCAGATTCCACATCGCCTCCTGAAAAAATGTGATTTGTTGAGTTGAACGGGAACATCAGGAGAAATGAGAACTCACGGCAGTCGCATGCGATCCTTTCAAGCTGTTGCGCTCCCGACGGAACTGAGCGATCATCTCAGCGGTCAAGGCGTTATCTTTCTTGGAATTGAAGAATTTCAACATTTTCAGTTTTTTGAGTGTCTGAAAAAAAGGTTATTTAGGTGTTTGACGATAGAGGAGCGAAAAACGGAGAAGTCAAAAAGATAAAGTTAGAATAAGGAAGATATCCAACAGTTCTTAAACTGTTCAAAACTCTAACTCGGTCAAAAGTGGGCTGCGTCTAATTCCTAACTTAAATCACCGATTTGAATGCCACCGCGCAGTGCACAGTCATCGAGCGCGTCGCTCCTCTCTTCTCGAATGGTTGACTCATGAAAAAGCGGAGCCGACGATGACACCGGCTACCTTCTTTCGCCTTTTCTGCCGCTTTTAAATGATATTCGTTTGAATTTAAAAAGAAACGCGTAAACGGTTGCAAGAGGAGAGAACTCAGGAAATGGGCGGACGAACGGACCACGGTGGATATGAGGATTGGGGGTGGTGCGAACGAGAATGTGAATATAGACAGAACACCATAGAAAGGGAGAGCGCACATGGTAATGCGTAGAATCATCAGGTGTAGGTTGTGAAAGGCATGTGACTGTTTTTGTTTTGGTTTTTGGAAATTTACGAAATTGTTTTGGAAGAAGCTAACCGCTTAGTCATCGATCTTAGACTACGTGGTTTCAAAATATAGCCGTAATCGAAAAACTTTGGAAGACTGTGAAGTGACAGTTGAACTTTCTTCAGTTTTCTAACAATATGCTCATCTTCTTCGCGATCGGACCATTGAGCAAAGGGCAGGTACTCCGCGGCACTTTGCACTTGACTCGAATTAGAATTCCGAAATTTAATTGCCAATAGAAGTTGGATTCCGTAGAATTATGAGGGGAGAGAGGGGTAGCAGAGAGAGGGCCATCGGTAGTGAGAAAAACGAAGAAATGACAAGATATTGTCTGCGGTCGTGTGCCGGAAAAATGCGAGTCTGATGTAATCCAGGTTTTGGAGGAAAGTTCGTGGCGAGACCCGGAGAGAGGCGGAACGAATGTGATTCAGCGGCTGGAATCGATTTTTTTCACAATAATATCGAGGAAAACATGTCTGAAATCCGCCGTCTGCTCGCAGAAGTTCTCGACGAACCGTTTGTGGCGCGGCGCACAAAGTATTGCAGACAGTGAGCTCCGAACATCGGATAAACGTTTTTTGTAGCGGTATCAGTCTTATACAAATCTTGCGGATGCGTTGGGCACTTTTCTAATACTTTCTAGTGTTTTCAACGACCCGTTAGTGACTGGACCGGCCACGCACAGCTAAATTCAGGCTTCGTACCCATTATATCGAACGTTGCGGTGACCGCTGAACAAAAATACCAACAAAAAAGTAGGGGCACGTCCGAACTGAAAGTAGCGGATGCTCTGACCTGGTGGCTGGGCTGCAAAGGGGTAGCTGAGGTCAATGGGGAAAAACAGTGAAAAAATGACAAGAGATTGTCGGCGGTCGCGTGCTGGAAAATGCGGAGTCTGATGTAATCCAGGTTTCGAAGGGAAGTTCGTGGCGAGACCCGGAGAGAGGCGGAGCCAATGTGATTCAGCGGCTGGAATCGATTTGTTTTCACAATACTTTTGAAGAAAACATGACATAACACTGCCGTTAGTTTTGAATTACAAAAGTTTTCGAAGGAACGTTTATGGAGCAGCGCACGACTGATTGCAGATAATTAACCCTAAAAATATTGGATACATGGCAATGCAAACTGATTTTGTTTGATGGGTCCATACTCACTACCATAGTTGGCAAATTCGGGCCAATGAGCTGGCCCGGGTGGCACGACTACGACTTATAGGAAAATGCCTCGAAAAAATCCTAAAGCAGTCAAATTTTCTTTAAAATTTGAAGAATTTCCTGCAGAATTCGGATTTTCGGGGATATTTTTTGATTAGGAAGCATGTAATCGCTCTTTTCAGACTATAGCTAGCAATATATGTGTTTTCGAAAAATATTTGGTCAAACTCATGCGCCGTGCCGCCAAGTATTCGGCCCCATTGCAACTATGCTCACTTCTTACACTTTTGCACTTAACACTGTCGATTTCCGGAGTTTTATTATCAATTTGAGTGGGATTCAGCAGAATTATGATACCATGAAAGTGTGGAAAGAAGGGTAGCGGAGCGGACAATCAATGATGGGAAACAATGGAGAAAAAGGCAATAAACTCCAATTTATCGGGCTTTTAGAAGACAAGAGTCTGTTTAATGGAACTCAGGAGGAAAGGACAGTTATGAAAATTCTTCTGACCATGTATATGCGTTCGTTTTGAAATTCACAACCAGATGAGATATTTGAGAATCGTTTATGAAATACTTTCTGCGCAATACGGAAAAGTACGTAAACAAAGTGAGGTGAGTAGTTTACGGCCAGGAAGATTTGGCAATGAGCATCAGTTTGGCATTGTCATCTCCGTGCCACATATTTCCTTTTTCGTCACTCTGATGGCCACTGCTTCCGAACCAATTGAAGTTTTGCGGTTGCGCTTGCGGTAGATTCCACCTGGAAATGGATTATTTTTTATAACTACTTCGAACATCGCCCTCTAACAAAAAGGGAAAGAAGAAAGGCGTTGGTAGCTATCCTTCTCACCCTACAGTAATCTTGACTCACCAGAAACTGTTATCCCATTGAGCGGAGACTGCGGCAATTGAATAGAAGACAAAGAAGAGAGCTAGAACCTTCATTTTCTGATTTTCCTCCTTCGCGCTGCCCTTTTTTATACAGAATTAGGACACCCTCAAGTTGCACTTGAAAAACTTGTCTCGGTTGATAAGAACAATAAAAACAGTCACCCGACGCCCGGTCATTATCGAATGACCTGTTGATGTGATATGTTTTATAGCTATTTCCAGTTTTCTGAAAATGGAAAAAGTTTGTGCTAGTAGGTATCAGTTTCTGATCAAACGGCCAACTTTGTAGAGGATCAGGGAGGCGCGCGGTAATAATAGAAACAGGCTAAACCCATTTGATAAGACAAATGAAGACGTGATGACCAGAGACTCACCGGTCACTGATAATTTTTTGCGCGGGAAAAGGTTGTAACAACGATTCGGAACGGAGGAAAACACAAAGGAAGGCTTGCCATGCGTGATGAGTGTTGCAGATCAAACAAGTATCCGATTTGAGGTTCGGCGTTTCCGGTGATCAAACATTTGAGTAAATCTTGAATCATTTAATCCACGTTTAAGAAGCCTGTAAAGGTTGGGTCGAATCACTGCGAGTGGGTCAAAGATTCAGGCTTCGGCAGGCTATTTTGTCTAGCCCTGAGTATGTCTCATCTGATAGCCGAACACCGGAAGTAGTCCCTCAAACGCGACATGAATGCTTCCGGCCGGCGACGTCATTTTTGTTGCTTTTCGTTAAACTTTGCCGTCTTATCACTTCGACTACAGCCTACAGTCGCATGCAGAAAACGTTGGCGCCGCCCCCCGCCGCCAACGGAAGCACGTGCTAGAAAGGAGGACTATAAAGGGGATATCCCCGAGTGGTTGACATCATCTACAGCAATGAACAGCTTCCAGACTTTCGCTATTATTTTCCTGCTTTTCGCTTCCGTCTGCGCTCAGCAATGGACAGCGCAACAAATGGAGGCTTACCGCCAACAATACTATCAATGGTGAGTCACATTTAGAAATCATGTTAACTTGATTGTGTTTTTCCAGGTATTACAATCAACAGCGTATGCAACAAGCCCAAGCGACCCAGGCGCCCGCCCCAGTTGCCCAAACTCCACATCCGATCTGGGGAAACGCTCAGTCGGACAGCAAAGGAAACTTCTGGCACGGAGATGACAACGCCAAGCTGAGTCTGATCGCCAGATCCTCGTGGCCATAAATGTCTGAATACCCAAATACTGTTTTTTCGGATCTCATACATGCTTTTATGAACAATAAAGATTTTTGAAATCTTTTTGGACTGTATAAAAGGTAAGCTAACATGGAAATTCTGTGCTGATTGCGCAATTATGTATAGTTGAATGAACAATATTTGGACAATAAGAATGGCCTTATCTACCACAAAAAGAGCATAGAATTACAAGTAGATACGAACAAACGGATGATCTTTTCCGAGAACAGTAATAATGGTGGCGTAGGTGCCGATGAAGAAGATCTTGAAAACGAAAAAGCACGTGGTAAGAGAGAACAGACTGACAGTTACGTTTTCCAACATTTAGACGGACTTTTTAGAGATGAGACCCGAAATAGGCGTCGATTTTTAATGAAATTTTAGGCAGAAAAGGAGAATTTTCGCATAAAATGACACTTTGAAATAACTCTAAAAGTAGTAGAGCATCTCAATTTGAATGCGACGGAATAACTGAACACTGACGATGAGAAGAACTATCTGAAATTGAAGATTAAACCATTTTTGGAACCATATCCATGATCCTTACATCGAATACTGTCAGCACGACAAGAATGGAGAATATGGCGGAGAAATGAATCTGATTTTCGCGATAGAGAGGTGTTATGCAGCCCTGAAAAACAGAAAAATGATAAAACAACCCCTGGGGGTGTCTAGGATTACGGTGCAACGATACTCATCAGATGAGAGATCAGAACTCGTCGTCCGAAGTGATAGAGTCGCACAGCCAGAAGCCAACCACAATACCAACCACCTGAAACATGCGGAAGCGTTCATAACAATTGGATGCCACAGGCATACTTGAATCAATGCGAACAAAACGACAGTCCACGAGACTATTTTGAAATGAGATGTGACTTCTTGGAAAGATTCGGCGATTTTTGAGTAGCAGCCCTGAGATAAAAGTTGGTTGAGCACACGAAAAACTATGTGTTTGTTTCAAGACAAAAATTGAAGCTGAAAGTGAGAACAGACATTTCCAATACTACAGGGACTCAAGCGATAACCGTCAACATGTTATTGTCTGAATCAAATCCACCGAGAAACATTCGTATAGTCGCGACAGGCACAGCGTGCACACATTTCCGGGCATACTCACGTGGGAATGTCGCATAATTGTGTTACAGTATGGCCTCAGTCTGCCGTGTTCGTCGGATGGGCAACATGCGGGCGGGAACTGGTAACGGCCCTTGTTCAGATGGTACCATCCCGATTTGTTGAACTCTCCGATTTTTGAATCGACTCCACAGCACGATTTCTGCAATTATGATTGTTTTTCAACCACGCCCATTTTCTGGTGATTATTTTTGTATGAAAATTGCTACGCGTATTCAAAAGAGAGTGTACTACAAAAGAAAGTTTGAAGAAACGCGTTGTGGTCCCTAACCATACCTCAATCATGATCTTGTCCCACGCAGTTTTCACCAGCAACCCGTCGTGATTGTTGGTGCTTGCTTTCATGTTATCCGTTCCATTGTACATCTTCAATGAGGAGTGAAGAATGTCTCGGAAGTCGTTCTCAAACTGGAAAAAAACACAGATGGCATCAAAACAGGAAGAAGGAGAGTTCCGAGCCAACTTACCATGTGACTGTGAAGGAACGCATAGATTGTTGCGGCGATTTGAATGGCGAGGATGAGCATTAGACATGATGCGTACTAAAAAATTCGCATTCCACTTGAGACAGGTTTCTTTTAGAAACTTACACAACACAAAAGTGGTCTCCATTCCTTCGCAGCTCCACAACATCCTAAAAAGGCAACGACAATGACAATGAGTCCACCGATGAACAGAAGGTAACCAAATTGACGAACGGCAGTTGGTTTTGTGGCCTAAAATCGTTCGTTAATAGATAAATTACCAAAAAACAACTCACCAAATCTCTTAATCCGGCGTCCTGATCGTATCCCTGAACCTTGGCCGTGGCAAATGCCAAGTTGTCGATGGCGTATTTGTCAAGAACCAGCCATAAACCGATGCCGAGACATATGAGACCGCAGAGCTGAAGTTATTCAGTGTCAATTTTGCTGACTTGCAACGGGCCTTTTCAAAGTTTTTGCATACTTCTGAACAAACAGTCTTGATGGTTCTCATTGCATATAATTAATTTTGTGAAGACAGTTGGCGTGCCATTAGGCACTTGTCCGTGCCATTCGATTGTCGGCCAACAATGCACACCGATTTATCAAAATCTCGCGTGGACCCCCAACAATTGTCCGCCGCATCAAAACGTCCGCGCCGACAACCTCACCCACCAGAAACACCAAATTGAATATGAATAATGAGAATTTGAGTGCCCGTGCCGTGCAGCTCAATGGCATTTTGTGCGTTGTTGGAACGACAAGGTCTGTAGTGAAGAAAATAAGTGAAGATGAAACTGGAGATGAGAGCGAAGAAAAAGTCGCTGACATGTGTTATAAAAAGAAAGTGGGGGAAGAGTATGTGAGAGTTCGAGAAGAATGGGGAACAGGTGTTCAGGGAGGATAAAAGAGCAATATTTATTAGTTTTTCCAAATGTTTTGGGGTTGTGAAAAGATTGAAAGATTGGGTTGAGAGAGCGCTCAAACATGTTCAAAATTTCATGGAAAAAAGTTCACATTCATTTCTCGATGACGTGGAACCGATGCCCGCAATGTGTCGAAGGGAAAATGTAATTGAAAACTAGTCGGTCAAGTTTTGGTCCCTAGTCAGGTAGGGTATTGAATTTCAAGGTGATCCACATTTATGGACTTTCAAAAGTGACGCTCCGGGAAAAAAGAGCAAAAGGCTAGGATCCTTGAAAAGACTGGAGTCCAGTTCGGAGTATTATAAATAAGGAGGGGAATGAGAATGGCCAGTGTCAATTATGGCGGACCACACATGGGCTCTTCCCAATCAAATCGGCGACAAGGAAGAAAAAGAATAAGAAGAAGAAGCAGCCGCAACACCACAACTATGCGAAGCGGATAACTGAGGGCACAGAGGATGTTGGGTTCGGAATTAGTGGTCTTCTCTCTAGTCGAACAGACGGAGCAAGTGTGCAAGACGGAGAGACGCCGAGCGAAATCATCTCCGAGTCAGAGAGTAACAACAGTTGTCAACTCGTTCTTGCCACTGTTGGCAGAAGAAGAAGAAGAAGAAGAAAAAGAGGAGAAGGATGGGGTGAGGAAAAGAGGGAAAGGAAGGAAAGCATCAAAGATTCTGATCATTTACTAGATATTCTTGATTGTCGTGGGCCCCCGGGTGATGGGCGTCAGGTGCAAAATTGTTTCGACTGCCTGCTGCGATGAGTGGGTGAGAAGGGAGCAATTTATTTGACACTTTATTGAAGATTCGGTGTGTAGGTGATCAAACGGACAGTTTTTGAATACATCTGAAAGGAACCGAACTCGTCATAGCCTGAAACACATGAAAAATAACCTTTTTGACCTTTAACCCATCCTTTACTTTGATGTACTGCAAAGTATACACATTTCACTTCCTGCTTTTTGCAGACTTGTTGCGGGCCGGCCCGGGTTTTAGCACTAAATGTTCAAAAATTTAAAAGCGGGCCGATATTCAACAAGTCCGATCCCATTTGAAGGTGTTCAACTCAATAATAATTGACAAAGATTAGCCCGTTCTGACCTTCAACCCTTTTTACTTTTTCTTTTTTCTTTCTCCACCATCTGCTTGCTCACGTGATCAATCAACTCGACGGAAAATGTTGTGAGACTACTGGTGTGGGATCGTTGACATGTTATCCAGTTAACAAGGCTTATCGTTTCGGATTCGGTTTGACTTCGTACAGAAATATGCGACTACTTACAGTTGGGACACAGAAAATAAGAGAGTTATCAGTCATATCACGAAGAAGAATAGAAAATGGGAAATCTCGGAGTGCCGAAAGTTTACTTATTGGCTTCAGCAACAATCTGAAGGATGCGGATGAACAGGTTGAGAATGTCCATGTAGAGGGCGACGCAGGCGTGGATATAGTCTTCTGGCGAGAATCTGTACATGATCATGTCGAGGTCGATGACAAGGAGGACGCAGAAGAGACCGGCTCCGAAGACGTTGATGACAAAGTTCATAGCCGGCGACATGAAGAACATCTGAAATTGACAAATTTCCATAATTTTGTTGGTGTTCTTCTCGAAACGTTTTGACAGCTTTAGCCTATGACTCGTCGTTGCACCTTTTTTTGTGCATACTTGTGATTTGACGGCCCGTATCCTGCTTGACCGCCGTAATTTTTGGCATTTTTCATCGATTTGTATATTTTTGTCACTTTATCAACAATATGACCAAGTGCGATGAAAAACGCCGAAAACATACTGAAAACTCCTGGACGGGGGAACATTTTTCCACGGCCCGGTATGAGTTTTCACAATTTCAGCCTATTGCTCGTCGTTGTTCCTTTGGTTCTTTTTTCATGATTCATGAGTAGGGGCCGCTTCATTTCTTGTTTAGATTCTGAATTACCTGGAAGATTCCGGCCCAGAGGAGGACACAGAGAAGGGATCCCATGCTGGCATATCCAACGGAGAAGTCACGTTTGTTCTGGAGGGTGTAGGCGAAAAGGGAGGCAACGACGAGTCCTGTGATAACGGCGGCTTCCAGAACGACTTTGGCCTCGAAGAGAGTCACTGAAACTAATTCATTTTTTTGCAGAACAACTCGAGACACATACCGACACATCCCATAGTAAGCGCTTGAACAGTGGTGAACGCAGCGAGCAGGACGTAGTTGAGGGGAACTTCACGGGCATACACATGCAGAGCAATGATCAGAGCGATCGATCCGAGAAGATTTGGGAAGACGATCCAGGCGCTGAAAACAAAAAAGTGTTTATTTATTTTTCTCGAGGACCCTAGTTTTTCTCCATTTGTCTGTGACGTCTATGAATAATTCCACAAGGAAAGCGAACCAATTTCACTTTAGAACGAAACTTTCAACTTTCTTATTCCCGTTTCAAATTTCTGTTTATTTACTTTTCAAAACGTGTGCGGCTATTGCTCATCTGTTCGCACGTGCGTCTAGGGGTCGGCGATGCATAATTGAAAGTTTATATGTCACCGAGTCCTGTGAACTTTTCCAATTACTACAGGGGTAATCCAAGCAATTGCCGAGGCATTAGTGACCTCCTCGAAGGGAAAAACATTGACCTCTAGCTTTACCTTCTCACCCTCTTCGCTTCTTCTTCTTCTTTTTGCGGTGGCAAATTAATTGACAGCGATTGGAGCCATATGTATGTGTCGAGGGCCGAATAGCCGTGACTCTTTTCTCATTTTCTTTTTTGCTTCCCACCACAACGACCACCAATTCCCAAGATTCTTCTGTTTACATTGACATGGAAAAAGAGGGACAAAAAAGCGAGGTGTCGTCCTCCAACTTCAACTAATCGGGTTCTGTCTCAAGCATCTTCGTTGCGCCCACATTCTCAGCCAAAACTTAATCAAATGGTGTGTGCACTTGGCTCCGGACACGACCCCATGCACATCGTCAATTTGAGAGCTAAAAGAAAAGAGTTTCTGTCCTTTTTCTTCCTGTTAGTAGCTCTTTTTCCCATCCTCCTCCTCCTCCTCCTGGTTTCTTTGCGGAGAAGTTGAAAATCTCCAAAAGCTTTAGTACTGACTTCAAAGTTACACAACCGTAATCATCACATTAGTCAAATCTTCCGGAAATCACTTAGCTTCCGCTTTCTCTTCCCTCCAATAACATCCGCCTGTTCCCCCTCCCCCCGCTCAAAAAAGGTGTAAACCCTATTTACAAATTTATGCTGATCACACGCCATCACAACATCCGGCGCGTTTAGCATCCGGTGTGGCGACTATCATCTCGAATATTCATTCATGGAATGATTGATTTATCATGCGCCCGCTAACACGTCTTCATTGAAAACTCTACGCGAGAGTCCTGCCAGATAAGCAAAATGTGACCGAGCTCTCTCACGCGATATTTTAGCGCTGACTTTTCAAGTGTTGGGGGTTCATTTTGATATCTTCATTTCTGGTCACGTTTTCCTTGCAATCTCAATCTCACCCCTATATTTCTCTACTTGCGACTTGCAAGATTTTGGGCCTATATTTCATTTTGAGCGCATTTTTGCAAAAATTATAAGAACACATGCGGTAAAGCTGCTAAAAATGGGTACTTTGAACAAAGATTCTCCTCTACTTCCCCCCATTTCTCCGTCCTCGCTTGCTCTTCCTCTTTTTTTCAAGAACGAGCCGTTAAATGATGTTTGTGAATGTGAATTCGTTCCATTGTTTTTCCACGCCAACCTCGTTACATAGTTTAACGGATTCCCTTCTAGCTGCTGGTGGTGGTGTTGTGCACCCATCGTTCGTCCCGGGGAAAAAGAGTAAAAAAGAGAAAAAGAAAGCGAAGAGACGAAAGATGCGATCGGCAAAAGTTGGAGTGGCAAGGCAGTTGGAAACAAAGAAGCCGCAGACCGGCCGGAAAATATCAACCTCGTCTCGTGGAACTATTCACTCCCTGCAAAGTCAACCCGAAGATATTCAGATGAAGTACACAAGGTAACAAAATTAAGCATCGGTCTCTCACGATGTATTTTAATAATTTAGAAAAGAGTTGAAAGAGTACCGTCAGTTGTTCAATATGTTTGACACTGACGGTTCCGGAGCCATTGGAAACGAAGAATTGAAGCAGGCCATGATTAGTATCGGTCTACATGCAAACAAGGCAGAAATTGACAACGTCATCAAAGAGGTGGGTCACACTTTCCCAGTTTTTCCCCTCAAATTGTAGGAAATCTCGGGCTCCAAAATTTCGCATATCTTCTGACACAATTGACTACGGTATCTCATCGCGTTCCCTATAAAACCCTGCTCATTCATTCATTCATTCATATTCCCATTCTCCCTCGTGATGAACTCCGGCTCTCCTCTCCTCTGTCCGAAATGCAAAAAACAACAGGTCGATGCGGACGGAAACGGTGAAATCGACTTTGAGGAATTCTGTGCGTGCATGAAAAAGTCGCAGAACATTGTGAAGTCGACTAATGAAGAGCTCATCCGCGAGTGCTTCGAAGTTTTCGATCAGGATCGAAATGGAATTATTACGGAGAACGAGTTCAAGGTAAGCGGAAATGAGTGCCTGACTCTAACTTTTTTGTTTTCTTTTCCAGTACATCGCCAAAGAATTTGGTGACTTTGACGACGAGCTCGCCGAGAAGGTCTTTCGTGAACTGGACGTCTCCGCCAACGGCCATCTGTCCGCCGATCAGGTCAGTTGTTATCCAAAGCTGCGTCAAACACTTTCTTCCTTCTAGTTTGCCACCATCGTCGAGGATTACTTGCTCAGTGACCCCATCAAGCACGATGTCGACAACGAGGAATCTTCCGATGAACGACAAGATGAGCGTCGGGACGATCGTTCGAGTCCCATGAATTACCTCTCCACCGTTCCCGAATAATCAACTTATCACTGTTTTACCTGACATGTAATACAATTCTCCCCGCTCTCATCTCACGTCTGTTTGATCAGGTTGTAGATAAACGTATTACTCACTGCTTCTGCATAATCTGGTTGGAGTTGGGGATCGAGTAGATCGCAGCGCAGATTCCGATTGTGAACAGAAGTTGGAAGCTTACGATGCCCAGCACCTTGCGAAGGAACGCTGAAAGTGATCTCCTTCTCTTCTTCGTCACACTTCTATCCCCACACAATATCGGAATACAAAACTAACCGATTCTTATCATTCGGTTCGCTTTGCCCACGCATCCCGGCATTATCCCCTCAGAATCGATGATTCCGGCTTCCGCATGCGCCGAATTGGCCAAGTTCAGCGGCCACATCTGCGGATTTCTGGAAAAGGAGAATTCTGTGTGTAATTGCGCATTATTACGAAATCGCACCTTCCAGTTTTCACGTCATCGTTATCACTGTCATCGGTGTCGGCGAGAAGATTCACCTGGAAACGCAAAAATCAGTCATTACGTCAAATTTTCTCCTCCCGGCAAGGCAATCAATAACTCACTCTCTCCGGCTCTCGAAGCTGGCTAGTGGCGGCCATTGTCAACGAACAGGCCTGAAAAACATAATTATAAAGTGAGAAAGAAGAGAAATGACACAAAAAACCAAAGACTGGCTGAATCGATGAACTGTTTGTGTCAGTCAGGGAGAACTTGGCCAACAATGAACGATGTCGAAACGGTCGCAGAGAAGGAAAAAAGAGGGGGGAAACGGGAGAGGGTGTTAGAGATGCAAGCAGAGGAAATAGTGAGCAAAGAGGAGAGGACATTGCATGCCTTGCTGAGCGCTATTGTATGTGGAAAGCCGCCGAGGAAATTGGTTTAGAAACAAATGAAGGAATAGGGCTCACGAGTGATGGATAATTCCAAAAATAATACTTGTTTTGCGTCGATATTAGATTCCTAGTAAAGTCTAGATTGAATGAGTCAATTGGCACGCGATTACACAGAGAAAACATGTTTCAAGAAAAAGTGTGACACTTCGGGGAAAAACTTAAAATAGAGCACCAATGGCCCAGAGTGGCACATAGATCATTTTGATACTACGATCCGGTCCGGCTCGACCCGCGTTAGTGACATGTGTGCGCTATTGAAAACATTTCAGTCGAAACCGACAAAGAAGTTCGATTCCGGCCCAGCCAGGCCCTTTGCAACTATGATTCAGATGAATTGTCAAAATATCTGTTTTTTTTTGTTTTCAGATAAAATAATAGTTGATTTTCATAATTTCTTTAATGTCATTCTTTATCATTCTTTAATCATTCTTTAATGAAATTGCATTCTTTTGTTCGATGACCATTTCGTGCCTATAGCTCCGTTGCCGAAACAATGCACAATCAGGCAAATCTGACATCAGAATTATTCAATACTTGCTCTCGATAAACAGTTTTCATGATGGCAAAAATAGCTTTCAATAACTACACAGAGTTGAGTATTTTTCAAAATCATCGGAAAAACTAAAGTGTTCCATTCATAATCGATGTTGTGAACCAACCAAACGGTGACCGGCGGAGGCAGAGGCCCCCCTCTGACATTCCCGCGCAACAGCGACGCGAGCGCGCGAAAACAAGGGGGACCAGGTGGCCCGTTCAGTCCGTCATTCTCTGCTCACCTTCTTTGATCACGCGGCCTTTTGCGTTTGCTGGTTTCTTCCGGTTTCTTGTTCTTCCATTAATTTCTTGTATACTCAACGTTTCTTCGCGATTTCTTCATTATTAATTTAATGAATTTCAGTAAAGCGTCTTAGTACGTCATGACTCTGTGCGCCTCCTCGTCTCCGATCAAGGGAATCGAGCATGCGAAGCAAGTGTACGCGCGTCGGCCTCTGAACCGTCCACGGCATGAGCGCTTCGAACTCCAACAAGTCCGCATCGTAATTTCAACTTTTTTTGCTTGTAATTCAAACTGTTTCTGCAGTTTTCCACCGCCGTTCGCATTAATCACGGAGCCAGTTCCTCTCCTTCGAATCCATCCGCGATGCCGCCCATTGCTCTCAATCCGGGAAAGAATCTGAAACAGTTAATTCATTTGACTCGTATCTTGAAAGTCGTTCACATTTTCAGAGATTTGGTCACGAAGCCAGTAAGCGATGCAAGACAAAAGTCTCCGATCGAGGAACTTCCACTGCTGGATCGTCGCCCAATCGATCGTTTGCGACTGGTGCACACCAACCTTCAACGCATCCGAATGGTAATTATAGTTTTACTCAACCCGTAATCTTCTGTCTTTTGCAGATTTCCTCAAAAGATCGCGTTAAAAACGGAACCGTTGCCATCCCTCAGACTTCAACGCCGCCCACAGCTCTAAATCGGGGAAATCATCTGAAGCAGTGAGTTCTTGTGATTTGTATCTGGAAATGCAAACATTACAATTTCAGGAATTTGCTCGCCAACCCAGTGATGGATCGCATCGAGATGGAATTGGATCGCAAGAGGAAACCCCACTCGGTTCCTTTCTCGAACATCATTCTGCCAAACGGAGTCGGTCCGATGCACGTCAAGTCGTCGAAAGTGATTCTCAAGGAAGCGATTACTGGAAAGGTTCTTCCGAAGACCATCCAACAACCAGTGCTCTCGCTTCGCAACCAGCCATACCCGCTTCCGCGCAAGACTGAAGTCAAGCCGCCGACTCACAAGAAGGAGGAGACGTTCTTTGTGCTCAACGACGAAAGCTGCATGGAAGTCGACTCGTGCTCCACGGATGGCGATGTCAGTTTGATGGAAGTTGACAGAAGCACGGTGGATGTCAAGGAAAACGGGGTTACCCATCCGAGTAACTGCATGTGGATCCCTACCACATTCGAAAGTAAGCAATAGCTTATGTTTGCGTTGGGGGCTGAAAAGAATCACATAAATGCTTCATGAACATGCATTTGTTTCCAGACGTCGATTTGCCAGCTGATTATGGCTTCAAGGAGTACAGCATGATGGATTTGTCGGTGTTCAATTCGTCCACCAACACCGTCGAGATGATGGACGTCTAGCGCTGCACCTTCAAGCAGTCTCCACATCATTTCATGTATAATGAGCTGTTTTTCAATGTACCATATCTCACAACTAACCATTTTCTTGTAGCTCATTTCAATTATGTTTCATATTTCCATCGTTTTATATCTCTAAGATTATTATTGCCCTTTTCGTCCCCATTCCCATTCATCACATTGTACTTTTAACGATCCCACTTCTCTTTTTAACCGGTTTTAACAGTTGTGATACAAATTTTCAGTGTATTTCTTTGCATCTTTGAGTATCTATTGGAGTAACTTTTTGAAAAGTTTTATTGCGCCCAACGCAGCAATGTAAGAAGTGTTCGCTTCTTGTTCACTAGCTTATAATCCATTACTCTCTTTCGAGGAACCTGGAATCCCGAACTACATATGTCTTTGTTGATCGTAGTCTACAGGGTGGGGAATAAATATAGCGCCCAAACTTCGCGTCAGCGCTGGCGCCTACAGAACCAATGGGATGGCCGCTCATGTTATTTTTTCCATTCATCACTTCATTTTTGACCATTTGTCTAAGTTGCAGACAATTCTGTTAATATTGAGAGAAATGGTGGCTCCGTCGTCGCCTAGGTCCGTAATTATGGGGTTCACAAGTATAGGAATGCGATCGTCTAAAATAGTTAGGAAGCTCGGCGTAGGAAGATTGTTTGTTAATATGACTTCCCGATGTTTCTGACACCTCGGAACATTGGAAGACAAGTAGAGAAGTGGTCCCCCGATCCCAGTGACAACTCCCAAGATGGTCATATCGGTTAGAGCAAAAATCGTAGAAACCCGGAGAGAAGCACGTAGAAAATGTCGTCAGAGTTCCGTATGAGCTTAAAATCTATGTAAGCTATTGCCAGACAGGAACTAAATATGATTCCTTATCGTATTCAAAAGAATCGTTCCATAACAAGGACTTTCGCTTCAAGAAAGCCGGAAGTCCCGTTGGCGGCACGCGGCAAGGCACGCGCCTGCAGACTCTGATCGGAGATGAGTGGCTACACGCTGCTGGTATCGAAAATGATAATCACAACAACAAGGTCATCTCAGGGGACATTGAGACTGTCCGTCGAAATGGAAAAATAATTTTTAAAATTTTTTATCCGGCTTCAGTAATGGTTCTTTGGAAAATTTCCGCCAATGGCAAAACAGCACTGATATTGGAGCGAAAATCAACCGTAAATGCTACTCTAGTAAGATTCTCGGGTCGAAGGAACTGTCTTGGATCTAGTAGATTACGGAAAACAAGATAGGGTCTTCCAGCAAGACGGTACACCTGCTCATCGAGCCAAAACCACCTAACAGTGGCGCAAAGCCAATTTCGCAAGTTTTATCACTTAAGAAGAACGAGTAGATTTCAAGTCGGATATGATTTCTATGGACTTCTCCGAGTTTGGGTGGTTTGCCTAGTATGTATCCATTCACAATTAACCAAAATAGGGAGTCCGGAAAGTTGAACTACGGAAGCCATGACACGATCTTTACGTCAACTACCCCCGTGCCGCCGCTGACTCGTATCCGAGGAGACTGACGGCTGCCAACGAAGAGAAAGGTGCAATCGGCAAAAACTGCTAATGCCATTCTTTTTGTTATTGTTTAATAGAGCTTTTAGTAGATTTACAGAAAAAAATCTTGCGATTTGAACTTTTTACGGCATTTTGAATTGGGCGCTATATTTATTCCCCACCCTGTAGTATCAACGACATATACATAGGGGGCGCAAAGGAGGGGGCGTGGCCTGACGAATTTTCTCTTGATTTCCGCGCGCGCATGTTTGAGGACCTGTACCGAGGTCCCCAGACCAAGTACCATACTCGTAATGTTTTACTTCATGTAATCGACCATGCTGAATCTATTGAACAACTCCGTTTCCCACGAAAACGCACCATTTTCTCAAAAAAAGGCGAAAACGAGAATGGAAGTTAGTCTGAGAGCCCGTGTGGCCACATTTATGGCTACACGCGCCTACTTTTAAGTGATTCCAACAGTTTAAGGGATGGGGAATCCGTTTTTTAAGTCAGAATCAGACAATCTAGTTTCCGATTTTTTTTACAGGTCCTCAAACTGGCACAAAAAATTGTGAAAAAATTTCAGCGATGACCATACTTTTTTATGTTTGAAATCCATAGATAAACTCTCTGAGAACCCAAATACAAATTTTCAGAGCTCTAGACAGTCTAGGACCAGATTTGTGTTCATTTTAGTAGAGCCAGTTTGGCCGAAATTGTAGTTTTTGGGGGTTTTGAGGGTCACAGGTACCTTACACGCGGCTAATTTTCCCAAAATCGGATTCAGCATCAAATTTCCGACCGATCCATGTCGAACTTTTCCATCTACCTAGTTTCCGTTTTTTGAAAAGTGACTGTAAAGTGTAACAGTTTTGGATTTGAGCACGCAAAAACACTAATTTGACACCTAGAAATGGACCGCGCGCAGCCAGCTTTTCTATGCCATTGGCGGCCGGCGCGCCTTCGCCCGGCTGGCGCAGTGGGAAAGTGCTCACTCGGCAATCTAAAGGTGCAGGGTTCGAAAATTTTGACCTCGAAAGTTATTTTGCTTTCTTAGAACATCATTTCTGCTCATTCAAAATGTTGACTCTTTGGTTTGGTCCCCCAGACAAGGATAAAAAACGCGTGCGGCAAACTTGCTAGTGAGACTCCGCCCCCTCCTCGGCCGCCGACCTGAGAGAAAACAGGGCGACTTTGGAGTGGTGTAACTCGGGATGTACTGAAAATTTTCGAAAAAAAAATTGGGAGCGTACTCATATAGAGTAGGGGAACACATTCCAACAAGAATTTTATAGAAATTCCGAGTTTCGTGAAACCCGTTGCGGTACCTACATATACATCTCTCTTTATATCTGATTTTCAGATTCAGATGCATTGGACACGATTACATCAATTCCCAATGCGTTCCTCCACTGCCCCGTCATTTTTATATATTTTCCGTTACTAATGAAAGTATGCGACTGATTTACTTTGATCACATTTTCGTTATCCCAGAAATAGCTTTAGGTGTGCAGGTAACCCGGGGTAACTATGTATATCCCCTCGTTTCTTTCCGCTTCATTTCTAACACACGCTAAACTCTTTCTCTCGTTGTTTACCTGCAGCTGGGCCATATCGATCTGCATTCTCGTCGCATAATCCCGCTTGCTCTTTCTGCTTTCACTGGCATATATGCATACGCGTTTCGTATATATACGCTTCTCGTCACTTCTAAGCGTAATATTTCAACTATTCTAGACCGCTCATCGACTGGAAATGACCGAATGCAACTTCCTACGGCTATCACTGATCCCATTGGACAAGATTTTCGCGGACCTCGATGTTTATGAGACGTAAGCTGTCTATCATTTATTGAAAAACAAGAATAATTTTACTGCAGAGTACAATTCTCGTTGCTTTCGGAAAGTTGTCGTCAAGCAGTGGCGATTTCGAGATTAAAAGGATCACTTGCTCTTTCTTTTTGGGATCTCAAGAGGGCATGGATCTCCTTCTCGTTCGATGGAGACAGCCGAAATAGTTTTACTCTTAAATTTGAAATCAAGTCATCGAAAGAACGTCGAAGATATTTTCGTCAAAATGCAAGTACAAAGTTTGAAGTATGCGGAGTACCAATAGCAATGACTGAGAACTCGAAGGGACAAACGTTTACGGCATACTATACGCAGCGCATAGACCCGATGAAACTGTTCCATCTGTTTGCTCGCCATTTCTTGACCACTTTTGTTGTCACGGACTTTGAGGTGACCACGATGCTGATAAGGGAAATCGACTTCTACAACTGTTTCATTTGGAATTATACCAACAAGTTCAGCAACTTTTCAATATATTGGCCTGGCAGAAAAATGACACGGAAGGAAATGATGTGGTTGTTGGAAGATGACAACATCGAGAAATTAACTATATTAGCGGACTGTAAGCCTGGATTCCAGTACTGGAGACAATTGAAGAAGAAAAGTCTAACTGTGAGTGACGGAAATTGGCTAACACTGGATACTATTCTCAACATGAAGACCGTTGAACTCATTGCGTATGAAGTGAATCTGACTGACGACGACAAAGTGGCTATTGTGAATGCGTGGTTGGAAGGGAGGCTCAATCATGTGAAAACGATTGCCTTCTGGGAATCGAAACAGCGCTACTCCATACGACAGTTCCAATGGAGAGAACATATATCGGACCCAACACTGCTAGATCTCTATCCAGCGGATTGCTTGACAGAATACTACAATAAGTTTGTTATCAAAATGTGCGATTTTTATTGAAACATTTTCAGAGAAAGTCCTCTCCACACAAAGTGGTTGATTACTCTCTGGAACCCTCTACTTGAGAAGTATGCAATTCTTGAGGAAGTGGAGCACTTTTTCGGCTTTGAAGTCTTGTCATGTGAGCGACGCCATGATTTGGATTAATTTATTCTTAAAATATGCTTTGATTCTGGAAAAGATTATATGTTGAAGCGTTTCAAATAAATTCACAAAAATACATGCATAGTTCATTATCATCGGTGTCATCCGTGCTTCATCTTTTTCGCATTCCCCATGTCCGTTTCATTCGAGACCGCCTGCCGCTTCTTTCCGATCTCAACGGGTGCGGCCAGAAGAACGCGCCCAATCTCTAAAAATAACTTGAAATGATTGGCAAACGACGTAATGAAAGGAAGGAGAACGAGTTCCTTCAATCCACTATCACCCCACCATTTGTGGCATTTGTAGTGGAAAGCGCGCCGGAACCGATATCGAGGTGTGTTTTTGATTGGGTGCCTGACAGTTATCAATGTTTGATTTCTATCTAATCACGAACTATATCTGTTTTTTGTTGTTTATCACTTACCTAATGGTTCAAATACGGCGTCTCGGCGTGATCGGAAGTTGGCCGTCTTGGAGAATCTGAAAAGAAAGACAGTGTACTTCGAATTTGGTCAGAGTTACTGTAATTGTCATTAAAACAAAGACTGATAATGAAATGGAACTAAACCATCACCTTTCAGGAATGATCCACGTGATGCAATTTATTTCGTTAACACAGCTTCAAACTCAACTCACTCTAAAAATTCAATAGACGGGTCCTTCTCACTCTCACAACAGGATTTATTTCCGATATGATCCAGAGATTGACTTTTCGCAATGTTGGTGGATTGTGTGGAATTCTGCAGTTGTTCGTGACGCTAACAGTCTAAGAAAAAGCACTCACCATGCAGACGTTCAGCTTTCCCGAGGAAGCCCTCCGAGTGTAGTACTCGCTGAAATGAACCAACGGATTCATTATGTGCACGGCAGACGGCAACGAGACGCGTCTCCGACTGAAATGAAGAGGACTGATCACTGGCTGACGGGACGACGGAAGAGACGAAAAGAGCGGGCCGAAAAAGAGAAAGAGAAAAGAGAAATGCATAGCTAGACGTTAGTTTTCCAACATGACAAATCATCGTCCTCTCACCAGATGTTTTCGTTTTCTCTCCTCGCTCTCACACACACTGTATGGGTGTGTATGTGTGTAAATCGATGACAATAGCACGGGACAACTGATAAAATGCATTTCTTTTTTTGGCTTCTTTTGTTGAAAGTCAACGTGGTGGATGTTGAGCATGAAAGCGAGGACCAAACATTTATTTTTAGCAGATGTATGTATGAGTATGTAGAAAAAGAGTGATCGGATTATAGCAATTGTAAAGAGGGGATTCTAGCGGACTCGGTGACGCGTTTATCCTCATGTTTTGAGTTCATGTGGTATCCGTGCTGAAAAAGAATTAGTGATTGTTTCTTCCAGTCAGGCTTTTCGGAAATCGGTCCTTTAGAAAAAATGCTGGTTCAACCAGATTATTCACTAGGAAAGTCGCTTGATGACACGGAAATTATCCCGGAGTTATGAAACAGTTTTCTGCTCAATTTTGAGAATGATGGTTATTCTAGATTTTTCACTTGGAAAACACTTCTTTGGACTGAAATTATCCATGGCAGGTTGAAAAACGTTTTGTCTCAATTTAGAAGTTCTTATAAAGCTTTCGGAAAAAATGATGGAGTTTATTTAACTAGGAAAATCGCCTTTTTTCAGTGAAATTAGCTATGACATGCAGGAAAATTTGGAATTTTAGTACTGAAACCCGGGCTGACCGGGCACAGTCTAATCACTGATCCATCCTCTATTGGTCCGGCCCGGATCGCGACAAGTCTTGTCAGTCAGGATTATTCTCAATCTTTCAACATGCACGATCAATTACCCAATTTATTTTTTATAAGTTTTGGCATTCACTGACAATTCTACAACATAAGTCGTCATTACAAGCGAGATCCATGGCAGAAAATAAGGGGGAAGGTGGCGTGACTAGGGGGCAAACAGACAAGATAGTCGTGGGCGGATGTACTTGTGTTCGGTACATCGGGTTCTTTTTTTCTTCGCTCAAAAATGTTTTCTTACAATAAAACGTCAGGCAGAAAAGAAGGTGTGCATGTGTGTGTGTATGTGCTAGTGAAGTGTGTTGGTGCAGCAAAGAGCAAACGTACCCAAAAAAGGTGTGGTGTGTGTGGTGCGTGAAAACTTTACACGTACATTGGCAATCAGTCAAAAAATAAGGTATGATAAGGGCGTTGGTGAAAAGCTGTCATCACAGAAACGTAGTATTATTATCGTCATTGCACAACTGAGCCGATCCACCATACTTGATAAGAGTCTCGGCTTCACGAGCCTCGCCGCTGGTGCTCTGTTCTCCGGAAGCGAGCTGAATGTCGACGGTGTCTTGTTCGATGGGCATGTGGCGAGAGAACTTGCGCGAGTGATGGGAGAGAGAGTCACGTTGGAACTGAAAATCTTTCGAGTTAAAAGTTTGAAATATCTTCTAGGATATCAGTGTGCCGAGTGATAACGCGTGAAGTGAGCAATCTAAAGATGGCGGATAGTTGACAGAGCTAAGCAAGACAATGTCCGGTTTTGTAAACCAACCATGCTCCTACCATGCACTCCGATCCTCCTCCGTCAGACTGCTCACCCACCTTGCTCTTCAACAGAATCCAAACCTTTGAGTTGGTCGTGTGCTCCACACTTCCTTGCTTCTGAATCACCGATTGTGTCCTTCTCACGAATGAACGAAGTCGGTCACGGTTCGTGTAGTCGGTTTTGAAGCACGGAAACTTCTGGAGAAACGTGGTACGGTAGTCGGTCGAGCACGCACAGAACACGTAGAATTGAGAGGCGTGGTTTGTGATTTCGAGTAGATTGGCCATTGCTCGGAAGATTTGGTAGTCGAGCCTCTTTTTCAACGTCTATTAAAAAAAGTGGTTGAATTTCGTGTTTGTAGTTTACGAACCTCATCAATCAACAAAAGATTGATAGCAGCTGGAATGTTACAAACCAACGACATAAGTACGGTACCTCCAAGCATGTACATCAAGGTGTCATCCTAAAAAAATGTTGTCTCTCATCATGGTACCGTATGCTTATTTCCAAACCTTTTGTGTTCCTTGTTCTTTCCGTTTGGTGAGTTGTTGGAACATCTTTTGTCTTTTCCGGAAAGCCACCATAATTTGAATGTTCAACACAGTCAAGATAATGATGGGAAGGAACCGCAAAAATGCCTCTCGTGTCCACTTGTAAATCTAAAATTTCATGTTTCTTTTGTCAATTTTAGCGCTGGAGTTCCACACAAACCTGCCAATAGAATGTTGTGTAGATGGGATGATCATCCATCGAATAAATCGTGACGTTCTGGATGGGGTCGAACCTTTGCTTTCCTTTGTACCTTGTGATCGCGTAGGGTACGTAGAAGATGGCAGGAATGAGAAATGCGAGCATGATAGCTCTTGTCGCCCTCTGTGGGCTGTTCCAGGTGCGGAAGTGCATCGGAAACACAATCGAGATGTATCTTTCGAGCGAAAGAGCCACAACCACGTAGACCCCGGCTCCCAGGGCCCAATTGATGAGAGTGAGCATCAAGTGACACTGGTAGATCTGGTATAACTTGTACTGATTGATCGTTGATCCGTTCTTTGCAAGCATTTCAGTGGAAACAAAGATCAGCACAAAAAGCATGCATAACAGGTCCGCGACTGCCAGCGCCCTCAGGTACATGTATGACACCGCCCGTAGTCTCCTCGACGCGAGGACCATCAAGTTCGTGATATTTCCAACTATTCCTGAAAAAAAAAGCAATTCCTCTTATGGATTCTATCTGTCATTCTCTTTTTTTTCTGGATCATGTTCTCACAGACGTAATCTGATACTCATCAACAAAAACACGTTACTCGTACCCCCGCGCACACTTCTCAAATTGACCTGTGCGGGCGTACTTTGCTGTTCTCAGTTTTCACTTGACAAATCGGTTAATGAGTGACGACGCCCACACGAACAAAAAACTTCATATTTCTCGAGCAAACTATGGTAATGGTAACGGTCAGACATCACAGAGGTCGGGTTCAAAATGTTCTAATTGGCTCTATTCACAATGGCGCCCTCGCAAGTCCCGTTTGAGTCCGGGGTGGTAAATTTTCTTGTGATGTGTCTCTGCATACGTCAAACGACACACAGACACTTCCGACGGACCAAAAAATTGTCGATGTCGTTGAGTTGACAACAAACATGTGTGTTTGATGAGAAAACGGATGAGGTTGGTGTACTAGGAGAATGTATAAGTATAATAATATTATTTTATGAGTTCTCTTCCTTTCGGATCTTTGCACTTTGCACTTTGCACTAAAACCTAGTGGACTTTCATCTGGAGTGAATATTTGATGAGGTTAAGGTCATGTGAGATGACAATAGAGTGCACTGAACCTTCTCAATGAGCCTTGATGTCATTCTTCACATATTTATTATTTTGTTGACGATGTTGACTTCGTTGCACTTACCTATTGCACAAATACATGGCAGCACGTAGCAGTAGGCGATATTCCCCACGGTTGCCGCCGCGTTTGGAGAAGATGAATTGTTCATCTTCCTGAAAATTAATTGAAAATTAGTCTCGATGATCCGGAATCTGAAAGAATCAAATGAATGAATGGATCGATGATTGGAGAGTGCATCAAAATTCTAAAATCGGTCATTAAGGATAAGCCTGCTATGATCGAGTGCTCATATAAGATCTGGATAATCCTAATGTGCGCAATTCTTCTTTATCCGCCACTTGGTCAGATATTTCCATGGACAGGGAGGGAGAGAGAGAGAGAAGAATGAAGAGGATGAGGAAAAAACAGAGAAGAGGCTATAAAATGAACAATTCGATAGTGAATTGGAGGCAAACGATACTTCTATGTACTACAAAATATTTGGGCGACTGGGGAAATGTGGCGTGCTTTCAGAACTCAAAATGGCATTTAAAGAAACTGAGCGTGCGTTGGAGCACCGCCGGAAGGAAACTTGCGTTTGGCAGCTCGTTAGCAAGTCTCTTTGACCCAGACGTCTTCGGGCCCATCAGTGTCATCTCTGGCACATCATTGGAAAAAGGGACTTTGGCAGTCGTTTTTAGACTAGGTGATCCTCAGAACGGACGGATTAGCTATTCATGAAACAGCTAAGAAAAGAATCTGACGGGATGGATGGTTGACAAAAAGTGAATGGAGAGGTTCCACTAGAGTAGAATAGGTTTATCAACGTTTCGGATTGGATGAAAGGAAGGAAAAGGAAAAGGAAAAGTTTGCACGTTCTAGAAATGTTCCAGAATGAGCCTGACTTACCATGCTTGTAAGCTCAATGCCATTATTATTGCAACTTTACAGAAATATGAATACTCGGAAGAAAGATGAGCAATACAACAAATGTGCCACACTTGCCCGGCAAAGTCACGACGTCTTCGGGAGGCGTCTTCGGATAATAAGAGGTGAAAGAAGAGAAGAAGTCAGGCGGCTCCCGTCTTTCCTTTCGTTTCTCGCCTTTTCTCCGACAAGTCGCTGCTTTTTATTCCGTCAGTATGATACATAAGTGTAGTATATGTGGCAGCGTGAATACATATATTTCTGAGTGCCGTCGAGGTTCAAAAGGAAGCAACGAGGGTTTTTGCGTTTTTCGGTTGCTCGTGGTTTTGGGTCTAGCGCTGAATGAGCATGTTCAAGTGTGAGGACCGCACAATGCGCGAAGTGCAGTTCAATTGGCTCTTGTACAACTGAGAACTAGGACCAAAGCGAGAGAAAGAATAAAAAACGTTTGATCTGAGCACAAATGGTCGCTGTTCCGTCGAGAAATCTCGTCAAACGAGTGCTAATCAATGGCCGGGATGAAAGGAAATTGATGCCAATTTGAGACACAAAACGTGAGGATACGCGGAAGGAAAAAGTGCTCAAGAGTTCAAATCGAGTAGAATACAAAAAGAAAAACTTTTTCTGAAGACAAGTAGAATGAGAATATCAGTTAGTTTTAGAAAAAAGTGTATTACAGCTGTCAGGTCAAACCTCTCAAATCCAGAAAACTGGGTAAAAAGAGAGACAATGTTTCTATAACACGCAAACTTGTGTGCAGAATGTTTGTCGAGAGCAAAAAAACCGCCACACTAAATTGGAAAACCGGAATTGTTTTTACTAATTTGGAGCCGACCGGGCCGGGGAAAGTTTTGCTTTCAGGTTCTCATCAGGATACCGAAGGTGCCATGAGGGTGCTATGCAAAAGGATAAAGATATTTTTTCATCTGCTATGCGTTAGTCTAAAATCCGGACATAATCCGAAAGGAAAAGGTTTGGGGGGAGGCGTATCACTGCGTGTTTTCATATTATATGACTTGGGACGGAAGGGTTTGGTCTGAACATTTATATTACTTATGTGAGTCGTCAAAACGTTCTGTGTTCTGAAATATTACTGAACTTGATTTGACTTGACTTGCAAAAGTTCGGAGAAAAAATACAAACATACGAAAATCTGTTGGGATCTTTGAAGTTAGTCTAGGGGAATGTCGTACATTCGAGAAAAAGGACTCTTTGATAGACACGACGTCTCAGCACGACGCTTGTCACATTTCAAACTTGTCGACAGAACCCAAGGGGTCCAATGGAAATTGGCTCAGAAACCACATGTCAATATGGAAATTGCGGAAGTTCAGGTACCCGGAAACTCATCAGAACGCTATCCTTCTACTTTTGCGTCTCTTCACATTTTACTCCCACTTCTGGAAGTTAATTTTCGCGAAAAAAAACGTGCAAATTACAAAATTGAACAGATCCTCATTTTAAAAGAGTTGTTGACCTGTTCGTCGTCGAAAAAGCTGAGAAATGAGAAAAAACGCAGCAACGTTGTGTTTTGCCGGAAGCGGGTCAAATTGGGAGCCCAGCGAACACACAAAAACGTGTGAGGGTGTAGGAAGTAAGTACGAACGAATTAGACATGCTCAAGAAAAGTGATGGAAGGAAATAATTGAAAAGTAACAACAACGGAAGAAAAAAATTAAGGGTGCATATTTTGGTAATTGTTGAAATGAAATGAGTCGGTGGCTACCGTATAAATAATGGATGAGAAAGGGACAAAAAATTTGGCTAGCGAAACGTGCGCGGGGACTCAAAAAAGGGGACGATGAAAGACATGTTGGTTTGGAGACTTTTTTTGGGAAGAATCTTAACATACGGAAGTGATCGCCTAACTGACTTATCATATCAAAAGCTATGAGCCAGCTGATGTTTGGTGGAGCACACAGACTTGCCGGGGATTCGGTTGGCGGTGGTGTTGTGCGTTCAAAGTGTCGAACGACCCATTAAAATAACATTGCTTTTCTGATCCAAGTGGAACTCTCTGCCCCTCATGCTCATAACTTTTTGTGCTTTCCTATCTCTTCTCTATCTTATTTCGAGTTCATTTAATTTTCAGGAAAAGATGGGATACACTGATGTTTGGAGTCGAAGGTTTGAAGAGCATTAATTTGGATCCATTTTTGATCCGAGTTTATGTTTTCAAAAACGGATATAACTTTGCAATCTAGGCAAATAGTGAGCGGGAATGAAAAAGTTAACATTTCTGGAAGTGGATGCCACTGAGTTTCCCGGAAAAAGAAGACAAATGTGCTAAAACGGAAAACAATCTTGTTTGAAGTTTTCCCGGTAATGCATCGCTTTTAATTTTTCGCTAAAAATAGTGCATAAACCGAGCAGAAGTAAGTCGTTGAAAGTTCATTTTGCGAGGAGGGGAAGTGTGGAAAACAATAGCCGAGAGAGGAATGCAAATTGGGCCCAAAAAAGGTCTCGGGGATGGATTATGAAGCTCCCAAATACATAAGCACCGCCGAGGAGAAGCGAATTCTACGCGGAACATTTTCTGCAAAAGACGGGTAGGATGGGGGTAAACGAGGGCTTAGGGGAGCATAAGCATATCCGTGTCGATGGGGAAGATTTATTCCGAAAAATGAGGGGGCATCATCCGGTCGTGCCGATTTTGCTAGCCGTAATTTCCAATTTCCGGGATGAAATGATAAAAACAGTGGGGAAAAAGGGGAATTGACACCTTAAAATATCTGGTTATGATGTGGGGGTAAACTTTGTTCCGCGTATTTATAGAAAGAAGATGAACAGTTGTTAGTGTTTGATAAAATCAACTCTCGATAATTGGCCAATCTGGTAATGATTAGTGAGTCCGCCTAAACCAATGACTTTCGGGAGAGAAGAGAGGGGTAATTTCGTGTGGCTTAGTGGCCCGAACGTCGGCCGTTTCGAAGAGAAAAGAGGATTGGATATATGTTTATGTACACAGTTCAAAACAGAGTACTCGAACGGCATTCGCTTTGCAAGGAACGTGCGAGGATCCATTTGCAAGCAGGGCCATCAGACCTCCTACACTTCGAGCCGGAGATTATGGAAATCCGGTGAATGGGGAAAACGGACGGGTTTGCAGATTAGAAAGGTGGTAGTAAAGGCACAGAAATCATAGCAGAGTCAGCTTTTAGCCGGCCATTCATCATTTGGCGGTGTGTAAATGTGAATGCGTTGGGAATGTGCCCGAAATTGTGGGGTCCACATTTCACCGAATGATTTACGCAACATCACCAATCATTTCTCGCGTGTGCTCCTGATCTCAGGGTAAAAACTAGAAATTGGGTTAGAATTTAGGGTTGGTCATCGAAGAAAAATGTGTTATCTAGGATGCTACCGCGTGCTTGAAGCATCATTTGATAAATTTGGAAAGTTTTAGGTATTCATCTCAGGTATCATTGACTAGTGACCAAGGATGAAGCCAAAGCCAAGAGCGTTCTGAATACTCCCTTGAGCCCTCGGTCAGCCACGCACAGCTTTACGTACACGTAAATATATGCTGAAATTATTTCCGTCGTCCCGACGTCAACATGTGTACTACTAATACGTTGCCTTTCTGGGTTCCCGAATGTAATGAGTAATCTCGCCGCGAAACTTCCAAACTTTTTGCATTTTCTGGAGGGCCGTCACAAAAACACGCGATCTGATGGAATTTCGAAAGATGAAAGGAAGAAAGAGCAGGGGGTAGAAATTGAAATGAGATGAAAAATTGAGCAAAAAGCGAAAGGAGAAGAAGATGGGCTCTCAGTGTGTGCCGCAAATTTATGGTAGGTGCTTGCTTCACCGAAAAGACGGAAAAATGCCTGCCCCTCAGCAAAAGATAGGGGAGGATAAAACGTTTTTTACGAGAAAGTGCACCCGCAAATCCTTCAATTTGTAGCTTTGCTTACGATTCCAATTCAAACAAGTATTGTTGTGTCGGAAATGCTGTTTTTGGATGTGGATGCCCTTTTGTATACCTTTCCGATTACCCAGAGGATTTCTGAATGCACTTCGAGTCTAGACAACCTTTTGAGACTATCAGAACTTCATAATTCACATAAAAAGTCAAAGACCTGCTCCCGGGAGGCTGCTCACATGAAAATAAAGTCTAGACTGGAAGAGAAAGGGGTCGAGTCAGATGCTTTGGGCAATATGCCGATGGTGAGCTAATAGGATTGGTTTCCGGTATGATTTCTAGTTTTTACGGACATTCTCATGTTCGGAAATGATTTTTTTTCGGAGCTAACTGGTACAGGATCTGTGAAAATCGGAGCAGTAGGAATAAAATGAGAGTGCCAGTTTTCACTCTCCCAAAGGGCCACTTCCATTCGAGAAACCCAGAAAGGACAAATAATTTTTGTTTCTTCTCAGAACCGAACCGCTGCTCCATTCTTTGACGTAGACAACACATAAGGAACCGTTGCCGATATTTCGGAGAGCCAAAAACAAATTAGACATTCAGAACTGACCTCAAAAATGGGCAAAAAAAAGAGAAATTGAGTGGTAAGCAAGATTTTGTGCGGGTTTATACGGGGGAAACGAAGGTGAAGTGAGGAAAGAAGATTGGTTGAGGTGTGTACAAAAATTGAATGGAGAGAAGGTTTTTTATGATCGAGCTTTGATTTAATTGGTTTTCTGCATCAGACGCTTCCACCTCCACCTCCACCTCAACCTCCCAGTTTCCAGTTGTTTGCTCTCAATCTCATGATTCATTTTGAATAAACAGAAGAACCAAGGGAAATAACTGAAAATTGAAAACGAGAAACATGAAAAGTTGCTCAATCTCTCAAAGATTATTGCGAAAAAAAGAGGCGAGAAAAATAGACACTGAACATTGAGGATATTGAGTTTTTTCTGCCCGCTTTTCGGTGATGTCAGTTTGAAACTTTGCAACTCTTGGCGAAGGACATGCGAAATTGAAATGAGAATCGAGGTGGATGATGTGTGGCAAGACTTTATTGGATCTCGATTCCTTTCCCTTCATCTTTGGGGGGTCGAAGCAAACATTCGCATTTGTCTATATATACATACAAAAGAATGATGAAGAATGGGAGAAAAAGGGAAGCTGATTGGATTTTTTTTTGTATGTTTGTATGGGATTGGCCTAGGTTTTATGGGCGACGGAAAAAAAACGGGAGAAAAGGAAGACCTGCAAAATGTATGTGGTTTCTGATGTGATGCACGTCTTCTAATCGAAGTGAGTTGCCTTTTCTTCTTCACCCACGCCCCGAAACAACTTCTTGCCTATCCCCTTAGCCATCGGGACCGATTTGCATATGTTAGTGAATCATGTGCTTTCGCACAATTCCACACGTAGTAGTAGTCCACTTCTTCGAATGGTCACTTACTCGGTACAGAAGTTGTTTGTGCTGATGTGATGTGTAGATCAAAGTCAGGAAGTGTGTGAGGAAGACAATTCCGATTCGGAACGCTAGTCTGTCGGGGCGCCTCGGCGCCAGCGGAATATCTGAGTTCGCGTGACCGACAGTAGTCTCTGAATGTGCCGACAAGAGGGAGAGAATGAGAAAAAATGTTTGCTTGTTTGAATGCGTCAGGCAACTAGCCTAACTAGGAACATTTATCGCATGACATGACTGTCCTCCTCTCTCACTTTGTGTGTGTCACACCGGAAAACGTCTTCCGATTGGGGTTGGGGATGGGGGAAGACTCAAAGAAGAAGAAGAAGAAGAAAAAGAAGAAGAAGAAGAAGAAGAAGAAGAGGGGAAGAGGGGACAAGTCGTCAGAAATTAGCCGCCGTTTCACACTGGGATGTGGATGTGTGACCCATTGTCATCGCGTCTAGTCTGCGAGCATAATTTCTATGCTAATTTTTTGGGGAGTGGATCTATGGTGAAACATTTTTCATGAAAAGTCAAAGAATCGGTGTCCAAACTGACAAAACTCGGGAAAATAAGTCTAAGTGCGAAAATGGTTCGCATAATAAAGCCGATGTCTGAATTGTGGACGTTTTCCCGAAATGGCCACAAAAACGAGCCCCGCGGGCATCTTTTTCCTTCTTTTTCTGAACAACTCTCCTTAAAACCACTCGTCATCATAAATTTCGGAGGACATCTTCTGTCGCTTCAGGAACTACCAATAACTTGTTGTTGCAAAGACAGAGGTTGAAAAATAGGGGAAAAAGGTGAAAAGAGCGAACGAGAGCGGAGATGGATTGTTGTACGCTACGTTACGTGATATAATGGAAATGTGGAGCCGGAAACCGCTGGTTTTCCCATGTTTCATTGAACCAATCAGCCAGCCAGCCAAACTCTTTTTATAGTTCTTCCGGTTTTGTGAGCTTTGGCTCCACCAATCAAAATATTTGGCCTAATGAGAGATCGAGTTCGTTAAGGACTTTTTCGGGTTGTTCTCATTATGTTTTTACACATGTCGCTTCAGGTTTTGATTGGTGATTAGCCTCCGAACCTTTGATCTTTCTGAAAAAAGTTGGAGGGGTTACATTTTTCTCAGGATTTTATTAGCTACTATGTTACCAAAAGCGTGCACATCGGCTTAAATAAATTAATATTCACAGGATGCTAAAACAGCGATAAATTTGGTCGGTTTTTTCAAACAGGTTGTTTTTGTACCAATTACAAATGAACTCGGGTATTTCGAAAAGAGTGAATGGAAATGTGGAAACAATTTGAATGATGTCCGTTGAGTTGGGAAAATGTTTGACGATGATATAAGACACGCTGCGAAATTAATCGAAATCTGAAAATTTTGAGTAAATACGAAAATTTTTCTGGGAAATTCTTACCTTTGAGGAATTTATATGTTGAGCGTTCTGGATTTTTTCGACATTGGAGCATCTTCATCATCTTGGTGCCTGGAGCTGCATCCAGGTTGTTGTTGTTTGGTCGCTTTTTTGGGCGAAGAGGAGCTGTCCAAGTTGAGCTTCTTCTTGAACATGGCGCGAATCGCCTTTAATCCTGTTTCAGGTTCAGCCGGCACGGCTTTGGCTCGGCGTGAACTGCTAGCGTGATATCTAGCAAGAAATCCGTCCAAGTCATCGATACTTTCCAAGCTTTCACCCAGAAATCTCTTGATTCGGTTTGAATTACCCAGAGAGTATTGTGCACCTTGATGGCTGGAACCTTGTCCCCCATTTGGCGATTCCGGTCCACTGGAACTTCCAGATCCATTTCCAGATTCTCTTCGATAGCCGGGGTCTTCGAAAATACCACTGCTTCCCGCAGAAGACAGATTGCCAGAACTGCCCGGTCCACCAGGTCCGCTTCCGTTCGGTCCATCTGGTCCTTCGGAGTCCGATTCGCTTTTCTTGGCACGTCCTAATGGTCCTCCATCAATTTCATCATCAAATGGTTCTGGAGCAAGGTGTGGCTCACCCGGAGGAAAAGTTATCTTGAAGTCGGTCGAGTACTCGGGGTGACGGAGGATATACTGAAAAAGCTATTGTGTGTCTACAATTATCACATGTGAAACCTACTTTGATCACATCCAAGTTGTAGAAAGTTGCTATTTCATACTTCTCGCTAGCTGGAATTACTTTCGATTTGAGCATCGCCACCTCGATGTAGCGTTTGACGATGGGACAGATCCAGCCATCAGCCAGTTGGAGGACGGATGCATAGGTGTCCGGGTTCAGGGCAAGGGAGCGGTGCCAGAGAATTGCAAGGACTTGGAGGACAATGTCCGACGGAGCATCCACACTTGCCGTAGTTCCGCCGCAATCCGAGAAATGTGAACCATAGAATCGACTTTTGAGCATCTCTGAATGGGTGCTCAAGAACTGAAGGCATTACTTTAAATCACTGAAACTGTCTGAATGTCACAGACCTCTCGATTAATACCAATTTGCTTGCCATCCTGGCACAACAGCCATCCGTCGACTACTCCGGGCATTGTCATCACTGGCTCCGGACTTTGTTCTGGCAGATCCGCAATATCTTCCGGTTCGCCTCTTTCAAAGTTTTCGAAATTCGGAACGTTGGTTCCATACTGAGAAACCGTTCCAACGATAACCAGGTCTCCGGCTTTCAACAGATTCATGCTCTCTTCAGGGATTGTTCCAATGACAAGACACAAAGATCTCTGGTTGTCGTGAATGGTACGGTACCCTTGGCCCGAGTAGACTGGGACACCTTTCGTCAGCAGTTCCACTTTCGCCGACATTTTGAAGAGACTTCCTGCTGGCGGTTGGAATATCAATCCGGCCAGAAGCATCCAGTTGTCGTGGCATGACTTTTGGAACTGGATCGTCATTTGGCTGCAAATTTGTTTGTCAATTCCGTACAAATCCTCAATTTATAGCTCACCATTTGACTGTCGAACTGTCTTCAACGTTTTGGATTTGGTGTCGGGCGAGTGGGTCGTCCAGATTGATGCGTAGACGGAACTGGCGGATGATCGTTCGCTGGTGAGCCACTATTTTAGTTTCCGGTTCTTCCTGTAATTAACATTTGGTTATAGTCACTGTTATTTTATACACGTACAAAAACTTTAAAGTGTTGGTAGAGGGGAAGCATCGTTCTGGTCATAAAGTCCAAGTCCGTGTCCGCTCTGTCCCACTGATCCCATCTCGTCGTGAAACCAAGCTTGAAGCCGTTTCTGAGAGCAATGTGGAACTGGTCCTGGCCAAAGAACCAACGATGGAACAGAACGGATGCAAACTCATAAAACGCGTCACGTTCTCCAACGGAAGCCACGCTCGCAATCAGATCATTACGGAGCTTTGACAGCTTTCTGTTCATATTTTCGAGATCCGATGCACGCAGTCGGAGGCCTCCTTCTTTTCCGTGGGCGTACCAGCTCGTTGAGAGTGGCCACATCTGATCGTTCCAATCAAACTTTGGAACTTCCACCACAGACTCGATGCTCACCGACATCCAGTGAGAACATTGGTAGCCCTCGGTTTCTCTGAACAGGCTTTGCTAAAAGCGGAATTAGGAATGTCAAACTTTTGCAAAATTTGGCTTCCTAATGACTAGAAAGCTACACCTTTTTAAAAATATGTTTCTATTTCTGTGTGAAAAACTTACTTGACTTGAGCAAACGCGTAGATATTGTCAACTCGAATGCTTCGGCGATTCTCATCGAGACACACCCGGTTGAGTTCGTTGTTGAGGCCGACGTCGAAAGTGTCGTTAGTGGTCACTTTGCACTCGACCATGTAGAAAGTGTTCGGTTGCTGGCCGTTGCACGTTATCATAACATTGATGTTTTTGATGTTTGCGGCGTAGTCGTGGGAACGCCAGATTGCAGTCCTTGAAGAAAAAGAAAGTTTTGAAAAAAGTAGTGCAGGACAGACTTGTCAGATCCTGGGCAGCACTTTTTTTTTTTTAATATTTTACAGTTGATCAAGTCCGGTGCAACAAACTGACCAGGTCAGTCCGTCCTTCTCCACCGACTTGGTTTGCGGTTCAGTGTCTTGAGTCGAAACGAGACAAAGAAGACGCAACGGATAGCCGGGTTGGAACACTCGTTCAACTGTACTACTCATGATGACTTGGAGAGCATCCACAGAGTCTGAAAAAGAAAATGTGAGGTTTGATTATCACATACATGAGAGAGAATAGCCGAGAGAACTACAGTGGAGGCAGCGGCAGGAACCACGCTCCGTTCTGATCGGCGGATTCTATTAGGGCGCACCTGGTTCTTATTACTTCGGCTGAGAAGACTATGATTTGAAGCAAGAAGGGAAAGGGATGGTTTGTACCTGAAATATAAATGAAATATAATACCAATAAGTGAAAATGTTTCGAGAAAACGGTCCGAGAATGAAGAGAAAGAGAGAATCGGGGCATCATTGGAAACGATTCAACATTCTGAGCTCCGGAACATTGCGAGCAGCTGTTGCAAGAAACTCTCAGGCAAAGAATAATTGAAATCAAACAGCGGAGACCGAACAACTGGGCAGAGATGGATGCTTGATAGCAAACATCGAGTGATACACGGCGGTTCATCGAGAGACAGAACATCAGAGACACAAAACCGATGGTGTGGCGAGGCAAGTGCGAAAATCGATCGGGCGGCGGCGGCGGCGGCGGCCACGTTGAACCGGCCCAAATGCGGCGATGAAGAGAGACCCCAAGGTTCCAATCGCGCCGTTCGAAGAAGAAGGAGAGTGGCGGCGTGGCGTGGCGGCGGGCGCCAGACAGCAGGTGCCCGCATCTCTCCCCGCGGCTTGCTCTCTCTCTTTCTCTTTTTCTCTCCCTGTGCACACTCTCACTGGCTCGGCGGAGGGCCAAGCGTAGACGGCGGCGCAGGGTAGCAAAGCGAGTTTCTCTATATGACGACGTGGTGGAGAGAGAAAGAGACGGTATGGGCTTGTCGACAAGGCGATATGGGCGGCGAGAAGAACACGACACATTGTATGAACGCAATTATTTTATTTATGATACAAAACTACCAAAAAAATGTATGTGCACGAATGGGGTGGCAAAAATGAATTGTAGCTAAAACAAAGGAGGGGAAATGAAAGCGGGAAGCTGTAAGCTGGAAGCCATGGCTGAAAATTGTGAAACCTGGGAGAGAAAAGAGAAAAATTTTAACAAACATAGATAATTGGTCTCGCCGAAAAAGATCACAGGAATAAAACTAGTTTAATTAAGAAAGGGGTACATAGTGATGATAATCAGCGCCTAGACATTGTGCGCCACTTCTGAGAAATATGGTGCGTTTTGATTTTGAATGGCTTCATAGCGGGAGCGCGGCGAGGAGAATTGAACGGCCGACAGCTCGCGCGTCTCTGGTGGCGGAGTTTCAGGGCAGTGCTCGATGTCGGCGATGATCGAGACGGAGAGGATGAACTTCTCTCTGAAAAACAGAGTGATTAGGCGGCAAGACGCGCATTTCTAATACCTTGGCTCATATCTTTTACACAAAGCGATTAGAGACGGCTCCTTTCTCTCGGCAATCAGAGCATTGACGGTGTAGTAATAGAGAAGTTGGTCATTTGGATAACTGGTCAGTGCTCTCCAGCCCTTGCTCACGTACGCCTGGAAAATGGACTTCAGTCAGAACTCAAAAATAGTCCGATCTGTCAAACCTGAGCCAACTGTGGAGAGGAAAGTCGAATGTTGACACTTCCGCGGCCACTGGCTGAGAATCCGTCTCTGGCCACTTTCGACATGAACGCTTGGGCTTCTTCGTCTTCACGGACCTTCATGATCACATCTTTGCAGAGAGTGTTGATTCTGGCAAAAGAGCATCTTCCCGAGTGACTTGGCCAGTTGTTGGCTCTGAAAATAATCGATAAATGAAAAAATAGATGTGCAAAATACTCACCGGCATTCACGAGAACAGTAGTAGGTGTAACAGTGCTTACAAGAGACGAAGGAAATTCTGGCGGCCGACAGTTCGCGGGTTCTGTGACATTGGGTGCATCGCACGAATAGCTCCTCGTTTCTGAACAATCTCTGTTAGTTTTCTGACATTTACACTGTTTTTTTAACTGTAGAATATGCTCGGCTCTTTCTGGCGACTTCAGAACTTGGCGCATCACGTTGTAGTTGTTAGTGTAGATCCCGGGACCATCAAGGTTTCCTTGAAACACTTCGTCGGCTTGTGGGTAACTGAAAAAGTAGCGAAAGTGGAAGAAGACCTTGTTTTCTTTACTCACCTTCTATCCACGTGTCTTCTTGGATCAGTAGGCGTCACTTTTTGGAAAATCGAATCAAGAACTTCTTCGATAGTCACACGACCGCCGTATCGATTGGTGAAGTTACCTGAAAATTACTGTGAACTCTCATAAATCGTAAGAATCGTTGCTTATTATCAGAGACTGTTTGCATTTATATCTCTATATTTTTATATCTCTATATCTCTCCACAAGTGCATTGCAAACATCGTTTGGAAGACAGGGCGGTCCAACATAATAGAACTGGGCAGAATAGAACCGCGACATAATAGAACTACACATAATAGAACTGCGCAGAATAGAACCGCGACACAATAGAACCGGCGACAATACAACTGTTTGGAGTGCCTTTTAAACCTTTCTGTAGAATAATTGTTTTGTAGAAAAAGATAATTTTTGAATCTCGTGATCGATTTATTGCATTCATTAATTTCACTTCCGTCGTGATCCCTCTTCTCTACGGTAACGAAAACCCACAGAAAATAATTTTATTGTACTGTCAAAAACGAATGAATTTAATTTTCTAGGTATAAACTGTGGTTTAAACTCTGCTTAATTGTTCGAGAGAGAAGGAACGAACAAAATGCTCATATAAATACACAAAAACAGTTCTATTATGTCGCGGTTCTATTGGGTCGAGGTTCGAAGACAGACCTACCGTATTCGTGAGAAGAAGTGCCGACAAAAGTGTCGGCGACCTCGACGACGCGAGAAGTGCGGCTAGTCTGCAAGTTCCACGCATTCGGCACTTCCGACACTGTGTAGCCCGGAAGAGCGCGTCCTTGGTCTCCGGCGGCGGCGGCGACACTCAGCGTGGATCCCTGAAACAAATATTGCGTACAATGGAATCGAGTAACACTTTGGGTTTATGATGAAAACCAAAAATTAACTGAACCGAAACACTTGCATGTAACGTACCTTTTGCATCACAAAACTGTCTGAAGAGGGGGGAAAGCGCGTTCATGCATGGATAGGCTTGACGACCAGCTGTTTCTTTTTCTTTCCATATTTATTGAGAAAATTGTTGTCACAAACATCAATCACAATTTGATTACCATTATTCAATTTCCCTAAAAACGTGAATGCAAAGGGAAGGAGAGGAATAACATGCGGGTAAGGGTAGACGGTGGGGGCAGGGTACAAGCGTAAACGTTGACAAGACAATATTGGGTCTTGAGCAGTTGAAATGGGTGGGAGGGAAAACAGAACGGAAACGAAAAGGGAAGAATGTATGAATCGGGGAAAAATGCGTGGTGATGGATGACAAGAGGAAATTAACATTATAGCGCAACAACCTGACGGTTGACTTGCTCTTGACCCACATGATGAAGCGACGAACGCGAACGACGCAGCTCCTCGATATCATCACGGTATCTGTCGAACATGCCACGTGGAAGTCCGATGCCACCTCCAGATTGTTGTTGTTGCTGCTGATGTTGCTGCTGATGTTGCTGATGTTGCTGATGTTGCTGCTGATGTTGCTGTTGCTGTTGTGGCTGTGGCGGAATTGGTGGTGGCTGATAGTGGCTCACTCCGCTGATGTTAGTGCTCACTGGATCAGGTCCGTTGGTGTGCGATTGGTAGCGATAAGTGCTGGAAGATGCTCCGGCTTGTGGTCTGTTCTCGCGATACCAATCCGGAACAGTCAGCTTTTCGGTAGACTTGCGGAAGCGCATTTCATATTCCGAGATGCGAGACTCGCGTGGAGACTGGTCGTGCGTCTCAACACGAGTCTTTTGGAGTTGATTTTCTGGCACTTCGGTTTCCTCACGGATTCTGGAAAATTGTTCGTTTGAAACAGAAAAATTGAATCTACGAAACTGACCTTCTGTCCATGAGGTAATCGGCAGAACGGCTTCTAATGTGAGCCTGGTCGGCCGGCGATTCACGACGGCTCTCACGATCATAGGCAACAACCGACTCGGCACGAGTATTGATTTCAGTATGCTGAAACGATTTTTTTGTCCAAAGTGCCAAGAAGCCATGAATTCTAAATATGAAGAGAGAAAAACGGGGACCCAACAGACGTACAAAACCACAAGACAGGACCCATTAGCAAGCAAATGAAGAAAAAGCAGTGGAACCAACCTTCGGCTGACCATAGCTATCCTGATAATAAGCACGACTCGACTGATAAATTGCCGGGTTGCTGGCACGGCTATTGTACTGCGCGTATCGTCTCTCGGTCTCTTCCAGAAGCTTCGCGAACGGCTACAGTTGACAAATATGATGTACTTAGCGGATGAATTGAAGCGAGGGTGAAACGGGGGAATTGAGGGAGTTAACACAGGTTTTGTGGTACGGGGTATTACAGATTCGGGTAAGAGGGACACCAGAAACTGACCTGTTCGTAAGGACTCGGTCCCATTCGGCGGTACGGAAGACCATCGGTATCATTGAGTGCAGTCGTGCGGAACTCCGACTCGTGGAATTTTTGGAGAAGTGGACCACGATATTCCGGACGGGAACGGGTGGTCAGGTCGTCGGTGGACTTGCGGAAACGCTCACCGACTGGATCTGAAAATTAGTTGGTGCTTTTGGCTAAAAATGTTTTGTTTTTAAGAACGTTTCCCTAATAGTGGTCGAGAATTGGGGCTTAATGAGTTCTGTCTGGGTTTGTGTGCCTTATCGAATAATTTTTGAATTTTGCAATTTCTGGCCGTTAGTATTTCAAATCAGACATTTCCCTTGCCAATAGAGCCTATTTACATTAAAATGTTCCGATGCATGCAAATCTGTAACCAACCTGAAAAACTCTGGCACAAATAACCACATGTTCCAAATCCAAACCATTCAAATTTTCCCAACATCACACATTTTCACCACGTACAATTCTTCAACAATGTGCTCAGTTTGTTCGTTGTCAGGTGTCTATTTGTGAAAACGCATCGCAATATCAAAACTTTTATCAATACAAAATACATTGACAAAACGCATTTCAAATCATCAGAAGAAAGGAAGAGAAAGAGAGAGAAAGAGAGAGAGAGAGAGAGAGATGATGATATTGAGTGGATTGAATAGTGGATATTCTTTTCAGTTAATATCTGATATCGTGTTCGAAATAAATCGGTTGTAGGATGATTTGAGGGGGGCAGTGAAAGAAAAAGAACAGAAGGCACACACACTCTCACGCAGGCAAGCGCACACTCTTCTAAGGGATGAGGGAAGAAAGAAAACTATCTTGAAAAAAGGAAGGGTGAGGTTTTGTTCTGTCAAGAAAACTAAAGATATGGATTGGATTCTAGAGGGTTGATTCACAAAAAAATGAAGAACTGGCTGCTTGGAAAGAGATTGAATTTTGATCGAAGAAAGCCTAATGGATGAGTCGAGGGATTAATGAAGAAGCTGGTTTTTATAGACGACACCTGATTATCGATCGAAAAAAGGAACAAAACTGGAGAGGGCACGCGTTTTTCGTGTGCTTTTTGTTCAAATGTTGTTGTGTGTACGTGGTTGCAAATGGGTGATGTTTTCCCCACACATGATTTTCGAGTTCAGACTTTTTCGTGGTGAGCTGAGTTAGACAGTAATGACGAGTTGACATGCTAGTGGACAAGGACAAATGAGACAAGAAACAAAACGAGAAAACGTATTCGATTTCAAGCTGCTGGTCCGGTCCCAAAGTTAGTTGTTCGTGCGTTTGTCAGTAATCAGTAGTTGGTGTTGGTCGGATTGAATGAAATGGGAAAGGGAAAGAAGAGCCAAAAAAGCTTCACATGGAACATAACACTGGGGAGAAGAGGAAAAAAGGGAAGGATGGGGAGCAGGAGCAATCAATGTGCCGCGAAAACAAGTAAATGAGAGAAAATACAAAAATGACACAGAGGAAAAGAAAATCGATCGGCATCTAAAACGTTATGTAGAAGTGTAAGCGGACGACATAACAAACTACTAGTCGCATGGTGTTGTGTGTCTAGCGAGTTTACATGTTTCATGCCAGACCTGCGGTATCCTGAGATGAAGAGTAGAAGTCACGGCGGGCGCGGTCGAGCTTGGCGCGGTGGTAACGGCTTCTGAACGTCAAGTTACACATCTTCAGCGAGGCGCATTTCTTCTCGATACCTGCTAGATCCATTTCTGTTCAAGTCGTTTGGGTTGTACATGCGGTCACGGGTGATATCGTCGTTTTCCAGATATCCGATGGCGCTCTGACTTGGCGCGTATGGAACATCCTCAACCCACATGTTGCGGTCAATTCTTTCAATGACTTGTCTCTCGACCTTCGTGGTCACTTCTGGCTCGCGAGTGGTCGTGTAGAACATTGGCTGAGTGAGCTTGGCGAGAGTCTCGCTGCTCAGAAGATGATTCTTCTTCTTGTTCATAGCCTCCTTCTCGGCCAGAAGTCTTCTTTTCTCAGCTTCAAACTTCTCCTTCTCGCTTCTTTCACGCACCAGAATGTCCAACTTGTCCCTCGATCTTCTGTCATCAAGACGACGAGCAGCTTCACGATCGGCCGCTTCTCTTCGCTCATTTTCACGAATCTGCTGGTTGCGGCGTTCGCGGTCACGGAGATCGGCAAGTTGAGCTTCCTCAATGGCACGTTCACGGTCACGGCGATCTTTCTCGTGGAGTTCCAACTCGGAAAGCTCACGGGCTCTGCGGTCGAGCTCTTCGCGGTCGCGTTGAAGGTCCAGTTCAGCGTTGCGCTGAGCGGCACGGGCAACCGATTTTCTCTGAAGGTCGTTGAGACGAGCGATCTCTTCCTCTTCTTCTTGTCTTGAAAATATTAGTTTATGAAATAATCAGGCCGGAATTTTGTGGGGTACCTTCTTTTACGCTCTCGTTCGGCAGCATTGCGGCGTTCCTGCTCACGTCGCTCTCGTTCTCTGCGCTCCTCTTCTTCGCGTTGTCTTTCACGTTCCAGCTCTTCAAGTCTTTCACGTTCACGAGCTTCCTTCTTTCTTCTGGCAGCATCGAGAAGCTCCTGCTCTCTGCGCTCCTCTTCTTTTCTAAAAAATGACGCTTTAGAATCTGTTCTGGTTTTCTTATAAAATCTATGTACCTTTCACGTTCTCTTCGCTCAGCATCAGCACGTTCCATATCGATTCTCTGCTGTTCAAGACGGATTCTTTCCAATCTCTCTTGTTCCTCACGCTCTTGTCGTTTGCGGAGGCGTTCACGCTCCTCGGCCTGACGCTGAACATCGGCTACCAACTCAGCTTCACGGCGTTCCTCTTCGCGACGGCGCATTTCGCGAGCCTCGTCTTCAAGACGTTGACGTTCACGTTCTTCAGCTTCACGACGCTGAAGCTCAAGCGCTTCACGCTCCCGAAGTTCCAGCTCACGACGTTCGCGCGCCAATCGCTCCACCTCCTCACGCTCGCGGAGAAGTCTCTCCTCCTCAACCTTTGCTTTTTCACGTTCTCGGCGTTCGCGTTCGACGCGTTCCCTCTTGATTCTTTCGATACGTTCAATCTCGATCCGTTCTCTTTCGATTCTTTCCCGTTCGATACGTTCTTTCTCCAGACGTTCTTTTTCACGACGTTCAGCTTCGAGGCGCTCTCTTTCAAGACGCTCTTTTTCTCTCTGAAGACGTTCCAAAGCCTTTTTTTCTTCCTCGGCTTTCTCTCTGTCAATTCTCTCTTTTTCAAGAGCGCGACGACGGGCAAGTTCTGCTTCCTCGGCACCCAAACGTTGCTCCTCAAGACGTTCCCACTCGGCACGACGCTGCATCTCCTGCTTTTGACGGACAAGACGGTCCTGCTCGATGCGTTCCTTCTCGGCACGTTCGCGCTCGGCCAGGGCTCGCTCGGAGAGGTTTTGTCGCTCGAGAAGACGTTGCATCTCTTCGCGAGTTCTCTGGTCAATCAGTCTGCGGGTCTCCTCCTCGCGAGCACGACGGTCCAGTTCCTCCTGCTGCCGACGGGACTGATCTTCTCTGATACGACGTTCGTCCTCCTCAATGTCGCGATGATAGGTTACCTATAATAACGCGACCATATAATCTTTTCCCTTATCGTTCTACCAACCTTGTAATCGACGGTCTTCTCCTCGCGAGTTCTGCCGTCACCGCTGGTGGTCGTGGTGGTGTACGGCAGATATCTCTCCAGAGGTGATGTTGGTCTTCCACCAAGAGGAGTCTGAAACGGATCTTTGAGGCGTCAAAAGCAAACATCAGGTCAGGAGAGGAGGCTCTTGCCAAAGTACTACTTTTCTCGCTGGCAAACAGATAAAAAAGCACGACTAGGGTTACGTATGTCTAGTAAATAATCAGAAAACCACAATTCAAATCAATATGCAAATGTGGAATGTGTGGAAATACAATTTTTGAATAGAAAAGGGGAAGCGGAAGCGGAAAGTAGGAAAGCGGCGGATAATAAAAGTTTTATAGTATTTGACTGCAGCGCCCACCGGCCTACGGAAATTTTTCTTCATAATACAACAATCTCAGTCTCACCTGCGACAATGCCTCCGTGCTTCTGGTGATAATCGTTCTCGTCATCACTTCACGGCGGTAGTACTCGTCCTGAAACGAAAAAGAATGAGAAGGAGGGAATGTGGCAGTTGGCAAGGCGAGAGGGGTGGGAATGAATGCGCATGTACACAACTTTTTATGATAGGTCGACACAGAGGACTCGCAAACAGTTTCAATTACAGAATGCGAGTCGAGGAACAAATATGACAACTTTTTCGCGTCAGTGTGCGTATTTGTGAATGTCATGAACACAAAGCTCAATGAGAAAATGTTCTATTCACACACAGAATGTCAAAATCACAGTTGGAGACCAAGTCCACTTGATTGAAATTGCAAAAATTTGGAAGGGAAACCGAAAACCGAAAGGTAGAGGGGGGATGTTGACCATGATTTGAAGAGTGACACGAGAACCCCTCCCATTGTCTTTGGAAAACTGGATCTCAAAGTTTGTCAGTGGAAGGCACGTTAACCAATCGTAAAACACTGACTACCCCCTTTTTTCACTCGAGAAACTTGTAGCCGCATGGCCCGCGTGTACTCACCCGCCCTACATCAGTTACACACTCTTGTAGGTACGCAGTTACTAAGAAGCAGTGCCGCTTGCTCTTTCTCTTTCGGTTACCGGTGAGCTCGAGCTCCTCTCTGTTTACCTAGCATTAGAACAACGTGTATGCACAAAACAGATGGAATCGGGTCCCCCCCCGCCAAACAAGCAGACTTACCGATGGAGTTTCAACGTGATGGTAGGTGGTGGTGGTGGTCGCCGGCATGATGCGGTAGTCGAAGACGCTGCCGTGCGATGGTGCGGTCGACGGCGCGCGATGCACCGGAATCTCGCGGACCGTGGAACGAGACGTGGCGTGTTCCGAAAGAAGGTCTTCGCGAGACGAGCTGATCGACTGAAAAATGGCACAGGATTAGATTTTGAAGCAAATGTTTCAAGTGCGAGATGATGAGAACATTCTGCTAATGATCATGTTTCAATCGACTACCCGTTTGTATTATAATCATTGGACTGGAAATAAAAACTGGGTTTGGACTCGGTTTTATGTGAGACGGCAAAGCCTATCAATGCCAATGGACTTTTAATTATGTACATTAAATTACCGGGTGTTGCACTTTTGCGGACATGACGTTGGCAGGAGGAATGAGGAATACGAAAATGAAAGAAAGAGCCCTGCGACAATGAGATAATATTGTTAAGCCGGACGAGTCGGTGTGTCCCTCGTCCGGTCCTAGGTTGATAATAACAAGGTGTCGACTGCGGACGAGCAAAGGGTAAACATGAAGAAAGAGAGTGTTGCCCATGAAGATTCTTGAAGGGAAAACTGGACAATGACCGCCCGCACGGCACTGTATTACTAGTTTTTTTGTGAGCGGAGCGACGGATGTAACGGATCTTGTTTTATGTGAAGTCGTTCGTTTTAGAGAAGATTTATGTACGAGAATGGTGGAGTGTGTCAAGAAAGCGATTATATCGAAGAACGACTTGAGGATTTCGGGATCAGATCAAAATTCATGAAAGGAGGCCGGGTGAGGCCAGACAGAAAGATGAAGATGAAGATGCTGTGTAGTAAGTACACTTGAGAGGAAACCCATTTGAGGAGGCAAAAGGAGAAGGGAAGGGTCATAATGTCCTTGACGCCAGACGAACACGCCAAACCAATCCGAATGTTCGGGGTCACACGCACCATCCACCACCACCACACCTAGAAAAGCCCCACGCTGCTTTACTACTACTACTGCCACTACTACTGGCTGGTATTATTGTTGAGAAAGAAGAGATGGTGGGAAGAAACATTCCGCGCGGAGCGAGCGGCCAACACACATCCGACGGTCAAATACCCGGCGAAGAGGAGGGCGCGCGCGCACTAACTAACCTATGCAATTATGCACAAGATACATGCATTCTACGGAACGGTCCGACTGGTGGTAGAGTAGAGTGCGCGAAAACAAGAGGCAAGTGGTCGAAAGTGAGTAAATATGCAGGTTTCCACTGGGTCCACCATTACATTTGATTATGATTGCGGACCATAGCCGATATTTTGCTTTTCTTTCTCTTCATACACTACGCCTTGCACATTCTCCTTAATGGAGCTCTGAGCTGAGCTGCGGCAAATCCTGCGGATCAACATGCAGCTTGCACATAAACATCACCACCGGTCGCGTCTCTCGCGCTCATAATATAATATTGTTTCTACTAATAACTATCCGCCCCGAGACAGGTGGTCCTTTCCTTTCAAACAATGGAGCAATGGAAATGAAGGGGGAGAGGGTCAATTGAGCACACATAAAAGCTGAGCGCTAGGCTCAAAGTCGGAAAATTGGCGCTCGCCGGGGGAAGTAATGCCATTGTAGTTGGAGGCGCGTATGACAAGCACATCTGACTCATGTATTGTATAGTAGTCGGAAATGGAAATGGGAATGAAATTGGATAGTTGTGAGCAAAAAGCGAATAGCAAAATGCAAAAAAATATTAATCTCCATTTTCCACAGTTTCAGTTTCAAATTACACTTTTAATCCGCTCAAAAGTAAGAGGAGAAGAGAATTGGAAGAAAATTTTCACTTGCATTTTCAAAATTCACGATCATCGGTGGGAGGCCGTGTTGCCAACCAACCTGGGCGGCGATGATGATGAACAAAGCGTTTATCCGGCCCGTGCGGGAATTATTAAGCCTTGCTGCCCTCCTCCCTTCCTATTTTCTATGCGAATTCCCTCGCACTTGTTTCGGGGCGAAGGGGACCGCCGCCAAATTGATAAATACATATTATGACGAGCCGCTTTCTCCTTTTCTTTCTTTCATGTGTATTTTGCCTATGCCTGTCTCTGCGTAAAACAGTGTGTTGTGTTTGAAGTGTGATTGGAATTTTCGTCCATCTCGGAAAAATAAGAGAGAGAGAGAGAGAGGGAAAAAGCAGCCAAATGAGAGGGCTAGAAAGAAGAAGAAGAAGACACATGAGAAATCGGTGTGTGATCGGTCGGAATCAAATAGAACGCACCACTGGGTTGCGATGGAAAGGAGTGAGTGAGAGAGAGAGAGAGTGAGTGATCCTTTTCCGACGCACTGTCTATTTGTACACAAAAAGTTTTGGAGCCCCGGGCGGTGGTCGAGAAGAAGCTCGGGGGGAGAAACCAAATATGCAAATATTTTGAGATGGAACACTCTCTCGAGTGCGAAACGTCGCTTCAACGGCTTCTTCTCGGCTGCACTAGCGCACGAGCTCTATTTGCTTTTTCCACATGATATCGTACGAAATTGTACAAAAATCGAATGTGGACACCATTTCTGAAGTCGTTCTCACCTTTGGAATAGACGAGGTGTGATGATGATGGTAGCTGGCCGCTGAGGAAGAGGACTGATGTAGCGGCGGCGGCGGTGGTGGAGGCGGCGCTACATGCGGAACATCACTCATTGAAGAAGCTGAAATTGGATGGATTCTATCGAATTGTGATTGAATTGGCAACTTTTTAGGCAAAAAGAGAGAGAGAGAGAGAGGGAGGGGAACTGCGAATTCTTCCTACCCATCAAACAACAATGGTAATTGGTTTATTCCCGAAAGTCGTTACACTTTCGGATTTACTCCGTTCTGGTCACTAGAGTCAAGGAATTCGGTTGGAAAAAACGGTAACTGAACTTGTTAGGAAATGGAATTGAATTGAATGCGTGAAAAAGTGCTTCAGATGGTGGGAGGAGGTGAAAATTGGCCGAAATCAAAATGTATTCCGGTCTCTTAAAGTTCTCTAAACGGCTTTCCAAAGAAAAATAATAGGAACATGAAAAAGAAGGAGAAGAAGAAGAAGCTGCCGGACCGGTTGGTCGGACGGTCGCACCACACCTAGAACGGGGTGGAATGGAATAATAATAGGTAACCCAATGAGGAAAATCGAGGAGTAACCAAATATCAGCGCAAGCCGGCTGTCCTTCCTCTCGCTCTCGCTTCTCAAACCCAATATTTGTGTATTTGGAATTCGACAATGGCGGTGACGGATCGGTTTCAAAAGAAGGTGCTAACGCTTTGAACACCTTGAAACGTTTGCCAACGTATGTGAGCTTTCGAAACTTTTTTTGAACAGTTCAGAGTTTTGAGACTACGAGCGCTAATTTGAAAGAACTAACTAACTTTCAAGAAGACTACATAATGCGTAATTATACGGGTATTATGAGAGGAACTGTTGCAAGCGGATGAGATATGCCGCTCCGGTATGCGGATCTTCCATGGGAGGTATCGTCGCCCAACAACGTCTTATCGAACGGTCAAATCGTTTTGTATGAAGGTCGATCCTCCTTTCCTTTGTTTGGTTGCCACCACCATACACAAGGAAAGGACGACCGAGGAAGAGGAGGAGTTGTTTCACATTTTCAAGTGACGAATGAGAATGAGGATGCTTACCGGAATAGGACGGCGGCGCGTAAGAGGAACTAGACGAAGTGACCGTCTTCTGGGACAAAACACTCGGAAGTGGCTGGGCTCCGGACAGTGAAGACACTGGAATCTTGGGAGCAGTCGTGACCGATGGATCGTTCCACGCTTTTGGCGCGTAGACGGTTGTGGTCGTGGTGACTGTGTTTCCGATAGTTTCAGTGTTGACCAACGGGGGTGGTGGCGGTGGAGGAGCCTTCGGATGTAGGATCACAGAGGCAGGTGGCGGTGGCAGGTCTAATGGCGATATTGGTCGTCCGCTCGCCGCATCCATTTCGTCCTTGGTCCTGTAAGACAATTTGCATTTGCATGATGTTTTTTTGCGACGTGGGGGGGCTAAGGAAAGATGAGAAGGTTGGCGGTGACCCTGGGAACGGTTGGATTAATGACGCGAAAGTTTCGTTGATTATGATTTCGATTGGTGTGTGAGTGTGTACGTGTCGTATTGCTGGCATCAGAGAGGAAGAGAGGAAAAAGCATTTAGACAACAAAAAAAGCACGAAAGGAATGTCGAGAGCACGCCGGCGCGGCAGAGGAAAGAGAGACCATATTTGACAAATGACTAATCGGAAACACTGAAACGTTTTTGAATCATCCTTAGTACGAAAAACTATCCGGCTGGAACAGTACTGGATGACTCATTTCAGATATTTTATTACCTTTGCATCAAAACAGTCTCATCCGTTGGATTCGAGGCAAACGATTCGTTGAGCAAGTCCTGCTCGTCTCCTTTCGCGTCGAATGTGATTGAGGCGGAACGGAGCGATGCGTTGTCGTCCCTGCAAATCAGAATATTTGAAATTCCAATCAAAAAATAGTCACTTTTCAATTCCAAACGCTTACGAGGCTTTTCGAAGCAAATACGGAGAGTTGTAACTCATTGATTGATAACAATGTGCATGTATGCATTTGTGGAAGGTTAGAGGTACAACAACGTGTCTTATCTTTTTACGAGAGGGAGAGAGAGAGAGAGCAAGGAGTGATTGTGTGCATACGTCTCAGGATGGTGCGAATTGGAATGGATGGTATGGAAATATTTGTGTTGTGTGAGGAGCATTTAATGTTTGTCCCTTCTTTTTGATGTGAATGTATGGTGATGATAGTGATGCAGCCTGCATAATGTCACCACCATTGGGATTGCATTCAAACTTTAAGAAAAAACTAGAGGGATGAAAAATACTTATAATTATTTGCATAGGACGCTGACACAAAAAAAACGTACAGTAGGAACGAGAAATACTAGCTTAGGGGTTTTTTTCTCTAATGCCTAAAATTAGCATCGCTTTTCTCGAAAGGTGATCATGAAAGGTATGTAAACTAATGACTTCTTATCGGCGTGCAACACTGGCCGCCCAGGCAAACAACTTTGAATACACTTATAATCATAATCACATAATAACGAGTTGACGGACATAGACACCCACACTTTACTATCCCGAGAACTGGAAATATTCTCGGGATTAACATGAAGCCCTATCATTATCGAAATCGTGTTGGAAACAATCTCTTCCGCTCTATTATATGTAGGACTAGGAAATTGTTGCTGGAGAGTGATAACAATAAAACAACATTGAAAAGGTGTCGATCTGATCTGATCCGGTGTCGCCGTCGTAAAATTATGACGATCCGACGTTTCCCTTTTCTCGGCACCCCGCTGTCAGTCCTCCGCCACATTCCATTGGGCCCAAGCCTTAGGAAAACTTGACGACATGCCCAATTTGCCATGTGTTTGTCGAACCTATTCAACCACTTGTCGAATCAGGACGGGGAGGGGAGTCAGAAGGGTATCAATATCTATTTGTTGAGGGTGCAAGTTACAAGTGGGAAGATTGACAAATTGTCGGATTCGAGAGACCAGAATAAACACAACTAAAAGTGTACTTGGTGCTATTTTCAGGACAATTGTCGAAAGTCGACCCAAAAATTATCGATTTTTTTTTATTTTTAACTCGCAAAACTGCTTTTTCATTGAAATCAGCTAATCCAAGCCGGAAAACGTTTTTTGCAGATTCAAAATTTCAGTACTAAAACTCGACCCTATTCAGACAGACACTAAACGAAATAATTTAGAGACAGGATAGTTTGGCTGCAAAAAGACAGTGAGGACTCGGAAGTGAGCGAAGACAGGCGGATGAGAACCGGTTGTTGTCGTCCGAATCGAACGAAAAAATCAAATCGACAACAAATTTATACGACCTCGGGTTGACCGACGTCTCCTTTTTAGTACTGTTGAGGAGCGAAAGTCGCCTCGCCTCGATTTCAAATCATCGGTCAGTTAGTGAGTGTCCGAAAGGAAGGGAACGGGGAGGGGGGGGGGATGAAAACAAGGCGGACACCCGAACCAAACTCACATAGTCACTGTTTTGCGGCGCTCCTCGTTGAAAACCAGTTCTTCCTCTTGGTCACGATCGGCGTCGGCGAGCTGCAAAATAGTGCGTTTCGGGTGTGAAAGGTTGAAGTTGAAGTTCAGTCATTTCATCTTTCAACTTTTCTCTCTTCATTTTTCTCCATCTCTGATCTAGCCCTTCCATCAATTTTACACCCAAAAATTTGCGCGTCTATAAACGGCAGCTTGATGGTTATCTCTCCGAAAATGGAAAAGAAAACGACAATCACAATCATCTTCAGCGGTCGATTTTCGGCAATGAAAAAGCAAACAAACCACAACAAATGACGTCATATTTCGGGTATGAATTTCAGAGTTCGACGCGTCGAAAGGTATCATTTTTGACACCTACAAAATGAGGAGATACTGGTACGAACACGTCTTTAAATGGCATGACGACGAAAGGAACAAAAAATGAATAGATGAGTCATCGACAGAAGGCGTTTTTACTCCCAAACAAAGGGCATGAGGCATGAGGAGAAGAAGATGTTTCGAAACGAACGATTCGAACGATTTTTGCTAATCTTTTGGTTTTTTTGGCGACGTAAAACTTTGATGAAACAATTGAAAAAGGCTGAGCGCACAAATCGAACGGGTCAAATATTTGGTTTGATCCAACGGAAAACTTTTGATTATTGAACACAATACTTTTTGAGAACGAAAAGGGCTGAACGGAGAGAGCGAGTAGGGCAAAAGAGTGACGGGGCGACGGACGGAATGGTGGGAACCATCTTCGCTTGATTTGCATAACTGTTCGTGACCAAACAATATAATCATCATTCATATACACTTGCTTTCACATTCAGAGAGCGAGCGAAGCCAACGCGGAAATTGTGAATGGTAAAAGCGAAAAGGTAGGCAGAAGCACCACTCCGCATTCGGTCATATAACTTTTTTGTCCCCGTCCTCCTCCCGCACGACCGCTCGGCTGGCCAAAAAGGCATCAAGTACATACGTGTAACTGGTATGACGACATTGATACAAGTGAAAGTAACGAAGAGTGGAGAGAAACGGTGTCAGCTATAATTGACTACCGTTCGTGTATGCTTTTTATAGGTTTGGCTGGTACACTGGGAAAAGAAGATCAGATTGGGAGGAAAAGTTGAAGGAATTTTAGAAATTACACTAATTTACTAGGAAAAAAGGAACTGACGAACTAACCTTGTGATCTTCGGATTCGGTGTTCGTCGCTGGAAGTGTGACAATTTCAGCTTTTTGCGGCTCTCCAAATTCATCTGACTGCGCGTGAGCAACTGGAGCAGTTGCCTCTCCTTCATCTTCTGACTCTCCTGGAACTTGCGCGTAATCCGGTTCCTCCTTCTCTTCTTCTCTTGGAATCACGACATCAGTTTCCTCAATCACATCGGTGCCAGTAGCATCGATGATCTGCTCCTCCTCCGGTTTCTGTTCTCCTTGGGCCAGTGGGACCGCGCTCATCTGAATAATCGTAGCGATGAGCGGTTTCTCTTGTTCAACTTGATCCACAAGCTGAGCGACCAGCAGTTGGATCTCGTTGCTGCTGGTTTGGTTGCTCATGACTCGCGAGCACAGGAATTAGTTTGGAATAGATCAGTACCGCTAACAGAACCGCGTGACGACCCGAAGTTTTGTAACCTTTCTTCGAGGAAGCTTGTAGGTGTAACGGGGCGAGAGGGTGTGTGTATATCGAGAGTAAACAGGATAGGCTCCTGCTGACTGCCGATGTGTATTTGACAATTTTTGGAGCAACCCCCGAGGAGATGCCGAGATGCCTGCACACTTGACTCGACGGACGGACTGTTGTGCTCAATATTTCTTCACTTGCGCACTGTTTGGCTGTTCAGAAGAAGAAGAACACAATTTCTGGAGGTTGAGGAATGGGCAATTTTGAAATGCAAATATTGAGCGTTCGTGAACACATTTTTAGTTTTGCAACGAATACTGAGAAAGATCAAGGCCACGAAAACTCTCAAAATGTTCCAATTTCTGACATCTTTGGCAAGAAAAAGGAGTGAGGGAGCCAGGCGGCTGAGCAGAGACGAACAAAGACGCCTCGCGCCCACTCTCATTTCTCTTTTTTTCTTTGCGTCACTGCACTGACCGACCACATATACGAATTGGAAAGAAGGGCTTCTCAGGCGGTTCCATGGTGTAGCGGTTAGCACTCAGGACTTTGAATCCTGCGACCCGAGTTCAAATCTCGGTGGAACCTATCGTTTTTGCGTTTTCACCCTTGCACGCAATAAAGAACTTGTAAAACTTGTTGAAAACTCATTCTTTCCGTTTGTCTTGTTACCAGGGCTGAAAACGCAAAAAACGATAGGTCCCACCGAGATTTGAACTCGGGTCGCAGGATTCAGAGTCCTGAGTGCTAACCGCTACACCATGGAACCGATGCAAGTCCGCCAGTCAATTTGTCGTGATAATCTTCCCGCGCCGCTTTTCACTCACTCCGCATCGCTCGGGACGAGGAACTATTTGCAGATCACATCGTGAAGCCCGAAAGTGACAGGCGGCAGGTATGCGGTTCCATGGTGTAGCGGTTAGCACTCAGGACTCTGAATCCTGCGACCCGAGTTCAAATCTCGGTGGGACCTATCGTTTTTGCACTTTTGACACCGATCATTGAGAAAACAGCAAAAGTTAACAGAATTTGGAACTTTGAGTGTAGGTAGGTAGGTTTTGCTCCGAAACTAGTAACACACGCACACACACTCTGCCTTTCATGCGCATACCCTCTATTTACTCAGGATTAACAAGGTCCTATGGGTTTCTCACCTGACTAGAAGAAGTATTCGATTTTCCGATTTTGGCGAGCTCCTTCAGCAAATCGAGTCGATCGTCTTCCGAAGCAGACTGTGTGATTTCGATTTGACGCGTTGTCCGTGGCTCTCCAAACGTCTCCTCTTCTTCTTCGCTGCCGCGCACCTGTTAATGACCGTTGTCTTCGATGATTGCTAATTATAAGCTCTCAATGGGAAATGAGGAAAACAGAAGAAAGACAAGAAGAAAGGAGTGGTTAAAAGAAGGAAAGACCTGTACCTCTTCACGTTCCTCTTGCTGTTGCTGCTGCAAATCTTCGTCCGGCGTCGGACTAAGCAGCGAAATGTTCGACAAACGACGATCAACGACTGTTCTCGGAGAGGCCAAACTGCTTCCGGTCAACGATCGAACCTCGTCGGATTCTTCCTATAAGTATAGTTTATCGGAGGAAAAAAAACTATCGTGTGAGACGTAAGATCACGGACCACACCGGTCGGATAACAAGGCCACCGCACCCGGAAAAATACGGGTTTTGTGGAGGGGAAGGCGGAGGTCACCAACGGTCAGGGACCATTCGAGAAAGAAATGGGAGGCCCCTAGTAAGGGAGGGTGCGCATGTGATGGCAGGTGAAAGAGAAAGAGAGAGAGAAAAAAGGAAGGGGGAGGAAGCGGGGGAGAGGGAGTGGTCCGTGTTTGGTGTATCATTCACGTTCCCGAGCGGATCTTTTTGTGCCTCAATGGCAAGCCCGGTGTGTTTACCGGGGTGGGGGTCATTGGGAATGAGGGCGGATAGACTTATAATCCGGATGGGAATAACATGGAACATTTTTCATGGAATGTGAGCAAAATACTGACAAAAAATCTTTTTTCTACAACTTTTTTATGCGAAAAGTTCAGCCCGCATCATTTTTCATGAAAAATAATCAATTTGTTGTACATTTTGTCAGTTAAGCACATTTCGTGAAAACATTGTCTAAGAAAGAACAAATAATTCGGAAATCTGCAGTTTCTCGGACAGAATCCTCTGCAGCTTAACGCATTGTGTTCTAATTTGCTTGATCGAATGAATGTTCCAAACATATGACCCAATCAGAAATGGATTATCTATGTACGAATGTGAGTCATGCGCGATTAATTCTTTCAATTCGGGATCAAATCGGAATGCCGCTTATGTTCATTGTCCAGCTATTCGGCATGTTTTTAGGTGTTATCAAGTGCCGACCCAGACCCCCGACGTCCGGATTATATGACTCACTTCGCATATCTCAGGGTCATCTCGAGGACACTCATTATCACGATGAAACAAACATTCATACCTCGTTAATGGTGTGAAGAAAGTTGGGCAGAGCGCTCATGTTCGACTGCAGCAGTGATGGCAACGGAAGGAGGCCAGAAGTCGTTCTGCAAACAGGAAGAGTCCAATATCTTGAATTTCATGCGAGAACAAAAAATTTCGGCGACGGCGGCGGCGGCGTGGTGGTAACGTGAGAAGAAGTCCGATCTAAGGTGGATTATCCAAGTTTAAAACTTGGTTTTGGCCGTCTCTTCTCCGATTTTCGTTTTTCCCACCATCTTTGTTTTCGAATATTACGATTTTGAAGATTAAAAATGAAAAAGTAATAAAAAGAGGTTTTGAATTTCATTCGTATCGATCCGAGCTCTTTTTGAGCATTTCAAAGAAATTAGTGATCCCCCAACAAGGGAAGTGTGTGATGCGATCGATTTGGAAACCCCGAATTCTATAAACCCACCGACAATGCCAACTGTCAAATTTTTGAGCATTTTTTTCAGAATCTTCCAAATTATTCGTATCACACATCCCTTATTAAGTTTAAGGGGTTAAAAATGATCGATCGACTTGATATGTACACATTTTTTAAACTTTTTGTTGATAATTTTGAGAGAAATGAAAAAACTCACGGTTCATCATCGGAGCACGAGGACAAAATCTCGTCTGTTTGGAGCAGCGACATCACAGACGGCATGCCTTGAGATTGTAGTTTTCTGTCCGACATTGTGCTTGGTTCTCCCTGTTGTTTCTGAAAAAAAACACGGACTGTACATATTGGGAAAGAACAATAAAATAGAGGGAGGAAAGATGAAAACACTGGGAAACAATATGCTTTTCTTCACTTTTTCTGTCTGCTCATCTCTTTTTCGTATCGCTCGTTGCCGCATCAACAAATCGACAAAAGTTTTGCCAGCAAAGTCAACACAGAACTTTTGTGTTCCGGACACTTGTTTTATAACCGTTCTTCGACGTGATGTGGGTCACGTTGGTTATAGTGAAATAGGTGAAAACTTTTTTGCGGTCTGAGATGAGACCACACCGAACAGAACAGACGACGAGGAACGGCGGCGGGTCGAGTGGTCAGCAAAAGTATCATCAAAAAGCGGGAAATGGGAGAAAGATAATACCGAAAAACATTGTGCAAACAATCAAATGGATGTCGAGATTTGCACAAAAGAGTCTTCCGACTCGACTGGGCGATGGATGCATACTCCCGCCCGCTCTATTTATTTTTCGACCTTAGGTTCGGTTCTAACCTTCAAAACCTTTCGGCCGTTTTCCTATTCAGAACCTAATAAATCAGAAGGTGTGATGAAGGTGATGGCATTGAAAAACGGAAAATGGTGGCGGAATATTCGCTTCCAAACGGTTCACCGCCGCCGCCTAACGGGGGCTCTGGGTGATTGACAGGCGGTTCGATTCGGTTCGCATTAATCTTCTCCCGTCTCGGAACAATGCATGTACGGAACGGATATGATGACCAATTACTAGTGACCGACTGATTGTGGTGATAGAAAACGGAATGTACAGAGGAAAAAAAGGGGTAAAAAAAAGGAGAGAAAAAGAGAGCGAAAAGGTGAAAAGGCAGAGAAGAGCCAATGTGAATCATCTGAATAAACAGGCGTTTATATATATATATATATGAGCGTACCAGCTAGGCCCATATGCATATGTGTACTAATATCGGGTGCAACGAGAACATTCAAAGTGAGAAAAAACACGTGGTGGAGGTTAGAACCGTTGAAGAATGGGGAGAAGAAGAAGGAGAAGGGCAAATCTTTTCTGACCCCTTCTTACTCGACCTCTTGACATCTCCCACCGAACAATTGAACAGTTTCAATAGGGTACGACGCAGGAGGTGAGATTTGATGAATTGAGAGAAAAGAGGAGGTAATTTAGTGCGCGAATTTCTAGATGGTCCCGGCCGCGACAAGTCTTTTTCAACGGTCAAAACAAAGTGACTGAAATAAATTTAAAAGAAAACTGACTTGAATGAAAACGCCTTCTTCGACAACTTCAGTGTCGGAGCTGGTGTCGGAAGAGGAAGACGAAGCTTCCTCCACGTCGATATCCGGATTCGCCGCCGTGTTGGTAATTCGTTTCCGGACCGTGGCGAACACAATTATGCGCAGTGAGAGAACAAACGCCTGAAATTAATGGAAATCGAAATAAGGCGAAGACGCGAGTGGATCTGTTCGACTATAGACCAGTTCCTTTCCTTCAGTTTTCAGTTGCGGAGAATGTAGAGGAAAGGGCAAAAAGTTATCGGAGCGACCCTTATGTAATGGGACGGGGACAGCGCTCTCCGACGGGCCAGACCACGAGATGCAATTAGTATCCGAATACAATGATTATTAGCAAAAAGTGGGGGTGGACGCGAGAAGGAGGGCCAGCCGACGAAAGACGACGCACTGTATTTTCCCTCTATTTTCTGGACGTTGCACGCTTAGCTTGCCACCCAGAAATTTGTAATTGGTGGTGAAGGTAGCAGAACACGTTTCGAAAATAACAGTGTCTGGGGGAAAGAAGAAGTGAGAGAAGAAATGAATAGATCCGAAATCTCGATTCCTTTGTTCGTGTTATACTTTCCCTCAAAAATAGGCTACTTATTCTAGGTCTAGATTTTTGGGAATCTCGAACGTTTCGGACTGTATCTCGTCACAAAATCTGCACACTAGTGACCCAGATCCATAATTTCAAAAAAAAGTAAGAGGAGAAGTACTGCACCCGCACCGGTTTGAAAAATTCTCATCAGTGAACATCAGTGAAAACTTGAAAATACCTAGAAAATTCTGGAAAAATTCGGGCATTTTTCAGAATGATTCAAATTGGTTGGGGTCGAAGTGTTTTCTTATGAAACCGAAAATGAAAGTGGAAAAATGAGACAAATCAGAAAACATTTCAGGTAGAATGCATAGAAACATGAAGAAGAGGATGAATTGAAGAAAAATAGAGAAAAACTCACAATAATAGCGGAAAAAGCGGTCTGCAAGAAGGCTTGAAAGCCGTCCGGCGGACGACTCGTCGATGACCTGTTACTCGACGATTGAAACTTCTCTATGTCCATACAATTCTGAAAAACGTGCTTGAATTCAAATAAAAAGAACATTCCAAAAAAGAGGTGTGGTATCAGTTTTCAATAGATTCATCGCATTGGATTGCAAATACATCATAGTTTCCATTTCTACATATGTATGTACATTATTCCAAAAAATGAGCATTTTTGGCGTGTGCATGAGAAAAAAGTGTAGAGTAAAAATGTTGATAGATAATCGTAAGTGATTCACGACCATTTGTACACATGTAGTGAGAACATCGTGAGAGAAATGAGCGAAAAACAATGGAGTCAGGGGCGGAAAAGGAAGGAGACGAGCTCTCAGGTTTCTATTATGTGCCAATTTCTTTGTACTGTCAAGAAGAGGAAAGAAGAGTGTTGTGTTTGCTCGAGAGTTCTGGCGAACACGCCAAGTAGCACAGGTAGTACATAACATTTGCCGCTGTCGCCCTCCCAAACCTAACCACTTTATCTTCTTTTATCTCTCACCGTACTCCATACACTTCATCCCATGAGGTTGCAAAAAGCAACATTTGTTAAAACCACAAAAAAGAAGTTGACAAGAGGTCTGTCCGCAATCGTACAACCATATATCTATCAGAGTTTGGGCGGGCTGGAGGGGCGAAATGAGCGAAAACTCGTAAAATTGTAAGGAACTATGTACAGATGCGAAAAGTGATAAGGAAAATAAGACAGAAACACAATAGATAATATCACAATCTGTTGTGTGCGTTTGGTGTCAAAATGCGGTTGGAAGCGTTATAGTATGAGGGAATTGGGCTCAAAAGTTTTTGCATGCTTGCAAAATCTTACCCGGGTTCAAAACTGTTTTAAAATTTATAAAACATTAGAACAATATTTCAAAAAGTGAGTTGGAACCGAAAAATTGAAGTTTCTGTTCGAAACGTTCTTAGATTTTCGGATGTCCGGTATAGAACTGTCATCATAAAGATTGAGAAACATAATATAACTTTGGCAGCCAGGTCTCTCTCACAAAAAAGTACCGTTAGACTTTCTTTCCTTCTCTCACGCAACAACACAATGAGAAAACGGATTTTCCGGTCAGCGCCACCTGTCAAAGATGATGATCAATTTGTTTATTGACATTTTCCCCCCGTGCTGATAATTGCAATAGGTGCGAAAGCGATAGTCTGACGGAGAAAGCTTTATTTGGGCAAGAGATCAGATCACCTCCGAATTTCATGAAATGATAATATTATTCGATTTGAATCAAGCCGATAATTCTTCTATATTTAATGTTTACCCTACTGAATGTCTTAAAGAATCGGAAAACGGAAATTGGGAGAAACAAATAGAGATGGATTGAAGTTGACACTTTTAGTATGTATCTACTGATTGCAAACACTGCCTATCACTAATTTTCAGAACAGAATGATTGATGAGGATGTACATAAAAGTGGAACCAGACAACACAACACCTTGTTTTGGGCCTGGTTTTGGATTCGGATTCGGATGCATTCACAAGTTTGACAGAAGATGTATTCAAAAGAAATATCGGCGAGAAGAACCGATTTCGTTGGGCTGGCGAGGGGTACTCATAACAGTTTGAAAAGTCGCGAATTGGATGAATGGTCACATTCGTTCTCTCCAATCCTAAACGGCATCTCTATGGAAAAGAGGAGGGGGGGCATGGAAATGAGGTCTGTTTTCCAAGAAGTAACCCTTTTGGAAACAGATATGACCCGTGAAACGGAGATTTACGATAAAGGCAGTGAAATTAGTGCAAACCCGATTTCGGGATCCAAGAATTGGGTTTAGGGGTTAGCAAACAGAGATTTTGACGGATTTTCAAAGCTTTTCAAGGTTTTGAATGGTAAAACTGAACAAAGGATTCAATCTTTAAATCAGCTACAATGTGACTATTTCGCTGCACTTTTCACAAATCGACCCTGGCCGGGTTGATATGTCTGTTCATAAAGTCAACTTTCTTACCTGAAACCTCTAGTTCCAGAATATTTGCATTTTCCGTTGTTCCGAACAAAATATGCCGTCGTCCGTTCCTTCTGCTGCAGTGTTGAATAAACGGAATGGGCCAGTGAGGGCTTGGTCAATTGCTTTCCTGTAATGGTCGTCGTTTTTAGGCGATAGGGGCCAAATGAGGGGGGAGGAGGTAAGAGTGCAGCAGATAAATCGGTCCCGTTTGGCCACGGTTGGCAGCAGACAAACAAATGAGCGAATACGGTGTGCGTGTCTGATGAGACGGCGAGCAGCAGGCAACTGAACGGTTTGTTGCAGAGCAGAAAAGCTGAACGATCGGTAAATATTAGGGCGGGTTTTTGCTGTTGCTGGTGCTGCGTTCCCGCTACTTGCTTCAATGGACCTACTTCTTCTGGGTCAATTGCAAGGCAAATTGTGGCTTCCGGGTGGCCAGTGTTGAAAATAAGAACTTGAAAACTGTCTCACACCTGACAACTATTTCTTCATCATTATTAAACCCAAAAAACTAAATTTCAGTAACTCGAATTGTATATTTTGTCAAGATTTCCACTTTTGAATCCAAACTCAAAAAGGCAAAAACGATAGGTTCCACCGAGATTTGAACTCGGGTCGCAGGATTCAAAGTCCTGAGTGCTAACCGCTACACCATGGAACCGCACACCCTCCGTCTCTCCTCTTGCCTACTAATAGTGGCTGTCCAGCGAGTTAGCGGCGGCCAGTGGCTGCCGCCTAGCGCCTCCGTCTCTGACCCTTCAGTGTATACAACTTTGTGTAAGTAGAAAAGCGTGCGGTTCCATGGTGTAGCGGTTAGCACTCAGGACTCTGAATCCTGCGACCCGAGTTCAAATCTCGGTGGGACCTATCGTTTTGGATTTCTTTGTTTTTTGTTGCCACATTACAACAGAACAGGCATTTACCGTAATAGCGTTAGTTTTCTTTCTTAGTCGAAAAAAACGAAACATTAATAACTTTTTGTCATTCTCACTTAGTCCGCTGTTTGCGTTGACAAAAATTATTTCTTGGTTTTTGATGTCCCCAGTCCTGGATTCATGCAAAGAGTTGTTCTATGCATTCATATCCCGTCAGATTTTCGCGAGTTGTAAATCTGTGTGCTTAATGTTTTATAAGCTTCCACCGGATAAAACTCCACAAATACGAACAATTTCCCAAGAAAGATATTGGAATAAGGCGATTAATACTTGGCGGGAGTCAATGGCACGGCTTTTATATCTTTGTCAGCTTTCTTTGGGGCATCGAGCATACTCCGTGCGAGCCATTATGAGTCAATGAGTAAGACTTGTAAAAAAATGACGTATAAGCAACATTTGTTCTTTTTTTCAAGTGCTTTATGTACTTCTACATTCACATGAGGCGTTCCAAGACGATCAATTATAGAAAGAAGTTGCATGTCTGAAAAGTCTGAAAATTGAAAAAAGAAGGTCCCACCGAGATTTGAACTCGGGTCGCAGGATTCAAAGTCCTGAGTGCTAACCGCTACACCATGGAACCGTACGACTATTGCACGTCTATTTGCGCCGATTGGGGTGCTGATGGTTTGAGCCGGTTTCCGATAGGTTGAGATTGACGCACTGTTTGACAGACGCATCAATGAAAACCCAAAAAAGACAGGCTAAAGACGTGCGGTTCCATGGTGTAGCGGTTAGCACTCAGGACTCTGAATCCTGCGACCCGAGTTCAAATCTCGGTGGGACCTATCGTTTTTTGTCCCTGAAACTGGAAATTGTGATGTGCTGACTCTAATCGTTTGTTTTTGCTCTCTTGATGTTCTTCAAGCCTTGTTTTTCATCAGGAAAGAACTGATAGAGCCCAATAAAGTTGAGTGACACACGAGATGCACTTCCTCGTTTGCACACACTCGATCATTTACACACACACACACTCACCACACTACACTGAGACGCAGAGAGTAGCTCCTCGAGCGATTTGTTGTCAGAAAAAAGAAGATTGCTTTGACAATTGACAACACTCGCAATTTTGAACTTCTGACTAATAGCTCTGGGAAAAAACTATAAAAATGGAACCGGTGGAAGTCCGGCAGACAATTCGTAGCGATTATCTCAGAAAGTTCCATTTTCGGCAGCGCCCAAATTGAAGCAATGTATGTCAAAATCATTGAATAGTGACAGGCGAGAGATGTGCGGTTCCATGGTGTCACGGTTACCACTCAGGACTCTGAATACTGCGATCCGAGACCTTATTTTCTCCAAATTGTTTATTATGTGAAATGTTTTTTTTTGGCTTGCTCGAAAATGTACAAAAAGAAGAGTAGAATAATGAAAACCAACCGAACCGACTAATCATTCCTGGGTGATGGGAAAAAACAAAGAAATACCAGTATGAAAAATAATAATTATTATTAGAAGTTATCGTTTACGGATCTGGCTGCACTGCCTGCATTTTGATACTATTCCTTCGAATATTGTCCTTCTCCTAAAACCACACTGATTGCACTCTTATCAGTTGTCTCTTTTACGCACCTCGTTTGCCGGCTCGTCCATTATATTCAAATGTTTGCTGTGTTTCCACACGAAGATGTCCGTCAACAGTGATACGAGGCGGATGCACACGTACAAAAGGTGCATGGCGACGCGTAACCGCTCGGGATCGTAGATGGAACACGCTCCTCGTGTACCGTCGCAAGTTTTATCCCAGACCAGACACGCGCCGTCGACGACAAAGCCCCAGATGATCGGAGAAGGAAGAGTTCCGAAAAGAGAAACTGCCATTCCTTGAAGTCCGAGGGAAAGTGATCGACTCTCGGGGGGCACACTTCTGAACAAGGAATTTCTCATTTCTACACTCTGATTCTGTTCTAATTCTCCTTACCTCAAAAGAATCAACATAGCCGGCACGACACCCATTCCGGCTACAAAAGATCCGGGCAGAACGGTCAAGAAAAAGAGGATTGTGGATGTTTTGCACGTGTTTTCGCAGAACTTCTTGCTGACAATTCCGCTCGGCGTGCACTGGCAGGAAGTGAAATCAAGCACCGGATCATTTCCGAACTGCTTCGCCTCTCGACAACCAGCATGACAGGGCGAGAAATAAACGAACCTGAACGGAACAATTGATGATACCAAAACGCGAAACATTTGCACTTACCCAGTCGGGTCGCAGACCGGATACAGTTTAGCGTTGTCACAGGCGCATTGAGAATTGCATTCACGAGTGAAATTGAAGTTTGTTTCCCTGAAAAAGTTAGTTTTTGGTCAACTGTTGGAACCCTTTTTCATCAAAATCGTACTTGTTGTTCACACCAATTGAGTTCACGATTGATTCACATCCAATGAAGATCTTCGTGGTGTAGAGGCACACATTGATAGCGGACACGCAGAGAACGAACATTGCAGCTTGTCTTCCAGTAAACTTGAACCTTCGGGTGATGAATCCTCCAGTTGCCGTTCCCAAGCCAAATCCGAAAACTCCGAACATGGCCATGTACCGATGCACCAGGTATTGAGGAATTCCAAAGTGATTTTCGAGATACTTTGGCAGGAACACGTAGTATCCCTTGAACGCGAGAATGTCACAAACACGGCCCATGACACTGCCAAGATAAATGTGAGTACCCAAAACGGCTTTGCAAGACTTTGCAAAGTCTTTGAGTTTCATGGCCACAGAACGGTCTTCCGACTGGGTCATCTTCAGTTTCTCTTTGTGAACATCGCGGAGTTGCACTGTCGACTTGCTTCCTTCCTTTCCTTGTGGAAAACAGAACAGTAGAACCGATGGGAACAGAGCGATAGTTCCGATGAACAAGAATCCGATCCACCAAGCTCCAATCCATGTCGGATCTGCCGGGGTCAGACCATTTGGTGCTGAAAATTAGGAGAAATTGAAAGCTGAATGTGAATATTTAAATCCAAGCTTACGATTCAACGTGTAGTAGAACTTGTTACAAGCGCTTCCAATCAGATATCCACAAATTGGACCGAGCACTCTGATAGAGGAAATCGCTCCAAAGTACGCCGGAAGACTCTTCTTTTTGATGTTGTCATCAAGAAGTGGAATCCCAAGACTCCATGGAACAGTTCTGCCGATTCCGAGTAGCAAAAGGGAGAAGAAGAAGACCAGGAAGGGGTAGATGCTCGATGCTTGCTCCTCGCATTTTGAGTTCTTGATGATTGCTCTCAAAGAATTTGTGAGTCTACCACAGAACGTGAATGGAGCCGCTGCACTGATTCGTATCTTCTTGATATCTCTGTCGGTCGTGTTCGTTCTGCGGTGGATGAAATGCGAAAGGTAAGTCCTTAATTTACTCTGATCCTGTCCATTGTTCAGCACTTCCTCAGCGGCTTCCAACGCATGCTCAATGAGCCATCCGTCGATTGTGTACGTAGAATTGAATTGACGTTCAGAGCCTGTCACCATTGCTGGAGTGCTTTTTTTCGAATAATACTCCGCGATCTGAAAGTACCCACTCATTTTTAGTCATTATCAGTGAGTACATCCTTGTTTTCAGTGTTTTATTGATGTCGTCAAACAGGTTAAGGCTAATGTGTTGAAAATTAATGATTTTTTGTGACTTACATTTGTCGTATCATCTTCCAGTTCTAACAATTTTTCGTATGTCGCACGTGGAAGACGGTCAAGGATCAGTGGATAGGAGAGAAGGGTTTGTAGGGTCGAGTTGGTTGCCAATTGTTCGGCTGTTGGTTTGAGTTGGGCCTGAAAAGATGAGGAATGGAAACGCTTTGAATATTTTGTATCCTACAGCGACCGCAGTGGTGTTGATATCATGTTGACCCTGGGGGAACAGGAAGTTGGGGGAGGCAAGCATCAAGTACGTGATAGACACAAGAATTGCGCCTGCGCCGACCCATCGAGCTCTAAAATCATATTGATGAAAAACGAATTTTGAGAAACAGTGCAATATTTCAATTCTACGACTTACCGGTTGCCCTTGGAGCCAAAGTGTGCAATAATAACGACACACGGGATGTACCCAAAGTCACCTGAATCAAAACTTGAGACCCAAAGCCTAAATGGGACCTACTTGCTGAAATCATAAAACCAGATGTTCGAGACGACATTTGAAACTGTCTTTCAATGTTCTGAACTGCCGAGTTGATGTAGCTCCCGCCAATGGCCTCCAAGAAGTAGACGAGGGAAAATAGTCCCAGAAATATGTATATTCGATCCATGACTGGACCTGAAAGAATAGTTGCTGACTGCAAGTGTTGTGAATTGAGAGTTCCAAGTCTTAAAAACATGGAATGTTTGTTCACAGTGCAGAAAAACTCGATAAACACAAATCTCTTTTCTTGTCAACTAACAGTACAAAAGAATGGGAATAGGGAAAGGGTAGAAAACATGAAGATCTTTACAAATGGAAAAGTGTTAGTAAATAAATAATATGTGTTTGTGTAGGCGTATGGGTGAACCTACATAGCAACATGCTTCCTACGTAGCTAACAGAGTTGAGCGGAAATGGAATTTTGAAATCCGGAAGACGGAAGACGGAAGAAAACTTTTTTCTCGAAAGACGGAAGACGACAGACGGAATTCCGCTCAACACTGGTAGCTAAGCGCAAGAATAAGCTACTTACAGGCGCTACAGTGATCTTCAGCTTACAATACAGAAGGGGTGGTCTGGTGAATAAAATGAGAAAAAGAAAGAGAGAAAAAGTGAAAGAATAATGAGGAGGTCTGTTTTTATACAGTGCGAACGGCTACAACAACAATACTTTAAAAGAAAGGACTTATCAGTTGGGCAAATAGAATGATTAGTAAGGTCCTACTCTAAATAGATCGAGGAGGAGGAAGGAGAGGTCGGGAAGGGTGGGCGAGAAAAGGCATCACACATCTTGCCTTTCCCCTCCCTCCCCCACATCGTCGCCTCCCCCCGGTTCCTTCTCTTCTCACCAATACAACACAACTCTTCGTTTCGTTTCCCGAACGACATTGTCGCCGCGGCATGCCCCTCCGGAAGAATGAACTGGTTTTGTGGGAGGGACCTGATTGATTTAGTAACTGACCGAGAGTGACCTGTACCGGTGGTTAATCTAACGGGAATATGGAAAGTGCAAAATGTTATTTTTCGAAAGACTTCAATCAATCAACACTAGCTCGATTGTTTAGAATACATATGATTTTGAAGATCCGCTATAAACTGAACGATTTTTAGGAAAAAGTGCACAAAGCCGAACCGACAACGTTCAGCCGACTCTTTATGTCCAAACACAACAATAGAATGTATCAAATTATTTCGGTATTGTATAGCCAGATCATTTTTTTTGACAATGTGAGAAGAGCATCACAATGCGAACAATGAATTCCACAATAGAAAAAGCATACGGACGTGGCAGGAGAATGGAATAGAATCGAAAATGGGTACAAAATACGGGGACACACACTTTTAAAGGTGTTTCCCCGCGGCAAGTGGACAGTTCGTCAAAGAACTGATTCCATCAAAGACCAGATAGTACGTCTACCTGATAGTGTGTTTCAGATGGCCAAACCTGTGATTCACGATCGGAAGATCAGTAAGTGAAACCAGTTTTCTTTCGGGCGGCCTGCTTCTTCCGCGTACACGTACACGATCGTTGTCTTTTCTTCAAAGATTGTTCACAATCAATACAAAGAGAATCATCAATCTTCATCTTGTTTATGAAATGGGAATATGAAGAATAAAAATTTAAAAATCAGTAAACGGATTAAGATTGACTCATGTGGGATCGTCGGACGTGGCTGTCATGGGCAGCGTGAGAGGCGAACGCCTTTCCACAGTGGGCGCACTGAAAAAAGATAAGTTTATCCGAAATGGAATTGATGTTTCGATCTCTGTCATTGACTGCTAATGACTTGGTTTTCGGCAAGGAACAGCAACACAGATCAGCAAGTCGTATGATTATTTGGGATAACTACATGACCTGACAAGATTACATTAAGTCACATAATCAATCATCGGGTTGGATGTTTTTCCTTTCTTGGCTGCAATCGCATTTCAACAAAACAAGGTACGGTCAGAACTTCAAAATCTTTCATGGTCTTCAAAAGTGTTCTACATATTACATCATTGGGTCCAAAAGCTTTGCCTCTCGCTCATTACGAATTCTCATTCAACATCTTTGCGATTTGCGCGAAAAACTGGACGGCGTTTGTTACTGATCATTCGACTACGTGATTGATCATCTTATTGTGGGACAAGAGTGTCAAATTAGACGACCTTCCTTCGTCCAAGAACACATTGTACTGGTTTTCTAGCGTTTTCGCTTTTTCGTCCATTCTCATTAATGAACAAACGGAACAAAAAAGATGATGGCGCAATTTTTGTGATTTGAACCCGAACAGACAGGCGTGGCATGTCCGCATTTGTTTCCAAAGCAGATCAATCGCAGATTATGTGAATTCAAAATTTCAAACGTTCTCTGGCCTACCTTGAATGGTTTCTCGCCGCTGTGCTGTCGGACGTGTGTCCTCAAAATTGAAGAGGCTGTGAAGGCCTTCGGGCAGAAAGAACACTTGTAAGGGCGCTCTCCAGAGTGGACGCGAAGGTGCTGGAAAGAAAGGGAAGTGTGTGAAGGGACAAAAAACGCCCAAAAATCGGAAATATTCTGAATAATCACTCATGTCTTCTGGTTTTTCCTATAAACTTCCTAGGTTTTGTGAAAAGTTTTCAGTACAACTTGATGAGCAATTGGCCCGACCCTAGAGCCCAATTGATTTCCAGTCAATCTCCTTTACCATTCGGACTTGACTGTACATATCATTTACCGGCAACCAAGCAGGTTTATCCGAGTGCGGGCGATGAGAAGTACGCGCCAACTGGTCAATTGTCGCCAAGATTACCTTGTTGAGACTGCTTGATTGACTGAATGCTTTCTGGCACACGGAGCACGTGTGTGGGCGGTGGTTCTCGTGAACATGAAGTATGTGGATACGCAGCCGATCGCGCTTCTCGAAAGACCTGTAAAATATGTGAATGTGAATGGCATCGGAAAAGGATAATGTGTTTTCATGTTTGTTCGACACTTGACAAGTGCTCAACTCGCGGCTCGGTTACTGTAGCATGTGCCACTTGTGAAAGTGTCTATTCAAGGTCTGTATTTGAGCATTACCGACTGCAAATGGTACATGGAAACTTCCGATTCCCATTGTCGACGCATCTAGTGTACTTCAGATGTTTATCCCGATAGTATTCGTAGCTGAACACTTTGCCGCACCGCTGGCACGAGAATCCGGCGTCTGCAAGACGGAATTTCTCTATTCCGTTCACCACTAAGTAAATATCCATCTTTCATTCTCTGTTTTTTCCCGTCTAAAGAGTAAAGGGTCCAAAATTGGATTAGAGCGGCGAGCGGATAATTAGAATTCCAATGAGACGTCCGTAAGTAATTCGTCTTTTGCTCCTTCACTCCTATTCTGTTCCGGTAAAAAAACAAAGAAATTTGTGAAATTAAAAGTCTTTGAGCGGCTCCAAAGTAACTGTAACCTTTGACAGAGTCAGCGCCGCTTGCCACGTCATCGCTCATCGCCGGCTCTTCCGGATCCGGTTTTCTGTCTTCTGGCGTTCCACAGACGACTATCTCGGCGCCGCATGCAATGTCAGTGATGACTTTCGACTGCACGATGTTCGCCGAATGACTACTTTCTTTGGCGAAACGCCACCACGCATCGGGCAACTGAAAAAGTGGAATTGAAGTTTGGCAAAGATTATGAAAACGGAGAAAGGGGGGGGGGTATAGTACAACAAAATACGCAGATTTGCAAAACTGTCCGAAGTAAGTTGGTCCCTAGCAATTGATGTTTTCTAGATTTTACTCATCTCCCATCTTTTGTTTTCAGCTTTTCAGTTTTCAACAGAAAGCACTATTTTGGCACTACCACTGCCAGATTTTCATCAGCTGTAACTCTTCATGTCCGGCACACCGATCACCTGTCACAATTGCAATCACAAAAACTACAGTATCCCCCCAGCTATTTGTGGTAAATAGGCCACTCGCCAAACGTTCGTTGTCTATCTAAATTTTTTTGTAGGACAACTTGTAGTACATTTTGCAAATTTTTTAAGCACAAATGGATGTTGACTGACCTCAAGACTAGTTCCAGCCTTAAAACCGCCGGCTTTGAAACAGACAAGAGTGGTGAAGCATCCGGTGGGCGATTGAAGTGTGTTGAGGAGCACTCCAGGGTTATTCGCGCACGCCAGAATTTGTTGCGGATGAGCTGAATGATCTCCAGTTAGAGTTGAAGTTAGGTAGGAGGATGGGGGGGGGGGGGTCTGCTTACGTAGTGACAACAGAGAGTGTTGCTTCATAGGAACAAGAGCTTTTTTTGAAAGAACCATTTGATTGACCAAGTGCATGAAAGGATTGATAACAGCAGCCATGGGAAACGGGGAAAAAGCGGAAAGTGGCAAATGTGACGTCGTTGGCGGCAAGTTACAAGTGCCGAACATCTCTTCAATAATGGACGAGACCGACTTCTGAAAGAATGCAATTCAATTCACATTCACCCAACTACGGTAAGTAGAATAAAGGAGGCGGGCTCAATTGCTCCTTTCCTCGGTCTTATTTGCTCTGTGACACGAGTGGATGGGGAGCACAATGAGACAAGGAGAGCGGCGCGAATGTGTCTAACCATGGAATTAAAATAGACTAGGCGATGTCGACACATAACACACCGTCTCGTTTCATTTGGACCCCTCCTCTTCATCCCTGATACCCACCGGGTAAGGAATACTAATTTTGAAGTGTGGTCTGTTAAAAAACAGCAAAAAACCCGTGGGATTGAAAAGAGGACCGAGAGCAGGCATTCTCGGAAATTCCGAATTTTCGGATTTTCTCTAAGAATTTCGAAATGGGAACACAAAGTTTTTGATTCCGGTCCCGATTTCGTAAAGGTGTATTTAACAAAAAAGGGCAGATTCCATCAACAAAAACAGAAACTATCGATGAAAATGCGACGCGGAGGGACATTGTTCATAAAAAAAATTTATTGGTTTGACGGAAAATTTTCGGAAACGGAAATTTTGATTTCGTCCGAGAAAGCCTGATCGAGAGCTCTCGGAGGGACATGTTGGAATTATTTGAAAAGAGAAGAACATGTTAGAAGAATTTCCAGACCAATGTCCAAGAGAATGTGGTAATCTAGCCGAATTTTAGCATCAACTCATGTAAGAAAATGGAAACTCAGGACTCTAAAACCTGCGAGTCGAGTTCAAAACTCAGTGGGACCTATCGTTTTTTTTCTTCTTTATCTGCAGTCTATTGAAAATAAAACATGATCCGTCATGCTCGAGGCCACAAAACTCTATGTCATCTTCGATTTTTTTCATTTTTTAAATTTATCGATCATCTCACACAGTTACGAAGAATTAAGTTCAGGAAGAAAAGGGAAGAATATACAACATGTGGAAATCTACTTGAGAAGAGTGAAAAAAGCGACAGTAAAGGTAGAGCAGTGATTTCAGCAATCAACGTAAATATTAGGAAAGTTAGTAGAAAAAGTTTAAAAAAAATTTAGTGGGAATTTAGATATTCGATGAATGTGGAGAACATCGGGTGCATCAGAAGAACTAATTGCTCGTTTAGTGGCCTTCCTATAAAAAAATCAAGAATGTTCTATCTTAGAGCATGAAATAATTCACCTTATTCTTCTCTTCGGAGTTCGGAGTGACGTGCATGTCGAACGAGTCGTAGGACTCATCGAGTTCCATGAAGGATGAAGTGGATTCCTGGTCAGCTTCACCGTCTTCGATCTTCGACTGAAAGGAAATTGATTAGGCTACAGTAACAGAAACTAAGGAGGTACCTTCTTCATTGGCGGCTCATTGGGGTCGATCTCGTTAATGATCTCAAATCCATCCTGGATGAGTTCTTCGTCGTCTTCAATCTTCTCGTGAGTCTGCACCATCTTGGAAGAATCCTTCTGATTGGCACCGGCGGACGAATTCTTGACGGATGTCTTCTCAGCATCGTGAATCATGGCCGATTTGAGGAAAGCACTCAGATCGTCGACCGACGCTACACGGTGGAGACCGAGCTTCTTCTGGCCATTCGACGAAATTTTGTGATTTAGCATCTGGAAAGATAAAAGGAAACAAAAAGGGTCAAATCAGAGACGGAACGAAAAAAGGAACGGTCAGATCGTAGACTGTACGAAAGCGAAGCTAATGGCTGGAAGTGAAAAGCAGGAGAAGGGAAATTTTCTGACGCTGATACGACGGATTCTTAATAAAAACTCTCTTGGCAGAAACCCATCTTTCGAGAGAAACATTGAGATTCAGCGACGCATCGGTCAGACGGCCGGACAAGATTAAGAATGAGGAGCTTGCAAAAATGACAAGAATGGCGAGGATTGCGTGGCTACGGAAAGTCGAGTAGGCTCAGAAGGTCGGCAACGGAGGTGTACGGATATTAACCGAATGGACGTTATCAGAGGAGAGCACTGATGGGCACATGAACGCCTATATGGACAGGCAGACTGGGCTGCTCTAGGGGCGGAGAAGACTGGCGCGAAAACAACCCCGAAAACGGAAACATCTGCAGGTGGGGTGGGAAAGTGCGCTCCACTGTGAATGTTCTGAAAAACAACTCCCTGTCAGCAGAGACTACGGTGTTATTTCATTATCCGAGGAGAAATACGGAATAATGTTCGTCTCGGTTCGTCTATTCCTGACCAGCGCTAAGATTTGTTTCGAAAAGTTGGAAAAACCAGGTCATACGGTCAGAACGACATTAGGAAAAGGAAAAAACAACACGTTCCATTCTGTTCGAAGCACTTTTATTTTTAGACGAGAACTTTCCGGAAAGGTCAAACTTAGTCATTTTTCAGTTAACAGGTTTATTTTTACAAATATAGTAAGAAAAGAGTCTTGGCATCGGGGTGACTTTCGGAAAACAATATGTGGCGATAAGGAGTATCTGTAAAGGGCCAGGAAAAAATTTTGACAAACGAGAAGAAAATGATGATGAATTTCGACAGAAACAAGGAAAGTGGCCAGATCAGAAAAGAGAGTTGTGATAAACAGGAGATCTCTACTTTTTGTAGTTCTTCGGAAAGTCGATGGTGATCATGACGCCGTGATCGGTGTCCAGCTCCTCGATCGTCGATTCGCCCGGCACCTCCCCGACGCCGTTGGCCTTCTCTCCCGGGAGAACCTGCAAAGTTATTCGGAATTGGATGACGTCTCAAAACTCTGAGTTTAAGACCGCGTCGAATAGCCGAGCTGCTATTAGAACGGTGAAAAGCTCACCTTCTTCGATTTCGGCTCCTCCATCTTCTCGACCTCCGACTTGTCGATGACCTCGAAGTCCTTCTCCGACTCAATCGGCTTGATGATCTCGTATCCCTCCAGGGAGAGCGGCGGCTCGTTCGAGACACGGTCGTCGCCGTGGTTCTCCGGATCCACGGCCTTGAACAGCGCGTCGTCAGCGGCAAGCATTTCCAGGTAGAGCTGACGCATCTCCTCGTCATAGACTTCCTCCGGAATCGGTTCAAGGTGACTCATGGCGTGCCTTCCCTTAAAAAAAAGCCGTTTCGAAACAGAAGGCAAACAAAAATTAGAAATATATACAGGTCGTCGGTTTGTGTAGACGAAGATAACGGGAAAACATAGAAAAAAGACAACTTCTACGCTGCTAACTCTTTCGATCACAGGCAGGAACAGAGACCATGCAGCAGCGTCCGCCCGCCCGTCTAGACAGAGAGGATTGATTGGAAGGAAACCCAGAGGGGGAAGTGAGAGGGCCTTCTTGCAATACCGAGCATATGTACCGTGCCGAGAAAGAAAACGCGCTCTACCGATAACTTTCGCGGATAGTGAGTGCAATACGATCCGGCTGACAGCGGAGTCGTCGTAAAAGAAGCGGAAGATGATGATTGGCAACCGGAGAAAAAGCGCATTTACAGCTACAGCCAGAAGGCCATTTCCGAGTGCGCAAAAACGGATCGAATATCGGGCGAGTTGCGCGCCGACTTGGTGAAAACAGCGGACACGAATACGGGTGGCAGAGACTCTTTTTTCGAGAAAATTTCGGTACTGTCGGGCTCAAAATTCTTAGAAGTTTCCAGAATAAAAAAAAATTTAACCGGGAAAGGTTCAGAAGGCCAGCAACAGAGGTTTCCGTGGAGTTCTAAGTTTTTCGGATCGATGAAGAAATGAATCAAAGACAGAATTCTTTACAATGACTCACGCCTGTTTTACCACGCCACAGTACGCATGATTTCCACTAGACCCGCCCCCTTTTGCAAATTTGCCGCATTTCGCACAGTTTCGAAAGAGCCGGATTAGGAAATCACTTATACCCCTCTCAAACACAGATCGATGATGAAGAAATGAGGAATGACAGATGTGAAAACAGAAAAAGTGAAAACCGAGCGAATGTCCCGATCCCTCCAAACATCACGGATTCTATGCATTTTGAGGAAAAACAGTGGTAATGTGGACACGTCACAGAAAATGTTTACTATCTATTGATTCAAACTTTTCTCTCTCTCTCTCTCTTGCTAAAAAACAATGATGTGCACCAGTGACCTGTTTACCACATTTCCACTGGATAATGTCAACATATTTGGATATAGGACAATACCGTAACCCACCGGGAGACGTGGATTGGAGTGAAAAAAAGAGCGGAGAAAAAGAGAGAGGTATTCGTTGGAGATTTGGAAAAAATAGTTTTGCTCGCCGTTCTTTCGCTCGTCTCTCCCAGACAGTGACTCATGGGCGATTTCTAGACGACTGACGAAAGACGCCTTGAGAAAAGGGCGGACGCCGGTAGTTCTGTTGCATCGATTGAATTCGGAAGGAGTCGACTGCACGGGATATGCCATAGATCACTGGCGAAAACCGTCTCTCAAAACAACTGTACCACATTACCGAACGAGCAAATGAGTTTTTCGACCCGGCCGGTAAACAGGCAAACGCTCGTAGCCGACGATATTATCAGTCACGGATAACAGAAAAACAGTCGTTGAGGACTTTCAAGGGAATAGAAGTGCACATTTTGGAGAGTGCTGATAGATACGGGAAAAATAGTGAAGGGATGTGGCAGGACTCCAATACATACTTGTCTCTTAGTCACCACCGTCACCATCACATGAAACATAACTGTTTCGAAGAAAGTTGTCTCTTTTTTCGAGCCCAACAGAGGAACTGACAAAGGTCTACTCTTTTTAGCTATTTTTTTCGATTTGCTAACGTGTACCTGTTCATGAAACGAAAATGGGTTGAATCCATTTCTGATCGAAAACGGTGGTGAATTTTATTTGGTTTTTTTGAAGAATACGACAGGAAAAGCAGAAGAACCTAATTTCCAATCCAGTGCACGGGGGTGTAGGGGGGATTTCACAGAATGAACGATACAAAATAGCCAAAAAAGTGTGTATTGCACCTGGAATTTCATTTGCAGTATCTGACAGTGATTTTTTCGCATATCTACTCGGACTCGTGCAAATGAAATGAGAAATTTTAAAGCTCGGAAACGTTACTGGTACTGGAAGCAATCGGCAGAATGTCCGATCACGAGGAAACCGTTCTTTGGTGTCGAAAACTCGCTGCAACTGACCATCCCACCAGAATTGTCAGATCATTCGACATTTTTTCAACCAGAGAGAGCGGTCCCTTTGCGATCCCGACAAACTGCCAGAACTAGTGCACAATCTAAAGCGGGAAGAGTGAAATGTAATTTTTTTGGGCCACCGGGATGAAGAAGTTGACGAATTCAAGAGCTGGACGATCCTGCGCCACTGTTGTTCGTGTTGTTCCGACGTTTCAAGAATCCGCCACACTTTCGGAGCGGGTTGCGCAGCTCTTTCTTGATCAATTTCTCCATCTGGAAGAAAATACCCGTTGACCATTGTTCAGAATATTCTCGAATCCCGAGCGTGAGAGGGAGGGGAAACATACGTCGAACCCGAAGAGTGAGATGACCATGTTGTTAGTGTCGCGGAACTCCGAAAGTCTTCCAAGTTTTGCCTATAACCAAAACCAACGTTACACAGACACACACAAAAGAGTGAAAATTTTAATTCTCGCGGGGGAATAGAAAAGTTAGTCTAAAACTGACCGGAGGCTCGGTGCTCACGCCCGGAAGAACCAGAAGCGGCTCTCTCTTTCTGCTCGGCGACTGAAACATGTGATAAGTGAGCTGTTTAGAGCTAAATAGATACTTACACGTGGGAAGCACGCCACCAACCAGGCGAGACAGCGAATACGCGACTCTTCCTCACGTGTGGAGGCCTGAAACAGTCAATCTTGCCTCAATCAATCGCAATTTGCTAGAATCTTTGATCTCTTACCCAGTTTCGGCTTGGCTCGTTGTCGAGCAGCATAGAAATCGCGTCCTCGTTGTTCACCACGGCCGGTAGCGGCGCGGCGGCAGCCTAAGAAGGTGCAGAATTCAAATGCGAATAGACAAGACGTTCACACAGTTTGCATAAATCGACGAGAATGATTATTATGTATTCGCGATCAAAGAACACACCCAATTTATTTCATTTTCACGAGTAACTAACCGGAGCGATGCCGTTCTCAAACCCCGGCGGAGGAGTGGTTGTACGGGCAGATGACACGCCGGTCTGCAATACTTTTGTTTGTTCCAAGTGCTCTGATGTGAACTACCTGCTGGGCACCCTGAGCAGCTCTCGGCAGCTCAAACCCCGGCGGAGGAGTCGTTGCACGAGCAGATGAAACGGGGATCTGCAATACTTTCGTTCGTTCCAAGCGCTTTAATCGGAACTACCTGCTGAGCATCCCGAGCAGCGCTCGACTGTTCAAACCCCGGTGGCGGAGTTGTAGCACGAGCAGATGAAACGGGAATCTGCAATACTTTCGTTCGTTCCAAGCGCTTTAATCGGAACTACCTGCTGAGCACCCCGAGCAGCGCTCGGCAGCTCAAACCCCGGCGGAGGAGTCGTTGCACGAGCAGATGAAACGGGGATCTGCAATACTTTCGTTCGTTCCAAGCGCTTTAATCGGAACTACCTGCTGAGCATCCCGAGCAGCGCTCGACTGTTCAAACCCCGGTGGCGGAGTTGTAGCACGAGCAGATGAAACGGGAATCTGCAATACTTTCGTTCGTTCCAAGCGCTTTAATCGGAACTACCTGCTGAGCACCCCGAGCAGCGCTCGGCAGCTCAAACCCCGGCGGAGGAGTCGTTGCACGAGCAGATGAAACGGGAATCTGCAATACTTTCGTTCGTTCCAAGCGCTTTAATCGGAACTACCTGCTGAGCACCCCGAGCAGCGCTCGGCAGCTCAAACCCCGGCGGAGGAGTCGTTGCACGAGCAGATGAAACGCGGATCTGCAGTACTATTGTTCGTTCTAAGTGCTCTAATGTTAACTACCTGCTGGGCAGTCTGAGCAGCGCTCAGTAGCCCAAACCCCGATGCCGGAGCAGTCGCGGCGCGGATCTGCCGCATCTGCAATACTCGGTTGCAGTAACGCTCTCAGAAATTTCAAACGGACCTGCTGAAAAATGCCAACAACGATCTGTTGTCCCGGTGGCGGAGTGATCGGGAGCTGGCCAGACAGGATAGGCTACAATACAATACGTTCTATCTGTTTCTACTTCAAATCGGTCAATTTTGATTTCGCATGCTCCCTCGACTAGACTCTATTTCGGACGTGTTCTCAGAACTGACTTGCATCATGATCGCCTCGTATGGTCCATACAATTCCCCATAGTTGTGTCCCGGTGGCGGAGCGGTCGGGAGCGGGCAAGAGACGAGAGCCTGCAAAGTTGATGGGTTTTTAGAGATTTTAGAGTTCTGAACTGACCGGCTTCACGGTCGGAGGAGACACCCAGTCTTTCGAATTCGGTGGCGGAGCAGTTGGACGCGGGCAAGACACGACCTCCTAGAAGACCGATTTGACCGTGAACATTGCCTTCTTCCTCACCTGAATGTTCCTCTCCTTCAGAGATTCCTCATCGGTTCCGTTGATTTGCTGTTCCAGGTACGTAGCGAGGTTGGAGACAGCTTTCGACTGAACGAGTCCACGACCAATAGAAGACGACTTCATCGTTGCAGATGTAGACCCACGAAGACTTGTGCACAAGCCTGTAGAAATGGTAATGATTGGAAGAAAACGGGAAGGCAGCCGAAGCTGCAGAGAGAGGGGAAAAGCGAGCGGGTCGGTGTTCGATCGAAATCGGCCGACAACTGCCGATCGCATGGGAATCGAATCGTTTTATAGGCTCGCCGCGAAACAAAACCATCGAAATTGAATAATGCAAATTTCATTGCGGGGGAGGGCTCTGTGTGGGCGATGCGAGAAGCGAGACGAACGGCCGTTCATGGGAATTGATATTGGAATCACGAAGAAATGTGAACGACCCTTCCCTTTATTTTGTGTGGGGGAACGATGAACTTCCGGAGGATTGAAATGGAAAAGTGAGAAGAAAGGCTGCTCTTCCCCTTTCCTTTTATTCCTCCCGGCCATAGATCTCAAACCAGAGGTCAAAAACCCGATTGAAATAGCTGCAGTCAATAGCTGACACCGTGGCAGCTATTGATATGCTGATTTCTGTTCAGTTTCGCATTTCTGCTTTCTATTCGTTTTTCGAAAAAGCACGAATTTCGGAACTGATCAGGTCGATTCCCAACAAAAATCGAGGAAAGGCGGAAGACTGAGCCTCTTCCTGCCCTTATGTTCGTCTCTTTTTTCCCACCGATGATGGCCCGACGAGCATCAAGCGGTGTCTCTCTCTCCTATCGCCTTTTTAGTATCTTAAGCACACGGAGGAAAGAGTAACGACAATCATAAATGGTTCGCACTTGCTCAAGGCGCCTGGCACCATGAGGAACGGCGACGCTGCGGCCCCCGCGGGCGCTGATGGTCTATAGAGACGGTATCTTGAGGAAAACGCCCGAGGAGGCCGAAGGGAAACATTTTTTTTGCAGAAAAGGCTCTTGAAATAGAATAGTTCGTGAAATGACGTTACACGGCAACTGTTGATTTCTAGGAGAAAGGGAACACGTCAGAAAAAGTGAGAAACTAGACTAGATTTGCATAGAGTTGGCTAATGTGACTCGACGGGAGTGCGTGTTGTGCGACCATCACTGCCGAGAGAGCTAAAGAAAGTGGGGGCCCGCGCCAGAACCTTCGACAGACTTCCACAGCATACATATGTACCAGACAGTGTCACTCTCTTTGCATGTGATTTGCAAGTGCCCGAGAAAAGATATTCACTCGTCATTTGCCCTCCCTCCCTCTTCGCCCTTTCGAAGCAGCAAAAAACTGGGGCCACAGATTTTCTTGGACACGTCTACAGCGTGTGTGGAAAAGTTATTCCTAAAATTTCAGAAAATTCCGAGAAAAAACCGAAAATTTTTCCGCAAACCGCTTGTTGGGTGTGTTCAAGAAAGTCCTATTTTTTTAATTTTCGAAAAGTTTTTGTTCGGTGCAGGTTAAAAACCAGGTGTTTTGGTATTGTGATGTGGCGGCTATTGATATGCTGATTTTGCCGCTATCTATCTTTTACCTTTTTTTTGGAAAAAAATAAAAACGCTTTTTCATCGCCATGTTCAGTAAAAGCGGGGAGTCTACAGTAACCCCGGGAGAGAGGATCAAAGAATATCTGTCTAATTTTCAAAGATCAGTAAGGGATACGAAAAAGGTCCCGTACAATCACTTCCCTTGTTGCCTATTCGTCGTTTCAAGCTGTAAACAAGTTCGAGAACGATAATATAACCAAGCGAACCAATTGGAGGAAACAAAGAGAAAAGTGGGGAGAGAGAGAGGGACTGAAACATCTTGCGACTGTGTAATGGATGGCGGCAGATGGGAAGTCGATGTCGCTGCCCAAAAGTGAACTGTTCTGTTCAGAGACGCCACACAAATCACTGTTTGATTATCAAGTTTGCAAACGCGTAGAAACGAAGACGAACCCAGCGTGCACCGAAACAGAAACAAGAAGAGGGGACCGTACTGGAGACGGGCGCGCGCACCTTCCCGGTCATGGTAAGGGGCGGGCAGTAGCTGATGGTAAGTGAGTAAACAATACAAGATGAGAAGGCGTGACAATTCGCTGAGGGAACCGCTGTGTAAATCGCTGAAAAGTTCGGACTTTGCCCCTCGACAAAAGAACTGTTTTGGAAAGGGAAAGAGGAAAAGGGGAAAGAAAAGGAAAAGGGAAATGATAACAGATTCGAATGGGGAGATCTAAAGTATGCGCGCGTCTCGCCAAAAAAACGCGATTTCTAGGTTAACCCACTCACCAATAATTGAACGCCAATCAGCTGACAACATTCGTGGACGGGCGTCTGCTGAAATATCTAGAACAGCTATGCGAAACAAATATGAAACATTTATGCAGTCGCGAAGGACATTTATTTTGGAAGAAAGTTCGCGTCGTCGCTTTTTCCACACAATCTGAACTGTAGCCAATTGCGGCTCATTTTCTCTGGCTGGCTGTTCGCATCGAATAGTCGCCAAAATGTCTTCCACTTCGAACGCCTTCAAAATTGCATCAGTTTTCCAGTTGGAATCAAGCGAACCCGGTCGAGGCGACCTTCTCCGAAATTTTCGATCAATCTGTGCATCATAAACCGAACATTTCCCACTTTTTTCCTGAAACTTTTTGCCTCATTCTGAGAAAAGAAGGACAATGAAGATCAGCAAAAGTCTCTAAGCATGTGTGTGCCTGGAACATGGCCCGTACCACTTTGTGTAAGGAAGAGGAATGACCTTATTAATAAGAAAAGAAGAAAGGAGAGAAATACACACGCACGAGAAGGTGATCGCATTCCTTATGAAGGGAACGATCTTTGGAGAAGCTACTCGATTTAGCAGAAATTTCAGACCACCCAGTCAAACCTTTTTGAACCACCCGGTTTCTAATATTCATCCGATCTTCCTGCTTCGCCGATCCCTTAATTTTCGCTGACGAGGCTTTTCGTTCTCTGACCAGGACGAAGCAAATCAACAAAACCCGATGTAAATGCATATTATCACATTTGCAAAACAAATTTCGAGGGTACCACGCGGTGCCTCTTTTGATACAAAGAACAAAGAATAACACGGGTTTCAAAGTTTATTCCAGATGAAAAAAGGAGGAGACAGTTTGGGGACGATGGCAAAAATAATACTGAAAGAGATGCAGAAAAATGGTCAGGGAACGTGAAGAGATAGGAAAAAGAAAAAGAAGGAGAAGAAGTAAATTATGAAATGAAAAGTAATTGTGACAGGGAAAAGAGAAGAGGAAACCTTGTGCTTGTGAGTTTTTCACACCGAATTGGGGAGAGACGGGCAAGATCCAGTCGACACGATGCATGATTGTTTGTTGCGTTTGATGATAGACGAAGGGCGGCGAGAAACGTTCGGGTTCTGAAAGTCATTTTCATGAAGAAAAGTGTGAGCCTTATCCAGTTTTTTTTTAAATTTGTCGTAATATTATCGAAAAGACACACTGGCCCTATCCTTACATTCATAGAGAACACGTCTCTGAACTCGGAGATCTTTTTCGCTTTGCTCACTGCGTACTCATAAGTCTTCTCCTTGATTTCCATCGGAACCGTCGTCTTAGTCTGAAAATGTGCAGGGTAGAAGCCGTAAAACACCTTGCGTCACAAAGCACCCACGCTCAGAGTTCTTTTTGTGGAATTGCATTGATCAAGTTATTGTAGGGTTTCCTTGTCGTAAAAGAACTTACAAAGCTATTGAAGATATCGGCAACGTCCACAGTAAATGGAACCGTCATTCGCACCGATTTTCCGTCTTCGTTTCTGATTTCTGCGTGCCAAACGGTCTTGTAGCGGTCGGAGAAGATGTACTGCTCGAGATTGCGTCGCTTTTGATGCTCGGCTAGTCTTTCGGCGTAGGTGGGAAATACTGGGATGGACACCTGAAAAAAACATTTGTTTTGTTGTCCAAAGTCTATGAACAGACATTTTCTATTCCGATATTCAATCCGGCGACTTGAGTTTTGATGAGTTCAGGGATATCCTTGGCGTGTACGTCGATCGGGAATTCTTGGTTGTAGCTGACCATGTAGACGGAGCAAACCGGACGGAGAGGGATGCATCGGATCAGTTCCTCATCGAGTTCTTCCGAAGAAGGCATGTCAAGCTCGGCCTGAAATGAGTTTCAAATTTCAAAAAGAAAATCAGTTTGATGTCTGAACCTACCTTTGTCATCTTAATGACCTTTGGTCTAATAACACTTTCCCGTTCGATTTCGCCCGATACGGTAGAAGGACGCTTTCTGGATTCGCTTTCCTCCTCCGAATCGCTGGTGCTTCGCGAGCTGCTCGACGAGTCGACAAGTGAGGCGGCAACAACGGACCGCTTGCAACTTGTTATTACCTGAACGTGTTGGTGTGAAACGATAATTGTCGGGAGAGAAAGTTGTTTACCTTCGTCGGAATACTACCCAGGATTTGAGGCTTCGGAGCAAGCGCGAAACCCTCGGGCGCCGAAGAAATAGAGTCCTCGGAAGCGTTACGGGCCAGGAAATGGAATATGTCTTCAGCGCTCGCCATCTCCGCCTCCTTATTTGTCCAATTACAGCCCGCGCTCCACCTATAACTCACGATTATAGGCTCGTCTGGTTGACATCAAAAAACAAGCGCCCACGCCGACACATTTTCAAGTTGTGTGAAAGAGAGAAAGACAATAAAGTGGGGAGAAGTACCAGCGGAAATGAAGTGAAGCGAATGGAGTGCACAATTCTGTTTTTTGACTCCTTCTTCTTCCAACCCCGCCCAATATCATTACACTCCACAAATGTGCTTTGCACCCATGATTGTATCCTAGCCGAGCCGAAGAAAAAAGAATGAGAAAGAGCATTGGAAGATGGATTAACTAATGTAGCGGTTTTGTGGACTAGGAATGGGTTCGGAAAGAATAGAACGAAAAGGAGAAGTGAGCGGCGAGTCCAATTTTCTTTCTCGCACCCTGCAATGGGCCTTTTTCTTATTCTTACCCCCTTTCCTTCTCCCCATCTCTCTTTTTTAAGGCGGGCTCAATCAGGAAAAAAGAAAAGCCGAGGGCGCGCATAAAAAGAGGAAAGAACACCTGTTCGTTGACGTCAAACAAATTGGATTGCCATTTATTCAGATGATGTTTTTGGAGAGAGAGAGAAAGGGAGAACGTCATTGCGTGGGAGTAGGAGTGCCACGTCACAAAAAGGAGAGGGAAGAGAAAAGATACGAAAAGTTAGTGGATGAGAGAAGACTGATACGGACAAAAGTTGATCGAGTGGTTGTCAAAAATTCGAATGTGATAAGAATTGCGCGAATCCAATGGTTCTTTCCTTGTTTTCGCGTACAATTTCTTCCAAGGGGGGGGGGGTCAGTACTTATAATCCGAAAGCACTAAGCTCGTCCGGGGGTTGGTTGGCCTAAATGAACTCTTGTTCGAGAATGACCTGTCAACCTATATCAATAACGAAATGAGAAGAAAAAGATAGAGAATGTATGTTATCAAAACAATCCGCGGAAAATGAAAAGGAAATGGGTGACCGCTCATTTCAAACTCATTACCGACCGAGTAATGAATGTACGAGCCGTTCAAGCGTAAGGTGGAATTTCGACAAATGATAGGAACACGCAAATTTGTGGTTTATTCCATGTTAGAACTGAAGTTGCGGGGGGCAACCCCATCGGACGGTGTAGAAGACGTCGTTTGGCTGTTATCAAACGCAATTCGCCGCAACAAAAGAACCTTTTTGTAGAGGAGAAAACAACGGCGGAAGAAATTAAAAACAGTTTGCCTTCCCTTTTCTTTTTCCTTTCCTAACATTCTCTTTTTCTCGTCAAACTTTAACTGAATGGTTTCGGGAAGAAAGGAAAAGAGAAAAGAAGAAGAAGGAGGAGAAGAAAGGGACGAAATGGGTGGCTGGAATGGGATGGGTGTCGATGAATGATGAAAACTGGCTGTTGGGAATAGAAAAGCGCTGTGCGTGTGTGTGAGCGTGTGTGTGTGTGTGTCTATCTGCTGCGACAATGCAGATAATCCATGGTGCGTTGACCGTTGTAAAGTGTCCAAATATATCGGGGCAGCGGTGGCGGTGGCGGCGGCGGCGGCGTCGAACGGACGGACGACGACGACGGTTTTTGCGAGCGAGACGATCCGCGATATCTCGGTCGCGTGAACTTTGTTTCGTCGCGGGAGGTTTATGTCCTATTAGACGACACACACACACACACAGGCTTCCCCCCGGTATGGGGCCCAGTGACCTGCGATTGTTGCGTCGGAAAGAAAGACGACACCCTTTTTGCTTTTGTTTACCTTCCGTTGATGACCTTATCCGCAAAGAATTACTTGGAAACGTGGGAAACTTTTGAAATTCAGATCTTTGGATTTCATGCAAATTAAGCCCACGCATAGACGTCTGAAGTTCAAGAAAGGAAGCATATCGGAAGTATAGTTCATGGACGGATTCCAATTAGTGGCCGCCCTCATATCCAGAGAACTGCATCAATTGGTGTAGACTGTAGAGCAAGGATAAATGCCCAAAACCAGATAACCAGAATGTGCATAATGTTCGCATCCTTAATTGGTTTTCAGTTTTCGAGCAAAGCCCTATGAATAAGATAGATTTTTTTAAAGTTAAAATTTTAAGATGCGGACTTTGCAAAACTGAAAATGAAGATAGATGAGCAGAACACAGGGCGTATTTCAAACGAGAATATCACCGCGGAAATCCACGAAGAAACGGTTCAAAAGCCAGACAGAAACCCCGTTTTCCATCCTAATCTCTTCCCCATTCTTCTTTCGATAAAATCTTCTTGTCTTCCCGAAAATTTCCCTTTATTCCCATTGTCCGTTTGATCTCCCTTTTAAAAGTGCACGATGTCCGAATTCCCTTTGTCTTTTGCTGCTGCAGTCCACATATGAATGAACATCGTCAATAAATTTATTTACTAAAAACAAAACATTTTTATTTATCAGTTCGTATCAATAGTAGTGAGTGTGGGTGTGAGTGCAATACGCGTTTTTCAACAGAGTAACAAAACATGTAAACAAAACAGAACGAGATTACTGTCCTACCCAAACCTTACACCGTCCCGATGGTTCTGGATACATCGGGGTTCCACGGGCGCATCCAAAATCTTTTCCGAATTCCGGAATATCCTGCATGACTTGGTTAGTTCTGCACTGAGCAGGAGAGTGTGGATTGGTGAGCAACTGACGAGTTAGTTAGTACGAAACAGATTGGGGCGGGGGTCACTTACCTGATGAACCAAGTTGGCATCCGTTTGTTTCATGCACCAGGAGTATCCGTAGGTGATCCAGAAGATCTGGTTTGGAGTGTAACTCTCCAGACCCGGAAGTCTGTCCTCCTCGACTCCGCTTCTAGTGGTAGCAATGTACTGTCTGTAGGCTCTGTAGGCGGCCTGTTGTCCTCCCAAGTCAGCAATGTTCTCTCCTTGAGTGGTGGCTCCGTTGGCACAGTGCACATTTCCGGTCTTTTCGGGGCAACATTGAGTGCTGAACTGCGTGACGACGCATTGAGCCATGTCAATGAAACCGGCGGAAGAGTTTGAGTCCATCCATCCGCACTTGTTCCACGCACAATCGGTCAGCTCTCCATTGAATCCGAACTGCACTCCCTCGTCATCGTAACCGTGGGTCAGCTCGTGTCCTCCAGTTCCTCCTTGTCCGGCAAAGTTGTAAGCTTGCGGGTAGTCGAAGTTGTAGTACGGTGGATTCCAGGCGGCGTATGGGAAAGTGATCGAGTTTCTTTCCGGTTGATACCAGGCATTCACCATTGCCGGAGATTGCAGGAAGTTCTCTCTGAAAACCAATCCGATTAGCTTATTTTTTTGTGATTGAATCACTCACCTCTTCGCTGGTTCAGTCAATATTCTGAAGAGCTCTCGGACTTCCATTCCCTTCTTCAAAACGGAGAAAATGTCGTAAATGTTGGATTTGTCTTTTTTGTAGATATCAATGATGGACGCGTAATCCTGATTGTAGGCATCGATGACGCTGAAGTCTTTGAAATCACCGAAAAGGGTCTCAGGCCATCCGTAGTTCTTGACCAAACTATCAGCTGAAAACAAGGAACGTTTAAATAAAGTGAACGGCTTTTCTCTAAATTTACATTTGTTGTGCGCACGATTCTTGCTGAAATCATCCATCCACTCGAGAGAATTAATCATTTCCTAGAATCATTAAAACTAGCAAAATATCTTGTTCCGTGACTCACTTGGAAGTTGCTGATAATCAAGTTAGTCTGATTCCTGACGTCACTCTGAACGGAGTACTTCTGGTCTTTAGACTTGACGTAGACGTATCCAGTTCCATAAGGCATGTAAGCGGTCAGCAGATCCATGCAACCTTGAGAAATGCCATCCAAATCCATCTTTCTGTAGTCTCTTCTTCCGAGTCTGCAAGCAACACAAAAACTGATAAGAAGTAGACGTGTTTGATTGATCACCTCCTGATTCCACGACCGTGTCTGAGGGCATAATGGATGTAGTTCATCTTGGATGCGGCTCTCGACGTGGCAGGGTTCAGGAAATCAGACTCATCGGACAGAAGTTGAGCAATCATATAGTTGGCAACAACGGTCTGGTTTGAGATCTGACCGGCAAACACGCTGTTCAGCCATGCGAAGTAGGACGGCTCCGTGACAACAATCTGCAAAAACCGAAAACAAAACTGAAGCATCTTTTGCTGTGAAATACATTGTAGTTAGACTGTGCGGTAGCATCGCTAACTCCATTGAACAGTTGTCCAAGGTACGACTTCCAGTTGATGGCTCCGTAGGCGGTAGTGGCGCTGGCAATGTTGTAAGGATTGTACTGTTGTTGATAGTTTCTGAAAGTTTCGAGTTTAACCTGTCCTTCTTTCTAATCTGGAATTGAATCGTTCTTTGCGGCACATACTGATAAAAAGACGAGAAATGTTGCAAACCTCAACAAGTCATCCGGCCAGGAAGCCATTGCGATTTGGACCTCGAAGTTGACAACTTCTTGAGCAGCGGCAAGAAGAGCATCGGCACCGACGTTCTTTCCAACGGCAGAAGCGAATGTGGTGAGAAGATAGTTGATATCGTCGACGCGGCCGTTCACCTCCGCAATATACTGCGGCTTCACATAGAAATCTCTGGCGAGAGTGAGCTCTGGCTGAAAACCGTTTCTTATTTTCAATGAATCCGACACTCAACCCAACCGGTCCAGTATAGAGGGCATTCTGAGTGTGGTCCTTGTAGTCGGAAGAACCAATGGTGTAGGTAAGAGTTCCGACAGCGTGCTTCTGCTCAATCTGTCCAGCCACATCCCAGTAATCCAAGTTGGTCTTCAACGATTCTCCGAAGAATGGAACTCCTCCGAACCTGAAAAATGACCAGCCCATACACACATAAAAAGAATCTCCCTAGCCTTACAAATCTTTGATCTCGGCATATACGGTCTGTGTCCTATCTGGCGGGTTCCCTAAGTAGTTCTTGCACGAATCAAACGCCTGCAAATATTAAGTTTGAAATTTTATGAGGTAGTTGCTGACTCCTTATCATATAAAACAGTTTCAAAGCGGTGATTAATTGAGTGCCAACTGACTAACCGAGATAATGATTTTTCTTAGTCATCACTAAAATAAGTCACTAAATCATCATGGAATGTGCATATCATAAGAACAATATGACGAAACAGCCGCTTACCGCTTTGGTAATCCGCTCTGTCTTGGAGGTTGCCTCGTTAGTAACGTCGACACTGTCGAGAGCAGAAATAATTTCAGAGTACACGTCGATTTGAGCTTGGTCATAAGTTCCCAGACGGCTTCTTTGCAGCTTTTGGAGGTCGGTGCTTTGGAGGAACTGTAAATTGAGAACATAGAAAGAAGCCGGAAAGAGTTCTATTTGACGTACCTTGTTGCAAGTGAACGCGTAAAAGTCTTGGCACGGATCGACTGTGTCGTCAAGTCCGTTCAGCAGATAGGCGGCAGCTTGTTTGTAGGCAGCATTGTTGTTCACATTGCCAGTTGACGAGTTGACTTGAGGAGACGGAGTATAGTGCCAAACAGGGTTATTGTTTACGGTAGTAGTGAGATCGTTAACATTGTTGAGGATGATGATGTTCAGGACGAGCGAACCAATTGCAATTCCGACGGCGATTATCACCGCGGCTGAAACGATTTCAAGATTTTTCTTTGCGGCTTCAAACTGTAAAACGTACCGATAGTGACTAGAGAAATTCCCTGCGACATGGTTGGAGCCGACGTCCGAGGCAAAGTGCGGCAACGTTATCATTTCAACCATTTTCATTATCATTATCAACAGTTTGTGGTTGAAGCGTCGTATAATCTGTTCGGTTTGTAGACACTTCGTATTTCTTTCCAATGATCCGATTCTTCACACATTACAAGCTAAAAGCGGATTATCTTTTGTAAGCATCGCACAACAAAATGGACGTTTTTGAGTTTTGAAAACAATCAAAACAGCGTTGACGGAAAACATCGCGAATACTAAAAAAAATTAAAAATAATCAAAGTTAGTGTGTAGATAACAATAAACGCAACCCAACTGAGAAAAGCTATGTAGGTACTTCACGAGAATATTGAGGGTTTCGTCGTTTTCCTCGGGCATCGTTTCTATTATAAGGGCACCGCACAGAAATAGCGCTCTGTTGAGAAACTCTTTTTGCAGTGCAAATTGAGCGACCTCGGGGCCGAGTTTGAAAAGTTAGGCCACCTTTTCAGTGGAAAATTACTTCGCGGCCTAGAAATTCTGCCAGATTACGAACAGCGCGCCCTTTCTGTCCGGTGCCCCTATAATACCATTTAAATACTGAAATGTCCTTCTGCATGTTCCGTTCCCGCTTGGATGGTCAACTCTAAGAGATCTTGCATGAATGGCTGACAAGTTGCACCGGCAGCGGTCGGTACACAAGCAAAGTGATCGTGGGTATTCAACTGAGAACAGACGCAGGCACGCAGATACTGTGACGGCTGGCCCGATGCCAAGACCGCTGGAAGATTGGAAGAGGGTTATGTGGCCAGAATATCACGAATTGACACGTCACACAAAAACTGGGAATGGGCTGGATTGGAATGATAAGCCAGTTGGCTTCCTCATTAGATTAGGGACAATTAATGACATTGTACAATGCTTTTATTTCCAGAGGTATGACCAACCGACGTTCATTCTCTTGTGTTCTACCTTGAATTCTTCCACTGAAATGGTTCTTTAACACTAATTTAATATTATTTTCAATCATAAAGCTCGTACTAGTCCAGAATCCTTCTTGCAATCCTCTTCTACCTTGCCACATTACAATTGTTCTCAAAACGTTGAGTTTTTGGAAAAAAAATTATTCAAATTCGTCACAGCACACACTTCCCTCTAGCCCTGCCTCCTTTCTCCTCGTCCTCTTCTTCTGAGCGCCGGCCGGGCAGCGGGCAGCGCGGTGTCGACCTGGCTGTTGCGGTGTTGCAGCGGCCGGCCGCCCGACGAGCAGGCGCATGCGTCTTGTGTGTGCGTCCCTGCCCTCCTATCGATCGGCGCATCGGCCGTCCCAACAAGCGAGCGAGTCGGCCAGCCGGAAGGGCCAGAAAACACGGACGAGACAAGGCGAGAGAGCGCCGGTCGGCCGGACGATGCGTTGCAACTCACGAAGACCAGTGACGTCGGCAACAGAAAAGTGAGAGAGAGAAAGAAAGAGAGAGAGGGACGAGAGATAGTGGTATTGTCAGAGTGTGAGGAACAGTCTTTTCTGACGTCTTCTTAGGAACGTGAGATGCAAAAAAAAAGAGAAGATATTGTGATGAACCACAGACCGTTTTGAAACAGGCTGATTAACAGTGATCAGATGATAAGTACAGTAGCGACTTTTGATTGAACTTGGATCCTCAAGGATGCAGAAGAATTGCACGTTTTCGATCGGAATTTGGGAAGAAGGACTATGTTTTTAAAACACTTTGATGATTAGGTGGAAGTCAGAATTGTAAACACAAAAATTAGTGTCTGACATCTTCGATCTTACTTTTGTGGAGAGTACGAAGAAACATTTTTCCGTGGACCTTCTCTCTTCCACGTGTTCCTTTCGCCCTCATTCAACGCGATTATCGAGAGCACTCATCCTCATTACTCTATCTCTGGTCCGCTAATAACAACGCCAAGAACGCGCCAACACAACGGAAACGTTCTTCGTAGGCGTGCGGTGTAAGAGTTCTGCATTTTTTCGTCGCAGTGTCCACGATCCGTATAGAAAGTGCAGGACTGTCTCGAATATCATTCTACAGGAATCACTAGAGCAGGTATGCAAAATATCTGAACGCTAATGTATTTCTAATGCAAAAAAACCCCGTGTTTCAATTTTTCTAAAAAAAAAAAAACTTTTCTGAATATTCAAATTTCGCTAGAGAAACAATGGATTCTCTGGTTCTTTTGCATAACTTGTCAAGTTTTTTTTCTGAATCGTCGAGATTGAAAAATGTCTGTTCTCATTGTAATTAATGTTCCGATACAATTCGACAACAGGTCAAGGTTTATTTGGTTGCCAAACCGAAAACCAATTGATAAAATAACTTTTTCTTATCATTTCCCGTCAGAATTCATTATTGTTGGTGATATTCGCTGAGAATGCAAGCGTTTTCTATTTTTTCCGTCCGATGGAAGAAAAAAATAGCATAAATTTCCCTTATTTCAGCGTCACAATGTCTGAAGCGTCTCCGAAGAAGGAGACCAACAATGTGAAGTCGCCATTGGAAGAAGTCAGAGAAATTAAGAAGCAGACAGAGCTCGTGAGTTTTTGAATCCCCGGTTCTTTTCTGAAATTCGACAAATTGCAGGTGGAATCGCAGTCTGTTGCAAAAACGAATATCGACCCCGAGTTCATCACAGTTCAAGACCCGGCCGGGGACGAACCCATCGAATTGCCAACTGACGGTTCCGGATCCGTATTGATGACGACCCTCAATGCATCGTTCCCCGGGGCCACCGGTCTCAAGTACAAGAATCCAAAAACTGGCGCAAATCGAGTCATTCAGTGAGTGGATTCTTGGTCAGAACGTGCACGCCATCTGATTGTCAGGGTTGACTCTACGGGGCTGAAACTGATGCCGCCCTCAGATGGATGGGACAACAAGACCTTCCATGTGATTCAACCACGTGAGTTTTCTTTTGGATATCTAGCTCATTAAGAGAGAAGACCGTCCACGAATGAAATGAAAAAAGAGTGATTTGGTGTGATTCAGAGAGCGAGAGAGTCAGAGCCTTAACCGCCGAAGAAACGACGAGTGCGAAGAGACGGAAAGTCGGAACGATTGATGAAACGGATTTGGACGATGGGCGCGACGGACGGTCCGGCAGGAAGAGAGCGGTTGAGAGAGACGACAGCCCTCCAGTTGACCTCATCGTTCTTGGTGTCGACTTCAAAACGACTGACGACCAATTCAAAACGTATTTTGAGGAGATAGGCACTGTCGTGTTTTGTGAGGTTCGTGAGACTGCAGATAAGACGGTGTGAAGAGGTGAAATGGCAATATTTCCTTGAATCGAAGTTTCGCTTGAAAGCACCCTAAATGACATTTGCAGATAAAACGAAAACCGGATGGTGGTTCCAAGGGGTTCGGATTTGTGCGCATGGCGTCACTCGATGAGCAGAACAAAGTGCTCGCCATCCCTCAGCACATGATCGACGGTCGTAGGTGCGACATCAAAGTACCGGATGGAAGGGTAAGAGCAGACTCTCTCTTGAGTCGTCTGTGAACAAAATGAAAATTTTAGGATAAGCAAGGGAGACCGGCTATTAGCCGCATTTTCATCGGGCGCCTCACGGACAAAGTGGACGAAAACAAGCTGCGTGAAGTGTTTGGCGACGAAGCTAAAAGCTACGTCGAAACGGCAGTCGTCACCGATGTTTTTATTCCGAAGCCGTTCCGAGGTTTCGCCTTTGTGACTCTCTCCAGCGCCGAAGCGGCTGAACGTATCGTAACGTAAGACCCCTCGAAAAAAGTTGAAAATATTCTTGATTTCCAGAAAGGGATCTCTGACAATATGCGGTTTGTCTGTCGGGCTGAGCATCGCGCAACCACGAGAAGAGAGCAATTCGTCCGGACCAGATTATGGCCTTCCGGCTGGATACCGAAGCAGACGAGAGCGCGACAGAAACGAGAGAAGACCGCCGTCGGTAACAGTCCCAAACATGTGATCACTTCATGATTACTTTATTACAGTCTGTCCATGTGGAGCCGTTCGCCTCCCCATACACCAGGGACCTCTTCCGTTCGTCACAACCCGGCTCTCCGTCTGAGCGTCGTTATTGGGGATCCGAACCGCCTCGTCCCTGGTAGAAGCTCGTCGATTTTGCCTGCTCCTATCATTTCTTGTCATTATTTCCGAGTTCCCAACTTAGTTTTCCAGTTTTTTATCACATTTTCTCGCTTGTGTCCCACACTATGATTAGTCAATGTATTCGATGATTTTTAGAATGAAGGCTGCTTCTAAAAGGATCATCCTTTGCGAAAATCTTATTTCTATATTATTTCCACTTCTAAAAACGCACTTTTATATTTCGAAAATGGAACAAAGCAGTTTTAGGTCGTACTTGGCGAGCAACTGAATGGATTTTTGCATCAAATGGTTGAATTCTTCCTGAATGACTTATTCCATAGCTATTTCTTCAGAAAACTGTCTTTCAGCGATGAAATCCCGAAAAATCACTTTGGAAATAAATATTATTTCGCCGTCGTAAATCGTGTTGCTATAGAGCGCACTTGCATCACTCTGCGTCTCCTCGTTATGGATCGTTTTTCAATGTCTCTTCTCACACACGAAGAAAGGGATACACGTTGGTGTTTGAAGGAAACATAGATCTTGAGACTGTTATTGGTCAATTATAGAATGAAAGAAATCGGGATAATGGAATAATGCGGTAGAAAAAGTTAGAAAAGGACTTGGTTCGGTGGCGAGGAAGTAATCGACGGCCGAACGGAATTTTTGACTTTCTTGAGCCAACCGTACACCGCCGCTTTGTAAGGTGTGATGAAACTGATCGTACATATCGGATTGATGACAGTGAACATGAGCACTGGCAGAAGCATGAAGTTCTCGCAAAGGGGGCATTCACCCTCTGCCCTTGCTGCCACGTAGACAATGCCAGAAATACATGTCCACATTGGAGCAATGGCTTGCACGAGAAGTACCTAAATAGGAGCTAGAATTCCGTGGTCATTTTGATTTCTCACATTTGCCACAGATCTCTGAAGCTTTTTCGACGCGATTGAGTGGTGAAATTTCACAATAAACTTTTTGATTAGAAACCGGCAGCTGAGTGATACGATAACAGCTGGCCATGAGAGAAGTACGGACACTGCTTGCATTACTGCAAACGCGGCTTCATGAGGAATATCCAAAATTATGGGCTTACTTGATTGTTCGGGAGACGACAAGTCTAAAACTCCAAAATACGTCAAATTGGAGCCAAGCAATTCTGGTCTAACTTTGGCCATCGCCTCATCAATCTTCTCTATCGGCTCCAGGGAAGCGTAGTAGATGTAGTTCTGAAAACAACAAACCCGTATTCACCAGACTTGCTACAGACCGGGCCGAAACTGGTTGATCACAACGATCGCAACCCTGACACCTATTTTCAGAAATATTACCGCAGTTTCAGAGACTTTGAAACGTCCTGCACGGCCCGAAATCTTGCAAGTCTGGTGAATACGAGGTTCAAGAAAACTCACAAAGAAGGCAATGTGAAGCAGAGTATAGACGTAACAAAAAGAGTAAACAGCAACTCTGTTGAGCCTGTCAAATGCCTTGGTGATTATGAGAGTGCGGTAAATAAATGATGCAATCAGCATGATGTAGTTGAGATAGAAAGGCCAAAGTTGAAGATCATAGACTGAAAGCGGAAGAGGAGGCTAATAGACTGGTAATATACAACTTACAAAACATGCAAAACTGAGATTTCGCAGTTCGGCTATTGAAGAAAATGTCGCAAGGCCCTCTGAAAATTGCAAAGAATTGAGTTCCAGTGGGGAAGATTCTGAAATAAACGTGATGAATATGTAGAAAGAAGATCATTTGGAACCTCGGAGCAGTCATCGCACCGGCGAATGCGGTCGCCGAGTCGGATAGGCTCACGATCAACAGCATTACCCTTCAATCAACGTGTTAGACTATAATAATAACTGAAAATACTCACGAATAAGTTTTTAAAGAGCCCGGTGTGAACTTGATGATAAGGTATGCGAGAATAAGGTTCAACAGAAATCCAACCGGGCCGAACACCGAGCATAGTACCTTCACAAGAGTATCAGACCAGTGATACTGCATTTTGAGAATAGAGTCAGATATGATCGGAAAAGATGGCCAGGTGCCCGTCGTTTTCTTCTTTACTGCTCCTTACCAAACTTGGGGTATTTGAAAATTACAGCTCACATACATAATAACAATCTTCGAAAAAGAAAAACACGGAGTGCGTCAACTAGAAATGTTGTGAAGGATGAAAGTAGAAAAAGGTTGTTAACCGGTCATAACTGAGAATTTTAAAATCAACTACAAAGTAATGGGAACGGCTTATTAGAAAATTAATGTTTTCGTTTGTAATATTTAGAAAAATGCCTGAACGGTTATCGTCGGAATGACTTTCGTTGGTCCTTGTTTGTAATTGAACCACATGTGTACCACTTTTCGGTAGGGAGGGATGAAGAGCAGAGTGCAGACGGAGTTGACGACGGTGAAGAACACCAATGGCAGGAGAGGAAGGTTCTCGCAAAGCGGGCACGACCCTCCGTCCACCACCATGGTTGCGAGGTAGAGAAAACTGGAGAGAGAAGTCCATATTGGAGCGAGAGCTTGCACAAGGAGCACCTGAATCATCAATATTGTTTTTTTGTAAGAGCAATGCGATTACGTTTGCAATAGACCTCTGAATCTGCTTCGAATGGCTCGAAATGTAGAATTTGTTGAGAACCCGGAGAATGAGCAGCCGACAAACAAGGGTCACAATGACTGTTGGGAACGGAACGAATACGGAAACGGCTTGCATGACTGAAAACAGCTGAATTCACCTCTATAGTTTTACTTTTATTACATGATTGTTCAGGTGAAGTGAGATCGAGAACGCCATAATAGGTGACATTGGATTCGATCAATCCTGGACGAACTTTTGCGATAGCCTCATCAACTTTTTCGATCGGTTCCAGAGCAGCATAGTAGACGTAATTCTAATTTTTCTAGATTTTTGATATTATTAGACTAGACAAGCTTACAAAGAAAGTAATATGGAGCAGACAATAGAGAGAACAGAGTGTATACACAACTTTTCGATTGAACTTGTCAACGGGCAACTGGCCGCTTGGGGGTTTGATAACTAGAAGCCGATAGACGGATGACACAAGTAGCATTATATAGTTGAGGTAGTACGGCCACAGTTGCAGATCGTAGACTGAAACGGTGAGGGGATAAATGTGAATCACGAACGTCCAAGGTAGACTCACAAAACATGCAAAACTGAGCTTTCGTGGTTCGGCTGCTGAAAAGTAGGTCACATGGACCTCTGAAAATAGCGAAAAACTGGGTGCCGGTGCCGAAAAGTCTGAAAAAAGCGGAGAATGAAGAGCTGCGAGCGTTTGAAAACCTCGGAGAAGTCATTGCACTGGCCAATCCTGTAGCAGAGTCGGAAACGCTTACAATTAGCAACATGACTCTTGAAGAAGCGCTTGAAATCCATTCAAAATCAGAAAAAAAACTCACGAATACGTCTTCAATGAGTTCGGAGTGTGTCTGAGGATGACAGTGGCTAGAATGAAGTTGGAGAGGAATCCGAGGGGTCCAAATATGGAGCAAAACACTTTCACGAGAGTATCCGACCAGTGATACAACATGATGTGAGGAAGACTGGACGTACTCGAGCTGACGACTAGATTGCCGATGACTACTATCTCTAATCATGTGTACTCAAAACACGAAATAATTTCCCCAGAGTATAACCACCGGATATGATGAAGAGTTTCTCAGCTATGATTTTCTCTGAAACCTCTCAGTAGATCTACGAAAAATTGAGAAGGAAACACGACACTCTGGTTAGGGACTTGTCAAGTAAACTTTTGAAATATTGTAGTTTTCCGGGTGTCAGATGATTTAGCGCAGACGGTTTTGAACGGAACTACGAAAAGACTATCAATTCATATTCAGTCTCAACGCGCCGAATGAGTTGAGAAAACTGATTTTTTCCTTACTTTTGTGTGACAGTCTTCCTTCTTCCTTCTTTCAATATATTAGATTCGAATTCCTAGAGCACTCTCAGACACAACTATGTACTTGACAGCTGTTCTTCCGTCTCATCAAAACAACTCTCCTCGGGTCGGCGCCGTACACATTTTCCTCAAACCCGGCCTTCGAAACATTACGCCTTTGTTGTTTGGAGATGAGAGAGGGCAATTGACCAACCAGAAAAAGTGGAAGCGAGCATCAGTCCAACTGCTAAACGACCAGAAATCACGAAGTCGCAAACTACTTGGAAGGCTTGTTCCAAGGTCTCCTGGAAATAGGAACAACCGTTCGCAATTACACTTTTTTTGAGATAATTCAAGTTTATTTTGGTTTTTTGAGAAACGGGAAGATGAAAATAAAATGTACATAACAATATCAAACAATGATTACAATTGAACCGGCTAATATACATTTTTATCGGATTGGTTAATATTTGAAGTGGATTGTGCTGTGCTCGTTCAATTCGCCCGATTCTTGCATTTTGTGGAACTGTTCGAGGAGGCGAGCGCGGGATTCTGAGTCAAGGGGAAGATCCATGAGGTCCTCTTCCATTATGTATCCATTTTGAGTGCCTAGGGTGCCTTGGGTGCCTTGGTTGCACTCCATTCCGGGAGGTCTTGCCACTGGAAATGATTCATTTGAAAGATATCACAGTTGATAAAGAATAAGGAACTTACCGGGACTGAACACCATCATTCTTTCTTTTTTGGCCGATGTGCCGGCAATAAGCAGAAGAAGAGTGAGAATCAGCGAGAAGAATTTCATTTTGAGCTGGAAAGCAACAATTTGAAGAGGGAACGGGGCAGTGCTAGTGAGGAAAACAAAGCTCGCGGGGGGTATTTATAGAAGAGAGCTGTTGGGCGGAGTCGAGTGAACCGAGTTGATGCCTGTTGAGGTCGTTTTAAGTGCCGGCATCATTCACATCTGCCGGCAGATCTCAAAAGGGTGATTGATGCGGTGGCGCGACGCCAGTGCCCGCCCAGACCTCATCGCAACACAATTGTTGACCTTGGAACAGCGAACTGCGTGAGTGACTCTAGGAATTCAAAAAAGCAGTGAAACGGAAAAAGAAAGCGTATCGGAACATCTAAGTACCCTTCAAAACATCCGATAGCCAGCAACAACAACAAGGCTCAGTGAGGTGAATGTTATTGCCAATTTGACTCGTACAATAAAGGTCATTGAAGAAGAAAAATAGAAAAGTTCACGGATTATTCCTGCTAAGACTCAGAAAGCAACCCGTGGTCCCCATCTACTTAGAAAATAGTGTGTACTATTCTGAATTTTCAAAATGAAAGGCTTTCTTTGTCAGTTGGATGAGAGCAAAGTCTGTAAACAAGGACTATCTTCTGACTATCTTCGACTGGAAGCATTGCCACTTGTTTAACTCTGCATTTCTAACCAGTTCGTCGGCAAAATCACAATGGGTGGTCATCTCAGAGTGCAACCTCATTCCGCTCGGCACTCAAGGACACCCAGTGCCAGGCACGCATCAACGAGCGGCCGCCGTGACCGCAAAGGAAATCAGATGGAAAGAAGAGGAGAACAACGTAAAATCCAAACAGGAAAGACTGAAAAATACAAGGAACTACTTTTCAGTGTTCTTGTTTTCCCGAATTTTGAAAACTCGATAATTTTTTGGAGAAGACACTATGGGATCCAGCCTCGAGAACTCACTGTGATCATAAAAGTACAATATATTTGAGGCGATTGGTCAGGGGACGTGAGGGTAAAAGTGAGAAGGGGGAGGACGACAACTTTTAAAAACTGCTTTGCTCAGTGTAAAGCTGAATGTGATGCGGGGGCACGGGGGTAAAAAAGTTTGTTTCAAAGTGGAACAGATATTCAGACAGTAAAAAGGACCTGACAACCTGTTACAGTCGCTGTAAAGTCGGAAATGTCCAGATTGCTGCCCCTAAAGGACAATCCAGGCAATCCGAACACTTCCGACTCTCGGGCTGGGTTTAGGCATTCTAGCGGGTACAATTGAGTTCAAAGTGAAGGAGAAGGACAAAAAGAAGATATTCAGACAGTGAAAAGGACCTGACAACCTGTTACAGTCGCTGTAAAGTCGGAAATGTCCAGATTGCTGCCCCTAAAGGACAATCCATGCAATCCGAACACTTCCGACTCTCGGGCTGGGTTTAGGCATTCTAGCGGGTACAATTGAGTTCAAAGTAAAGGAGAAGGACAAAAAGAAGATATTCAGACCGTGAGAAGGACCTAAACATCTGTTACAGTCGCGGTAAAGTCGGAAATGTCCAGATTGCTGCCCCTAAAGGACAATCCAGGCAATCCGAACACTTCCGACTCTCGGGCTGGGTACAGGCATTCTAGCGGGTACAATTGAGTTCAAAGTGAAGGAGAAGGACAAAAAGAAGATATTCAGACCGTGAGAAGGACCTAAAAATCTGTTACAGTCGCGGTAAAGTCGGAAATGTCCAGATTGCTGCCCCTTAAGGACAATCCAGGCAATTCAATCTGAACATTTGCGACTCTTGTGCTCGTACCAAGTTTTCTCGTGTATCCAATTAAGACAAAACTAGACGAGCACATGCTGACTCAGGTTAACGGACAAAATGAGAGCGAGGAGTGAAACCGGTTCGCAATTATTTATCTCTTTCGTTATTTTAACTGTAATTTTGTTATTTACCTCAATGTCCGTTCCGCTTTTTCCCCGTTCCCCTTAAAATTAAACACATCAAGCAGGGTCCCGTCACATATTTGTCCTGGACGGGTGCTGCCCATCTCTTGGTCCCTTTCGTCAATGGATTTCTCTTTTTTACCGTCTCTCCGTGCTTTTCTCGTGACTCCCCCGTGCTTCTCGCCTCTTGACACCACGAAAAATAGTAATCGTTACTCTCCTACGCTGCCCACACTCTCTCGTCATTTCCGATTGCATTTTTGAAGGGAAAGTTGGAAAGGGGCTCGTTCGTCACTTATTTTCAAATATAAACATTGGAATACGGTAGGATTTTGGCCCGGGAATGAAATTGCTTTTTTGGAACCTTCCATACAATAAAACCCAAAAAAGGAATTGCAAAATAAATGAATTTAGGGCACTGTAATCGGTGAGAAACTGAGATAAAATCCGCTGCAGTATCTCACAAGAGTTGATATTGAAATTCAGAATCAGATTGGTAACGTCTTCATGTTATCTTGTGTTTCTTTAACATTTTCCACGATTCTACTTTCACCAGAACTTTTCTGAAAGGCCCAGTGAGCGTTCTGATAATCTTACAGCACCTCTCTGTTTAGATTTTCAGCTCCAAGTGTAGTTCCAGCCTTTAGCCATCCGTTTTCAGCTGCGACTTCCGTGGGTAGTATTGAGACGGCGTGTTTCGTCTTTCCTCGTTGGAGATGTAGTGATTGTTTCTGGGGCTCACGGTAGATCGATCGAAAATCGTTTTCAACATGGCCGGTCTTTTCCAGGATGTTCAGAGGGACTTTGTGAAGGTCGGGTTTGCCAAGCTTTCCAGTCGATCTGAACCTTTTTATTGGATACCGCAACTTCCCTTTTCTCCTCTCGTTCTAATTTTCTGTCAATTAAACAATTGAAATTAGAAAGTTTGGAGCATAATTAATGTCTTTCGTCTAGCAATCATTCTTAGGCAAAACATACGCCGGACAAAAGTAGATTACAAATCGCAGGTCTCTTTCCTACCTCGATTCTTTGTCACCTCTCCGTTTTTTCCTCGTGACTCCCCGTGCTTTTCGCTCCCTGACACCACGAAAAACAGTCATCGTTGCCCTCCTACGCTGCCCACACTCTCTCGTGTCCGAAGACACTTTGGAAGAGAAAGTTACAAAGCTGCTTGTTTCATCACTTGTTTTTCGATTGTAAACATAGGGATACGGTAGGTGTACTGCCGGTGACCCTGCACACCCCGGCACCTGCGATTGCTCGCACGGGGACGGTGGTGGTTTTTAAACCCGGGAAACGAACAAAGCTGTTGTTCTGGAAATGGGAATCGTTGAGAAATCGGAGCTGCAATTGGAAGCGCTAGATATGTATGCTTACAAAGAATTCAGCGCAAGTGCCACAAGTTTTCCAATTACTAATCGATCAGCTATTTCTCTCGATCATTTGGCGCTTATATCAGATTTTTTGTTGATTTTGATGCGTTAGTTTTTCTCATAAGCTCTAGTTTCATTCAAATTTCTGTCTAATAAGTGCCATATTATGAAATTTCGGTGCAAAAGGATGTCCCATTCAGTCATTTATGCTTCATCGTCTTTCACTGTGTATTTCTCTGTCGGAAATTCTAATGTTTCAAGAATCCTCCGATGACTCAACCGGTGCTACTCTGACCGATATGAAAAGGATGAGTCATCCTCACCGACAAAAATCGAAACGTCATCAGTGAAGAGACCGCCGGTATTGCTCACGAGAAGTGTTTCCTCACTTTCTCTCTCACCCTCCTTCTCCTTTCTTATCATTCTAATATCTGACCCCGCCCCCCGCTCCGCGCTCCCCTGCCCAGATCACTTGTCATTCGTGTTTCCTGTCCAGGCTGGATTGTCGACCATCAGTTGAGATGCCGCATTCCCGTTCTAACTTTCCTCATCATGCACGTGCTAACTCCGCGGAAGTCGCTCAATTCAAGGCTTTGCCTCACGAGGAGAGACTTTGCAGAATGAACAATTACTTCATTCACGGCAAGATCGATTTTTGGCGTATCAAGAAATTGCTTGGTAAGAAAAACTCAAATTATTTCACAATCTGTCAATATCTTTTTTCAGGCCGCCTTAGCAATGTCTCAAAGAAAGAGCTCACTGCCTTTTTTGCGGGAGTCAAGAGACTCGAAGATGAAGACATTATTTATAATGTCTACCTAAATATTCAAAAAAAGAATATCGTTGGTAAGTGTTCCTGAACATTTTATTTTTCAGAAAACGTATTCAACTTGTTTTCAGAACGCATGTCAGATGGGCAAAAGAGATTTTTCATGAAACTTTTCGACAATGGAGGAAATTTGAAAACTTGTGCCTCGAGGAACCAGGCAAACGGGATCTGTGAGTGCAGTGGAGGCACCCGCGATAAATACCGCAGTGATTTGGTGAGCGCCGTCCTGGAAGAGCAAATTAGACAGCAGCTAGGAGTCGAACAGCCGATCGCCGTCGTTCCGGCAGTTCCCGTGGCTCAGCCGATTGCCCTTCAGCCGGCCCCCGTCGTTCTCGTGGATCCAGCCCGTCTGCCTAACGACATCTTGCCCATTGCTCAGGATCCGGCCTTGCAGATGATGATCCGTCAGATGATGGGAGAAATTCTGCCGATCAACGGACAAATCGCGAACGATGAGTGAGACAGGATCGCAATAATTCATTCCTCCTGTATTTTTCCTGTTTTTTTTCCCGGATTCTTATTCTCATAATTTGTTGTCCCACATCTTATAAGCGTTCCTTTTCCACAAATAGTTTTTCCCCACACAACTCCTCTCTCATCGAACATTCGCACAAGTTTTTCTCCCTATTCGCCCCGTCTCTTTTATCTTCAAGAATTATTAAATTTGAATAAACTTTAAACGAAATATGATTTGAGAGGCTGTCAGTTGTTAGCGGTTTCAAATTCCTACCAGAAGGAGTTCGAGTACCATTTTTGGGCTATTTATTGTGAGATAGTCTTTGGCACAAATATGAATATCACCGTTTCCATCTAATTTCCAGTCAATTTTAGGGTGATCGCCAAGAAACGAACTGATTTCCAACCAACGACGTGGATGGGACACTACTTTTTAAAGAACAAAGTTCGACCGCACTCGCGTACGCCGAAAGAGTACTTCAGGTTGACTTTCAAAATAAGCATCTACAATTATCTACAATCAACATTTTGAGCTTAAAACGAGCAGAATTCCTTCAGATATGAAAAATGGCAGCGTAGGCTGCTCGCCTTTCTCATCTTTTGGTCGTCTATCGCATGAAAACCTTTGCAAAAAGGAAAATTTCAATTTTGTGTTGACCACTACGCTTGAAATGTCAATTTGAGCAAGGTAGCCTATAATTGAGATTTCATGAAAACAAGTGGAGGCAGTTTCGTAAAAATTTCCTTTCGATTTCAAATCGCTCTAAAGTATGCTGTACGAATGGTCGGACACGTTTGCAAGATTATGGACTATTACTGCTGGCTCAGTCTCCATTGTGTTCAACATAGCTCTAACAATTATTATCAGTAAATGTACACCAGAGTCTCTGAAGACATACTCGTAAGTCAGATATGAGCGTTGCATGAACCTCACTCATTTTTTCAGTATATTTTTAATAATGATGAGCATCTCTGACTGTCTCATTGGTTTAGGAACTATCATGAGTTCTCCGAGGTTATTAATGAAAAATGCCCCCCAGTTATTAATCCTATCATATTGTTTCAGAATAATTCCAACGACTACTCAGTTTTTCGCAATAGTTCGAGGGCCATGTGAACTAATTTTCGACGATAGAACTACCAAGACGCAGTTTTGTATGTATTGTAAGTTCACAAATGTGTTAGTCTCCTAATGCTTTTGTTTTCAGTTTATTCCATTCAACTTCATTCGTACCTGTTCACTCATATCTTACTGACGGCCTCTTTCATTTATCGTCTGTTCATTATCACAATGCCTTACGATAAACTGAATCGAAAACTCGTTTACACGATCTGTTTCTTATACAGCATTCTTCATTTTGCAGTTTTTGTAAGTTTGCGGCTTTTTTCTAAATTTTTTTGTTGCTATTATATCATCAGAATTACATACATTTTGCGGCTCTCGAACCTATCGATAAAATAGATGAAGCAATGTTGAAAGTTCGGCCTGAACTCGTTGGATCTAACTTTACGTACTTTGGTGTCTTGGATTTATCATCTCCTCCACAAACATGTAATTTCTCAATCCAGGGCGGGCAAAAGGACAGCCCCGGTTTCTCGAAAACTCTTTGTGGCCTCGTCCCTGAGAGATTTGCAATATTCCGTAGGACCCGAACGTTGCAGGCTTCTTGGACTTGGATTGTAATATCTTGGATCCAAGTTACTCTGTGGATTTGTGAATGTAACATCAAAAAGCAGGGGTTTTGCAAAAATTGAGGCTTTTTATGTCGTATTCGGGTCCGATCGGAATATTTCAAGTCGGTCAAAACCTGCGCCGGTCTTTAGCTCAGCTCTGATTCAATTCAAATATTCTAGTTCTCCAAATATTGGCAGTTGTGACTCCACCGGCAACTATCATCATATCGATCTTCTGTCGCTTTCGCATTGGAACATATCTCAAAAAGAATCAATATTCAAATTCCGCGAAACAGCTCCACAAGTCAATAGCCAATGTAGAGAAGTTATGCGGTGATTTCCCAAAAGAGCTCGAGTTTTAGGTTCTGCTTTGTCAAGTGATCGCCCCTACACTAACCACTCTCACCTCAATACTTTACGTGAAAATTGAGAGTTCTATCGAGATTTGTGCAATTTGCGAAAATGGGCCTCTCCTGCTGTCCGTTTCGATGATTGTCCTTAATCCAATTTTAACTGTTTATTTTGTTGCCCCATATAGAGTGGTCATATGGCAGTGGATCAGACGTTTGGAAAAGGTAAAAAAAGTTGTGTCTGTGAGTACAAGCAATCGAATGCACTGAACACTACCCGCTTTGTTTATTTTTATTGACTCGCATTGTTCTATTTTGGTAATAAACTTTATTTTGAGTTCATAAAAAGACAATTAACAAAGAACACAAACAAGAAAAATTTGAGATAACAAGAAAATGCAGTTAGGAAACAACTTTTCAGGCTTCTTGTACTTGGATTAGAGTAACTTGGATTCAAGGGTCAGACCGATCAGATTATCTGGACCCAAAATATATTGATAGGTTTGAAGCCGGAAAGGCCAAATCTCTTGCAAATACCGGCCTTTTCAGCCTCGAATTCCCATACCTCGGGACCAGAAAATCAAATCGTTCTGAAACTTGGACCCAAAATACTTTAATCCGATTCCAAAGAACATGCAACGTTTGGTTCCGATAGGAATATTTGCGAGTGGGTCAAAAGTTCAGATCTCAAAAAGATTTCGAAAAGCCTAATGTCTGAGCCACTCATTTCCCGCCAGCACATCCTCTCGCCGGTCGCTGTAGTCCACCAAGATCTCCTCTCCGGCCGAAATCTTTCGGGTGGCAAAGAAAGCCAAATGCCATTCATTGTTAACAATCATCACCTGAAACACGTCATTTTATTATTCTTCTAAATTTCCATGATGAGAGGGGTCGTGAATTGATTTGCGCAAAAGTTACGCGCAGAAAAACCATTTGTAACCCAAGCTCTAAGAGGAGTTTGTTTTTCCGTTCGGATTCTGCATCGATTCATGTAGAAATTAGTTTACTACCACTTTCATAGAGAATAAAAGCTTATCAGGAAGCAAGCTCACTTTTGCTTTAGCATTGGCATTGGTGATAGAGTGGTTGATGTACCGGCTTTTAGATTCTTGGCTGTTGGTTGCGTCGACGCACTTGTTGCCGACGAAGAAGATGTAGCAGACGTCGTTTCCTTCTTCTTCCAATTGCCGCTCTCTCGCCAGACCCTCGCTCTTGCTGATCCACTCTCCTGGGACAAATTATTGCTAACAACTACAATGATTGGCTGGAATACCTTTGAACTCTAAGAGAAACTGTCCCTCATAGAACTCTTGATTGGTCCTGAGACCTTTTCCTTTGTCGGCCGTCTGGAATACCTCAAACTCTCTATCAACAAGGCTCCTGGTAATTCCGATCATAGCCTCAAACATTAGCTGCTCCTAAAATTACAGGTTCGTTTCGAATTAGTCAGTTTGGTTTTCTGGATACCTTCAAAACAGTCTCTGGGATGCGACGGGGTCTCATCGAGCGCGTTTCGTTTGCCTGCGGGGCGCTGAACTCAAAAAAAATTAAGAAAGTGTACTTTCAACTCACTTTTCAACTTCTTTCGAAACAGATCTCACAGAGTTTTCACGTGGAAGCATTTCTGATTTCTGAAAAAGGTAAATGCTTTGCAAATTGGATGACTGTGAGTTACAAAAGCTTTCCAGCTTTTCGCTTATAAATTTTCTGCAATGAAAAGTGGAAAAGATATGTCAGCAACTGAGAGTGCGCGTGTGTAGAAACTCACTACTAGTTGACATTGAAAGAGAGACAAAGCAGACGTGTCTGTTATAAAACCATAAATTCAAATTATTGATGCACGAGACACTGTCTGAGCGACGTTCACTTTTACGACCTTGACCGTTCCTTCGGCTTCTCCGTCGTGTCGCAACTTTCAAAATGATCTGAAGCAAATATTCGGGGGATTTTCAAATGACACTCCTGCACTTTTTTCAGATTCAATTCCCTTCGATCCCCGCGGATTAGCGTTCAACTTGATAACGACGGTGATATTGTAATTTCACGTTCGGGAAGTTGTCAGCTTGTGTTCAGATTATCATTTTCGAATGCGCCCCCTCTACTTTGTTAGATATTCGTCCTGCTTTTTCCAAAATTAGCTTTGTTCATGAACATGAGCGGTGCCAGGTGCCGTCTTCGCATTTCTATTCCCAAAGTCCCTGATTGACGTAATCAGTTAGCTGATGCTGAAGGTTTTAGCATTTTCAAATCATCCTTAACGTCTAAACCATTACTATTATTTCTGAATCATCATTCATTCTCCAACTCCTTTTCCGCCAATATTGCACGTCTACCTCATCCGAATCCGGTTCGAAATGCGGTTCAGCTTCATTTTCTCGCTGATCTCCGTTCTGATGGATTCTGTCTGCCTCCCCTGCACTGTCATCTTCCTGTCCGTCGATATCTTCCGAAGCCCAAAGAATCTCGTCTCGGACGTCCTCGCGTTCTCTCGAACCATTCTGTATTCAGTGGTCAGTTTGGATTTCCTTCTGGGCTGGGTAGAAGGCCAGAATTTTCGAAGCCTAAAGTTTTGAATCTTTTAATACTGCAAACAGACCCAGACTTTGCAAGAACTTGGATTGAGGTATATATATAGGCTTTATATCAACATATCTTGTGACCAGATAATCCGATCGGTCTCAATTTTGGGCGCAAGTTATTTCGATCCAAGTTCAAGAATCCTGCAAAGTTTGGGGCCTTGAAAAAACGGGGAGTTGAGTTGAGGCCTCAAAAATCCCGGCCCGTCATTTGTCCAGCCCTATTTCTTCTCACTTCTCAAACGTTTGACTGTTCAGAGCGTGATCGTGACCATCAGCACCGCCGTTAATCTGAAGTTCCCCGCGCTGCTCAGCGAGACAGACTGGTTTACAACGATGCTCGCCAATTCGGATTCGTTCAAAAATTTCGGACTCGTCTACTATCTCTTGAAAACCAGCTTTGGCTTCAATTACTTTTCGGCGGCTTTCCAGTGTCTCAGCACAGTCCAATTCAAGTATCATCAATTGAAAGTGAACAATATAAATATAAGAGTGGCGGTTGGTGATACTCACTTAAAATTAAAGCTATTTTCAAGGTTTCAGGGGCTGAGAGACATTTTCGCATTGCTGTCTATCACTGGTTTCAGCTTTCTCGTCACTATTCCAGTGATTCTGAACGATCTCGAAATAATTCACCTCAGCGATGGTACCTATGTTTTCAAAAGCTTATCAGAGGTATCATAGGCCGAAAAGCAACATGTCTCTAGGGGAATAATCACAGAATGGAATGCTCTTCTCGGTGTGTGCTATTGCTATTTGTGGTCTGTTCTCTTTTTCCATCTCAATTTATGCCCACAAAAGTTTGAACGGAACATTGGCCACTAAAGATTTCGTCTCTTCTGCTCAATTGAAAAGGATCAACAGAAGCTCATGCATAGTTGTATTTGGATTGCTCGTAGGAATTTTCAATATGGTACGTGGGCTTCAAAACACAATTTGAGCCTAATTTATAATTTACAGATTATCATTCGTCTTAGCATTACTTGCGAGTTTTTCGAGCCAGCTTTCCTTTACGCCTACGCGTTTCTTCCAGTCACAAGCTCTTGGATGTGCCATTCGGTTACTCTCGCTCACATTATTACAAACAAGAAGGTATGATGACTATTGAATGACATATGGCGACTTAATTTGATATTTTCAGAAGCGGGATCAGGTGATAAAGATTGTGAAAGGGAAACTCGGCATCAAAACCGGACTGGTCGCGCCTTTGGATCCGCAGGCACATTCTCCAAACCGTGTTTTCACAATCACCCAGAGTGTATCTCCAATGAACACAGCCATAAACATTCATCGTAGAACACTCACAGTCGTCGAATGAATGTTTATTTTGGAACGTGAATCCCCTCCAACTTTTTGCCTCTGCTGATTGAGTTTTTCGAGCCAATTTTCCTTCTCATACTCTTCCCATTAAGACTAACAAACTATACCCCTTCATAAATCCCTGTAACCGTTTTACCTCGGCCTTCTAAATTGATGAAATGTCTTTGTTCCTTTCCCAGCTCTCGAATTTTACAAATAGTATATGTTAAAGCTCTCTAATCCAATCTCACCCGTTTCTTGTGCCCTAGTAATGTGCTTTTTTTCTGTTTTTACTTTTCGCTGCCGGCTACATACATATATCTATTGATAGCCAGTCCCCGATCTCCAGTCCTCAATCTCACTCCAAGAAAAAGTTCCCTCCGACTCCAATCACCTGACACTTCTAAGACGTTTCTCAAAAACTGAGCTCGGTTCGTTTGCGAGCAACTTCTCTTTCCTCATTTTTTCTCGGGACTAGATGCCAATGTTCTTCTTTTCCTTTCAATGTCCTTTCTTTTTGAGACCCATAAATGCTCCCTGTTTCTTTCCCTCTTCATTTTTCCGAATCTATGTAGTACACTCGCCCTCATTTATTTTATTTGCTTCATTTTGCGAGGAATGTAGACTAGACCACGTGTCAAAGGTCTTTTACTTACTTGATTGATACTTGATGCCTGCTGGTTCTAGATAATAAAGTTGCTGGAAAAAATCTCTCCATTTTAATCGGTCCTTTTCTGCGGCAGTAGACCAAGTCGTTTTTTTCTGGACTTCTGGCCGCGGCCACAGTTGAAACTCTGACCCATCAGTTCCCATTCGTATTCTTCCAAACGACGTCTTCTTTAGAGGACCTGCCGACATAATGGTTTTTAGCACATAATTAAAAGTGAAGCGCTACAGAAATGCTGAGAAATTCAAATGCCATCCACGCTTTTACGGTGAATAACGGCTAGTGAAGAGAACAGCAAACAAATCGAATAGTACTTTGTGACCTACCGGTCAGCCCTACTCAACATTGAGCCAGTTGGATCCGACCTTCTACCGAATAGAGGCCCGTGTAGATCCTCTGAAATTTCACAATCATCTTCAGATAGTTCTTTGTTTTCCCTTTTTTCTAGAAAACACAAAGTCCGGCGACCCTTAACAACATGCGTCTATTGGCCCCGCTCTACCGCAATCACACGTGAAAACTCGGCCGCGACCGCGACTGATATTGAAGTGTTCTAAAAAGAACACTACATGTATGTAGCCGAACGCGAAAAGTAGAAACAGGAAAAAAGCACATTACTAGGGCACGAGAAACGGGTAAGATTGGATTAGAGAGCTTTACCATACACTTTTTGTGAAATTCGAGGGCTGGGATAGGAACAATACCATTTCATAAATTTAGAAAGCCGATGTAAAAAGGTTACAGGGATTTATGAAGGGGTATAGTTTTTTAGTCTTAATGGGAAGAGTTTGAGAAGGGAGATGCGAGAAAAACTCAATCAGCAGAGGCAGAAAGTTGGAGTTCGATTCAAATTGTTCTCACCAGAATTACTTGCAAATACTTTTTTCAGACTTGTAGATTTACCAAAAGGATCGTCATGTTGGAAAGGTCGTTCGAATACTTGGACACTTCGAGGACCTCAGCTCCATCCCTTTTTCCGTTTCCAAAATGGGTCCATTTCGACGACAGAACACTTCTCGATTGATGAAAGTTTTTATGAAACTTTGAGGAGAAGGGGGCAATGTTTGACAAGAGTTTGGTGAAGATGACTCAGGGGGGGGGGGAGGGCGGTCATACTGTTATCCCTAATGTTATTGCATAAATTTCCTATAAAAACCCTCCCTTGTCCCTTTTTCTCTATCAGTTCTTCGAATATGAACAGTCTTCTGGTAAAACTCCCTTCTTGTGCTACTCTTTTCCCCAAGTTTTGTTCCAGATTCTCTGCTTCCTCCTCTTCGCCATCTCCGCGACCTTCGCAGATCCGGGCGGATGGATTCCGTACTTGCACCCGTGCGAGCACGATAAGGAGTGCATCGCCGAACTCATCTGCCGCCACCAGCACTGCAACTTTGAGTACGACGGACCTGATTACGATTGATCGTGATGATAAAGATTTGAGCATTCATTTCAACTTTTATTTGTTCTTTTTGAATTACATGGTCACCATAGAGATAGATCAGACTAGCTTTGCTCTGATAGTTCGGTGCTCTAACTCTGAATGTGTTATCAAATGTTCAGGCAGAACTACAAATCTATAATGTGACAAAATAAGATTTTAGGTTACATTTTCGACAAAATAATTGAAATTAAAAGAGTGTTTCGTTTTGAGATTGATTGGGTTAGACTAGTATAGAAGTTTCTCGTGCTAGAATAGAAGAGACTGTTACGATTTTGATAAGTTTGTCAGTTGTGCTGAGAGATGACTGTTATTATAGGGGCAATCTTCTTTCTAGTGAACTTGAACCAACTTTGGAGACTATTTCGGTACGATGGAACGGCGTAGATGACAGAAAATGGATTAATGAAAGAGGAAAGGACAACTGGGGAAAGGAGCACATTCTCAAAAACTGCCAGCCCTTGTTGGCCATCGTTATCTACGAAATGGTAGAGGAGTGCAGTCACAATCGACAGAGCGGGAGCCACTGTTTGCATCAGGAGGGACTGAAATCAAAAAAGGGCATTCGTGTCGCAGATAATGAAAACTAACGTTTGCCACATCGTCGTGATGCTTTTTGAGGTGTCCGGTGAACTGGTGCAGTGACAGTTGTCTTATGACCAAACACTTACAGATGATTATGATTAGCACAGTAATCCAGGGAACGACAGTCTTCAGAATAGTTATCACTGAAAGTGTTCAAATCAAACGGATTGGAAATTTACACACGCGGCCCGGGTTCGAAAATTGTAAAATGTTTTTAGAAATAACGATTGATTTTACGGATTCTTTCGTATTCTTGAGAATTGCCTGTGGATACACGGAACTTACAAGAATGAGAAAAGACGCTCATGTTGAGATATCCAGTGAAAATCCAGTCAGCTTGAATCAGTTCCGGTCGTACAATCGAAACAGCTGACATAATCCCATCGATATTTTCCAGATCATAAAAGTGGCTCATAAACTGAACGGAGAAACGTAAAAAATATCATTTGATCAGCAATTGAGCGGTCCGAGTTTTCTAAGGGCCTGCCAGTGCTTGGGCTTTGGACTACTTGCAAGATTCCAATTTAACCCAAACTTCGCGATTTTCTGAGGCTAGAAACGAAGTATTTTGAGTTCATGATCGGATTATCTAGTCTTCAGATATACTGATCTAGGACCTGATTCCCTAGTATTTGCAGAAAGACCGCGCTTTTTTTGGCTCTCTAGTTCAGGTGATCCGATCGAAACGTCCAAACGCAGGCAGGCTCTTGAAAAACCCAGCATTTGATCGAAATTACCGTGAGTGTTATGTGCAACCAAGAATATAGGCAGCAGAAGATGCAGACGAGAGCTTTGTTGAGATCCGTGAAGAGAAACACCAGAAGAAGGATTCGGAAGAGGCAGGCGGCAATTAGCATGAATTGATGAAGAAGAAACAGCTTTTCTTGTAGATTGTACCCTAAAACAGAAAGTAGTAAGCGAATAATTTGTGGTTTACTTACACAGCAAACAGAACTGAGAGTTGAATTCGAGAGAGTCCGAGAAATGTGTGCACAACCCGCTGAACATGAAGAACATTTCATTTTTAGCAGTGAACACTCTGGAATGTTGAATTTCCCCGCTGAATGGGCAATCATGTCTGTTACCTGGAAGTCGCAAATAGCGAAGAGAGACCAATAAAGCAATTAGAGACGGCTCCGATAAACAGCATCACTCTGAAAGCTCACAATTAGGATTGAAAACCGAACAAAACATGACTCACGAGTATGTCACCAGTGGTTTCGGAGTAGACGTGACGATAAGAGCGATGAGAAGCGCATTTCCGCCGAATCCGATCAGACCGACACCAGTATTCCACAACTGGACGACGGTGTCCGACCAGTGCTCGGCCATCGTGGAAGCTGTGACTGAGCCGAAACAGAAGAGAAACCACTCCGGACCAAACCACATCATTTTTTTATTGTTTCTCAAAATAAAAACGGATAATCGTCCGGTGCCCACGTTTGTCTGCACGCAATTGTCGCTCACAAACGGTAGCCCATTTCACCCCGCAATTCGTTTTTGCACAAAAAATTGAAGCTGCGGTTGGGTTTGAGACTGAGAAATCAGAAAGCAGAGCGAAAATGTTTACGACTAACTTTATTGAAGAAAAAAAACGTGGGCTGGATATAATTGACGGGAAGACAGAGTGAGAAAATGCCGAAAAAAGTGATGTTTTACATGAAAATTATCAAGAATTACTGGAACTTATTAGAAAAGTTCTTCATTTTTTCAGAGTTTATCATCAGATTCGCGCTCGGACTCCACTTTCCCTATCGCAAAATTAGGCGGTTTATAGGTGAGTATCGCGGTTGCGGACTGCGCAAAGGCATACGCGCAGTGGGAAGACATCAAAGATCACATTGGGTGGCAAATGTTACTGCAGATTTCGCTTTGCGGAACAGTTTTTCAGCACTTTTTCTAAAGAGTTTTAAGTAAAACTGAGCAATTTCTTTGCAGAAAAATAAAACGACTGAAAAGACTGAAAGAAGGGGAGAAGGAAAGGGAAAGTGAAATCACAAGAAAAAAGAGGCGAGCCGATCAAAATCATCATCATCTTCCAATTCTTCGTCATCATCACTATTTTCTCTCTTCAATATTCTCTCGTGCTCATTTGTAGTTGTACCCTCATCCTCATCCTCAACATCATCATCATTTTCGTGGTCAGAACCAGAATCCGCATTCCCATTCCGTTCGTTTCCCAGCAACTCGTCCGGCTCATCCTCTTCGTCATCTTCCTCCTTGTTCTGATACGCAATGGCAAACTCTCGAACACCCGGAAATTTCTGATCGACAGTTTTCACAAATTCACGAGCGGCCTGAAACAAAACTGTGATACAATCGTCTACTTTTCCTTTGCTCACCTGAAACCACTGATGAACACGCGAGAAGTTGTCGAGGAACGACTGAGCGCAGAGATGAAGGTTTCCGGCATAATAGTCCAAAACCTCGGTGGAAGCGTTATCGTGCGCGATCATCTGAAAAATAATACACAAAAATTGGTGAGAACAGTGTGCAACATACTGCCTGTTTCGAAATTTGGGTGATTTGCTCCTTTAGGTTGTCGAAAATGTCGTTGTTTGGCATTGTTCTCTAAAAAACTCTTGTTTTGACCTCGAACTATGTAGTTCTATTCTATTGGGACATTTCCAAGAAAGTTCGCTCTGTGATCACCGTGGCCTAGTTGTTCAACAGCGAAAACGAATTTCAGTTTTTTTTTTTCAAATTCTGGAGGAACTTTTAATTTTTTTCACGTAGCGCCTGGTCCCAGGTCTCCTTTTCAACAGAGCACTTTGAATTGCCTCGATAGTACATACTTCTAAAAGCAAGAGGGTGGAAGGAAATAACGCGCATTGTGTCCACAATGCAAAAGGGACGGCGAACCCAGTGCGGTCAGCAGCCGCTCTCTCTCTCTCTCTTCTTCTCACTATTTGACCGGGTGGTCTATAGCAGCCCTTATAGCTCAGTGGCAGAGCGTTGGTCTTGTAAACCAAAGGTCCGTAGTTCAATCCTGCGTGGGGGCAAATTTCTTTTGAACATGACACATATTATCATTTTTACATAGCGTTAAAATACCACATACACGAAAAATCAAGATTTTTAAGGATCAGCGAACTCTCCGAAGCTAAGTTTCTTCCTGAATTGCCTCCTATTGCCAAAAGCAATCAAAGTTGTGGCCGTGGTCTAGGAAATTCCTCTGCCATGTTTTCTTTTTCGGATTTTTTCTGTTCGCCACAATCTTCAGACGTTGCCAGACATTCACAGCAATCAGCAGCGAGTCATAATGAAAAGTCGTCGAATTGGCAGCAGGGAAGAGTTTTCACGCCCGAATTTCCAAGGCCGCCACCACAACGTTGAATGCCCGCAGTTCCGTTTATAAGCATTTCTGAGAGTTGGTATTCAGAGAGTCAAACAAACAGATAAACTCAGATGGTTCCATGAACATTGAAAATGTTGAACTGGTTTGCATAGAAACCGTAACGATGAATGACGGCCTAACAAACGGAACACTGAACACACTAGGAAGGAAAAAGTGGAGTACTTGACCGAATGGAATATATTCACTCTTTTATATCATTTTTGTGTGTGGGAAGAGGAACACGGCTTCAACGACAATTACCCTCGTGATGGAAGTTCATTTGTAGTTCGCATCTGTCAAGACATGATAAAATATTGAAGTTTCTGTCTCCGAGAGCAAAGTCCGGATGGGTTTTCAAAGGACCATATGACAGTCCCTTCCCTAGCTTAATGTTCAAACCGACAAGTTTCGCTTTGTCAGTTTTCTACTTTGTTGCTCGTTCCGCCCCATCATCTCGTCTGGTTGGACGGGAACGAAGCTAATAAAGTACAAGTGAAACGTATTGACCGACGGGGTCTGGAGAGGAATCCCCCGCAGAACACACGTGATCCAGTCGTTTTCGGACAGGGAATGCGTGTGCGTATGCGTGTTTTCTCGGAAAGCGAGGGCCGAGTAAGCATTCATTGGCTTTATTGCTCTCCGTGCTCATTAGCCTCGGCGAGGACCTGTGAATGAGGTTCTTGTGGAGAACTTTTTGCGATGATGTGACATTTTGAGAAGAAGGAAGAAAAATAACTTTGACGATGGAAAAGTTGCAGGGACAAACAATCTCAATAACGTGGCCATACAATTGAATGCCAGAACATTCATTTTGACCTCCGGCTGCCATCATAGTTTTTTCTTATCATTTTGGCTTTGATCTGGGTACAAGTAAAAAGAAAACGGGAATCAAGTTGTTAATTGAAAGATGAAGGAAAAGCAAAATTCGAGCCACCATCACGGTTCATAATTTTCACATCCATACTTCCACATCCAAGAATAATCTCGTCTGGACCCTTATATTCGGAGAATTAATGTAATCGAGTTGTGATTTTTGAAAAACAAATTTACGCAGCCAACCAATTTCCATTTCTCAATGACGAGACATTGCTATGGCGCCGTCTGCGATCACTCCTGGCGACGTTTTTCCCCGCTTCTTCTTTCTTCATCGGTTTTCCATTCTTGTGACGTGGCATGCAATTCTCTCCTCTTCTCCGCTCCGCCTGATTTCCCGTGAACATTCATCAACGTCATCTAACCGGAGATGGGACGGAAATGGAATCCTCCCGCCGCCGCAGCCACTCGCGCTATGACGTGGCAGGCAGACTGGCATGCAGAAAAAAAGGAAGAGGGGATGAGTTGGTCGGCGTATTCTCAAACGAATCCAACTTGCTTAGATTTTTTCGAAAAGAGTATATGGTAGATTTTTTTCAATAAGTTTTGAGCTTGACTCGAATGTTTTGAATTGTGAACCCACTCAGACGGATGAATCATATCTGATTGTTTTTCATTACCAAGAAAAACAGTTCGTCATAGTTTCCGATGTGTCTTCCCTTTCTCTCCCTTTCCTACCGTAAACCACTCACTTGAGCTGCGGCTCTTCCTTCTGACCCCGGTTTGACACTAACATCGGCTTCTAAAAAACGCCCACTGTTGTGGAGGTCCAATACTAAACCTGTGAACCATCGTCACGAAATTTTAATTAAATTTTATTTGGCTCTTATCGCCTCTATGTAGGCGCATAGACACTCTTATGGCGCGAATAGAAACATTCGCCACTAAACAAACAAAATGTGATTGGATTGGTGCGAAGCGGCACGTTTTTTAAGACGTCAGCTTACCGATGGTACGAAGAAGGGCGTTGCTCCCAAATAAGATTTAATGAGAAGAGGATTGGCGTTTCAGAGGAAGAAAGGAGCGACGCTCCATCTCATTCCGTGTTTATTGTGACTTTTGCCAGCGAGTGAAAAATTACGGTGATCCGAATGGAACCTGAGGGGAACGAGGATATTGTAAAATAGTTCAAATGTGCTTCTTGCATAGCAATAGCGTCGGATCAGAGGAACAGAGAGTCGACCTCTTGAGTTGACGTAATTAACGTTGTACTCGTTTAGTGACAGTGAAATCATGCCCACTCGGCCACGCTCACAACCGTGTTTCACGATCACAAAGGTGGAGGAGGCGGGACCGCAAAAATTTCAAATTACAAAAATCATAACGCGAATTTATTGTATTTAAATCTAGCTATGTCTTACTCGCGCTAACGAAACGAGAAACGATATTACTGTAACTTCGTCACTCCTTCCAAGCTCATTTTCGACAGACCCATCTCAAAGTTCATCCTCTTTGCAGAGATGTTTTTAGATCTTTTCCATTTCCTCATGCCTCCCACTTAACTTTTGAAATGCACTCGTGGTCCCATTCTCTGCAAGCTCATTTCTCATTTCAGGCTTCTCGAAGTAGTCCGTACTATCCCATAGAATTCGTCACTTCCTCAGTACGAACGCTGTAATTTTCCATTCAATTTCATCCTTTCTTGCCTTTCGGTCCCGCATCCGTACTTTTCTCTCTATTTTGTCAAGTCTAACTTTAAACTTGTGTTTCCAGATCATTTGTCGCTGCCTCTACCATTGCTCTTGAAAAATGTCGAGTCGAGAGAGAGAGAGAGAGAGAGAGAGAGAGACAACGTTTTGTTTTCTGGTCCCAAATCTGTCGCCTCGGCGCTGAGGCGGGGCGCGCGAAGGGATGCTTCGACGGCTCCTCCTTTTCTCATTCGTCAGCGCCCACCATTCCATCGTCGTGACGAATCTTTTTCAATGACGACAACTTGGATTTGATTTCGACCTGGACGAGTCCCAGACGAAGAAGAGGAGCCTGAACGAGGAAAGAAGATTCGGATCGAGAGCGATCAACAATCAGAGGTTCCAAGTTCAGTTTCCCCCCGAATGATGTCAGTAGCTCCTCGGGACTCCATGCGCGTCCTTCGAATGACGAAACAACGACCCACTGTTAGTATGGCAAACCTTCACTAATGTATATACATATTATAGGAAAATTCTTCGAAAAAATACCAGGAAAGTCAATTTTTCTGTAAAATTTGGATGCTTTTATGCAGAATTTGGCTTTTCTAGAATATATTTTGTTCAGGAAGCAAAGAATCTCTTTTTTCTAAGTATAGTCAGCATGAAATGTGCGCTTTCGAAAAATATTTGGGTAAAACATATGCGCCCGGTAGCCAGGGCCAGGGCCGTTTTTTATATGATCATGCATGCTTCAATAGTATTCTTCCCAATTCATTACATCTTTCTCGTTTTTCAATACTTCCTTCGATGTTTTTTTCGAATTTGATCAGTCGTTCACTCTCTTCCCACGAAATTTGCGTATAGCTCACAAGAAGAAATCGATATTCACCTACGTTTTGTTTCTCTCTGTCTCTCCTCTAGGTGACATGGTCAACAGTTCAAATCGACATCAATATCCCCATTTGCACACTTTTTATTCTCGCACGTTAGCGATCTCGCATGTTTATTCTTCGCTCAAAATCTTTCAGTTTAGTGATGTTACTGCATGTGATTTGATATTTTCAAAAACCATTCCCCAGATATCTTTTCTCACGTTTGTTGCACGCTTTCTTTGCAAAAAATACGGTCTTTCTCACCGTCCGATTGCTATTTATTCGTTTCGAAAACTCTGTTTTCGGCAGATGTTTGTGACAGTCTATTCCATTCTATTTCTATTCGCAAGGACGCTATCGAGGAGTGCAATTTCAGCTCAACCCGCCCGCACCCTATACTTTTCTCTTTCCCGCCACCCGGTGATTTATTCGTTTTCAAAAAGAGCGGCTGTTTTTCGACGCTCTGAAACGACCATCCTCTTTCAATCGTTTTTTCTTCCGTTTTCACGGAGATTGTTCTTTTTTACACGAGCGCTGAAAACATAAAACGGACACTCTGGTGAAAAAGACGTCAAAAGGCGCAGTAAATATTGCTATCTGGGGACTGTTTGCATCTATTCTAGTCCTAGACGCTCAATCATCATTCATTTTTGATCACCCGAATCTGTTCCCACACCTCTTATTCATTTTACCCTTTTCATTCACTGTCTACAGCATTTTACAAAACTCATTGTCTGCTCTTATGCTTCTTTTCGCCTACTCATTGTTTGAGTTCATTTCCCCACATTTTTAGTCTTGCAGAGATGGCTTCCCGTTATCTGACCAAGGAGGAACAGGATATGGAGGACGAGCTCGTCAAGACCATCCACGAGAGAGTTAGCGAAGGCCTCCACATGTTGGTTAGTTCATTTTCTCTCCCGAATTTTGTCTATCATCTCCGTCCAGGCCGAGTCACACTCCCGGTTTGTGTACACCGGTGGTTGATGGTACATGGAAGAATGGCTTCCATTTATGAACTCGCTTTTTTCGAATCTTCGCTCTAACTGGCTGCGCGTCACACCCGCGCCAGCACGCAAACTGCCCTCCTACGTAACTCTCGATGTTGTGCGTGTGTACCAAACGTTCATTATTCAGAACGACCTTATGGCGGTTCTGAGCGTGGTGACAGAGATGAAGAGTACCATTCTTGAGAAAAACGCAAAACTGACAGCGCAAATTGAAAAACGTGACGTTCAAAAATCGATGCATTTTGGCTCTATTGACATTGAGTACTTCCGCAGAATCGGAGAGATCATTCAGATTATAGTTAGCAAAACCGTAGTCCCTCATCCAAGTCCCAAATTCAGTCTCTATGCAACCAGGTTCAGCGTAAAGTCTCACCCACTTATGTGGAGGACTCGTCTGTGCGCCGGAGAATTCAACGATTTTATCTCGTTCTTGGTCGTCGTCGCCGAGTCGGAAAATACTCTCTTGTATTACCTTTATATTTTCAGATCGAAACATTTTCTTTTTTAGGAGGACATCATGACTCTAATGCCGGAAGTTGCCAACGAACATGTCAAAGTGATCACTCATCTTCGCGTTCTCAAGTTCTGTTTCGAGCAGGAATCGGCGGACCTGGTCAGGAAGTGACGAAGTGAATGAACTTGCTAAATCTATGCTTTCAGCCAAAAATTGACCTGCTCGAACCGGAGTTCGACGGCATCAAGAAGTGCGACGAGATCATCATTATGTCGCAGTTTTTGGTCAAACGCGGTTACTCCCGCAACTGGCAGAAGGCTGTGACTGTGCAAATGGAAGAGTTTCGTGCGGTCCTTTCGAGCACCTCTCCGGGCAATCAGGTACAGTAGAATGCACGTGTCGTGTTAGCAGCGAACGACTTCTTTAGCTTCTCGAAATCACGTCAATCATCCATAATCTGTACTATCGTCTTTGTCGCGCCTTCGAAATGTACAAGAATAAGATGGACCGCGACGAGACGTTCTTGTCCGGAGAGCGTCGTCATTTCCATTTCCAGTAGCCTGCTACTTCATCAACTTCTGACATTCTCAATCTCAATTAAACTCAAAATTGTTCTCCAAACAAATTCATTTTTCCTTTGAGATGTCTCCGTAATGTGTTTTGTTCCGCATGTATCGAAATGTATTAATCTTGACTGCACCTACACCGTTTCTCCAACCATAATAAAATTCGCACTAATAGAATTTAGGCGTCCTTCGTGATTGTGTTACGGGTTTGCACCCCGACTTTTTATCTTTACTCGTTTTTATTGTTGCTTCTGTTCGATTAATTTCTTAACAAGAGTTCAGGCTTGAATTGAGCAATGGCGGTCACGAAAGAAGAACAAATTTCGGAGAAGATTGTTCAGATCGAGCAGGAAATGGTGAGAAATCACTAAATTCCGCTGCAAAAAACCAAACTATTTCAGGATGCGCTAGTCAGCAAGTGTAGAGAGTTGGGAAAGACTAAAGCGCAAACCGAATGGGAAAAGGAACGACGGATCACCAGCGAGAAGTTCGACCGGCTCGTTGTTGTGGCCGAGGGCAGAGACGAGGTGAGACGGGGTGCATGAAGGAAATGTTTTTGCAAAATTCGATTCGTTTGTGTAATGTAACTAACCAGTCAAACTGTTCAGATCTCAAAGGCGGTCCTCCTACGGGGACTCAAAAGATGTTGGATGCGTTTTCATGTGGTCCGCAAGTTGGCCGATCTGGGAATCATTGTTGTTTTCGACGCGAGGGGAAAAATGCTTCCGATTCCGGGATATTTGCGTCGATACTTCAGGGGAATCCACCAGAACTGACTAGGCAATGATCTCAGGAAAATTTGGCCTTTTGGGATCTTTTGGACATATGTCTGGCCAACTTAACCTCAGATCACTCCCAAGTGAGATTCGTCCTTTACTCCTTATTGTTCTCCCCCTTTTCAGTCGTTTTGCGCTAGTTTTTCTCTTACCGATCTCACCTCTTCCAATAAAAAGTTTATTTGAAACATTATCCTCCTATCTAACTTCCAATTTACTAATGGTTTTATGCCATTTGATATATTTCCTATGTGCCTTTAATTGTCTTCATTTTCCTCTCCAAAACCCAAAAAAACGTTAATTTTTCAGACTTGAAATGGTTTTCAGTAAGTTTATGAGCCGAGAACTAATTTTTGGCATTTACACGAAGAAGAAGAGAAAGGCTATCCTTACCAAGGAGCAGGAAGAAAAACATAGCGCCCTTCAGGAGATGTTTAAGGCCTATGTGGCTGAACTGGTGAGTCGGGGGAGGGAAAGGGTAAATAATGTAATAGAAGGGCACCCTAAAACAGCTCATTCAAAATTGTGTATCTCAGCAGTCGCTAGAAATATTAGATAGTTGTCAACTGACAAAATGTGTAAAATGTTTCAGTTAAGAATTCATTATTTGATAGCTGCTTGGTATCTTTATTGGCAGCTGAGATATTGTGTCATGAATAAACGATACCGGCGTTCCCTTCTATTACACTATTTACGGTAGTTGAAACTTCTGAAGACTCTTCCCAATTTTAGTGCTTCCTCATCAAGTCGCAACCGTCACCGATTCTGACTGGTCGTCCAAGTGAGAAACTTCTTCTCTTGACTGACACTGTCACCAATATGCTCAACAACAGACATCGCGTCCGCTCTGACGTTTTCGAGGTGATTGGGATGGCACCCAACAAAGGGTATTATCTGTTCATTTTCAGAATGACCAGATCGAATTGGAAAAGATGATTGAAGTGTGGAAGAACGTGGCCAGAGAAGAGTACCGGGCTCTCTACGAGTTTCTGCTCTCCGTGAAAGAGGCTCACGCTTACGATGGATTCCGTTCCATGTTTGATCTTGAAGACGTGGATATGGAAGAAGGCTCGTCGATCTCCGAGCGCCACAGAAATCGATTCGCTGATCGTCGCTACTCTTGGCTCAACGGACCGCCGGGAACTTACTGGCTCTACTCGGGATTGGAGTATTATAACACTTCAAATAACGTTCGGAGTGGATTCAAAACTAAAATTCTGACTCTTTTAGGCCGTGATTAAGTGAAAGGCCAACTTTTTCATTCCCCAAGTTCCGTTTCGATGTGAGATATTTTAAACCACACACATTTTCCAACTTTTCTATAATTACTCCGGCCCCATCTTCATGTTTTCCTTTTTTCCGAACCTTTGTCTTCCACCTTCTGATGCTTTGATGATCTCACTCTGATTGTTCTCAATCTTTATCTCTTTTCTCGCCCACGTTCACAATCTTGTCCAGGACGTCTTAAGATCTTTGAAACCGCTTTCGCTTCTATAAATCTATTTATTATTGGGGAAAAGTGAGAGTTAATAAAGTTTGTTCTGACCAGGCACAGATCACATTCAAATTGGATCGCTGTCTCCCACAGATTTCATGCGCTTGTCACAATTTCGTGTACTTGTGGAATTCGAGAGTTAGACAAGAAATAACCGAAACATCCCGTTTGTTGATATTAGCCAAATTCATGGTTTCAATGAGAAAAACTAGGCCAATTCGATGCAAATCTTTGCAACATCAAATGAGAGTGTGCTATTCCGTAGATCTAAAGGAAATCATCACAAGAAGCAATGTTCCTCCCCAAGAATTCAGTTAATTCGATTTGAGAAATAAGATTTTCTCCTTTTTTTCCTCCTACCCGCGCGTTTCATCTCATATTCGCATCCCGATTGACTCATTTCATTATAACTGGAAACATTTTGAGCCTAATTTGTGCCGAATGAATCAACACATATTCCTCTGTCTTCCCACGTTCTCTTTATTTTATTGCTCACACACTCGAGGTGCTGAATAAAACCAAAGATTCATTACGACATACGGGGAAAAGGAAAAGGAAACGGTGAGGGGAAATGGAAAGGAAAATCGGAGATCTGGGAAAAGAAACAGGAAGAACATGTGGTTAATATTAATCAATCACCAGATGAAATAGTGATCCGGGCACAACTCGTGGAGCAAACCGGTGACTTCGGTACGGCTACGTTGGTAGAAATGGAAGTAGGCAGCGTCGACCTCCTGAAATATTTAAAAATGGTTCTGAAGAAATTGGGGTAACTCACATCTGCCACCTCGAAAGGGATCTCTCCGCGAAGGTGGAAATCCATCTCGTCGGTGAAGAACGTAGTCTTCAGAAGCATTATTTGAAGTTTCTGGATCTCATCTTCCGAATATCCCGGAATGTTTTTGAGAAGAATGGCAAGGAGGAACTTCTAAAAACAATTTTTGATTCAAAGACTACGGTAGGAACTAACCAGGTTCTCGCGCAGACGCACAAACTTGGCTCTGAATCGCTCGATCTTGCCTTTTGGAGTGATACTTTGATGTGTATAGCGGTCCGAAACGACCATAATCTGGCGTGAGTTGATCTGCAAAAAAGACTAGTCGACGAGAATGATTGGAAGCGAAAAAACGAAAACGCGAATGCGAGATTGATATGATTTTCTCAGGTGGGTGAGTGGCTAGGCGTGGGACAGAGTAAAGTGAGACTGAAAAGTGAATACTTTCTAATGAGACGACTTTTGACGGATGTGAAGAAGATATGAAGAAGAGCAAGCGAAACGAATATGCACGAAAAAATTCTGAACGCGATGAGCTCACGAAGGATGATGCTTGATGATGTTCTTCTTCGGATTGCATGGAATGAGATGAGATGTTCTCATTTTTTTGCTGGGAAGGAAAGAGTAAAGTGAGAAAGAGGGAGAGTAGGAGTTGTAGCAAATTGATGAAAAAGAAGCATGACGATGAGGGAAATGAGATGAGTGAAACGCTGCTCGGTGAGCTGAGAGCCGTCGAGCCCTGCCTGCCTCCACGTCATAATGTTCCCCCATTCGCGGGGCCGCCGGATCGGCAGAAGAAAGAAGAACAATGCGCGCGTGCACACGGCCTTATATGTTTACGATTTCTCCCCTTTTCCTGTTGGCTTCGGGCTGGAGCTAACCCTCTCACAATCATCATAATTATAAGGTTGGACACTTGCGCGCGGATGGGAAAATAGTGGCAAAGGAGAAGAAGACGATGGACAGAGAAGAGTAGAAGAAGAAGTAAGCCGCGCTTTGATTTGAGGGAAAAAGTATTCTCAAAATAGAAAGCGTTATTTGTTTACTAATTAGAGAAAGAGAATTGATCGAGGCGAAGGTTTGTGCACAAAAAGGCCGAGCCGAAAGGTTTTTGAAAAGAGGCGCCTCTCGAAAAAGCGTCACCGCCAAGAATCATCGTCATCTTTGCTGAATTTCAAATGAAGAAGACGACGACCAAGGCCAAGGGGCACCGCTCGGCCAAATCACTCTCCAGCGCTTTCCTTCTCCCTTCTTTTCAGGGAAACAACTTTTTGTGTTCTCTCTTCATTTAACATAGAAACGGCGAATGCGACTTGACTCGAATGAAGATGTCACACATTCAATTTGTTTCGCTCGGTCGGTCTCCTCGTCATCCTCCTTCTTCCTCTCCTTCTTCTTCTTCTTCTTCCCGGCTTGCTCGGCACGTAGAAAAGGCGAAGAGGGCCCGAAAAAACTGAGGAAAGAGGAGGAGGGAGGGCGCAGAAATGTATAACGAGGCAGGAGGACTTTTGGCGGGCTGGAGTGTTTCCGCACAGAAAGTTTTAGGGTCAGAGAACGACATCCGGAAAATATGAGGGCAATGTGGCAATCTGAAAAGTGGTGATGCGGGTGGAAAAATGGGAAAAAGCGGAAGTGGATGGAAAGGGAGAATGAAAATTGAAATCGGACACCTGGTGATGGAGATGAATTCTCGCATAAATGTAAACATATTTTTTCTCCATTTCCTATTCTTCGCCATCATGATTTCCCGTTTTATGAACGGAAATCAAAGTGTCGGGAAAAAGGAAGAAGTGCAGATCCCCAACCGGAAGAGGGTATAATACATATAATCACAAGTTGGAGCGACTCGCTTTCCCACAAATTAGGTGTTCTTACGTGTGTGGGTGCTGATATTCCGGCCGAGCTCGCAGACAAAAATGATTGTGTGACAACAATAAAAATAGAATTGTTGTGATAATAATAATAATACTAATGATCGTCACGCCGCATAAAGTGACGTCTAATGAAGTTATTCAACCGGATAGAAGCCTCTTCTGAACACGTCGAATCAGAATCTCGAAATGTTATCTGTCCCGCTATACGAATACAAAAAATGCACGCATTTCTGAGATAGAGATTTCCCTGGAAGTGCAATTCCGCTAATATTACCTTCTTCGAAAATAGTCGTGACTCAAAGTAGCAATCAAGAGAATCCGGATCGGTTTCTCTCTCTCTCTCTCTCTCTCGAGGGAGACGAAAGCTTTAAGAGATTTCTACGGATAATCATGATTTCCGGCTGGAAGACTGTCAAAAATAAATAGTGTATCAAAAATTAGCAAACTATCCTCTCAGAATCTGGCATCATATGTAGTTGGAAAAATAAGCGAACTACCGTAACTCGAAAGCGAAAACAACAACTCATAGCAGAGGAAGGGGGCCTCACTAGCTGCGCCGAATGAAGTTCACGCCTTTTCAATGTCATACATAACTATATGCTTATTTTTCAATAGAATGACGCTTGTTCGTCCACCACAAAAGTTAGCGAATGAGTGAAAGGCGAGAATAATTCGGATAAGCTTTCTGATCAGACTTCTTCTATCTGATCAGTCGACAGTGAAATCAAAATCTAAAATAAATGTGTTTGCAACTAACTCAACCGAACTAGGGCTCATATAGTTCTCACTAGCCGGGCCGGGCCTTGATGAAAAACTTGGTTTCCCAGTTTTTGAACAAACGGGCCAAAAGTTTTAATAAAATGGGCGCACAAGTTGTAACTTGCAAAATAGAACGAGTGCAAGGAAAATTAAAAGAGGCGTGACAAAGACTGACAGCAGCGTGCGAAATTGTATGTATTCCCTGAGTAGAACAAATGCGTATTTTTGTTGAAAAAAGAAATGCGTCATAGGTGACTGGTAGCAGTGGGACGGAATGAAAAACGGAAAAGAAAGCCTCCGGAAAACAAACACTATGCATTGGCGCGTACGGAGAGGTCATCATCATTTCATTCCATTCCCGAGATTTCTCATTTGCTCTCATTCCGCGTTTGCTTCCCCCGCCCCATCATTCCTTCTTGATTAAGCGGATTGCGATGGAAGCGGATCGCGAGCGCCAAGAATCTTCCAGTCATCCCGGCAACTATTAGCAAACTACGCACGCGCGGATGAGTGTCGGGATGACTGGATTTACCTATAAACAGTTTTAGTGTGAGCTCTTTTTTGGCACTCTTTCAGATTACTTGTCACGCTTGACACAGACGACGTTTTCGGGCACAGAATAAGGGGAATCGAGAATTGGAAGCAAAATTGTTTTCACAGTTTATGGATTTTCAGTGAAACTCAATGAAATGGATTGATTGTTGATAGCAATTACATGTAAAGAGATTATGGAAAAAAGAGCAGACTTGCCAGGCTGAACGGGCCGGGCCGGGTCTTTTCGGTCATATTCACTCAGATTTCACTCAACTGGACCCACTACAATACCTGGTACGAGCACTGGAGTCCTAAATGACCAGATTGCAAGAGTGTCCTTAAGGACCTGAAAATTGGCATGAACTGGTGACCGTCACGGGTCCACGGTTTTTTTTTTGAAAATTGGCACGGATTCTTGACGGTCACCGGTCTATGCCAATTTTAAAAATATGCATGGACTGCCGAACGTTATGAGTGTATATTGAGTATAAGAGTGAAAAATTATAGCAAGGAAAATGTTTGTGTAAACAAAAAAGACACAAACCACTTTTTGATCGCTGCTTCATGCCCTCTTCATCCGATTCTAGTACACTCTCGTTCTAGGGGGAGGGTGACACGTCACCCCATTTACCGTCTGATCGTCCCCAACTTTTCCCTTTTCCTTCTCTCTCTCTCTCTCTTTACCTCCCCCAAATTGCACCTCTACGCTCTGTTTTTCTACGACCATTCGCTCACAACACACTTCCTCGTCTTGGTGCACTTTGGTCTCCTCCTGTACCGACATGAAAACCCTCCAAATGCTGTGTGTCGACGCCATTTTTGAGGAGCCCCTCGCCTTTCTGGTTAGTTACTTTCGTTTCCAGAACTAAAATGATTGAAACAATTTGAGACGAGCGATCAAGGTGCGAAACTGTTAGAGACTGAGATGTGCGCCCCGTTAACACAACCAATGATGATGAACGAGTTCCTCATAAATTTCCTCACAAAACTCCAGAAATCTTGGGTCGAGCAGAAGAACGGATCGCGTCCAGCCGACCAGCACAAGCCGTACTACCGTTTAGAGCAGGTAAAACCTCATCTATTTTTCTACACTTTATCTAATTTCCCATTTTTCAGAAAGCGATCATCCCGGCGAAAATTGAGATCATGAATCATTTCATCAGAATCCACCAGTTTCGCAAGGCCCACTACGTCGCCGGAATTCTGCTCGGAAAGACGTACACTCGTGAGCATTGCAAAGTTAAAGCGGCACGCCGTACCCCGGAAGGATAACTTTCATTGTTATGCTTTCCAATAAATTGTTGACCGTTAAAACCGAATCACGTACACTGTTAGCCCAAAATGTGCTGAGCAAAAAAGTAGCACAACCTGTGCTCTACAATAATTTGTGTTGGGAGCTGTCCGAAAGGACTGTAACTTCTGGTTGCTCCACATCGACTGGGCTGCTGAAAAAGGATTTAATCGTTTTCAGCACAAACTCAGAGCATCCGATAGCTCTATGTAGGCGTTACTAATTCGAAGGTGTCCTATATCCTTGTGTAGCCCAGAATTTTCTTTATTTTAATGTTGCAAACATACTTTTCCTCTTTCCTCACAACTTTCACAATCCATCGAACACAGAGGAATCTCTTTCTGTGTGTGTGTGTGTGTGCGTGCCGGCCGGCCGGGCACTGTTTAGCGTTTTGCCGTTGCGTTCGGTGACAGTGAGAGGCGCACGGCCCGGTCGGCGGGCAGCAGCACGATGGCGCTCGGCCGATCGATTGAGGCTCGCCATTGAAAACATAAAGTAGAGGAGGGAACGGCGACTGCACTTGCTTGTGACGTCACACTGCCGCTTCGGATGCAGTGTGAAAGCCACAAAAATAGGAAGGAAGGAGGGAAGAATAGTGCATCGACGCTACAAAGGTATACGATTTGAACGAAAAAGAACTGTGCGGAACAGAACTCACTAAGTAATAAAGCTGCGCACGATCGACTGTCCGGACTTTCTTTTCCGTATGTACAACTATTTCCTTTTAGGTACTGTCTCCCGCATTCCAACTCTGGAAGGCATTGAAAACTACACCATCCCGCTAAAAAAGTCCCCGGTCACATGGAAGTTAGATTTTTTAGATTTTCCCAGAATAATCTGACATTTCGCCCAAAAACCAATATACATACGCGTCGTTTTTCGGGATTTTATGATTTCCATATTTCGTGGCTGTTCGCATCGCGGTTTCGCCCCACTCAACACAGTTTTCATTCGCTCGTCGCGTCGTATTCCTCCCAAATTTTCCCGTTTCAAACAATGAAGTCGCTGAAAGAATTGAGTGCTGCCGCGTTCGAGAAGGACCCGCTGTACGGATTGCAAACGTGGCGTACTATCAACCCGACCGAGGACCCGATCGACGAACTCATTGTGCATCCGCAATATTTGAGCGAATTCGTCGCTGATCTGCTTCAAAAACTCTACGTCGCTTGGAATATTCAAAGAGTCGTCCCGGAGTCGATAATCTATTTCGGCCCGAAATACAAAGTGAATCAAGTTAGTTTTCCTCCAGATTTTTGGCTCACACAATTGATTTTTTTCCAGGAGGCTATCCAGCATATCAGGAATACGATTTGGATCCACTTCCAGAAACTCAAGTGGTGGTACGATCGTTACTCGATCTACGCGTTGTCGGAATACCACGCCGAGTGGCCAGATAGCGATTGAAGCTGGCAATTCACGTGGCTGTACAAAACGGAGCTGACTGACACATGCATCGACACGTGCAATGAACTTTAACATTTATTTTGTTTTATTTAGAGTTGGTAATGAATGAAGGAGGATATCAGAAACACAAAAAGTTTCAACATTTGCATACTTCTCATAACCCAAATCAGCTGCTAATCAGTTAGTTGCAGGTGTCAAATAAAATTGCAAATTGCATCTTTGATCGCTAGGAAGTTATTTGGTTTGGCCCTGGTGCCACTGACGATCTCATAAGCATCACTCGTAAATCTGTACTAAAGAAGACCGTAATCTTTTTGAAAGTGACCACGTAAATGAACTGAATCAGAGCAGTTGAGATCACAGATTCACGCATTCCGTAGTTCAGAAAATGCTTGTAGAAGTTTGGAGAGTTTCGTTCGAAACGAGCGTAATACAAGATGAATGCCTGCATAAGACGTGACGTCATAACAAAACTTTCATCACTGAACTTACGTTCGCAAACAACAATGGAACTCCTTCGTACAATAGAGCAACTTCTCGCTTTTTGTTTTTCTCCGACCTCGTACTTTTGTATAAATGCAAGAAAAGAGCAACATAAATGATAGAGACCAGAAGAATACATGAAAAATTGATCCAGGAATCTCTGTTGTATAACCTTTCCACGTCAGTCCGATGCAAGCCCAATGAATATCCGTAGAGAAGAAAAAATCCAACGATTTTGTATATTAGTGAAAAAATCCAACCAGCAATTATGTATGTTCGTAGAAATCGTCTTAAAAACTGGAAATCTGATAAAATATTAGCTAACTTACGATTTGACTAAAAACTGAAGTTTTGTAGGGAAAAATGTCACTACGAAGCGTTGAACAGCTTGAAGAACAATGAAAATATGCAAAAGACTCGAGAAAAGAAACAGAAAGTAAGTGAAAATGCGAGTGTTGTAAATGAGAATGTAATCGTGGAAGAAGTGTACAATATTCTGAAGATGTTTATACGTTTTCAGTTGTTCCGTCCGCTCATCCGGTAGTTTAACGAGCATACTAAAGAAACAATCTATTCCTCCCGAAAGGCGCTCCGAACAAACAAACATGCACTCCATTACGTATGTGATAGTGTTGCAGATACAGAAAATGCTGGGATGAAAAATGATGCAAGAAATTTGATCCAATGACTTCTGACCATCCGGCTGTAATCAAGTGAAAACCTTTTATAAATCAATGCGGACTTACAAATATATCCATTTTCCTTCGTTTATAGAAGGTTTTATAATAAAATGGTGTTAGAATTGTGATCAAGAAACTACAAAGAATAGTTATAGTGCAACTCATATCATCCTGCAACAAAAAACCTTATTAGCGCTCACTTTTCGGCCTCAATCTCACCTACCATTTCGCTCACTTTTGAATCGTCAAGGTCATACCTTTCCCAACCATTCAAGAAGCCAATTCTACGTATTGAAGATTTTCGAAAAGCCATTATTGGCACAGAAAGGCTCAGCAATTTTGCAATAATAATAATGCTGACAGCATCATTCAGATTCAGCTGTTTTCTTGGGAAAATAGGAAGGGCGGGGGTGAAACTTGATGAATTCTAACTTATCAGTGATCAGGAACAAGGAAACAATTCAAATTAGGAAACTCGTTTAACCATAATTGAGTACGTATCAGCTGAGCGTTCCCATGAGAGCATTGGCGGTCTTACAGATAACGAGTGGTCCGATGCGTGATTTTAAAGTGGTTCATTACTACGATTTACGCACTTTTTGAGCAAAAACCTATTTATCTGTTTATATACAAAAGAAGGAAGATTTCAGAAAAACAGATTTGTTGCTGGTCGGGCGGGGTTTCAGTGCTAAACTTTCAAAACATGCCTTTTGAGCTTGCTCAACATTTTTCCAAAAATTGTGAACCCGGGCCAACCGCAATTTTCGACAACTGTGAGAAAAAGATTGTGAAGGGAATTAACTGCTTCAGATTTTGTGCTTTCCAGGTCTCAATGAGGTCCAAGAAGTGGTTGTTGTTCTTCGTCACTTGCTCGACCCCCTCTTTTGTTAGCAACAACGACGGCGGTGGAATGGAAATTAGTGACGATAGCAATTTCTGCAAACAACAATCTCACATTAAGCTGATGATTTTGAACCTCACCAGGAATGTATCCGTTTGTCGTTTTGTTATCCCCAGAGACTCCCTCATTTTCAGACGTTTCAGCATTATTGCAGAGTTCTAAACAAACAAAATATTGAGCTTTCCATCTTAAAAACCCTCTCTTACCTGCTGTTCTCATCATCCGGTCAATGACGTCAACAGACTGTGCTCGTGTTTTGTTTGCCGCGGTTTCTCGTTTGATGCGGCTATTTGGAGAGACAGAGGACACACCACTTCTTCTGACAGGAACACGTGCAAACTCGCGATTGCCCTCACCTCCAGACTTCCCCAACGCAATCCGAATCTGTTTGACTGATTTTCCTTGAATTTTGTTGAGAATCGCCAAGTAGCAGTTCTCCCTGAGACTCTCAATGTCCAGATAATTACTCGCAATTATTAGGTCGCAGATTTGACTATTGCTCAGGCAGTCAGTGAACTCCCTATCATAATCCTTTTTCCGAATAAGTTTTCCGCCTGCTCGTTGCTCATCCTTATGCTTCTCGCACCACTCAACGACGAGCTTTGCCGTCTTGGCATCCGTATTGCACAGAGGTATTGGGTCGGTTACCTTTGGGTTCTCCATGTGGTAATCCATTATCACTTTGAGGGTGTTCGACTGACTCATTGCTTTCAGGCTGATATCGAAGATGACATTATCGGCTGATTTGAGTTGGACTAGCCTCTCCGCTTTGACAAATTCCTCGACTTGCCATAGACTCTCGACTTGTTCATCGACAAACTCTTTATTATCGTCAGAATTAGGATCCATCGGATTATCAGTTGCAAAAAGTTGGACAACAGCTCTGAAAAATGGAACTATAATGAAGAAGTGGAACCTTTTCGCACGAGTGGGGAGGGGGGATAAAAAGCGATTACTTTTCTTGCACTGATGGAACTTACTAATCTCGAACAGAAGCTTACGCGTATAGCTTATTACTACTTTACTCATTTTGGAGATTGTGGAACGCAAATCCCCAACACATAGGTAAAAACAAACGACAACTTTACTTTATTTATTTGCGAAGTATATGATAGAGTTCATAAAGATTGCAGAAAAGGTAAAATATAGACAGACTACAACATCCTTCTGACCCGCACTCACAATGATACAAAAAAGATTTGGAAAAAAAAGAATAAAAATGCGAACATCTGTGAAAAAAGCGCAAAGAAGACTCACCACATTCTTCGAGAGCCTCTTCAACAGCGACGTCCGTTGCTGTGGAAACCCATGTGAGGGATGAGAATCCAAATTATGGGTTGTTAATCACCACTTCGGCCTGAAATGCGAGAGAAATTATTCTTAGGGATTGGTTTCTCGGTGAATAAGAATTCGTCGGTCAAATCGAGGACTTGGCGAAATGGTGTGGGAATTCAAGTGCAAACAGAGAACAGAAAAGTGATGCGAATGAGAACATTGACCTTATCGAGGGGATTAGTGTGTTTTGAATGACGATCCACAGCTTCTGATTTGAAGAGCAAAATAAAGAATAAACTGGAACTAAAAATTGTCTAAACTGTTCTGAACTTGAATGAAAAGAATTCCTAAAAGTGAAGGCCACAACCAAGAATACCAATTCCGATATTTGCCGATATTGTCCATCCCGGGGTCCTACAGGTTCCCACACTTTATGTTCATAATGTCTTTCATACACAAAGGAAATGCAAATCAAATTACTCAATTACAGCGTCTTTTCATTTTCCGTTCTTCTGTGCACTCGCAAGTTCGCTCACTTGCCGCATACCGCCCGGAATATCTAATCGAAATACTCGGAAAATAGAAAGACGCAGACACCGAGCCACACAGTCTTTGCATGCCCACGAGCGGTGGCAGCAACGTGTCATAACTCGCGATCAGAGGCCTGGAAACGGTCCATGACATGCCCTCCCTTATTTTGCGTTTTCGTCTCATCTGTTCACCTCTTTGCTTGCAGTGTGTGTCACTTTGTCGTCTTAATGCAAGGTTTGGGTGGAGGCAGGAAGAAAACCACTATTACTAACCACTATCTCTTTCGTAGCAACACCACGAATGTATCGATCTGCACAGTCCAGCACTCATCTCCACTTCCCTCTTGCCGCCCTCTTTCCTTTACAGATGTTATTATAGTATCGGAAGACAGTCTCTCTGTTTTCCCATTCGGTTATTACATTCATTTTCCTGGTCCCCGTTCGACACCCCATAAAATGTTCTTTCCCGAAATTTTGTAACGTTTTCCCGTCTTTTTTACAGATACGCTCATCAGAACTCATACATCCCACCTTTCACGTATTTTCTTCTTAACATGCTTATTTCAGAACCTTCGACTACGTTCATTATGGCTCCAGACGCTACTCTGATTTATTTCTTCTCTGATCCACCAACAATGGTGAGAGTTTTTTTGCAAACTATTATATTTGTTTCAATTCCTCTTTTTTTCAGACAATCATGGAGGCGCTTCTTGCCGCGTTCCCGCCGCTGTTCGAGCCGGATCTTCACGGTGGATACGTGATGGAGGAGGACAACAATGAGATTGAGATTGACGAAAACGAGCTTCTCGACGCCATCGCCAAAGCGCACGACCCAGAAGACTGGGCTCACGCTCTCGGCAGATCCGGATAAACAACGACACTCATATTTTTGATTTTTTATACAGATAAAATTTTCTCCCCTCTCGGTTTTCCCTCTATTTGTAATTGGAAAACGCTATTGGTCCGCTTGTTTCGCCTTGACAACTCGCAAATGTTCAGATCGTTATGCCGAAATGGATCGATAATCACCTCGATACGCGCTGACACTGCAGTGCCCGTGCCAATAGCCGTCCTCTTGTTTTGTTGTGGAATTTGTGTTTCCGCCCTTGTGCGCGTCAGGCGATATTCTCTCACTTTTCTTTGAAAACAACATTGTCCATGTAGTATTCGGTACCAATGCAAGCCTTACGATTTTTGTTTTATCAACAGCGCCCGTCTCTGCCGTCTCAGACATGATGTCCTTCTGCTTGTGCGATTGTTGGAAGAGGTCGTCTTGTTGGCCGCATAAAGTGTGGGCGTTTTGGCTTTTATAGAGACGGCGCGAAGTGACTGTGTGTGTACGCGTGAGTCTCTTTATTATGTACTGTGTTCTGTGTTTTCGGTGGTGTCGTGCAAGTTAGCTCTACAGATGTTTTTACTTTAGCGCAATCCACTATACTGTTTCAGTTATCATCTAAAGAGTTAATTTTTAAAAAATTATCAGTTCTGCCCAGACAAGTTTTCGTAGCCTCGCATGTGTCCCGTTTACCGTGACTGTACTCAACGCCCAGAAAAAACGGAGAATCTGTGAAAAAATTTCATCAGTCAGCATCGCGCCAGCTGGCAACTTTCCGGGCGCTGTTTTCGTCAAACGCGTCGCGGCTTGCGTTGCGTGCGTGTGGCGCGCGACGGAGCGCAAATGCGTGCTTAGTTTTGAAACCGCTTGACAGAATTGGTTGCCGGGCGGCCGGGATTCACTAGTAATACAAAAAACATGTTTTCTGAGACAATTTGAATTTCTATCTTCTTCCTTTCTTTCTTTCTACCTGTTCGCCTTGCCTGTATGTTTGCCCATCTATTTCCCACGTCATATTCCTACCCTGATTATCATTCGGTTCTCTCGATTCGCGACACCAGTCAGCTCGACCGTTCTGCAGCTGCCCCTCCCGAACACACCGCAACAAAAAGCCTCTACCACTTCTCTCGCGTCTCTTTTTGGTTTACGGTTTCGGCGTCCTCTCTCAAATTGTTTTGTACGAAAACCAAAATATTTTGACGGTTTGGAAGGTTATCCAGCCAGCTGAGTACCCAAAACACGCAACGCTAGAACATCTAGTTCTTTTAGGATCTTTCTTAGAACTTCAACTAGCCCTCAAATATAGCTGAATCGTTCCTCTCGCCCGCAGCGGGCGGGCGCGGTGTCTGAGATTTATTGATTGAATTTTTATGGGCGGCCAACGAAGTATCGTTTCCTCGCTCTTTCTGCGTTTCTCCGTATCATTCCAACTCCGTTCCGAGCGCCCGTCATACATAAACATTCCACATTGACTTTCGATTCAAACCCTTTCATTTCAGATCTCTGACGCAACAACCGCAATGGGACGCAACAAGCCTGAAAAGAAGAACCGCAAAGAGCAGGCGGCAAAAGTGGCGACCGCTGTCACTGAGGCAAGGACAGCCAAGGCGGCTGTGGAAATCCGAGACCAGGTATAAATTGCTGTATTTTCACAACTTTCTCTTAATTTCCACGTTATAGGAGCCTGGCACCAGCTCGGCAACTCCAAACGTTCCGCGTACGAATACGCAGTACTATGGATACGATGTCGACGCCGGCGTAAACATCACTTTCCGCTTCACTGGCGCCACCTCCGAAGATGGTATGCTCATCAAACTGGATGAGGACACCCCGCCAGAAGTGGAAGTGACGGTCGACGGCGTGAAGGTCGACGACGTCAAGATGGTGAAGAAGCCGAAGAAGAAATAAATGGAACTGTGACCTTGTGAATTCCCAATACTTTATCCTCTCCCTGTCTCTCTCTCTCTCTCTCTCTCTCTCTCTCTCTCTCTCTCTCTCTCTTCCTCTCTATTTTCTATTGTCTTCCTCTCTTTCTTTCTCTCTCTGTCCTTTTCTCACTCGTATTCCTGTCCCCTGTCCTAGCTTCTTCTTCCTCTTTTCCCTTTGTTCCGTACCGAGCACCGTAACAACCGAAAGTTAACATTCATGTATCGGAAAGTAAATGTGTTCAGAATAAAAGTGGAATAATGTTATCAGATTCGTTGTCGTCTCGCTTTGATCAGTTTCCCACTTGTCTGCGAAGAGAGCTGACGTCATCTTCTCTCTGAAAATAGACAAGTTGACTTTGAATTTGATGTCGCCTGAAAAAAGCCTACCCGCTTCGTCTCGTCGGTTATCTTCTTGTCCAGAACGTTTTTGACCGTCGTCACCGATTCAGCGAGCTTCTTGATGGCAATCTTGCACTCATCGACGTCTCTTTTCATCTAAAAATTAAAGATTTTCCAGTTTTCAGCATCGAAATTTGTTTCGAAGGCGCACATATTTTGCTGCCTGTATTCAAAAAAAAAGCGAGTGTTGTTTGCTTCCAAAGAAGAGCATTTCCCAGAAAAGCGCAATTCTGCTTAAAAATCTTCAATTTTCACAGAAAATGTGACTTTTCTATGGTTTATCAGATACATTTTCTTAGTAATACATAGCAGGGCGAGCCGGTTGATCACCTGTTGATCCGACGAAGCGGCTGCCTTCCCTCCGCCGTACTGGTTCTGCTGAAGAGTCGTAAATGCTTCTTGAAGTTCTTTGATGGCCAAATATCTGAAAAGAATGAATGAATGTTACTCCAAACTCCTGCTAAATTCCACCTTTCCTCCTCCTCATTGTCCAGTCTCGTGTTCAGCTGATGCTTGATATTGTCCGCTTTGGCCGACAGCTCGTTCAACTAAAAAGATACAGTTTCTGATCAATTGTAACGTCATAATAACTCCTCACATCTTGCGGAATCTGTCTTTCAACTTTATCTCGAATTCTATCCTGCGCCTTTTCCATGTCCTCCTGCAGTGCGTCCATTTTGTTCAACTGCGCACGAATTCTGGGGGGAATATTTTCAAAAACAGTTCTTCAAAATAATTCTCACTTATTGACATGTTCTCCATCTCCCAAATCGGTCAGTCGTTGATTCATCTCTTTCCGATCATGGTAGAACCCTAAATCGTTTGTTTCAAATGAAAACCTCAAAAATAACAGTTCACCATTCTGCACACGACTCATTTTCTCCTCCAACTTCAGCAAACCCTCCATGCTCAGTTTATTCTTGTCCGCCGAGATGGCTTCCATTTCACGACGTAACTGAAACCGACGTTTTGGAAGGCAAGCAAATAATAGTAATTTACGGCATCAGTATCGAGTGCCGGCATTTGCACATTGTTCTTTCCATTTTTCATGTCTTCGATAGACTTGTTCATTCCGCCCACGTAATTGTTCAGCTTTTCCTCAATATCCGTCATTTTGGTGAGAAGTCCTTTCTCGTGCAATTTTCTGAATATAATTGTTCTAGTCGTCACCAGAAGTTCAGAAAACCTGGCTTGAATCTCTGAATTCATCAATTTATCGATTTTATTATTGCCGAGCTCCAAATGATGTTCCAAAGCTGCCAAGGCCTCGTTAACCTTTTGAAATCGGTCTTTCTGTTTTGCCTTCTCACTCTGAAACACAAAAATTGAAGAACAAACTAAATAAAAAGAGCTCGCACCGAAATCTGTTTGGTCGCCGCGTCCAGTTGTCCGGAAAGATCCGCCAGTTTCGACTCGTAATTTTGGCGCATGTCCTTTTCGTTTTCAACAATTCTCTCAGTTTGTGCGCGGATCATCTGAATACTTGAGGTATTGACGGATAATTCTGAAAAGGGAAGGTCAGGACGCCCCAGGAAAATGTCCGAATATGACACCCAATTTTCCAGAATTTTTCAAACTTGGGGTCATGACCTTCTCTCGTGAGACACTGACATTTTCAAGCACAGAAATGCGCGAGTTCAAATCGTCCTTTGTTCTCTGTTGGCTTTCAGTCATCTTACGCGTCACTTCAGCCGTGATCAAGTTGATTTTGTCGTTCAGCCTACGTGTCTCTTCGTTTAGCTTTTCCTAAATACGGTTTGAAATGGTTTCACGGAATGAAATATGAGAACCTTGTCAACATCTCCCTTTTTCGACAAATTGTTCATTATATCTTGTCTAGCGAGGTCTTGTTGACGGATCATATCTTGAAGGCGTTGAATTCTGGGGAAAAGCTTCGTTTTCTTTTTCTGGTCCTCTTTTTCTCAAAGTTCTCACCCATCACCGGCCGTTTTTGAGTCCTTCTCTCTGTCCCTCTGTTCTCGGGTCAAATTCTTCTGTAGATCCATCACTTGATTGTGCATATCGCGAAGTTTCGAGTCCAATTGTGACGTGGCGTTCGAGATTTTCTGTAAAAACGTTCGTTCCTCTTCTGATGCATGCCGAGTCTATTTACCGATGGATCCACAACTGGCCGGCTCTTTATCTCGTTATTTATGTGCATCAAATCAGACACTTGTCGGTCGACCGAATTGCGAAGACCAGAGATGTCATTGTTCATCATCATTAGCTAAATCAAATGAATATTTTATCAAAAGGAGTTGAGTGAACAGTACTAACCTTTGCATCCATTCCATTGATTTGCCTCCGAACATCATCCAGGTCTCTAGATTGTAGTCCGGAAGACTCGGAATTCTGAAGCCGACGCTGAAGGGCATCTTGATTCTGTTCCAGACGTTTTCGGGCGGCCTGAAATCGTGTGTGCTTTTTTGAGAAAAGAGTGGCTTGCATGCACAGTCATCAAACATGGGAAAGTCGACATTTCAGCATTCTTCTACCTTTTCAGCAGTCGCCAGATCTCTATTCTGCTGCTGCATTTGAGTCAGCTGACTTTGAAGACGCAGAAGGGCACCATCATCAGCAGTTTTTGGAGGACGTTCGACAGTCTGGCAAAAAAGGAAAACGTGGAAGGTGATCTGACACTGTTGCGGGGTAGATTGGACGCATTCTCATAGATATTAAGGGAAAATAGGGGGAGAACAGATATATTTCACTGCAAACCAATCACATTGGCTTTCCTGGCAACACGTCGACTGACGGGCGTGTCATGAGAACTTGAACGAATCTGAACTTTGGGACGAACATGGTAAGATGTAAAGGATGCATAGAAAAATGATATCATTTGAGTCTTGTACCTTTGGGGTCACGGCGACGCCTTCCTTCGGTTGCTTTGGACCTTGTCCGGATGGTCTGAAAACCCACACGATTTTATTCGAAATGTTAAAAGGTATAAGTTCACAATCCTCTTGAACAGGGCTCTATAAATCGTTCCCAATGCGGGTAAGGCCGCTTGAATTGCCATCAAGATGAAAGGATCAAGGAATCTTCAAGTTTTTGTCTGTCTAACTCGTTTCTCAAATCCACGTTGCACGAATCATATCGTGGTTCTGGCCCAGGAAAATCAAGGTTGACCGAGATTTTGCTGCTCAGACTACCTTCTTTGTTGACGAGGCTCTTCAAAGATGACTTAAATTAGGAAATCTGTGCATCTAATGACCGAAAGTCGCGCAGATAGAGTCAAAGAGCAGAAAGTCCCATGTACGACAAAAGTAAAACTCACGCGACTCCAAGAATGATATCCTTGGCGGTATCTCTTGTACCTCTCGTCCTTCGTTGCGACATTTCTCGTTACGAAACACAAAATGCCTTTTTTCCTCGCCGGACCGCAGTTTTCATCCCTCCTTTGCCGCATCCCCTCCCATGACGACTCGAGTTGTCATGGGCACTTTTTGTGTCGAGTTGCACGCTTTTGTCTTCTGTTGGCGACTTTATTATTTCCAAAAAAGCAAAAGAGGAAGAGAGGGGAGAAAAAGAAAAAGTAAAGTGAACCAGCAAGACTATGTATTATAATTCGGGGCGAGTTAACAAGACGGGGAGACAAAACTATAAAATACGAGAAAAGAGATGATTTTCTGTAGGTGTTGCTGTAAAAATAAGTCGGGAATGAGGTGAGAATCGATTTGAACCAATTCCGTTCGATCTTGAAACATCAATCTAGAAATCTAGAAATCTTTGTCCACCGGCAACTTGGATCTGAAAAGAATTTGAATTTGGGTTGGGTTTTTTGACAGTTTCGGATAACAGAAGTGTGATCCAAAATGTTAGTTGAACTGAGACCTACCGAATATTAAGTTATCGGTTTACTAGAATAAGAAAAAAGAGTAATCTAGATGGAAAACTGGTGTTAGAAGAAGTGGTTGGTGAGCATGATTATTCAGCCTTAGCCTCTTGAGCCGCACACCTCTGGGACGGGATGCGTGGTTGTGGTCCGAATCCGTACTGAAAATGAGCACAATTATTCATAAGTTTTCCATTTTCCAAATTTCCCACAGTGAAATCAAAAATTTGCATAATCACTTCTTAAAGTATGCCGCCGAGTCAATTTAAATTTCTTTTTCTCTCTTTTCCTTTTCCTTTTCGCTTTGCGAGTTCTGCGCAATAATGAGCTTCTCCAAACAAATTACATACTCTCTCTCTCTCTTTCTTTTGACGTCATTCAATAGTGCGCATTTCAATTTTACTTAACCCCGCGGAGGTCGAGAGGCCGGAAATAAAGATTGAGACCAGGATGTATACACCAGCTGTTCGGTTCGACTACTTTGGTTCACTATTTATAATGAAATGTGAAAAGTGAAAAGCGTCTTTCTGACTCCCTTGTGGAAGGGAGAGAGAGAGAGAGAGAGAAAACAAGAATCTGCTGACGTCACTGATCTTTTACCAGAAATTCTACGAAAGATGGATTTATTAAAAGACAAACCTTGGCAAACACGGTCGGATCGTCGTCTTTCGAGACGCAACACCAGAGAATGCAAGTGATGGAGATGACCAGAATGGCGCCGAAGAAGCACAGCCAGACGGCCACCACACCCAAGTAGTCAATCCATTGGAGTTGCTGCTTCAAGTCGACCATCCTGCAAAACAGATTTTGAGAATAGAATTCGTTGGGGAAGTGCGTAAAAACGATGGGTATGGGCGATAGAAATAGTGAAATGGATGTGGACCGAATCAATTATGGATGGGTTGGAAAGGTGGCTCGGGCAAGTCCGTCTGTTCAAATGGAGAATTGGGGGGACATGCGCCGCGCACATTTTGGCTGCCGCCCAGCCCTTGCACACACACATGCACACACACAGCGCGACGACCATTTAAGAAGGACCCTCAAACGATTCCATTCAAAATTTGGAGGGGCAACTTTGTGAGACGGCGCGCAACTCAACTGACAACTAATTTCGCAAAAATTTAAGTGTAGTTTTTCAATGCCTTGCCGACTCTCTCTCTCTCTCTCTCTCTCTCTCTTCCTTTTCTCTTTCTTTTCTTGTCTTGAGAAGCAGCTCGGCTTACTCAGCAAACAGAAGGAAAAGCACAAACAGTGGCGAGAGATGCGCACAGTACTGTGGGGTCGCGAGCAAAAGGCAGTTTTGTTAAATTTTCCAATCACACTTTGCAAAAAAAAAAACGCGTCACCAGAAGAGTTGAAAGGGTTGGGCGACGGATGGAAAATTGAATCGGAGCAGAGCAGACGCGCAAGGAATGTTTCTCTTTTTTTCTTCACATTTTTCTCTTCTTGTTGGGGGTTTCTACTTCCATCAAGCAACTAGGCCCAATGGAAACAACATGTGTGTGGGGCGAGAACGAGAGAGATGTTATTTACATGGGCCTTCTATAAAAAAGCTATGTGTTATGAGTTATGAGTCACTGGGCCGACTAGCCAAACATGGAAGGTTCCCGTCGACAAAATGGGAACATGAACGCTTTGCAAAGACTTCTGCAAAGATCTACCCCAATTGTACGAGACAAGAAAACGCAACGCAACGCCTGACGAACAACAACTGACTTAGGAGCGCTAACTCTCGAGAAATCGGAACTGGCGCAAAGAGAGGACTTGAGAAATAAAGACGCAGAGTTCCGAGGAGTAAGCGACCAGGAGGAGGCGAAGGAAGACGACGGCAATCCGAGAAAGAAAATAGCAGGGTCCCTCCTGGCAGCTAGTGACGGCCGGCCGCATCCTCCGCCTAGGCACTGCTCGATTCATAGAGAAGCCGGGAAAACAGGAGAGAGAAGAAGAAGAAAAAGAAGAAGATGCTCGCGGAGATGGGATCAATATTCCGGGGGGTAAGGAAGAAACGAGTGACGGGCCAACGACTGCGGGAGGGGGAGGGAGGGCGGCAAATTTGTGTATGTATGCCCGGGCCAAAACGAAATGGCCCCTCGCGTCTTGCGCATGCACCATGTCGCGCTCCCTTCACTACTCCCATGGCACACACAGGCACACACACACACACACTTCCCCCCTTTTGGGGAGTCCTTTGTGGCCGATATTGGTTTTGTCCACTTTTAATGAGTTGAAAGGGAGCCTGGTTACTATTGAGCGAGACTGTTGGGTGCCAAACGATTGGATTTGACGGAAATATGTGAGCGGCCAACGCAATTGCCCTTTAGTTTTCCTTTCAAAATTCTTTATACAAATAAAAGCTAACTGATGGTCGCAAAGAAAGCAAGAGAAAAAAGAATAAACATTTCGAGACAGACAGAGAGAACGGATTACAAATTCAGAGCTTGGACCGCGCTGCTGCAGCCAACTCCTCAATCGTCAGCACTCGTGGCGAGGGTCTTGCAATCCAAGTTCCGCCAAACTTGTCACTTTTGGTGAAATTTTGACGGTCGACGTGCTGGCCGTACGTGCCGACTTCATGAATATCAAGCACTGGAGTCACGCAACAATCCTTGCCTGAAATATGACACAAAATTTGTGATGAATTTGATCGGAAAAAAAAATGAAATAAAACCTTCGAATGTTTTTGTCCATTCATCTCGAGTTTTCAGGAGAAAAGTGTCTTCGAGCATCTTGATGACTCGTTCCGGGTTCTCGAATAAATCATGTCCATCTACACCGAGCACTTCAAACATTTCTTGATGGAACTTTGGCTCTAACGGTCCCACAGCAACAAACTTGCCATCTTTTGTCTTATACGTTCTGCAAAACATGCATTTGAGAGCACAATCTCTTTTGAATGCACATACCTATAAATGGGGCATTCGCCAGTGAATGCGGCGTATTTGTCAGTAAACAGATGTGACTGATCGTAGTAATGCTGCACAAAAGAGGCCAAATACGCGACACCTTCAGTCATGGAACAGTCCAACACACAGCCATTTCCTCCTGCAAATGTAAAGAAGTTAGAGTTGGAGAACAGACCGGGTTGGCCCAGTTTTGCCCCGAAAATTTAATCTTAAACGAATTTTAGAGTAAAAATGAGAAATGCGTGCGGCAAAGTAGTTGAAAATGGGCGCCAGTTGCAAATCTGATAAACACACTCCGACATACCGTTATGAGATCGAGCATGGATTGCAGAAACGATTCCAAATGCAGCAGACAGACCTCCACCAGCAAAGTCGGCCAACATATTGACAGGAGGCCACGGTCGGGAAGATTCGGCGCCAGCAAAAGTGGTCATCATTCCTAGAAACATAAAGATTTGAACTACTTCCACAAAACTTGTCGGAAATCGGCCTCGTCTGGAACGGGTCTATAATTTTTTTTAGGTAGAAAACGTAATTAGCGAACTCAAAATCACAAAACGCACCGCTCATCGCCACGTAGTTGATATCGTGACCGGCTTCCTTGCTCATGCGTCCGGTTTGACCGTAGCCACTAATGCGACATATAATCAGCCCCTTGTTCTCTTTCCAAAGAGTCAATGGGTCCAAACCCATCTTTTCGAGTGTGCCCGGACGATACGGATCCAGAAGTACGTCACTGGTTTTGCAAAGTTCTCGAATCTGTGAGAGAAATTGAAAAAAAAAGACATTCAGGTAACAGGGATCTAGGCTATCAAGCCATTGCTTACTGACCAAAAGTTGGGAAAATTTTTTTTTTCAAGTAACTGACCAAAAGAAATTGTTGTCGCCGTGATATTTTTTCTTTCTTTTGAAAGGTGTATAATCTGTTTATTTCGTATTAAACTTTTTGCGGAATGCTACCTCTAATTTAGTGACGTCAAAGGTTTCATCGTACAAGTGGGACCGTCTCTTGGGGTAATGAATTCACTCATAGCATCAAGTGGAATGAATTGAGCATGTTTTGGCAATCATTTTGATATTATAACTTGCCAAGTTTTGTCGATTCGTCAGTGAACTACACACAAAATTTTCAACGAACTTATCCGCGACAGCACCCCTCCATTTCGCCCCAAACGCCCTCTCACGAGTAAATCAGTGCAAGCCCGCTGTCGAAAACTCAGACGCCGTTCCCATCTCGCTGTAAAATCTAAATCCGAGCACAGGCTCCACCTTAAGAACATCAAAAAACGTCTCGCCAGACAAGAATACAGCATAATCAGAGCCAAAAATCCCAGAAAACTGTTCCAATTTGTCAAAAATCGTCTCTCCACGCGGTCCGCGCAAATAAAACTACTGATTTCTGGCGACATTATAACCGAACCCTCTCTGATTGCCGCCGAATTCTCCTCCGTTTTCTCAAAGGCGTTCACCATGCCCTCCGATCCCTTCCCTGCCCTCCCAGCCCCCCCAAACCCCATCCGATCGCCTTCGACTTCTCCCCATTAAACATAAGCCGCCTAATCGATACTCTCGACCCGAAAATAGGATACTCTAGAGACGTCATAAACTTCTTTATCTTAAAAAATTGTCGTGACTCCATCACAATTCCTCTTTCACTGATATTCATCGAGTCTTTCGACAGTGGAATCTTCCCGAACTTCCTCAAATCCTCCACAGTTATTCCAATTCATAAAAAAGGATCCTTCACAGATTCTTCCAATTTCCGACCGATCTCACTGACACATCCGATCTCCAGACTCTTTGAAAAAGTGATGCTCAGCTCTATACGTCTTGAATTCTCAGAAAGAATCTCAAAATTCCAATACGGATTTATGAACAACAGATCGTGCACACTCGCACTACTTGATTCGATATCAAAAATCCAGCAAATAACTGCGAACAGAAACAAGTTTGCTGATGCCCTGTTCTTTGATTTTAAGAAAGCTTTTGACAGTGTCCCGCACAATCTCCTCATCTGCAAACTGAAGAACTTCGGCCTTGACACTAAAACATGTGATTGGTTCGCCTCATTTTCTAGAAAGTCGCTCATCTGCCGTAAAAAAATCGATAATTTTTATCTCCGACATCTCCTTCCCAGTACTATCAGGCGTTCCCCAAGGAACGGTCACAGAGCCGTTCCTATTCTTGGTCTTCATTAATGATTTGCTAGCCCTTTTTCCCCGCCGACGTCCATGTCACCGCGTTCGCTGATGACTTGAAAATTTTCGGAGATAACCCAAAAACGCTTCAAGAAAGTGCAAACATTGTCGCATCATGGTGCGAAACCTGGCAACTAAAGCTAGCAGAAAATAAATCCGCAGTTCTCCACTTTGGAAAGAAAAATCCCAAAACCAGATATCTCCTGAATGGCATCGAAATCGAATCAAAAGATTCCGTTAAGGACCTCGGCATCTGGATAGACGACAAGCTCAAATTCGATAAGCATATCACAATAGTTAGCAATACCGCCCTCTTGAAATGCAAACAAATTCTGAAAGCCTTTCGCTCCTCGAACCCCAGTCTCTACTTTAAACTTTTCAACGTTTACGTCAGACCCATTCTCGAGTACGGCTGTGAACTTTTTCCATCCCTCATCGACATCCCTCTCCAGCAAATTAGAGTCTCCCCTTAGATTTTTTTCAGTAGAAGAGTCTTCCAAAGATGTAACATGCGGTTCTCCTCCTATAGCGACCGTCTCAGTCAATCTAATTCAAAAATCGATACTCCACAGAAGGGTTCTTCTTATTCTCAGAACATTCCACAACATAATCTCGCACAAGTACCATTTCCCTCCCTAAGCATGTTCCTCAAACCCGGCGTCTCCCCCCGTCACCCGTACCTTCTATCCTCCCTTGGCCTACCCCATGACTCTTTCTTACATACCCATCTTGCCCTTTGGAACCGAGTGGCCAAGTTGTTTCCCGAAAGACTGTCCTCTGAGGCCTTCGCAGCGCGCATCGAGAAGATCCCCCCTAGCTTTTTGTATTCTAACTGACCTCTGGCTACTGCCGGCCAATGGTCATGTCAAGCCATTGTTCCTTCCCCCACCCACATTCCCCCTCTTTTTTTCTCTTCTTTCTTTTTTGTTGTAATTTTATTCCTAGGTGGCTGAAGAGAATAAATGAGTTATTATACACTCACTGAAGTACTATTGACAGTGCATAAACGTTTGCAGCCGTGTCAGGGCAGCCGTGATATGTACCTCATCAGCAGCAAGTGCGCTGGATAGAGCAATCCAAGAGGATCATTTTTATACCATAACTTGCCCCTTTTTCACTTTTTTTCGCTTAGCTGGACTTGCTGACTTTACATCAATTCGTTCACATTTTAGTACGAAAAGCAGCAAGTCTAGCGCCGTAGCCATGACATATACATACCCAGCAGCAAGTGCGCTGTGTAGAACAATCCTAGAGGATCATTTTGATACCCTTACTTGCAGACTTGCCAGATTTCGGGCCGGCCATGCGGGCCGGCCCGGGTCGGCCCGGGCCGGGCCGGTAAAGTGCCGGCCCGGGCCGGGCCGGGTCGGTGAAGTGCCGGCCCGGCCCGGCCCGGTCGGCCCGGTTCAAAAAGGCGGGAATTCAAATTTTTCGCGGAAATTTTTTTCGTTATTACAAAAAAATTTTTCGAACTAAAGTTTTTAGTGTTTCTTCTTTGTTTTCTTGCTATTATGAATTTTTTTATGAGAAATACATTTGTTTTTTTCAATGTTCGATGCTTGCAAAAACCCCTAATTCTACAAAAAAATGGCTTCATGCGATCAATAATTCAAATTTTTGAATTCCCGCTTTTTTTGAACCGGGCCGACCGGGCCGGGCCGGGCTGGCCGACGGGCCGGGCCGGGCCGGAGTTTTGAAATTTCGGCCCGGCCCGGCCCGGCCCGGCCCGGCCCGTGGCAACTATGCTTACTTGAATGATTTCATCTATTCTCCGCTGAGTTAGACTTGCTGACTAAATCTACCAGTTGCAACTGGTAATTTTTTGGAACGACCAGTTGCAACTGGTAGATTTAGTCAGGAAGTCTAACTCAGCGAAAAATAGTCAAAAGTGGGCAAGTAAGGGTATCAAAATGATCCTCTAGGATTGTTCTACACAGCGCACTTGCTGCTGGGTATGTATATGTCATGGCTACGGCGCTAGACTTGCTGCTTTTCGTACTAAAATGTGAACGAATTGATGTAAAGTCAGCAAGTCTAACTCAGCGAAAAATAGATGAAATCATTCAAATAAGGGTATCAAAATGATCCTCTTGGATTGCTCTATCCAGCGCACTTGCTGCTGCTAGAATATTTTCAACATCCAGAGTGCTGCTCGCGGAGCCAAAGTTGGAAAAATCAACTTTTTCCAGTGTTTTCAGAAACATCCAGAATTGTGCGCGCTAAGGATTTTTTGGGTCGATGAACACGTTCCCAAAAAAGCAAGTGAAATTAATCAGTATTCATCCGACGGCACGCATCTGAACTCAGATAATTTTTAGCAAGGGTGGGGCACGCGAGCGGCAAGTGGACAGCAAGTTGCTACGGTAGCATAGGATGAGCATGTCAGCAGGGAAAAAAAGTGGGATGGGAAGGAAGCAAGGTTTTTTTGAGCGGCATAGAAGCAGCCACGGTAGCAGGGTTCAGCGCGTAGCATGCACGGAATCGGCACCCTTACAGCATTTTTGCCGCAGAAAACGGCATGCATGCCGCTTCCAGTCGGCACCCATGAAGATTCTTGCGGCCGCGCTTCTTGGCTGTTCTCAGACTTAAGATGCGTGCCGTCGGACGAATACAATCAGTATTTCACTTGCTTTTTTGGAAACGAGTTCATTATAATGTAAACTAACTAGGGTTGGCAGCGGGGCGCCCTCGCCCCCGACCGGTTTTTTTCCAAAAATCGAGTAGGAATTTTTTTGAAAAAGTTTTTCTCAACGCACGTTGATAGTGAATAAACTCATTAATCTACTAAATTTTTTTCAGAATTTTTAATTACACTTTAAGGGGCCGGGGGGGCGAACGAGGGTGTGTGGGGCGCGGGGGCGCCCCGTTGCTAACCCTAAAACTAACAAAATGACACAAATAAGCACGCACGAAACAGCCATATTTCGAAAAAAGCTAAATTACTAAAAGCTAGGTCAAAATTCATTTAAAAAAAGACCCTGCTTAGAGAGGCACTTGCTGACCAGCCGGACCTCGCTCACTGACCAGCAGGTGCTTCAGACCATGGGACTTACTGACCACGGACCCCCCTGAGAGTTGGTCCTAGATCCCTGTTCAGGTAATTCTCACCTTGTTCAAATCATCCGGATTTCTCAAATCAAACTCCTTTATTGTTTTTCCTCTATTTAGACGTTGTTCTACCACTGGATGCTTCTAGATTAACGTTTTGAGGCTTAATATTGAAATTGACAACTCACTTTGTCTATAACCGTCACATCCGCACCAAAATCAGCGAGCAACAGTCCGCAATGCGGAACTGGGGCAAGACCGGCAAGTTCCAAAACTTTGACACCAGTCAACAAACGATACATCGTGTCTGCAATTATGATTATGAACAACCATAGTCTTAGAGGAAAAATGAAAGAGATTTCAAGAAAAGGAGGTGTAGTAATCAACAACTCGTTGTGGTCGTCGGCCTCTAAATGTTTTCCGTCTGCGTCGCGACAGTACAACGCACTCAGTGTTATCATCGACTACTTTGTAGTCAAAGAAATAGTACGTCGGCATACGTTCCGTTTTCGATTTATTGCGATGAATAAACAAAAAATACAAGAAAATATGAAAGAAAAACAAAGAAAGAACTTGTAAGGCAGTTGATTACGGTGAAAATCGGGGAAGGTGACTATTACTTGTGAATTCGTCGGTTTTTAATGGGGGTAGGTTTGGTCGAGCGCGGAATTCGGGATTTATCTCGAACTCGAGACTGGTTTTGTTGGTTCATGTAGGCCTGTAACTAGTTTTGGGAGAAAAATAGTGGAGAAAAGAAAGAGTTCGACTACAATTAATGACAACATTGAGTCAAGTGATGAATGAAAAGATGAAGAATCTAGATATCATGCTCCAAATAATCGTCGCCACGGTTGAAGTGCTCAACACGAACGACTTCGATCGGCACCTCCTTCTCTCGCACGTCCGAATACACAAGTTTGGCTGGTTGGGAAGACCGCGGCGCCGTGTATTTGTGCATTTCGTTGTTGAGCTCTGCCTTGAGAATTTCCTCCCGAATGAGAGTCTGTAATGTGTGCCAGTGAGAGTGTTGTGCCACAAGACAACACTAATAAGAGCTAGTTTCCGACAAACTACTGCTAATTAGAGACTCGACTCACTTCCAAAAGATCGTTGTCCGTTTGGATCTTGATACTTTTCCGTCCCAATTTCTTCTCCGAATGCTGCTGAAGTTGCTTCTTTTGGCTGTCCGGGAGAAGATAATAGAGTCCTCTTTTCGACCAATTCATTCTGGACACGACCGCGTCAAACGACTTTTTGTTGTGTTCTGGATCCTCTTCCGGGTCCACGTGCTCATCCACTTCTCCTTCTTCACGGGCCTCATTGAGAGCGCGAGCGTATTCTTGGTCGATGTTATCTTTCATGCCCTGAACAATCATAGATGAAACATTTTGCGAAATACAATTTGTGAACTACCGTTGCGAGGGCCTCAATCTGTTGTTGAATGAGAGTCATGACAGTGGAGACCAACGACAGGCCAACGAGGAGCAAGATTCCAACAATGGGCATGAAATCGTAGTCGGATGGAAGAATGTCACCGAATCCGATAGTTGTGAACGAGATGAGAGTGAAGTAGAGCGAAGTTCCAAAGTCCCAGTCTTCAAGAAACGAGAACAGCACAGCACAGAAGATAACCCAGATGACCGTGATGATGAGCAGACCGGAAATCGGGAACGAAAGAAGATCATCATCGTCGTTTCCACCGGGAGCAATCGCCTGAGGAGAAGAAGAAGAAGAAGAAGAGTCTACGGAGGGAAGGAATGAAACTTACAGTAGTTCCCTCTTCAATATTATCGGCTGCTTCGGAAATCTGAAAATTAACAGTAAAATATGTTACTTTCTGAAACAAAAAGACAATCGGAAAAAGTAAAATGTGAAGCTTTGGGGGGAGAATTGTTAGAACTGGAAAAATTTGTGAGTTTGGGTGGTCTAGAGCGGAAAGAAATAACAAAAACAGGGAATCTTGGTGTTCCCCCTTTTCTGAACCCTTTCGCTTACTCTCCAGGATTCGTCCGGATTGATCTTAATGTATAATACTTGTTTCTTAATGGAATATTAGCTCTCCGCTCCAGTTCACATTCCTCAACTGATACCTTTTTAGACAAGTCCTTACTGACAACTCTGGTGGATCGCAAGAAGAATTGCCACAGAATTTTGCATCCTTTCGCGAACAGACTACCAAGACAGTACAAACTGAGCACTGTGAGTGGGATTCCGATGAATGCGTACAGGATTGTGGCAAAACGACCCCACGCGGTGCCGGGGACGATGTTTCCATAACCTGAAAGATATTATTTCAAAATGTCGTTCATGTGAGAGAATGACTCACCAATTGTTGTGTACACGGTCATACAGTAGAAAATAGATCCGAGATAAGTCCAATGGACATCCTTCTCCAAATCGGGCGGCACGATGCCCAGTGTCTCTTGGAAGGTGGTCAAAACTTTGGCGGTTCTGTTGTACTCCTCCTCGGCAGTCATTAATCTTCTCTGTCTCTTGATCTGTAGCTGGTTAATCTTGTACACTGTTCTCTAAAAGTAGTTCCCTGAGAGTTTATTGTTTTCCGTATTCCTCTCCTACTCTTATCAAATCATCTCTCTCCTTCTGCTGTTCAATGAGCATCTCTCGCTCGTTTTCACCTTCGATCATCCAGAAGATCCATGCTCCAAGAATGGTGTACACCACAAGAATAATCAATGGCAGCAATCCTGTAAAACTTCACTTCATCCTGGTTACTCCATCATCTCAGGAGGGTGGCAGAACAGTTGTCATATTACTGCCGAAGGAAAATTTGTGCCTCAAAGCATAGTGTAATAATTATTTATGTGCGGGATTATGAAGAGTCCTTACCTGAGAACACAGAACGAACAAATCGGACGAGGAAGAAAATCATGTTTTGAGAAAAACGTCACGCATGACTACGGGCTCTTGGGTACTTTATTTTTATACGCACACATACCTTTGAACGTTTTTTGAAACGTTGTGAGGATTGTGGAAACTCCTTGCGCGACAATCGCCATTTCCGGTTACCCGCACTCCTCCCTCTTGGTTGTGTACCTGAAGGCGATTCTTTGATGACTGAGATTGCTTTTTGATTGTTGAAATGTGAAAGAAAAAAGAAGAAAAAGGTGAGAAGAGTGCAGAATGAGGCTGAGTGGGAGGGGTTGAAAAGAGAGAGAGAGAGAGAGAAAGAGAGAGAGAGAGAGAGCCTATCTGATATATCGGGTGATGCTGGTGGAAAAAAAGAGAGAGAGAGAGAGAGAGAGAGAGAGAGAGAGTCTGGGTTATTGGCAATCATAAATTTGATGGCAAAGTGAGGAGCAGACATGCGATATCGACTATCTGATGGGCTCTGGTTCGGAAAAGTGGTTTTTGAGAAGCCCCGGGGGACCAGCGACGAGGGACTTCACTTTTTGACTCGAACTGAATGTGGATGAATCTAAGCGAAACATTCTTCAGTTATTTGACTCCTAGTGTAATTCGGAAAGATCTGAAGCCAAGAATTACGATTGCATGAATATAAAAGCGTAGTAAAACAAGGCGGACCTGCTGTTCAACCTCCTCAGTCATCGCAAAGTGCTCTCGAGAAGTAACATACTCCTGAAGTTGTTGATAGCGCGCCCGGGAGCAGAAGTTTAGAAGTGAGAGGCAAAGAGCAACGGCGGGGTTGACGGGGCACGGGAGGAGAGATGTGGCACGCACACTCATCCGATATAATACACTTTTTGCAGCTACTTCAATCTGTTCAGTTGCTCTTTTCTTCGTCTCATCCTCCTCCCCTTTCAATCGGTGCCAATTGTTCGTTTCCGTCACAGACTTTCTCTTTCTCTTTGACACTTTGGATATTTTGATATTGGTAGGCAAGGCAGGCAGGCAAAAAAGCAGGGAAAGCAAAAAGAAGATAGATCGGTTAGGTCTCCCGGGCCAATCGTCACAACAATTTGATGAGGAGAAAAGCGAATTCCGGGGATATATGAAAACGAGACGAAACGGCGTGAGGTGAAAGATGAAGGCGCCCAACGAGCAAACCTACACCTGACAAATTGAAGTATCTGGGGAAAAAGGGAAGGACCGAACGATGATATCAAGTTTCGGACGGAAACATTTCTTGGGCGCTTGACGAGTTCCGTGTTTTCGAAGCTTGTGAAAATACTAAATTGACTCCAAAAATCCAAGTTCAGTGGACCGTCAAATTTATTTGAATTTCAATCGGGAAACTAAACCTTTTTAGTATTGCAACCAAATATATGCTTCTAAGAGTGAGAAAAACAACCCGAAAAATGAAACTACATGATATACATACATAAACCTTGAACAAACAAAATGTTACGATAATAGATAAAATTTATTGGATTTAAGGACTTCAGGACTGAACAGTTGTCTCGAACACTTGAGCGCGGTTGGACATTGCTTGACGGAGTGGAGTGTGAGCACTGAAAAACTGTTGAAGAAAAGTGTTATTTTCCTTCTAATTGATGTTGTGAGCAGTGTTGGGCCATTTGACTGCCTGCGCTTAGACTTTGGGACCACTCGCAATAATCCGAGTGGACCCAAGCCATGCAGGCTTCTTGGACTTGGGCTGATGTGTATTGGATCTCCTAAATTACGATAAACCGATCGATAAATACTTTAATCCAAGTCCAAGAAGTCTGCAAAGTTTGGGCCCGATCGGAATATTCAAGTGGTCCTAAAGTCCAAACGCTGGCAGCCTCCATGTCACTTTGTCAATGATATCTGTCTCACATCATCTGTTGTCAATGACGTGGCAAAAACATACAAATGCAATGCAGCCCCTTCACTTACAGACTGTATTTGCTGAACGAAGAGCGTGGATATCCCTCCGTATTCCCTCTCCAACAATAATTGATGATAATATCCTTGAAAGCTCGTCTGAATCGACTCGATGCAAGATTGTAAGCGATTGGATTGATGATCGTAGCCAAATAGAAAAGAAATCCTGAAATTTTACTACTTTTAAGCGTGCTGTTATCATCTTTCCAGGCTGAAAAACGAACGAATGTTTTGTGTATTCCCTTTTTCGATATTTCTTAAAACAAACACGACACCTACAATTTCATCCATCCTTCCCATGCCTTTTTCTCTCTTTTTTCCCTCTAGTCTGGTATCACTTTTGCTTCAAAACCTACCAGAAATAAAGTAAATGTACTGGTTGAGATAGGCCAGGATGACATCATTGTCGAAATAGAAAAAGAGGAGACGTTGTAGCTGAAACGGAAGATAGCAAATGAAGAAGGCGGAAACGATGGCACCTGCAACGTAATCCTGTCTCGTTTTTGATTTTGGGTCGATTAGATGGCACACCGCAAACTTTTCATTCTTGGAAATCGGATTAGTGTTTGGTTAGGCCCAGATAGGACTACCCCACCTATTCTGTAGAATACATAGAATCATGCTAAAAAATAGGCTACATTTTTATTTTATCCATGTATTTCCTGACTACTAACCCCAATCTTCCCTCCATTCTTCTCCCAATCCCCTTCATTCCCTTCTTTTCTGCTCACACCCGGACGTACACAAAATCGCATTGATTCTCATTTGCAGCTCCTCGGTGATATCGAATTCTCCTTGCTGAATCGTCCGATTGCTCGACACCTGAACAGGTGATGTGACCGATTTCTTGATGATTTTCTGATTTTTAATGACTTTGACTGGATGAGCTAGAAATATTCTTGCAAGAGTCACGCGAACTATGATCACGCAACCATGAAAGCCGAGAAATTTTTTTTTTCTCGGGTGAAATGATAATGTCCTTTTCTTCTTTGTATTTTCGAAATGTCTCACTTACTTTGCACGCAATTCTCGCGTAAAGAATCAGAATGGTCAATAGCGGAATAGCGAAAAAGGCGAGTGCCGAGAAGTGGAAAAGAATCTGAAATGCGACAGATTAATGCATTTCCGATGCATTCGTTTAAAGTTGAAACTTTTGACAAACCTTGAAAGTTGGAATCAATTTCGGCTCAAACATTACTGCTACCATGCAGAGTTTCGAGGATTTCACCTATTATTCGTATACGATTTATGATTAATCACATTCGCTTACCGGAACATGATTCTCGGTTCCTGGCCAACTTTTCATGAGATAGTCCGCACGGTGATGAATGGCAAACGGCATTGCGCATAGAATCGAGAATACCCATGTGAATCCGATGATTGTGCTTATCTGAGAAATCGTTTTCTCTTTTCCTGTCAAATATTTCTCTCTTTTCCTGTCACTTGTCGCGACAATTCTTTCCAAACACTTTCAAACATTTGGAGCTCGGGTCGATCGGGCCGAGGGGTCATCTGTACAGTTTTCCACTACCGTAACCCGAACCTACATTTCTTTTGAATGGTTGCACCTTCAGCAAGTACAGCGGATGACAAATAGCCACGTAGCGTTCAATAGCAAAAATTAAAATTGTCAACACTGACACAGAGCTGAAATGCATAGTTATTTAGTTTCTCAAATACAGTACCATTCTCAGTACCTTGTAGTTTCGGCAATAAGCGCTTTCAAATTGCAAACATAATCCGGAAACGGCCACGGGTACTGTCTCCAGTTCATAAGTACCTCGAACGGAAGACCGACACATAATGTGACCAAGTCCGAAACAGCGAGGTTGATTAGGTACATGCTGGAAAACAACTGTCTTGTGTGTTGTGTCTGGTGTATGTCTACCTCGCATGTGTTTTCATCATGGGATGCTTTTTCATGACTAGACAAGTGGTGGTATTGCCAATCACGCCAATCAGAAAGATGAGTATATAGAGCGCCGTTGTCTGGAATTTTCTTTGTTTTTCCATAATCCTATCCTATTTTCTAGTTTTCTTTTGAATTGCATATTGTTTTTTATATAAACAAGAAAAACTATGAAAAAAGGCATCTACTATAGTTTTCTGAGAACTGACCTTATAAAGAGTGACGTCATCCAGTGCTCGTTTCGAAAGAAAACAATGCTCCATGAAGCAAGACTCCTTGAGCTCTTCCGAATTGTTATAAACAATCGGACACATCACCGCCAGACAATCGCATTGTTCCGTCGCATTCTTGCACACTTCCAACATGTTCTCACTCATCTGAAAGAAGCGAATGTGACAGTCACGAACCGACTGAATAAGTCATTCGATCGGCGACCTCCGACGTTAGTTTCTTTTTTCACTCCTTCTACTTTTTGTTAGCGCTAATTAGGGTGCGAGAATCAAGAAACAAGTTGCGAAAGTTCGAGATAGATGGATGGATTAATGAGTGTCGAATTTCAGCCAGCTGTGGAAAACACGATTTTGTGTGGTTCAATGAGCCAGAAACGTGTTACTCAGGCGGTATCCGGTAGGAGTTCACCAGGGTAAAGGTTGCAAAGGACAAAAACGTTTCGTTTGCCCGCACTATCTGTTTCACGTCACTCCAAGTAAGGCGTCATTAGAGATTGTTTCACACAGATTACCGAATTGACCACTTGAAGCATTCGGAGCATTGGATTTTGTGTAGTTTTCATTGTACAGAAATAGAGTAAGTGACAGTTATTATTGTTATTTTCATCCGAAATGAATAGTGGATGAGTCGAAGAGGCCCATCTCTATTGTTAATTTTTCTGTTTTTCCAGCTAATTTTTTCGCTATTGGAAGTAGGGGGAGTGGGGTGAGTGAAAAGAGAGAGAGAGAGAGTGAAAGTTGGCAAGAATCAGAGAATCCATAATAACATATCACAGGGAAGTAGTAATAACATGGTAAATATAGATCTCTGCACACTGAATTCTTCGGGGACGTCTGGATGCTCCGAGATTGAAGAAAGAGAAATAGTTTTGGTCTACGGGTTTTGTTATGGATGATTTCACGCAAGGATCGTGGGAAAACGTGTGCAGTGTGAATAAGTCGCGGGACGGGGTCGCGGATGAAAATCACGGGATTCAGATGAGAGTGCGTATGTGTGCGAAGCGAAAGGATAGAGATGTGTGTTCAATTATAGGATTTAGGGCTCGCCCGTTGTTTTGGCGCACTCTGATGAATTTGTGTTGGAAGTCGCCTGGCACAAGTTTTCCGAAATCAGAGAAACACTTTCACTTTGAGAAAAAAAAAGCGCGTAGAATTCATTTGGTCGTTGGACTTTCATTTTTTATGACGTTTCTGGCGAGAGATGTCAGTTACATGGGTTTCTGAATTTGAAAAGTTTTCATGCCGCAGAATTTTTCATTTCGCTAAGAAAATCAGCTCGACTTGAGACTAGAAAGCGCATAGCTAATGGCCGAATTCGTGTAATTTTCCTACCTGACAGGAAAGCGTGTTCGTCTCACATTCAGTTTGAAACTAGAAATGAAAAATTCTGGCCGGAAACGGGGAAATGGAGAAACCTACACATAGTGGAACTCAGAGAGCAAAGTGCTTCATTGTTCGCTCCGATCATTGAATTCCGAGATTCGCTTTTTCGAACTTTCAACTACAATGAGAAGAAGGAAAGTGAGACAACTTGATTTAACCAAAAAAGGAAGAAAAGAGAAAGAGAGAGAAAGAGAGTGAGAATTGGCACACTTGGCATCGGCGGACTGAACAACTGTGAGGATAGTGGGGCCGAGCAGACAGACTCCCCTCAATATCATGCACTTTGCCTCCCTCTTCCTCTTTTTGCCAATTGTTCACTGTTTCTATGCCCCCATATGAATCCGCGACCGCGTGAGCAGCAACCAATGTAAGCGGAAATGGAAGGGGCGTCGAATAATAGTCGGGAGGGGTGTTTCCTCACACACTTTGAACTGAGCTAATTTCCAAAAACTCTCTCTCTCTTTTTTCTTTCCTCCTCAAAACCCAAACCACTTTTGTTTTGTTTTGTTCTCGTTCTTCGGCCGTATGACGATGATGACGAAGAAGGAGAAGAAAAAATGAAGAAGATCTGAAGAAAGAAGGCCCCAAAAAACATGAATTATTTATTCTTGAAAGGACAATTATGGATGGAATGGAATGGGAATGCGGGCGCCGGGTCCGTCTAGGTTCTCGTGTCAGGAAGTGAGATTGGGGGGACAACATTGACATTTAGAATTTTTTGGCACGGAAGTGAGAATAAACGTGCAAGTGCATTGAGCTTACTTTAAACAAATACATCATTTTCATTTTCGAATAGACCATGGCTTGAAAAGTCAGGAAATGAATGTGATTATAGTTTGAGCTCTTCAGAGACTGTGTTCTGAACGTCCGGGGCTGGAGCCGCCGAATGACTAATACTAAAAAACGGGCGGAGACCTGGTGGAATTTCGAATAGCAGCCAGAGCCAGTATCACACTCCGATGGTTTGAACTTTCTGTTCATATTTGAAGAATGCATGAAAAGGGCAATGAAAAGATCCATTGTTGCGGTCACAACGAGCTGATATTTATGAAAAAGTGGATGTTTCAATTTCATCGTTTCATTCGCAACAGTTATGATAGTAGTTGATTTTTTCTCTGTCTGAATAAGACGGATATCAGACAGAAGATTGACATGTGACAGTTTTCATAATGGGGCCGGATTAGTCAGATCATCGAAACAACAAAAAGGATAGGGGGAGACCCTTTCGGGCTCGACCGTGAACAATTGCGAATAACAATGGAGCGATGGGTTGAAAATCGAATTTCCGGCGCCTCACAAAAATTGCGCATGTTTTTTGCCGCACGTGCTGATCCGATTGGATTGGGCATCCATGTTTTGCCGCCTATTGATACTTCCGTTCTCATTTTCATTTTTTTTTTGAAAAAATCAAGGGTTTTGTAGTGAAGGAAGTCTACTCGGCTCGAAAATTTGACGTTTTGGCCCGGCCCGTTGCAAGTCTGCTTCTAAGCTCCACCTCTTCCGTCCAGTCCCGCCGAATACGGCGAATCTGCTCAAAAACATGTTTTTGTACTGAAATCGACGCTTTCCAATGGATTTTTTCAGCACTAAAACCCAATGCTTACTTTTATCCAGACTTTCAACGGGCCCGTCCAAAACCTGAAAAATTTCGAAGCTTCCTGGCCAGCAAAGTCTTCGGCCGGGCCGAAGTCTTGCAAGTCTGTTTTTTGGTGGTTTGCCAAATTTGTTGTACTTTGCAATATCTGAGCATTGGTCAATGATTATACTGGAACATTCGCACCTCGGGTGCATGCTCTCAAAGCTTTTTCACGCATATATTGCTCCAATCCTGTCTCACGCTGTTCTTTTCTTTTCCATAGAGTTTTCACAAAACCAGTCAAATATCATCAAAATTCATCGGTTCAAAAGGAAAAAGTAAATGAAAATGAGCAAAAGGTTAACGCAGTCAGCAGGATTCGAACCTACGCGGGCAGAGCCCAATTGATTTCTAGTCAATCTCCTTAACCACTCGGACATGACTGCACATCTTTCAACTACCACCCTTTGTGTACACTTTCTCGGCAGTCGGCGCTGCCTCTTTTTCCTCTTCCTCCTCCTCTCGCCCGCACGCTGTTGGTCTAGTATGCGACACGCAGAGCGTGATATGTTTCACATTTTCCAGACTTTTTGTGCACATACCAAATCTGCGAAAACACCTTTTTTATTAGAATTCGTGACTGATAACAGATGACTGAAATAGATTGGTTTCTAGTCTCGAGTCTCAGGATCTTATAAGTTGTTGCTTGACGTAATACATGTCTATATTTCTGTCGACTATTTTCATATTGTACACTGCCGAAAATAAACCGAGACGATAGATTGTATGCATGCGTTACACGGGATTTTCGAGGAATGAGTGATCAAATGATACTCTGTTGTCAACAACTAAAATGTCTTCTTCAACTATCAGAATGAGATCCCAGTCCTCTAGTTTGAGTCAAGTTCATCTTTTCTGACTACGTGCGAGCGGAGGTAATTTCAAATTCCGAAAAAGTTCAACACGCTTCGTTTTTTTCTCAAGCCTCAAAAAATTGATAGACTCACGTATGTCACTGATTTTTTAAGCTTTTCTTTGAGAAATTTTCAAACTCGCAGTCTGAATCTCTAACAGAGGCGGATAATTATATGCTCTAACTTTTCCAAATGGAAAAATTTCTGATTTTACTTAAGACGAAATTTGGAAATATGCCACCAATCTCGTTTTTTCTCGGTTTTTCTATCTTTTTTTGCAATTATGTATACGTCAACAAATTGCAATTCTAATCCGGTCTATTGTGCCAGTCTCCCGCGTATCATTTATTTCCATTGTGAGCAAAAGTACAAATGAAAGGGTGCATAAAGCAAAATAAGTGTGACTCATTAATCTTCTCTGTACAAGGCTCATTCATACTTTTTCTTTCACTTATTTCAAAAATGCGTCAGCTTTTTCATACACTCATCGTGTTCTTCATTTGTTATTACCGAATCACCAATCTGAGTGAGTGGAGTGAGTGAATTCAAGATGTGAATGGATTTTTCGTTCTCCGCCGTTTTCTTGGAAAACTTTCACTTTTTTCATATTCCAACATACCTGGGAGTTTAAAGAATGTTCGGATAACGCATAAGGAAGCGGAATATCCTGTCAATGTTTCTATATAATTGGTCCATTCTGCACATTTTTTGTTTGCATTCGGCTAATATGTTTTGTGTACTTCAGTTCTGTCGTATTTTCCAGAAAAGCTCTCTGACCAAGTCTCATTTTCTTGTTTTTCACTTTTCTGATCTGTAAGCGATTTGTTCACTTCTCATACTTTATCGTTGTAGTTCTACATAGTTCCATTGCTCTGAAAACTATATTTTTTGTGCATTCTGCTCGTTTTTCTTCTCCCCCTCGCACGTTTCTTTGCAAAATCGACTCTGGCCTGTTCGATCAACACCGAATCCGTTTCTTATCCCCCCTTCGCGATGCTTAACAAGTGGGCTACGGTCCCCGCTCTAATCCGGAATACAAGGTGTCATGCGGGGCCGATCCCCTCTTCCGTTGGGTGCTATTCTTGTGCTCTAATCTCCCTGATATTTTCCCGGAAATACCTCAAGACGAAAATCTTTAGAATTTTATCTCCTATTCAACCTTTTCCGCCGGCAAACTTTATGCGTTGTTTGTGCCGGCTGCTGCACTTTCTAACGCAATTTCGACTGAGAATGTCAATTTTACAACTGAAATTAGATTTGTCCTATTCCTATTTCACTCGTTCCAAAAAAAACTCGTCCTATCATCATTACTTCGTTTTTCTTTAGATTTTTTATTATTTTGTGTGCTTGTTTCACTTTCTCGATCAAATGCATTCAAATGAGTTTCATCCGTTTCCTCGTCTGTATATACTTTCAGCCAAATACTGAGAACGGGGCAAAAGGGAATCCCTCTCGAGTTAATTGCCCGAAACTACGAACCAATGTTGAGCGGAATTCCGTCTTCCGGAAAATTTCTTTTTCATCCGTCTTCTCGGGTCGTCTCCGAGAACCAAAGTTAGTGTTACATCAAAAAGTTCGCGGTTTTGTGAGCGAGCTCCAAAAGTTCAGTTCGGAAACCACAAAAAAACAGCGGATTGACCCCCTTTGTCCGCCCTCGGGGAATATTGCTCTCCTCCTCGTTTCTCGCTTCGTATTCCGAACAAAAAGTATGATATGACGATTCTCATCCGTTTTTCCGTTTTATGCCATGTCAGCAAGCACAAGTTGACACAAATTAGGTTCAGACACAAACGGTTCAATTACCTTTCTGTGATGTCACTCTCCGCCTCTCCTCAGAGCCTCCCACAAAAGAATCCAAGATCAAATAATTATCCGACACATTGCCAAAACCGAGAACATTTTGTTTTGTTGTCGAGAGCAGCAGCTCGCCCTTTCTCATTTTCTTTCATTCCGCCCCGATCTAATTCCGGCCCTCGCTTTTTCATTTCTTCGGGCCCCCCAACTTGAGTTTCAATGTTCATGTAATCCGCCACGACACTCCCAAAAGAACCGCATACACGATATTTGACAATTAGGTCTTGTGCTCTCTGTTCTCACATAATTACGCTTACACTTCTTCTTCTTCTTCTTCTTCTCGAGGATCTTTGGCCCACGACTGCCAGGGAAATAGAGACCGGACCGGCCGGACCGTGGGAGTTGAGTGGGTTTAGACTTTTGAACACAATCCATAAGTGGATAGCATCATTTCCGTGTCTGTCAACTGTCACCTTCGATTTCAGGCTCTTCCGGAACAGAAAATGTGTCTTTCTTCAATTAGCGCCTACAAAAAACTGGGGAGAGTACATTTCTAAGAGAAAACGACAATCTTTGTGTTGTTCCTCACGCTGAGAAAGATTGTTTTCTCCTTTCGTTTTCTTCTTCCTCCTTGAAACAATTATGGTGTCCGTAATACTCTAGACAATAATCCGTAACAATTGCTCGCCTAAGCCTGAAAACGAGTCGACCCACCTTTACAGAACGTTTTATTGTCCCCTCTTATTTAATCGATTTCTGTTTGTTTTCATTTTATTTTCATTTTATTCCGTCTGTGCATTGCTCTAATTCATTTCTAGCCTCCATCTCATCTCATCAATTAGTTTTCCGGATCCATTGTTTTCCGGCGGTGTACATTTTATCTTTTATTTATTGCGCAATCCTAAATGGATTGAGAGAGGGGTCCAAATCTATGTTATTCATTTATAAGAAATTCGTAAAAAATTCTATAAAAAATTTTCGCAACAGAGATTTCGTCAATGACTCACAAGCTAATTTTTCTGACCAAAAACATCACCCACAATTTAGACTTTGACATTTAGAAATCACCCGTTTGGATGATTCACTTCACGGTACAGATTTCGTTGCCCTTTTACAAAGAACACGATACGCGTGCTCATACAAATCTGCACAAGGCGTGAAAAAGAAACCGAAAAAGAACAGAAGGCCTTGTGACCGCATAAGAGTACGCAACCAGCCCATGGGTGCAGTTTCACTCCAATGACTCTCGTTCGCATTCCTCTACTTCTTCTTCTTCTCATTAGTATTATTCATCTTCTGGTTCCCCCTTACGTCAAGGTATTTTGCACCCAAATCAGTTGTACCAACTTCCAGTTGACATCAATTTTTCCGTGCGGGTTAACGTCGTCGCTCTCTCTGTCTCTTTCTCTCTCTTCTTTTCCGGGATCCGAAAATAAATCCGCGAGATGAGTTTTGTTGCCGGCAAAGCGCACCCCTTTTGTGTATTGTTTCCTATTAACAACAAACCCCCTCGCCCCAGTTTCCGAGATGAACAACGTTCTCGCGCATCGGGTTATTTCGGAGCGAAAAAGAGCTTGAAACATCCCCCGCCGCACCTAGAAATGCACGAATTCCCACGCATGTGCTGCGGAATTCTGACGAAAGGGTGTGCTGTCCTCTTGATATTGGGGTAGTGTCACACACGTTTTAAGAGGAAGAGAAAAAAAACGGATTATGACGCCTAAAATAGTCGGCAAGGTGTGAGACCCGAGCGGTGGCATCATTCCGAGAACCACGGACTACAATCAGTGTGCGTGGATGCTGCTCAAAAAGGGGGCGTGGCCTCACTCTTCTATCCGTCACCATCCATTTTCTTGCCTTCTAGTCTTTTTGCGAACATTTTCTGTGATGTCAGATCCTGGATTTTAGAGCACAATTTGATTAGCTAGACACCCTGCTCTCTACTCATCTCGCATCAAGAAACATTCTAACTTGATTCTCATGTCTTCCCGCACTTTTCTCAGAAACCTGATTTCGGAATCAAAAAATACATTTATTGTTTTCTCTGAATGAATAAGTGAGCGTTCCAGTAAACACAAGGACAACCGAGCCGTTCAAACGTCCGCAAAAACCCCATTCGTTACATTGTGGCCCACCGGAAAAAGTGATTGTTGACGTTTTCTGTCCGTATTTCTAGAATGAACCATTTTAAAGATGCATTCATTCAAGGGCTCGCTTACTTTTCGTTGTTTTTGAAAGGCTAAAACAAAAGCAATGTGGGTGGGAGTTTATTTTTATATATCATTTTCTTGAATCTAAATTTTTGAACGCTTTCAATTCAGAAATGTTTCGATCTGGAAATAGCGTACAAACTAGACATTGAGATTTCTGAGCACGAGCGGGCGGCTCATTGTATTTCCTTCCTGACCTACTCACCCCCGCTTCCTCTGGACTTGGAAAACACGGAACTTTTATTTTCCTTTTCCTTAATTGGGACACCGCTTTCTTCACTTCTAGCTCACAATGTGACGTGGCATCGAGGGATGACGCAGGGGGAGAAGGAGGAGCCATTCATCCTCCGCACTATAAACCATTATCACTTCTTATCATTCCCTCGACGTCAAGCCTCTCAATTCATTCCACTCTGCTTGCATTTGGAGAAGAAAGGTTTCTGTCGGCTCGCCGTCTCGTTTGATCTGAAAGTTTTCCCTTTCCATCGTCTCGCCATTCTTTATCCCCCCCCCCTTTTCTTTTTTGTGTCTGGACACCGATTGATACTGATAATCCCTCCCGTTGCGCTCAGGCCCGCCAATTTCTTGAATCCTTTCCGCTTATCCTTTCTCAAAATCCAATCCCATCCGGCTCTTTATCCGAAAGAAAACTACGCGAAAAACCCGTTGGAACGCGTTTGAACTTTTCTAGAAAGGGCACAGACGCCGTTGCTTCTCAGTCTATGTTCTATCATCCGTTCTTATCTTTCTGGAACGTATAAATATGTTACTTACCGGTGTATTTTCAGATATGACCGCTGCCACATCATCTGATAGCAATATTTCACTGTTGGAGGAGGAACCGATTTGCATCGAATCCACGGTAAGTTTGAAACTGTTTATTATTGATTGTCGATCATTCGATTTGATTTCAGTTTCTCACAATGAGAGTTATGGAAAACTATCTGAAGTCGTTCGAGTATTTTCTTCTCGTTTCCTGCTTCTTCTCGACTTTCCTCCAGGTCAGTAATAAAAATGTCTAGATCAAAACAAAAATGCCAGACAGAGATTGTTTTGGATACTTATACTTGATTACTAGAAACTCGCCTCTTTTTCGCTTCACATCATCACCATAACATATTTTGATCGTTTTCAGCTCTACGTGCTGACAAAAGCCGTCAAAAATATCAAACGTGCCACCGGCGACGAGTGCCTTCACGTTTTCCTGTTGAGCATGACACTGGGTGACCTTTTGCTCACCAGCTTCTGCTATCCGATCGAACAACTTCGAGAACAGGAAATTATCAAAGTGCCGCAGTGGATTAACGTCGCTCAACATGTAAGCTTTCTCTATTTTTGTGACTGAGAGGAATTTGTATGTACATAGTTTTGAGTCGAGAATGATCAAAAACCAAAAACGAAATGCATTTGTTTTCAGTTCCTCACATGGGTCGGATTGTCGGCATCGTCAGCAAGTCTGATTCTTCTCAATGCTGACAAGTTGCTCTATTTCAAATTTCCGCTGAGGTAAGTGTATAATAAAAAGTGGCCAATTGATGAGTACACTGTGAACTTCAGATACGCAAACATGGTCACTACCCGCAAAGGCCTCTTCTTGGCAGTTCTCATCTGGTGCGGATGCTTTGTCTTTGTGTCACTTTGCTGGTACCTGGAATGCTTCACGTTAGTCTAACCTATTTTTTTTTAGGAATTCAAAATTAGAACGCTTTAGGTGTGAGGAAGATTGTCGCCAGCTCATGATCCTCCCGAACAAAGTGGTCATGTACATCGTGTTTACTGTGTCCGCATGTATTGCTCCAAGTCTCACCTCTCTAGGTGTGGCTATCTACATTCTGAATGTTGTCACTTCGCACAGAACAAAGCTCTCAGATGGTACGTTACAAAGTGATGCATTTTTGGTGATACAATATACACTTCAGAAAATGGAAACTCCTCCCACGCCCTTGCCACTCGCCTCCGAACATTCTACTTCATCTTCATGACAACCATCTTCACCGTCGGAACTTTGCTCCCTTACCGTATTTATAACATTCAAAGACAGCTAAATCCGAGGGTAAGCATAAATAACAAGTCAATCGCGAAATTGAATGTTTTCAGGAGACGGGAGAGATTAGCTGCGGAAGCATTATCTTCTCCTGGACTTGCCTCTATTTCGTTTCGCTTAACGCGGTAAGCGATAAGTCTCTAATGTCCAAACACCATGAAAGATTACTTCCAGATCCTCAATCCCATCATCACTGTCACTGTTCTTCCGCAATATCGCTTCCAATGGCTCTGCAAGAAGCTCGGAAGCACTGCGTCGCCAGCTGCCGTCTATGTCTAACATGGATCCTTACGCCCCCTCCCACCACCTATCATATCACAAATTTAGGATCTCTTTTGTTCCTTTCTGGGTTGCCCCTTATAAAGGGAATATTCAATTGGGTACGGTTTGTGAAAACATACTAAACGGTCTGCATCATGACTTTCTATATAGATGTTTGGTTTTTGTGCATATAATGAACGATTTCTGGGTATTCTGGATCTGAATGCCACTGATCTTGGGCATGTTAACCAACACGATGTACACAGTTTCAGAGGATTATCCACATTACTTCCTAACACGTTTCTTGGAACTGTAAACTGTGATGAAATTCTGTACATGCCTTGCCTTTGAGTTCACTGTGCTCTTTACAGGATTCACATCTCGTTCCCTACTTTTTGTTTAAATTATTAGAGAAGCGCATTTTTTCAGAAACTTCGAGTATTAATTGGATGATGAAATTGTTTTGCCTGTTAGCAATGTTCATTAATAATTCAATCATATATTTCAACCACCTAGAAATAAAGGGCGGGGGAAGAAATAATGACTTAAAATGACCATTGATGTCTGCTGAGGATGTCTGAGACCCTTGGTCATGAAGATTTTCATTTCAGCCCGGCGACCCCTTGCAAGTATGTTTCTGTCGTTTCAGTCCATTTTCAACCGAGCCCAACCAAGCAAAACGTGATCATAACGAAATTCAAAAAAAGCTGAGCAACGTTGGTACTAATGAGTAAACAATCATTTTCACGCGCTTATGCACTCTGCTATTACAAAACCGAAAGTCATCGACGCTCAAAGATCATTTCAGTTTTCCACATGACCCCCCTCCTCTTCATAATTTAGCCTCTTTCAGCTGCTCTGAACTTCTCAAAATCTGGTCTTTGCAGGTTGAATTCTCATAAAATATTGTTTATTACCACACATGACTCTTGATTGAATTATCGTTGCATGTTCTATTTTCGAACCGAGTTTGCACGAAATTAGGTACCGTACCCCCAAACGACCTCATTACAAACGTGAATATGAATTTACAGCCAATCAGAAACGAAAAACATTTTAGTCGAAAGCTTAGTTTTTGATTTTTCGATTCTTTTCAGATCCCCCTACAAGTGTTGTAACTCTGGAAGACGCGGAAGGTTCACCCGCCGCGCTTCACAGCCTGATTAGTTTTCTTCTCTTTTTTAACTGTTATTAGGTCAAAACACAATTGGCTCCGAGCACATCCATAAAACAAGGTCATGGGCTCTCTCACCCGTCAACTCAATGAATTCTGCGCGGTTTGGTTTGTTGATTGGCGCCCGTTAAGAGAGCATTGGAAAGCTGCTGAAAAGCAAAAGGTCCATTTCTTGTCCTTCTCGGTTCTTGACCTCATTTCCTAACACATGTCTCATTAGAAGTGGTAATGAGATGGCGTCGTGCAACCGCATGTGGACGTGCCGCCGAGGAGCTTCTTTTATCTTCTGGAAAAGTTCTCCGCGCCTCGCTCCGTCTTTTTCTTTGCTTTTCACGACTCAATGAGCCTAAAGTTCATGAATGCGCTTCTGCAACACAGTCAAATGAACTATGATTCAGCTAATTTGCCTTGAAATATGCCCAACCCCTATCCCTTCTGCAACCTCATTTTCATCTTCATCCCACATTCATAGCAAAACTTTTTCCTTTTTGCTCAATTTTCAACCTTACAAATGTTGTGTGTGAGTAGGCTTGAGACCAGAAAAGAGAATCAGGTGAAAGTTGGAATATGGTGTTTGAAATTATAAAACATCAGTCATTTGAGCGTCACGAGCCTCGATGATTCAGCCTGAAATCAGTCTGAAAGGCTTTCTGTCCAACCTTTGAACAAAAGACGTCAATGAGTCTGGATTCATGTGTTTTTGAATTAGTTTTCCTTGTTTTGCTCTCAATAACGAATACGAATTAGATCCCGTTTTGAGTGAGCTTGAAGCGGAAAAACTTGTCAAAAGGTTAGTTTGTCCCCTCATCTTGCAAACTTTCTTCTTTTTTCCCATCCAATAACTGCACCCAAAGCTATCAACATCCCGCTCTTCCTTCCCTTTTCTTCTTTTTCACTTTCTGCTCGACTTCTCCTTTATACCCTCCAACATCAGTATCAGAAACGCCAATTTGTACCGTCTTGATTTTTTGTCACATGGGGTCGGTCGTCATAAATTGTGAGTGGCCAGATAAGTAGTAGCGAAATTGGTGAGCTACACACAAACAGAAGCACGTCGACACATGAATTATGAAAAACAAGATTCGCAGACAAAAACAGAATTGCATAATATCGTACGAGCGCGGAGAGTCTTTGGTGGGCGATAGAGCAGAGAGAAAAGAGGAGAAGGAAAACGAGAGCCCGACCCTCTTTTTTCATCTTCATCACTAGCGGCACGTCGTCTGCGCCACGCCGAATAACGCAACACGCCGCGTTGTTTTCCCGGCGCCGTCTCACGTCCATTTTCGGGCTCCGCTCGGCTTGCTTTCCTTCCAATGCGCCTCACCTCAGCCGGACGGCCCGCCTTCTCCGTCTCCTCCCTCTCAAGAGCGGTGAGCCTCAGAAGCAAGACACACATACATACTAAACACTTTCTTCTCCTTCACTCACTCCGTTCAACCTTCGCTTCTTGGCGTGTCGTCTCTCTTTTCCCTTTCCTTCTTCGCTTTTCCGTTCGTTTCTTTTCACGTCTTCTGCCTCTACGTTCGTTTTGATAGACAAAAAAAAAGAGAATTCTCAGAACGTGGTCGTCATGCATCTTCGAATACTCCTCACACTTCTCATTCTCACCTACTCCACGGCAGCATCGGGATGCTCCAAACTCGGCAAGGATACCGCCCGATGCGATTCCTTGCTTTCGTTCAATGGTACCGCCAGAACAATTGTGGTCTCGAATTGTTCTGACTTGATCGCTTTTGACAAATCTTCTGACTTTGGGCCATGGCACGCAGTCGTCAACGTCACCTTCAATTGTACGGTGACCACTTTCCCATGGAGATTTGCGGACGTTTTCCCCAACGTTCGGTTCATCAACCTTCCCAAATGCACCCTCACCAGTTTTGCGTGGCAGAGCGTGTACGCCGAACCGCTAAGAATCCTCGACCTCAGCAATTGCCCTATGGAATGCACTTGCGCAAATCAATGGATGCGCGCTGATGGAGCTTTCGGAAAAGTCAGAGCGCCAAAGACATTGCGGAACTGTTTGCCAAGCTGTGTTCAACCAAGGCTCAAAATCAACGAAACGGTTATCACTAAGAAAGCGGGAGAGAATGTGACAATCCACGTGGACATCCAAGGAATCCCGCTGAACCGGAGCATAGCAAAGTGAGTGCTGATCTTGGCAGTTTCAGATCGTGATCATTCACGCCGTTTGATATAATTACTTCGCGTACACTTATAGATCATTCCTCACTAACTCGATCGTAGTAATCATTTTACGTTCAAGAACTTCCAGAAACGTTCAAAATCACAGTTTCTATTCTTGAGTTCAATAAGATCCCAGTGTCTCTTTTTGCACCGTCCACCGGCGTTCATTTCTGTTATTCTCACTCTCTTGCTGATTGGCGAGAGCCTCTTTGCTAAAACGGGGCCGCCGGTCGTGTATGATGCGACGATAAGATCACGTTAGAGCAAATAACAAATTTTTGCGGTGCGCATAATTGCGGAACTTTCTTCTTCCTGTTTTCCGGCTTCTAGAAGCTTGTGATCTTGAAATGTTGAACCGATTACCTGTCAACAATGTTCCACAACCTACAATTAGCGAACACAAATTCACCTGTCCTCGTGGCTCTTCATATTTTGAAGCGCACGTTGGTGCGAGAGGTTAAAAATAAGCGGGGAGCGTTGAAACTCGGCGAGGATTATTCAAAAGTTTAGCTGACGTTTGCAGGGGATCAGGAAGATTATGAAGCTGGCCGAAAAATATGATTTATTTTAGGCCGTATTTCGACAGGGCTTTCATGAAAAGCCCACACAACTACACGGAGATTATCACGCCGACCAGTGCCGAATTGACCATTTCCAATCTGACCTACGAGGATATCGGCATTATTTCCGTCCGCTGTTGGCAATGCGCCGATTATTTGTCGGCCAAAGTTGAGGTAAGCAATCAAAAGACCCAAATTCGATTACCTGGCCGAGAAGGTTGATTCGATTGTTGCCCTCTAACATTCCTAATTGGCCCGTTTGTTGTGCATGTGCTCTATTCGATTCTCGTGGCTGATCAGCGAAGTGTGCATCATGGCGCGTCGTGAAGATTTCAAAAATAATGTGTAAGATAGTGTGTGCGCATAAACAATATTTTTTGTTGCTTATTCTCACGGCCGAATGCATTTCGTCTCTTCTCGGATAAAGCGCATCAAGTTCCCATATTTAAATTAGATCTCCTCCTCTTGCACGCATGTCGCCGCACTTTCGGAATTCATAAACAGCGGAAAGGGGGTGAAAGAAAGAGCAGGATGTTGTTCAGAGCGGAAAGAAAGTTGTAGATCTTAAAGAGAACCAATTAAAATTTGTGTTAATGAATAGAATCGAATTGAAAAGAAACGGAATCGGAAAAGAAAACGGAAAAACCGGCACAAACAATATTGATGATGAGGTGATGCAATGAGTTATCCGGATTTCTAATTTTGCAGCTTCGTGTGAATCTTCCGCTAAAAGTGGAGTTTGTAGAGAAGACGAAGGGTGACACGGACTTCCTGGTTGTACAGGGACATCCCATCGAGAACATCACTTTGACAATAACCAGGGTAGAAAAATACTCGCTCTCATGTTCAAATAGAAAAAAGGAAACGTTTCAGATGGACAGCAATGTGAGCGAAATAAGGATCCTCGACTCTGAAAATGATTCAATCTTCTTTTCAAGTCTCATTGTCAGACAGGAAACTCAGTAATTCTGATTTTAGGTTGCTGAAGCCCTTTTCTATTATTTTTCAGTATGAAGTCCGTTTTCTTCCAACGGACCTACCGTATCTTCACCAAAGACATCGCTGACGGTGACCATTTGTCAGGTGATCTTCGATTCAAAGTTTGCACGGAAGGCAGCTGCGATGCCGTTGAGAAGCATGTCTCACATTTAGGGGTAATTACTATTTAGACTATGTAGGCATTATTTTGCAAAAGAAATTTGAAAACAGCTATAATAAGTTGTTACAAAAGGTCGCGAACATTGAACACTTTGCAGATTTCGACGGAAGAAACGATATTGGTCAACAGGACAGGAGTTAATGAAATTTTTATCATTCTATTCGTCAGTCTTTGCATACTTCTCACACTTCTCACTTTTGCTATAGTGATCTTCTGGAAGAAGTTGCCCAAGTGGGCACGAGAAAGGGTACGCTCTATTTCATAATTCGACTTATGACTCGCAGACTATCACCTGTCCTGCCTAGTTTCTGATTCATGATCAAACATCACATTTTGTAGCTTATCGGCGTCCGAAAACGAATTTCCCTGGCACAAGGTATGACTTCTCGACGTGCAAGCCACGAAACGGAAGAAACACTGCTGAGATTAGGTAAGCGAAGCAGTGAACAAAAATGGAAAGATTATGACTGTTAGGGAGATTTCCAGAAGAAAGGTCTTCTCTGGCATCTGACTATTCGAATCAACTTATTCCATTCATCGAGATCGGCGATATCAAGACTCACGAGAAAATTGGAAAGGTGAGCACATCCGAGTCAACCACTGATCACATTGTGTTTGTTTTCTAATTCAGGGCATGTTTGGACAAGTCTACTGCGGATCGTGGGAGAAGACGGGACCGCGGTCTGTGGCCGTGAAAGTTATCGAACAAGCGGACCGAATGATTGAGAAAGAGGTACTTTTTGTGCATGTGTGTAAGCACTCTTCGTGCGCCTTCGGGACGACCTACTCATCTTGCTCTAAGTGAAAAACAGTTGAGAATATACTTGTTGACGAGAAACGGCATCACACATCTCATTTATCTTTTCATTCATTCAACAACTTATTGCCTTTTTTCTAGGCGAGGGAAACTTTAACTCAATTCTGAAAAAAATGAGAGGGAACATAAACGCCAAGCAGTCAAACTCGAAGAAGTTCATTGAGACTAACATAAATCACTTTTTAGGCAGCGACCATAAACCGACTGGACCATCCGAACATTGTGAAGTTGTACGGTGTAACGCGCGACCACAGCAATCTCCTGCTTGTTTTCGAGTTGATGAATCTCGGTAAGCACAGAAACCGTATCCTTTGGGGACGCTCCTCTTTCCAGATCTCTAGTTGTACAACTAGCAATCTTGTTGATTAGTGAGTAGCTCCTTGAGGAATTTCTAGTCGTTTGCACATTGATAACACCTCCTTCTTACACCATAACACATTCGATCAGCGGAACAGAAATGTTGGCATAACAAAAATTTTATCTTTTCGAAAACACAAAATGTGTGCTGGAAATAGTAGGGAGGGGGGGATTAGCAGTGGGTACAATGTTCCGTCCGGTACAAATCCGATTATATTATTCAAGCAGAAAAGCAAAAAAATATAATCAAATGGAGTGTCGTCGTCAAATATTATCATAGTGGATAAACCGGGATCATATGTACTTGTGTAACCATGTACTTGTAATCCAAATCCAAATCCAAATCCGAATCCGAATACGACTCCGTACAATGTTTTGTTGGGTTTTTCAGGCGAGCTCAGGACCTACGTGCGTATGCGATCTCCGGAAATTGAACAAATCGGAAGACGGCCGCCTGCGTTGACTGTGGAAGAATTGAAAAGGATCGCCTACGAAATCATCACCGCCGCCGTTTACCTCAAATCTCAACAGATTGTGCATCGCGACATAGCCGCCAGAAACTGTCTGGTGTCCGGAGAGTCGGATATGGGATGCAAGACCCCGGCAGACAGACCACCCATCCGAGTGAAGGTTAGTGAAACCGAAAGAAGTGTTCCGACGGCAATTTTATGCATCTTAGATTTCCGACTTTGGAATGTCGCGCCGTTTGTACAGCTCTGCGGACTACTACACTATGGAGCACAAAGGAATGCTCCCAATTCGTTGGCTCCCGCCAGAGGCCTGTAAAATCCACAAGTTCACTTATATGAGCGATGTTTGGTAAGATTGCTGAGTTTTGCTGCATTGAAAATTTTTCTTGTTTCCAGGGCGTTGGGTGTCACTATCTGGGAATGTTTCTCGTACGGTGGATTGCCGTTTGGTGAACTGACTAACACTGAAGTCTCCTCGTTTGCTCTTAAAAGGGAAAATAGTAAGTTCATCTATTAAAAAAACTTTAAGCATTTGAAAATATTTCAGTGGAACTCATCCCGGAACAGCCGCCACATTGTCCGGACCATGTGTACGCGTTCATGAAAAAATGCTGGATAATCGATCCGCAAATGCGAGCAACTGCTGAGGAGTTGCTCGCCGACGAGATGTTTGATTTCATCCGCACAGAACAATCGTCGGGCGCGAAGCGGTACCCATCTACACCAAATGTTCCACTTCCCTCCGTGGACTCGGACCGCATCGAAGAGACCAGTTTCGTCGTGGCTTCGTCATCTATGGACTACATAATGCCGGGAGAAACAATCCGAGGAGCCCGCTTTGTGCCGACCTTCAATAATCGACCGAGACAGCCGGTTATTATTGAAGAGAGCTCTCCGATTAGCGCCAAAAGAGAATTTTCCGTTGTCGACGAAAACGTACCCGCTGTCATATCCACGGAAGATATTCCCATACTTGCAAACGCATAATACTGTAAAATTTCCGCTTTTGTTTCACCCGCCTAGCCACTGTCTTAGAAAAAATTGTTACGAGAAGTATTGTACTGGTTCCGTTTAGCACATTGTTAGATCTCTTCCTTCTTTCTCCTTCTTTCTCCCTTTCCCCATTTTCTATGTAAATTTGTTTGTGATGATTTTTCTCGGGTGTGAAATCGTCGTCTTGTTTTCTTTCCTTTTTCACATGTACTCTAACCGGTTTTTGTTTTGATTTTACATCGAACTCACATTTCTGTTCTCATTTCTGATTATATGATCTCCATATCTTAATGAAGAATACAATTTTACTGAAAGGTCTGAAAAAAGTTTAGGTGTTTCTCGTTTCTGTTTTTCAAATATTCTACCTGCTCCTTTCACCGCCATACCTCCCTTCTTCTTCCTCCAGTATTGATTGGCTGTGCCCACGCACGTGGCCATGACGACGGAGTGCCCGCCAGAGTGCTCTCTCATTCGCATTACACGCTTCGAATTCTCTTTTCCCCTCCGGCAGGTGAATCGAACGAACAATGGAAGACGCGCTCGATCGCAACTTTGTTTTGAGACCAACCCCAGGACAAAAGTGAGTTGTTTTTGGAGAAAATAGATGTCAGCAAGCTGTATGACAGCTTTTCCTACTCAAAAACAAAATGTTCGGTGAAAAACGGACATTGGTTAGAAAACGGGGAGGCCCAGTCAGGAAGTTTCACCTCAAACTAGTTTTTTGCGGCAGAATCCACCTATTTTTGAACAAATTTGGAAAATTCTGGACTAAGTTGGCAAGTCTGGATAAAACGTGATCGAATCATGAAAAATCTGAATAGATTCCGTCCGAAAGCTGCAAACGCACTCGTTCAAGAAGTTCTCGCTGAAAAACTGGGAGGACTAGCCGCCTATGACGTCGATGAAGCGGATAAAATATCCAAAGACATTTCAGCGACCATCCGTGAGCGGCTGAAAGGTGAATATCTTTCTTTTTAGGGGATCTGATACTATTGTAGGTCTTCAACTGCCACGTTACAAGTACGTCGTCCAAACACTCGTCTCCGAGCAATGCGGAAATGGAGCGACGTAACGACTAATGTGTTAGAGCGGAAGTCTGCATGAATTTATTATTCAGAACGGCAATTCAGTGCGTCTGGGACGAGGATTGCGATGCCTACGTTCATCAGAGATACGTCACGGTTAGTGAAGTATAAAGCGGAAAACGAGACTTGCAAACTCAAAATCATAAAAAGTCACAGCCCGGCCCAGCCCGCGGCAAGTCTGGTTCTTAACAATGATTGTACCTATTTCAGGGCTCGATTTGGTGCGAGGTTCTCGTGTTCGCCATCTTCCACTACTAGTCCAACACTCCCGCAATCCACACTATTTTCTCGTTGGCCGGACAAACGCATCTATTTTGTGATAAGAACAAATCCATTTATTTTAGAGACAAACACTCATAATCGTCGTTTTATTCAATCATAAATCTCTATATAATAGACAAAAACTCTGTCCGAGTAATACTCGTGGTCACGTAGGGGAGGAAACATGTACGGAAAACATTGAAATGAATGAGCAAAAAAGTGGCGGGAAAGGAAAAAGGCAAGGCAATTAAGGCACGTTCCTGAAAGATTTCTTTGCAAGAAACTGAATACCATTGACTAGCAGAAAAAGTATGGCAACAAGTAAAGAACACAGATTTGGGTGAGAGCAAAAGTGGTACACATAGAAATGCGTAAGTAAGTAGTACAAAGTTGTGTAAGCAATGTGTGAGCAATACATTTAAATCCGATTGTAAACACCAGTATCGATATCTTTTTGCATCTGTTCAGTGAGCGGTTGGTATCCCTTATCGGCGGCCGACCAGTAGAAGATTGGGTCTCCTTTGCAGGCGTCCAAGTCGTATCCCGCTTTCTGGAGGTCGGTTTTCTTGAGCTTGAAGGTTCCTGAATTAAGAAGATTTAGAAGTCTTTGATATCAGAGGGATTATACCAGTTCTGTCGACTTCTTTACAGAGCCGGATGAAAACTGGGATGGCGTAGGAGGCAAGATTCTCGGAAAGGCGGTTTGTGATATCAGTGAGGAATTTCTGAAAATAACTAATCCAATTTAGAAAAGATTAATGAGAAAGTATGTCACCTCCACGTCAGTTCCCTCTTTGACAACAATTCCAGCCATACCAGCACGTCCCTCCATTTTTCCAACCTGCAACCAAACCAAACAATTCTTATTCTTATCAGACCGTACATGTAGTCTACACGTTCGGAGCACATTCAAACACCAATGTATCATGCTCTTATCAATGCGGGGATTATCAACTGACTACAGGTTGTACACTTACAGTGACTCCGTAAACGGTGGCGTCCTCGACTTCCATGACCGGCTGAAGGATTCCCTCAACCTCGGTCGTAGAAACGTTCTCTCCTTTCCAACGGAAAGTGTCTCCGCAGCGGTCGACAAAGTACAGGTAGCCAAGCTCGTCCCAGTGAAGAATGTCGCCACTCGCGAAGACCTTGTCGCCCTCTTTGAACACGTTGCGGTAGATCTTCTTCTGCGTGTCCCCCTCGCTGACGTATCCTTCGAACTTGAGCAGAGCGTCTTGCTCCTTGATCACTCCGACCATTTCACCAGTTTCTCCGGGCACACATGGAATGCACAGACCGTTTTTGTCGCGGACAAGTTCTCCGGAAGCACGATCGACTCGGATGAGACGGACGGGGTAGAATGCGCCGATGTGTGGATAGATGGGCATGAATCCACACGATCCGACATGATTGTCCAAGTTTACAATATTGGAATTTCCCTCTGTCGATCCGTAGAGCTCTCCAATCCTCTTGATCCCGAATCTTCCGACAAATTCCTTCCAGATCTGACCTCTCAGCCCATTTCCCCACATTAATCGCACTTTGTGTTGTTTCTCCTCGGGGCATGGCTTAGCAGCGAGCAAATATCTGAAACGTTTCCGGTAAAGAACGCGTACATCAACGTCACAAGTTACCGGCAAATTTCTCCAATGTACTGCGTTGCGGTCACGTTGTACTTGACACAATCCTTCCAGAAATTACTCGCCGAGAACTTTTTCCTGATCACAGCGGTTGTACCGAATGAGATCAGCGATCCAATGCCCATAATTCCAGCGGCCGAGTGGTACATTGGCATTGTGATGTAGACGACGTCGCTTTTCTGCATTCCGAACGCTTTTCCAGAACCCATCGAGATCCAGAAGTAGCGGAAGTGCTTGATAACGGCTGGTTTCGGGTTTCCGGTGGTTCCTGACGTGTAGATGTAGCACAAAACGCTCTTGAAATCCAATCCAGGCACCGGGAGTGGCTCTTCCTCGGAGAACAAATGAAGATCTCTTCCAAGGCTTCTGTATCCACCAAATGAATCATCTCCAGCCAGGAAAACGTTGATGGAAGAGTCGATCAGTTTCTTATCAATAGCTGCGTTGTAAGCTGGAATAACATGCGTTTGCCCCGAGTTAAATATTTCCCGATCTTACTTTTAAGCAGGGTGCTGTTAGTAATAACCGATTTACACTTGGAAACGTTGATCGAATGAGCCAGGGGTTCCAATTTCAAGTTCGAGTTGATGAACGCGGACACAACTCCAATTTTGGAAAGTCCCAACCAAATAGCGAAAAAGTCAATGCTATTGTCCATGAACAAAGCGACCACATCACCCAACTTGTATCCTTCCTTCTGTAAATTGTTTTGCGATCTTGAGATTGAGAACGGTAAGGTTTACGATTTGGTGTCTAGTTTAGTTTTATCACTGACTAATTGATGAGACTCTAGTTTCGTCTATGTAGTCTTGTCATTGTCTTACCCTTGTCTGTGTGTTTTCGATTCAAAACATAGACGGCTAACGGTTACAGAAGATCAATCTGGGCGTAATTGCGCTTCAGATTCACTACATACTTGAGAATGTGTGTTGTTTTAACTCACAGCGTACAGGTTCGCATATTGGTTGGCCAGTTTATTGAGTTCCACATAAGTCAACTGTCTTCCCGTCTCGATTTCCACAACGGCAACCTTATTCGGATGTTCTCTCACCTAAAACACCGCAAAGAATTCCACACATTTCTCACATCCGTTTTTATCTCCGATTGGCAGCCAAATCGGAAAGAGATGCCGAGGCAACAAACCTGATCTAAAAAGATTTCATGAATCGGCTTGTTTCTACTGAACATGCGTCGAATTGTGGATTTCACCGAAACCAAGAGTTTGAGTCCCCTGCAATAAAACGTTTACGTGTTGTCCTTTTTCGTTTGAATGGAGGTGATAAAGATGTAAAGTTTGCACCTAATAATGTTGGGGGTCTCCCCTTCTGCGCAAACGGAAATGAAATGACTAATCTCTGGTCAAGGCTACATACACCTACAGCTTTTGTGCTTCAAAAGTTATGGATGGGTGAATTTTTTAGAATTTACTTCCATGTTAGGTCTCATCACTCACGCAAGATCTCTGGGAAGCGTTGCCAGCGCTCTCTTTCCGAAATCCGTTCGCAATAGTCGGAAGACGACGAACGCGACGAACACAAACTTCCACAAGAAGCTGTTGACGTTGTAGAGGATGACGGCGTACACCGCAAAGGTGACCAGCGCGAACTTGGGACTGTCCGGCATTTTCCTGAAAGTCGAGAAGTTATGTAATTTGAATATGAAAAAAGAGCCAGGCACGCCTTTACCTCAAAAATACAAGACGACTGAATGAATGAATGAAAGGGGTTGGACTGCGACCAATAAATATTCGTCGAGATGGCACCACACTAGGCTAGAGTTCATATTTCGGTGATAAATGAGACTGTCGAAGAGTAAAAGATAGAGAAAAAGAGAGAGAGAGAGAGAAAGAGTTGTTATCAGTTGTGCTGGTGCTGGCTTGGGACGGTGTTTGTGCAAACATCGAATTTGAACTAGGAGGAGAAAGTCCAATTTAGGAAAGAATGCTGAAAGCGAAAAGTGGAACCACTTTTACAGCTAATTGATAATGATAGCCTATTGATAAGGGAACAAAAAGAACGAGAACTTTGTCACCCGTCGAAATCAAATCAAATCACGTGATCATAATTTTTGGAAGGAGAAACAACTGTTTGATCTTGTGTCTGAGAACATGACCGACAGATTGCTAATTTGGATGTCCTCAGGCTTCTCTCCTTCGCGCCATTTCACGCGAAAGCCCCCACGCGGCAAAATGGCTTGTTAAACGTGTGGCGTGCCCTATGTACACTGTATGATGCGTGTGGAAGGATCGGGAAAAGGAAAAGAGAAAGAGGCAAAAGAAAGCGAGGGTATACCAGACCGGTTTGCGGTTCGGAGGAGTCTCCAGGCAAGTGCTATCCACACCTGTCCCCCTTTGGTTTTCTGCTTCTGATTCCAGCCCTTGAGGACCTCAATTTACTCTCGCATGACCAATTACTAACACATTTTATCATCATTTCTCCAACTTTTTTCGGCTAATTGTAAGATTCATTCGCCGCAAGTGTCCGAGAAAAAGAGAATTTCTGATACAATGATGATGATACGAATAAAATATGTATGTGCGTATGCCCTACGCCTACGTCCTGCGTCTCTTACCGACTCTCCGGTGTATGTGCGCGACGAGACAATGTCAATGACAACGAATCGGAGAGAATTTCGGGAGGAAATTGCGGAATGAATGCAAATCAAAAAATGTTCATTCTTTGGAAAAGGGCGTAAGGAATGCGTACAAAAACAGCGATAATATTACTGTGTTTTGTACCTGATTGCCACGTTGTAGTTAGACTCAAGCGAGCAAACACCTATCGGTTCGTGTTTTCATCATTCTTACCCGTCACAAGATACGATAGGACGAGAGCACTGGTATCTTATCAGTAGGTTAGAAACCGAATTACCCTACAAGACTTTTGTACAATTATTCGGAAATGTTACGGAAAAAGAGAGAGGGGGGGGGGGGGTTTAAGGTACACTTTATGCAAACTGAGCTAATTTCGTACAGAAATTTGGCTAATGTCAGTTTCAAAGTACTTTCATAACCATGTGAGTCACCGTTTACGCGTGTTTTAGCAAAAGTAACGGCGTAGCCATGTAAATGGCCAATTACAGTTAAAACTGGATCAAAAAAGCTGGAGTAGTGCCAAGTTAGTTGGTGCGCGAAAAAGAATAAACAAAGGTGTCGTCAGGTTGTTGCGCAAAAGTTTTGTGTTGGTGTTGCGCACGCGAAAACGAACGGTGAGAGGAGGAAAAGAGACAGAACACATACAAATCGACTTTGAAACATACGCTACTGGGTGCCGGTGTAGCCTGATCGTTTTTGTGTTCTTCTGGACAGAAATGTGAAAGTTTAATCGGATCGATTTTCGTTATGACGTGGCAGTTTCGCAGTTTCGATTCTAGTTTCCGGTGATGACGTGTCAGGGGGAGGTTGGGCAAGCAAAAACTTGACAAGTGGTGAACAACATGCACTGCACTGTAGCTGACCGAACAATAGAGCAAACGAGGAACAAAATAATCGTATGAATGGAGTTTTTTCATGTTCTTCCATTCAAAATTTTTGTACTCTCAGTGAGATATTCAAAAAGAGGTCGGTAAAAAAAGCTCACCTTTTGAGGAACGACATGTTCCTGAAGAGTAGTTCCGGTGCTAGAGTGAAATAATATATACGTGGCGGAGGTGAAACGGAAAAGGCAAATGGTTGAAACAACTCGCCGGGATTTGTTTGCTCATCGGAGAAGGCAAAGACCCACCACCCCAACCGCGTATACTTTTGTAGCCCACCTCACAAGTGGCGTTTTTCGTTTTACCCTAACATTCTCCGGAACACAACTCACCATAACTTTTTCATTTTCGTCTTCAGAGAACGCAACTTCTGCGTCAGCCACTCAATTAGCCCCATACACCGATTTTCAGGTCTGTAAGTTAAAATTGCAATCGAAATTGAAATCGAAATCAAAATAGAGTGAACAAAAACCAAGTTGCAAGGCTGATAATTGAAGTGAACGAAGTAAACAGATGATGATTTCGGTCTCTGAATGTACCCATCGGGAAATGGGGGGAAGCGGTTTTCTTTCAAGTAAGTTGAAGGTCTTGAGGGCGGCGGTGATGTCACCTGATAAAAAACCGTTTTCCCTTCTGTTAAACCTCAACAGGTTCTGATCAGAAGTTACGTTGATTGCAAGTTTTCGTTTGGAAATATAATATTTTCAGCTGATTTATATTATATAGTCTGCAGACTTGTCGTGGGCCGGGCCGATGAAAAATTGACAATCAGTTCATATCAATCAGTTCGTAGAAATCTGAAAAGTTATCAATTTTTTCCAAAAACTTAGACTCAGAAATTGTTTTTATTTTAATTTTAGCACTAAAACCGTACTCTCATCGGCTCTCGGTCCGGCCCGGCAGATTTCCGACAGTTCTGACAGTTTGTTTCCTTCTTTTCTAGACTAATTCAAAGATTCCCTCATCTCTCAACTTTCTCTCTCCTTTCAACTTTGCCATGTATATAGTTTATTCATCCGATCATCACACATCTCATTCACTCGTGTACATGTGTTTATCCGATGATATCTCCCCCTCTTCCTTCCTCTTTTCCTAAACTAACCCTCATTTTTTATGTTTTCTTTTAAACTGATGTGTTTCGAAATGAATAACTTATTTACATGATTAATGGGAAAATGAGAAGACACGAAAATGAGGAAGGGCGGGAGCACTGAGGTCAACGGTCGCAATAATGAGCTGGGGGGAAGAAAACAGAAAACAGAAAACATAGAGCTTTCTCGTGGGCGACTGGACACTCAACGATCGCTTCGGTTCAACCCACGCAAACATGTAAATCCGAGAACTTGTGAACAAAAAAAGGAAGAAAAGTTGAGTACGGATGGACGGGAAAACCCGAAAAAGAGTACCACGCACTAACGATCTCATTCATACTGGATAGGATGATTTTAGGTGTTCAAGATTTTTCAGCAGAATTTTCAGAATCAAATCTTCCTTCTTCACTCCATATTGCCCAATGCCCTGTACTTTTTCGTAAGAAACTTTTCCACTTCCTCAAACAATTTCCATTCCAATTCCATTTCAATTACCGCTTTGTTTGGTCCCAAGAACTTGGAAACATTCCAAGAACATTCTATTCTCAGGATCGACCCCCCAAATTGACAGTGAACGACCAACGAACAAAAGCACAGAGTGTACTTCCTAATTGCCCACGTAGCTGACGACGTTCACCACTTCACCAGAATAATTTGACTTAAAAAAAGAGACACTTAAAAAATTAATGTTTTCGCAGAGCGTTCAGTGTGCCAAACAACCCAACGGAGTATAGACATCCGTTAACAAAAAAGAAAGCGATGATCGTTTTTTTCTACCACCTGAAAGATCAACTTCTTTCTATTTTCACAGTTTCACAGTGTTTCACAGTGTTCTGCTGCTTGTTCGGATCCCCAGACTCCCATGGAAAATATCATTAATTCTTTAATGCCTTCAAGTGAAAAAAGTCCTCATTAACATTCCTGAACTTGTTCCGAATAACTCAATAGACTAAGAAAGCTCTAATTGGAAGAAAAAAGACGTTGGCCCGATGATGATCATTGGTGTTTGTATGCCCACGTTTTTGTTGATTGCTCTTTCCTTTTTCTGATTTTGTTCAATTAACAGCTGAGCATGTGTTTCGCCTGACTTTCTCCGATGTTGATTGAGTAATGCACTAAAGCACCTGGGGGAGAAGACTTGTAGGCTACAATAGGAGAAGAAAACACATTTATGTATAGAAACCGAATTGAAGCTCTATAAAAGTTATTTCTCTTCGTGTTTTCTATGTCTATTTATATATCCGATTCGACATTTCACCGTACCAAACATCTTTCTCCATTCTTCTCTTGAATTTTCTTCGATCTGTGATCCGTATCCGTAGTTCCATCACGAGCCAACCAAACTGATACGGACATCCATTTATCACATAAATAAACCATCCTCCTCAAAAAGCGATCCAGTTGAGGCGTAATGGTCACTGATGTCATGGACCATTAAAAAATCGCCCAATCCCTTCGAAAAAAGGGGGCGGAAACGAAGCGCAGAGCATTTTTGAAACACTTGTCAAATGAGGTCCCATGGGTGGTACAAATTGAATACGCGCGCGCCGGGACCCCAGTAGTAATGACGGAGACGGGTCGTGGCCGGGCACGGGGAAACAAAACACTCAAAAAGAGCGGTCACGTGCGTCCGCTGTCTGTTTAGCAGCTGACCACGTCACTGATGCCCGGGAGGCTAAGTAAGTTTTGGGTCGGCTCGCTTCCAAAAAAGAAAAGAACCTTGCTTTCTTTTCTCGTCCACATCCCGGAAGTCTGAAGGAACTTAATGGATCTATTCTTGGACCACGACCAATAGATGGATTCCGGGTTCGATTTGCTTTAGCACTACATAGTTTCTAAATTCTCAGCAAAGACGGCGTGAATCATGGTGTTCGAAAGTGCATGAACAGATGATCATCCTTCTATTCATCAGCGTTCCCTTGAGTCAAGAATCAGTGTTTCTTTCAGATTCACACGTTAACAATTGTTGAGAATCGACATACATCATAGGGCATAATGACCAAAAGTCAAAGCTTACCGTCCTTTTCCAGAGTACAACTGTGACGCCAATTTTGAAAAATTGAAAGTCCTACTCTTACTACTTCTACACTCTTTTAATCCTTTCCGTCATTTTCGAAAGCGTTTCCTCTAGTTGATGGTCCGCACCCTCCTCTTCCTCTTTCCGTTTTCCTATACTTTTCAGGATGATATATTTCTCCAGACCCTCCATGATGTCACTGCTCATAAATCCTCGGAATGATGATGATGACTAGTTTAATTGCCATCGTCTCCATCTCATTCGCCGAGTCCTTTGCCCACTTGTCACACGTTGGACGTCCCGAAATTAGAATTTCTATGGAAATATGCATCTCTTTGTTTTTCCATTTCATTTTCGGAAAGAAGACCGAACAGTTATGGGAAAGACTGACAGCTTTATTGGAAAACGAGCTGGGATGGGATGTCGTTTGACAATTGTACGGTTTCTTAGACGTCTAGTGCTCGAAGGCTGTCCGTTCTCCAGCCCCGTTAAATAATTTTCTTCCAGACACTGTCTTCCCTTTTTCTGCGTCTTCTTCCTTTATTTTCAAATCTCCAATCATGTAAGAACAGAGAATTACTGAGCATTCTCATTCTCCTTTTCCTCTCTCCACCCCCATCCCCCACTTCAACTCTCACAATAGCTTTTAAGCTATGAGAACGAAAACGAGCTATTGTTTTGTTTTGACTGCATAAAACGAAATATGAACTTGAGACAGAAAGGAAGCCTTCCTAGTAAAACAGAGAGTACAATCATATTTACGGTAAGTAAATACGGGCGTACGATTGAATTTACCAAAACCTAAGCGCACCCTTTTACTAAGATTGTTTTGTTTTGACGGGGCGTCACAGGTTGGCATGGGAGAATCGAAATCTGATTAGACGTGATTAGTACCGAGAAGGAAGCGGGACGGGAATGAGAGCTTGTTTTGGTGAAGTGTACACAGAGTGAGTTATTGCTTGCTCCAAGGTCGTCACGTCATCAACCAAGCTGAACTGAGAAATGGTCCATATACGAAGATTCATAGCTGTTCATTTTTTCTTTCAAACCCGCTTTAGTTGGACGAAAGATTCCAATCTTTATCTTGATGTGAAACAGTCAGAACCCATTCCACTTCCTGGTCAGTTGCTCAGAGAGGTCCGGAATAGTCCAGTCAGAAATAGCTTGCATGAAAGTAATTAATCAGAATTCCGCTCCTCTTCCCACTCAACATGATGACGCGGCCGTCCTTTCCATCGCTTAGCTCATTTCCTTCCCCCTGATGTTAACCAATGTAACAGACTAGAAGCGGGGTTGCGTTCAATGACACAATCAGAAAGTGCGGGCGTATATACGCACACATCACATCACATCCGGGACTCGTTTTTGTAGCCACTCCCGGACGTCTTTTGTAGCCAACGGGCTCGGTCCCAAGCGACTGCTTGATTACTCACTGAAGAAGGCATCCTCGATCAGTATTCGGCTCACGTGACGGGCCCGATTAGTTGGCCCCCCGCATACCAATCTATCATCCCCCTTCCGGTTGTCTAGAAACATTTTCCACTCGTAGAATCAAAAAACAACACAACTATCACAATCAATCACCGCCTACCGACTCGTGGTCATTTCTCAGAACCTCCGGGTGGGTAGCCGGAAAATGAAATGGCCGGAAGTGTTTGGGTCTTGTTTGCATGACCCGGATCTTTTGATCCAGACAGCCCAGCGAAGCCTTAGTCGTATGTTTCGTGAAACTTCTTCGAAATTATGTAGCAGCTTTTGCATTGAAGCATGAAGGGCTTCCTCTATATGATCTTTGCTATGAATCATAATCACAAGTTCTAACCAAATCATCATAACGAAGTCACCTTTTCACGCCTCGTCGATTATGTTCTCAGCTAGCTGTAATTCCCTCGGTACTTCTGATTAAAGAACAAAACGTCGGAAAGTAACCCGATGAGTCGTCCTCATCACGAGAATTGGCATATGGTGCATAAAGCGCAAAACAATACCTCTCAATCTAAATGGAAATTCGGCAAATGGCAAATGCCAGAGCGTTCACATCTAGTCATTGGCCGATTACCAAGAAGTGGTAGGTTGGCAATCTAAATTCAAATGAACCCATCGCTGTGATGGAAGCCGCTCATCCGACTACGGTAGGTAATGTGACCGATGCCTTCTTCATTTCCATACATATTGGAGCCCTTGATACAATACGACTTCTCATCCCCCCGACTCTTAGCACTTTTCTCTCCAACTCTCACACACTTCTACTCTTTTTTGTCGTCAATCGGTGGGTGTGGATGCCGAGTGGGCGGAGCTTCAACAGGACCGCGTGGCGTGGGCCCCCCTCGACCACATGTATATATATGCTCAAGTTCCCGTGGCTTCTTCATTCCCATTTTCAAAATATATGGCTACCAAAACTTCTTTCTTCTTCATGATCTATGAGGGGATGTAGGGAATCTATCATTCTTGACTCTATCTCAATTTATTTCTTTTCTTTCCAGTATGAATAAGTTGTCTGGAAGCCTATGTAGCAATTAATGAAGTAGTCGGACTTCCTGGATTGATAGGCTTCCTGGAGAACACCATAGAATGGATGATACTTGGATAGATTGATAGTTGACCATCATACATGCAAATCTTGTAATTGATCTAGCCGCCTTACGTGTTTACATCCGAAGGCTCCACGAAGATCGTTATTGCCTTCTCACTCGTACGTGAATTTCCAAGAAACATTTTCTGTCGGTCTCCGCCCATTTGATGCTCTTTAAATGTACGCCCGCCTCCCATACTTTTCCAATTAGACTTTTTCACTCACTTTCCGTTTCTCGACGTCACAGAAAAAGAAGCTATTTACGAAGTTTCAAAAGTACATCTGATACCCCGCTCCTTTTTTCTCCGTCATTTCTTGCTCCACGCCCACTAGGAGCAGGCGTGATAAATGTCTTTTCGCAGTGACTCACTCTGTTCTTGTCCTCACCAGACCATACCAAACCTTGCGTTTTCAGTCGTCAGTGCTTTCCGGGTAACACACGCACAATGCTGCACCCTATCATTCTCGTAGTTGCCCTCTCGACTGCAGTCCTCGCAGGTAGGTACATCAAAATAGAAGCGTTCTTTGGAGGGGATAAGATTGAGAGTCCCCAGGGTATCAGTTTTTAAACAAAAAAAGAACAAGCATTCGTCTACATGAGGAAGTGGTAACTAGTACGAAAGTGCACCAATGGGGATTGACATTCAATCAAATTACAGGACGTCCGCGACGTGCGCTCGATGGACTCGACGGAACCGGATTTGGATTCGAAAAGAGGTTTGCCTAAGGGAAAGGGGAGAAGGCACTAGATAATTTGATAGAGCTGTGGCGGGGGAGGTCCGGCATACATTTATACACTTTTGATCTTTGACATCATTCCTGATGACGACGTCTTCAGAGCCCTCAACTCGTTGGATGGTACTGGCTTCGGTTTCGAGAAGCGTGCTTTGAACTCATTGGACGGCACAGGATTCGGATTCGACAAACGCGCTCTCGATGGTCTTGATGGAACCGGATTTGGGTTTGAGAAGAGGTACGGGGAGCGGAGCACAGACGGATACTCAATTATTTCAAAAAGTTCACGCAATTGGAAATAGTACTCGAAACTCAATTATCTCTTTTCCTTTTAGAGCCCTCAACTCGCTAGACGGAACCGGCTTCGGTTTTGACAAGCGTGCTCTTGACGGATTGGACGGAACTGGATTCGGATTCGAGAAGAGAGCCCTCAACTCCCTGGACGGAACTGGCTTCGGATTTGACAAGAGGTACTTGTAGAAACTTCAGAAACACTTCTCCTACGGTAGCACTTTCAGAGCCCTCAACTCCCTAGACGGAACTGGATTCGGATTCGAGAAGCGTGCTCTCGACGGTCTTGATGGAACCGGCTTTGGATTTGAAAAGAGAGCCCTGAACTCCTTGGACGGAACTGGATTTGGATTCGAGAAACGTGCTCTGGACGGACTTGACGGAACTGGATTCGGATTCGAGAAGAGAGCCCTGAACTCGCTGGACGGAACTGGATTCGGTTTCGACAAGCGGACATTCAAGCACTCGTCGAACAAGCTGCGTTCGGTGTTCAGAAACTTGAAGGGCTTCAAGCAACAACACTAGACTCCCCGAATTTCCCCCCGCCTAAATTATTTGCCCCTTTCCCCTTCCGTTTGTGTTCTCAGCTCTTTTCTGTCATTGGACCTAGTGTGTCCGTTCATTCACTCACATGCAAACTTACAAATGTTCTTGCTCTCTTTTTACAGCAAAAACAACAACATCAACAAACACACACACACACACCCCCCGTCTGTCTTCTTCCTTTTTGTAAACCAGCTTGAGCGTCAGAATAAATGATTCAAATTGTGCTTGCTTCAATCATGGATGACGCGAAGGGGGTCTGAAAACGAAAAGGACAAGGGAGGGACGAGGTTTTAATTGGAAAATGTTTAAAACGGGAAAGGGTGCGCATCGGGCACACGCACTGCACTAGACATCTCTCCGCACTTTTCAATATTCCCACTCTTTTTCTTGTGTGGGGGTGTGGGTGGGTGGCACGGCTCTTTATTTATGCGTAGTCTATAGAAATCAAACAAAAAGATGCGTAATTATAGAATGTGGGGGAGAGTAAGTGAACCAGTTTCGGGAAAGGATGCCAAATTCCAAATTACAGAAAACCAAATCGAGTTAATACGACAAAGATCCAAGTGAATGAACATGCTTGGAATAGGCATTTCTCGGGAAAAAAAAACGACTCACTAACATTGGTGAGAAGGGATCTCATCCTTTTTTTCTTTAGGGACCATCATCCCTTAAGGATGCTGATACCCAAAAGCAGCGAAAAGAGTTATATGAACAGGCGGTAATACTGTAAAAGAAGAAGAGAGAGAGAGAGAGAGAAAGAGAGGATGGGAGGGGTGGAACACAGTAAGAAACGGGCAGGTAATGTGGGTCACAACAACTGGAAGCGAACTTCAGGCAGGAATTATTATAATTTGAGGAATGGCAATGCACCGATCTTCATAATAAATAAAGATGAGAAGTTGATCTCGTATCGGTAAAATTGTGATCCACTTCTGATCTTGCCCGGAAAAAATATGGGACACAGGGTGGGAAAATGAAGAACCTGACATGAGAGTAGTCTAAAGCAGAGAAGGGAATGGCTGTGCACGACTACGTAAAGCAAAAACCAGACAGGACAGGGAAGAAGAGACAAATACAATAACAAAAGTACAGAATGGGAATGTGTGGGCACATTCATGAAGTCAAACAGGTATACAACCACTAAACAGGAACATTTGTGTGATCTGAGGGATCATTAGATGGGAAATTTCAGAGAATACAGTATGAATGGACAAAGGAGGAGGGAATGTTGGAGGTGCCGCTGGTCAATCGGCCACAACTCGACTGAAACTCGACACTTCTGGTTCAAAATTTTTTTGAACATTTTTTGAGTCGGGTAAGTCCGAGTTACGGGCCAATAACCAGCAGCGCCATCACCAGTTCCCGTTATTGTATTGACTTTGACGCGGTCTCGGTTAGTTGGTGGATTGACGGTTCGCCTGAAACTACGTTTCATTTTTTGAATTCAGAATCATTTCATTGTATAACCTAGTTGATGTCATAATTATCACTTCATAAAGCAAAGAACGCTTTTCGTTTGAAATGCGGATACGCTCTACTAGTGCGGAAACGGAGACGTGCCATTTGAAACATGTCGCTGTGTTTTAATTTGGGGGTGCACAAAAGAAGAACGGGACAATTGAAATGCCATCCACACGGACCACACATGCGGCCCCAATCGGAAGTGAAACATATTCTATTCTTTCAGGCTTGTCGTGGACCGATTCGGTTTTTCAATTTTGTATGGCGGCTTCAACTTTTGAAGAAAATGCTGTGCACAATTATTCTTCATATAATACTCAAACGATGTAGCCGGGTGGAAACTTTCTGGAACCACTTACAGCTCGTCTGCGGTTCTTTCTCGCCCTCTTTCTCGACGAAGACTCTCCGTTCGGGCTATCGCTGTTCACGACGGCGGCCTTCACTCTCGGAATCTCCCTTCTGTTGTAGAGCTTGGTAAGGAACGAGTTCGACACCGTGTCCCTCTTCTTCTCAAAGCGACCCGGAGCACAGCTGAAATTTCTTGTTTGTGATAAAGGTCACACCTATGGCACAACTCACATTTCATCGTTCGTTGGCTTTATGGCGCCACAGTGCGAGATGGTGATCGCTTGACGGAAGTTTCCAGTCACCGGATCGAACTCGACTGTGGCCATTTTGTCGACGACTTCCCGTCCCGACACGACCTGAATACAAAGCATGACAACTGAACATTTGAGGAACGGGGAGGGGGAACATACTACTCCGAGTGGCACCATTCTCGTGTCGCAATGCTTGACGGTGTCCGAAGTTGTGATGAAGAAGCGACCGCCTCCGTATGGATCATCAATCTGAAAATGTGTTCAGTAACGGAGGGATTTTTTCTAATTTTCACTCACGGCCATATTGGCGACCATGATGTATTTGCCGTAGAACTGTGGGTTCTCGACTTCCCGATCCTCGTAAACCGATGGAGTGAGCTCCGGAACCAACGGATGGAGAACTCCGCCCTGATAAGAAATTCGTTTAAACAACTAATTATCGGCCAATTGTTGTACCTCCAAGAACTTTCCCGGAACACAACGGTGGAATCTCGTTCCTGTGTAGCGCATCATGAGCCGTCCGTGTTGCGGATACTCTTCCGCGCACAGCTTTCCGAGGTGATTGCGACATCTCGGGTATCGATCCGTAAAACTAATGATGACGCGACCGACAAAGTTTCCGTCAATTTCCATGTCGAAGAAGATGCGGTAGTCTCCGTAGGTGACGTATGGAATCGGATGGCTGAAAAGTTCAATAATGATTCAATAGGTGGTTCAGTCCCAATGCATTTTCTTTCATCACGTTCCACGGTTCAAAAAGCGTCAGTCTTATCGCATTCTCTCGTCTCATTCTCGGTCATTTTCCAATTAGCACTCTCTTTCACGAAAGGCACGTATAATAGTTGGCGAGAAGCAAAGATAAGCGAGCGCATCGAACATCCTTGTGCGTAGAGTGAAAGTTGGATTACTTTTTTGAATTTCATGTTCACCTGCTCTCAGCAATTGGAGTTCCGTCCGAGAGAGGACGCGGAACCGGCGGCAAGTCGCTGAGATCTTCGATCGGCAAATGGTTTGGATCGTCGTTGTAGGTTCCCGTAAAGACGGTGTCGCGCGGTCTGATTGGCGGCGCGACCAGCGTGTCTTCCATGTCGGACCAATCCGAATAATGCACGGAATCCGTGATGCTGTACTCGGATTCCTCGCTGTCCGACTGATATCCGCCGGGCGGAATCACGACTCCACCAGTTGGGACAATCGATCGGCGTCTCAGAGGAGCCGTTCTCTCTTCGCTACTCATTGCACCGTGAGAACTGAAACTGCAAAAATAATGGATAAACGAAACGACTAAGTGACATGATAAGAATAATAGCAATCGAAGAAAACACACGTCGCGAAAAGAAGGTATTCAAACGGCCAAAAGAACCGGGTTCTGATAACGACGCGGAAAAAAAAACACGGAAAAAGAAGGAAGACGAGCGATAAAAGGAGAGAAGGAGAGATGAAAATTCAACGATTTATTTGCGGACAGCAAAGATGAATGGGTTTTATAGTGGAAGACACAACAGTTTTCGAGAAGAGAAGGCACAAAAATTCGAATCGGAGGATTGCGAACGAGCGCGGTGAGGCAACACACAGATTTGAGCCAATCAGTAGAGTGATACATGTGGGGAAATGACAGGAAATTAAAGATTGGTGCGCAGACAGCGCAATTTCCGGAGCATAACTCGCGATAGCAAGAAAAGCCCATGACATAAATACTTTGCCTTACATGCTACATCAGATCCAGAAAATCGAGAAGGTTAGTATTGACCATATGCGTTCGGAAGAGCGCGACATGACACGTCGCTCGCCGGCAGAATCAATATATTCAGGTATGCGCCTTTAAACACTGATCGTGTCGAGACCCACCGACAATTAGAGAGTCCTCTGTCGCACAGTCGCCCAAGCACACAAGAACACATAATTGCTACACAAAGGTTTACTGGAAACACGGAAAAAAACGAAGAGCGAAAGATTTTAAAATAAGTAAGATCAAATAGAGACAGGAGATAGATGGAACAAAACAGGTGGAACAAAGTCATGCCAACCAATAAATCGGTGCAAACTGGAAACATTGGGCACATGAATCTGACAAACGCGAAAATGACGATCAAGAAATGGCTAGAGTAAGACCAGACCCATCACAACACAACACAACGCCTAGTCCGCCTCGGATTCCGAAGACTCGGAAGAAGAAGACGAAGAAGAGGACGACGAGGAGGCGTTCATTCGGATGCGCGGCTCTTCCATCTCCGACTCATCGAAGCGGCTCGACTTCTTCACTTCCGACGGAGACTTGTATCTGCGCGGAGGACTGTCTTTGCGTTCCGCCGATCTGCGATTGCGGCGCTTCTCGACCTTCTTCTTTCTCTCCAGCCGTTCGAGCTCGCGGCGATCTTCGTTCTCTTTGCGCTCCTTCTTGGCGAGCTCCATACGAGCGGCCTCCTCTTTCTCGCGCTGAGCCACACGCTTTTTGTACTCTTCCTCAGCTTCCTGACGCTTCGCGTGCTCATCCAGAGTGAGCTTCTTGGACTGAAAGAAGAATAGATGATTGATTATTTCGACAGATGCTGTCAATGTCACTTTCACACTCACCTCTTCTTTTCTCCAATGCGGTGGGGTTGCCGACCTGCGGCGGAAATTGTGATGTCCACGTCCACGAACCTTGACTCCGCCTTCGGTAGCCTCCTGAAATAGCATACATTGAGTGACTGCTACAAATATTTTATCGACTTTAGTCTCGAAAAGAAGATGGCCGGAGAGCCACATGAGCTAAATCGGGAAGGAAATGTGACCGCACGTATGCTCCGAGTCGTTAGCCAGGGAAAAAAAGAGAGCGGATGCAATAACAAGTGGCTGAATGGCATAAAATGAGACAAAATGCTGTAGACGGCTCCAAAAAGTGTTGACCAGAGTTATTTTAAGTTATTTTCATCCGATTTGACGCATAATCTACTTGATATTCGGATTATCCGTCCAGCTAAATCCTGCCAAAAGTTTCATACGCACAATTTCTCGCAACAACGGTTCATAGAATGTGCGCTGAGCCAGAAAACTTCTAATGAAACCAATTACAGACGGTTGAGAGGTGCTGCGATTTCGATCGCACTGACGCACTGAAGCGGTTAGTAGTTCATCAAAATGCAACGCGTGAGGACGGACCTTCTCAAGAAATGCACAGTAGCCTGGCAACTGAATTTGAAATGCGAGCAAGTAGCGCTAGACAAGCCTGGGGCGCACCAGTGGCAAGAACCTTCCTTCATCAAATGACCACTATGTGATTGGGTGTTAAAGTGATGGCTCGTTTCCTAGCAGATCAGAAAGTGGGAAACATACACTGCATATTACAGTCAGTGCACTAGTGGTCTCTAGAGCTAGGGCTATAGATGGTCTACCAAACGTCGACCGAGTTTCCCATCCGTCCTCGCCGAGAAGTTCGACTTCAGAATGGGTTACCCGTTTCTACAGTTTTTCTAATTTTCACCCGTCTTCTACTCATTTGTGCTAGATTCGGTGTCACTCTTGATGAATTCGATCAGAAATCACTTACCGTCTTACGGATCTTGCGGTTTCTCTCGCGGCTACCGTTTCTGGAAGCGGAACGGCGTCGACGGTTCATACGCTCTCTGCTCGATCCGCCACGACGTCTGCTGACGCTGCTCTCCCTTTTGTGCTTTCTGCCCTTGTTTTCCGGACTCTTCGAGCTGCGCATCAGCCAGTTTCTGGTCGGCGGCTCAAACGGCAAGGCCTCCTTCTCGGGTTCTCTGAAAGTTAAATTCAACACACGTTGTTACCCACTATTCAGTTACGTACGGAGCAGCAGCATCTCCTTTGCGGACCATTTCTCCGCACTGGGTGATCTCCACCTTGTCGAGCGGCTTGTCATCGTCTCCAGTTTCCATGTTTTCAATCTGCTGCACAATTTCGAATCCCTTGATGACCTCTCCGAAGACAGTGTGCTTGCCGTCCAAGTGCCGCTGCTCTTCGGTGGTTATGAAGAATTGCGAACCGTTCGTATCCGGTCCTTTGTTGGCCATCGAGAGCAGGTAGGGCTTCTTGTGCTGCAGCGTCAAGTTTTCGTCGTCAAAATTGCGTCCGTAGATGGAAAATCCTCCTTGTCCATTGCCGTGGGTGATGTCTCCGCCTTGAATCATGAATCCTTTGATGACGCGGTGAAAAATCGATCCCTGGTAACAGGCGTACTTCCCGTGCAACCGTCCGAGCTCACCAGTGCACAAGGCGCGGAAGTTTTCTACAGTTTTCGGGCCTGAAATTTCAAGTTTTCTTTATGTTTAAGAAATGACGGAGTGACACTTAACTAGAGGAAAAAACAAGATGATATTTGGACTGTTTTTAGCATTTCAGACAAATATTTGATACTGTGTTATTTTCGAAAAAAAAATTAGCTTACATGTGAAATTCCATAGAGCGAAAACGATTCGTCCGGCAGGTTGTTCGTTGATAGAAATATCGAAAAAGGCTCTTTTGTCTCCACGCACAGTCGGAGGCATATTGTCGCTGTAAGAAACTTTCACGAATGGGTCCACAAACGGATTCGAACGCTATTCGCGGAGAGCACGCAGCGCGATCCCCTGCGATAGACTATTGTGAACAGCGAGACGCAGAGTCGCGCGTCGCGTTTTCCCTCCGTGGAGCGCACATGCATACCTTCTCCCATACGTCATCTCTGCCTAACAGGCTAGGAAAATGCACATAATGCCTCAATTTTAGGTGTAAATTTTTATTGAGTACAGATTTATTGTGATACACAGTTGAGGGCAGAAAAGTAGAAGAAGAGCGAAACTTAAAACTTTGCAAGGAGATTTCGAAGTTACTCGTTTCAAAACAATTGGGATAAATGTGCGGATGAGGAAGCTAAACGACTATGATTTCGTGGAGCAAGGGCGGAATTTCCCTGAGATTGCGAAATGGGGAAGGGAATTGTGGAATTGCGTCGAGAAAACGACAAAATCACACAAAATGAAGATTATTTAGGGAGAATTAAAGAACAAATTGATTTCTAGACGGATTTGAGAAGCATGGTGCTCTTGCGAACGTGGATGGTGTACGGATAACCGTTGAAAGTCTGCTTCTCGAATCCCCACACGAAGTAGCGCTTCGCATTCTGGTTTCTGTCGGCCGTATCATACTTCTCGGAGATTGTCTGGTAGTAGCCGTTGAGTCCGACGTCCGAGCACACTTTCGCGTGCCACCACGGGCTGAAATGAGCAAAATTTCAGTAATTTTGAGAAAAGAGAGGAACGGACCCAAGGAGACGGAATTGTGCGCAGTTAAGGTCGTCCTTGTCGGCTTTGTGGTCCACAGTGCTGAACGGTCTTTCATTTGAACCCGCGAAGAACGGATCCTTCCCATTGAACGTAAGATTTCCGGATGTCATGGGACTCATCGTGAGCTTGTACCCGGATTCTTTTCCTCCGAACTGAACATCCCACTCTCCGACCCAGATGTTCGGGTAGCGTTTCGAGCAGCTTGCATCGCAGGTTTCGCCTTCCAGCACAATGCGTAGAGTCGCTGGAGAACGACTCGATGGCGCCAGAAGGTTCAGTTTCTCGAGGCCCAGCCAGTGATTTCCCTTCAGATTTCCGAATCCGTTCTCGTACTCCGCCATGGTTCTTTTGTGGAAGCTTCCCTCACGGTCGGCACGTCTGAAAATGAGATGGAAGTGTCAAAGGTAAGCTACATATTAAAACCCACCTTTGGATAACAGTCCAGCCGCCGGTAGTAGTGTCCATATCGCAGAAAGCGTCGAACTTCTTTCCCACCTGGACCGAATACACTCCAGACGGACTTCCCATCGCCAATCTCTCAATGCAGGTCTGGAAAACTTGCAGGTTTATCAAAAACGGAAAAAGCTTACCTCCGACTCTTCCCCATCAACGTTATCCTCGAATTTCAAAAAACCAGTGGAGGTGGTGATTCCATTTATCCTTGGAGGAACAGTTGTCTCTGGCTCGTCCGACTCTTCGATGGGGTATTCCGTGATTTCCGGGACGACAAACGTGGCATCAGTTGTGATCTCATCTCGATTCGACGCGAAGTTCATCTGCTTTTTGAGAACAGCGGCCGGGAGGAGCAATCTGGCGTGCGCGGTACTGGTATCTTCATCGGAAGGAAGGGTGTAGACGACCGGGACGTCGCGCGGTTTTTCGGAGCCAGTGTTCTGAATCATGATCAGTTTAGGGCTTTTGAGTGGTCCAGACTTACCTTAGTCAGCATCAAGATGAAAAGAGTAAAGAGTAGGCAGGCGGTGAGGATGCAGCAGAAGAACACGGCGAGGATTGTGCGAGACAATCTGGAAATCCTAAGCCCTATAGAGCCCCTTCAGTGTTCCAAAAGCGTTGTTGTTCGAGCAAAATTTGCTCCAACTCTTGTCTAGTTGCTCTGATTGACTCACCCTTCCTTGTTCTTGCACCATCCCCAAGTGGGTTTCTCCACTTGAGTCTTCTCGACCTGTTCCGGACGGGTGAACTGGGCCTCCACAAGAGCATCGCGTTCGACACTTTTGTTCGGATTCTCGGCAAATGACTGAAAACAGAAGTTCCTTATTATTCAGAGGTTTGGACGGATACTTACAGTCAGTCCCAAATCACCGTTCTCAGGCATGATTGTGGTGTTTTGAACCACTGGAAGACGATAGCTTCTGGAATAGAAAAAATGATGGCTTGATATTGTGAAGCCGCCTAATTTTGATGGCAGGAAGTGTGAATCGCCTAAACACCGGAACACAACAATTTGGTTTCGGAAAAGGCAAGTAGTCAGGGGGAGGAGGGAGGGGATGAACTAGTTTCTGTGTCGGGACCACTAATTGTTCATCCTACTGTCGGACGACTGACGGGTGCGAACATGGAAACATAATTGACTGTAGGCGTGATTTTAGAAGTAAAGACTTGCGAAAGTGGAACAATTTACTTGGAAATGTGAGAAGTGAGAAGGTTTTTGAGACGTTGTTGAACGCGAAAAGACGTACGACCTTTCTTCAATTATGAATGCTTCAAAGTGTTCTCAAATTTCAGGGGTTTTTTGTTAACTTGTTGCCGGAAAATATGAACAGAGTTGACAACTGACAAGATGGGAATCCATGAAAAGGTGTTGACACGACGAGAACTCGTATCTTTTTGCGCGAAAAACGATCGGAACACCGTCAGATTTCCGATTTCCGACGTCGTTGCATTTCATGGCTAATCAAAGTAAGGGGCCCTCACCCTTCTTCTCTCTCTCTCTCTCTTTGTCTCTCCAGGAAATGAAATAAAAACACAACGGTTCCTCAGTCAGCCGGTGTGACGATGGGTTCGATTAGAAACCTGTCAAAGTCGGAATGCCGGTGACAAAGCGTATGCGAGAATGGGCCGAAAAGGGTTAGATATGAGAAACAATCAGATGTATCTGTCTTTCTCTCTCTCTCTCTCTCTCTCTCTCTCTCTCTCTCTTTTCTTCTTCGTCTATCACAAAAAAAGCCGAAGACGGTTTGGGTTTGAAGTGAGGCGGGAGAAGAAGGACGGTGTAAAACCTTCTTGAAACCAATACCATACTCTTCTCTTTTTGTCAGGTCAGAAAAGAGGAGAAGAAGGGGGCTATCAGTTTTGAGGGCACGACCATCAAGTTACATTAACACTGCCGCTTATTGACTGCATATCAACAGGAAAAGAAAGAAAGAAAGAAGAAGAGAGAGAGAGAGAGAGAAGATAAGAAGGGAAAGTGAGTAGGGGGCCCGCGCCACCATCGCTTATTTATGACTTTTTGGAATGCAACTTGGGGGTGATGAGACGAAATACATATACCTGATTGTTATTAAGGGATTGGTATCAAGGGTCGGGAACGTTTAGAATACATAGAATACTTTATAAACTTTTATTGGGGTCTTCATGTCCGTCTTCACATTAGTATGATTATTTCCCCGTTACTTGTCGTCATGACTTTTGGTTTTTCCCACAAAGCGAACTTACCTACAAACATGTCTTTGGAACGCGCCAAATTTTGAATAAAGACTCATTTTTGACCGCTTAAAGGAGGAGAGCAGACAATATGAAAATGAGGACCTTACTCATCTTGACTGGATAACTTAATTGCTCGGCCAACTGAATGAACTGGATGTTTTGTTATTCTATATGAAAAACCTCTAAGCATCTATGCTTCAAAAGCACGTACCGGTAACGATGTCTTGATCTTGGCGAGCAACGTGGAACAGAAAATGCTTGCGGTCAGGTGTAAAAGTGTGAGGAGTCAGATTTGAGCGGACGGCGCAGAGAAAATCACGAGTCAACAGTATCTGCGTCTCTTTTTTCTGTTTTCAGAAGCTTTTGGACTTTTTTTTACTGGAAATGGTGAGAAAATGTCTAGACATGTTTGAAGAAAACAGTTAATAAGAGAATAGATGGCCTGAAATAGTTGTTGTTTCTAATCGATTCTGATAGAACACTGTATCGAAGATACTCTGCCAAAGACACGTCGAAAATGAGAAAAACTGACTCCCCAGACAAAGACACACAAAAAAAGTTGCGAATGTGTCAAAAGCCACTCGATTATTCATATATTCGTAGCACTCTTGTCTCCTCAACTAAAAGCGGAAGGTTCCCCTCCCCCCCCCCCTCTCCAACAAAAAACTGATGATCATCAGAAAAAGAAAGCTAAAAGTGAGGACTTGTCACTAGAAACGTGATATGTCAGTCATATAAATCTTCAGAAAACTTTGATTAACTAGACGCGGTTTCTATTCAGACGTGCCTAAACGGCCCAGTGAGATTTCATTTATCCGGCACCAATGCGCGGCCAAACCCCTCGAGATATTCAAAGTGGAGGGAGAAGATAAGCACTCTTCTTTCTTCTTGGGAAAAATGAAACATTTCACATTAGACAATGAAATATTGCTCTTGTTTGGGAGTTAGTTCCGCAACAAAGTTTAAAAATTCGGTTAGATTTCCCAGTTTTTTCTAATGGAGCACCGAAATTCCGTCAAGGTCTGAAGCCCGTCTAAATCACGATGGAGCAAAGGAATTTCAACTATCGTCACATGTTTCGAATGAAATAACAAAAAGTGTGAAGAAGTGGAATTTCGGGAAGGTTTCTTGGGGAAAAAGAGGTAGAAAAAGATCTATTGGTCCCATCTTTGCAGTGTTTTGAAGCTGGTGATGGTGATGAGGATTCGTGATAAGGGCTCAACTTTTAGGGTTCAAATAGAGCACTTTTCTCCATTTGGCGGGACGTTTAATTTGATCTTAAGACGAACAGTTATGATTGACCCAAAACAGTTAATGAAAGTTCGTTCAAAAAATTTGAATTTCTGTAAAAGTTCTGTCATGACCCGGTCGTGGATTTGACAAGTCTCGCGGAAATTAGCCATGACTATACATAGTGGTATCATATTAGAAAAAAGAAAAAACGTGAAGATCAAGCTTGTCTTGTGACCAGATCATAATAGCCGTGGATAACCCATAAAATGGCCACAAATGATCGAATCACTGTCAATATTTTTGGAGAACAAGCGGATTGAGAAGAAGAGATCAGATCAAATCGTTGGATAATAAAAATTGATATTGGAAGGAAGGGTTTAAGGAATGGTGGGGGGGCATGATTGAGATCGGATATCAACATCGTATCGAATATCTCCGAGATTTCTCGCTTCCAGGTTCAATATGAAATTATCAAGCCGCGCGACCGCCTGCTATCAGATATCGATACGATGTTGGGGGGCTAAGGGCGAGAAACTTGACACCTGATGGGAATGAACTCTCTGGAATCGTCCGAGTGATCTGCTCCGCGCAGTGTGTGCTCATCAGCCCCCATTCCATTCCTTTCAATGTTATTGTGTCCTGCCAACTGTTTTAATTTACGTGTCTCGTGTAGTGTGAATCAAATCGCAACATCGTTTGACTTACGACGTCTCATAAACGAGCCGCCATCACACCATTTCATTGAATGATCTACGATGCCGCTTTGAGCTTAGGGGGGGTGTCAACCTGATAAACGAACGGATCGCCAGAAAGCGAGTGGGGGGAAAGATGGAAAGGGGGTCACGGTGTCGTTTGGCAGGCTGTCAAAGGTTTACAAGCAAGTGTACGAGAAATTCGAGAAAAACAGAATATGGCAACATTTGGACAGCTGTTAGTGAGGACCCAAGCCAAAGAAAAGGATTGAATCTCATAAAAGATTCTGATGAAGTCTGAAGTTTGAAGTCAACAGGAAATGGCTCCAACTCGAGTGAATTTGTTGCAGAATGAGTTTCAATCAAACAAGTTGAACTATTTTTTGCACTCAAACATATAGTCAGTCACTTACTCGGAAAAATGTAAACAAATGAACATTTGTGTTCGCTCATGACACATAAAAAGACAACAGGTTCCCATTCCAGATGTTCTTCCCTCCCACTTCCAAAGTTAGAATGGCACAAAGTGGGACGAGTTAGTCACCAGACCGTCAACATTACAACAAATTAGGATGGTCAAGTTGGAATAACCTTTCCAAGAGTAATCACGAAACGATTTGCACATCGCATGCTGTATAGTGAGCAAATACTTGAACGAGGAGCTGATGGCTTTTGGTGGGAACTTTCGGACTACTGTAAGTGTCGAAAATGACGAATCAGCGGGAGCAAATCGAAAAAGTGAAATAAAAAGTTAATGGGTTTTTGTAAATTGGAAATGTAACAGTAGCACAGCACAAAATGTTGCCGACCTCAAAGAGAATCGAAAGAGGTTCCTAAAAACGAAACAGCCGAAAGGGAACCGAATTGTTTATTTATGTATGTACAAGGACATCTCCAGGAGAAAGAGGGGCGAACGCCGAAATCCACCACGTTTACGACAGGAAAATCTTTGGAAATAAATGCAACAAATGCTCGCTCATTGAGTATGCAGAATCGACACGAGATGAGCAACTCATCGGTTGGCAAATGGGGGCGGAAGAGAAGAGACAAAGGGAGAAGAAACGGCGGGAGAAATTTAATATTTCTTCCAATTCATTAAGGACTGTATAAACATGAAATGAGAAAAATGTCCGATTGAGTAAGCCTGGATGAATTGGAAACTGCTAGTCTTCTGATCTCCTCGCACATATCCAAACACTCTTCTTTTTTCTTCTTCCAACGGTCAGTATGAATACGCAAATATTGTACAGTAGTAGTAGTAGTACAAATGATGTGAAATCCACCGTGAAACGAACTGGGAACCAGACTTGTCGGAATGAATCCAAATTTTTTAGGGAAAAGCGATCATTTTTCAAAGTGTCCACTAGGAAAACCTTTGTTGAAAACTCACACCTTTTTCTGGGAGAAATCGGTTCTCATGTGCCGCCAGTTGGCAAAAAAATCATGGCTTTTAGTTCCCAACCACATAAAAACGATGTGATTTCACTGCTCAAAGGGCATCGCATCTGTAAACATTTCAAAGGGGTTAGTTTTGAAAAGCCACCAAAAGTTTTATTCGAAGAAAATGGAATGATGATCTTGTTGTGACAGGTTTAATAGCAGATAAAGGTATGAGAATTGCACGGGTTCTGGGTTTACACTATGACTGTTTTTTTTCATTTGTTTTGTCAAAGATTTTGGAAAAAGCTCAACATCGACAAGAAAGTAACATAAATAATCGATTGAATGACAAAAGTGATTATCCTCTGATTATCAACCATCCTTGGTAACTCGGACTTGTTTGATCGACAAGAATCCCGCTTGAGATCTGATTTGACGGCAAAGCGAACGCATTCCAAGTATTATGGGTTCACTCTCAACGGTCAAATGTTCGCCTTTGTAAGCTGCCACCATGTAAACGTCCTTTTCAATGGCTTCCCCGTAGAACGTCTGAATTACCGTATTCTTAAAAGTTCAGGACAGTTTTTCACTAACCAGGTCTCCGTCCTGTCGGTATGCGCAATCTCTGTTTGTCTTGCGCAAATTTTCTTTGTCGGCTTTGCATGCTTCCTTCCACGCATTGTATTTTTGCCGCACAAATTCGGTGGTGGCTTCGTAAACATGTTCAAGGTTCTGGAACTTCTGGAAAAAAAAAGTTATTGAAAAAAATTATCTAGAAAACAACTGACCGTCATATGTTTGGTGTTGAGTTCCGGGTTCAATTTGGACGGATATTGGAACAGCATCGGCACATAGTTTCTCAACTTATCCTGGAACTTTACAGATCCGGTTTTTGGAGTTTGCGTCAGGAATCCATGAATGCTCGCGATTTTAAGCCAATTCCTGGTTTCTCGGGTCAGTTCCGGTGCGTTGTCGATCATTTCATCGGTGTCCAAACTCCTCATTCTGTCGATTTTCTCCAACAGGTCTTTATGCGTCATGTGAATGAAACCCTGGAACAGCATCCAATAAATCGATAAATTTGGGACAAGGACTCACTGAGAGAATGGGCATACACTCAGTCCTCCAGAAGGTGTTCAAGTGACCGCTCTTGCTCGCATTATCCAGCCCGAAGAAGAACTCGTGTTGTTTTTCAACGTCATCTCGTTTCCAAGTCACATTTGGTTTTTTGTCCGTAACATTGTCGATATTCACTTCGATCGTCCTTCCACGGATACAAATACAGAAGAAATACGCTCCGGTCTGTCGACAAAACTCGTAACATTTCTCGTTCAAACCGTACTTTTCCTTTTCTGCGAATACGAGCTGCAATTCAGATTTCGAGAGAAACATTTCATTTCAATTTTGGTTCTTACCAGAGCTTCAGAAGTATTCAGGGCCAAACGACCAAAAAGATCTGTCGCATATAATCGGAACTTGGCAAGAAGACACTTGTAGAGATGCATCAGGTACGGATTGAAGTGATTTTTGTAGATGAAATCCGAGTTTGACTCTGACATTTCAGCCCAAACGGCAAGTTTGAACTCAATGAGCATGAGGTAGGCGACGCATCGGATGACCTGAAAGGGAAGTGAACGTTGTGTGCAAAAGCAATCAACAACTCACATTCCCATCCTGAAGTTGTTGTTGGCCTTTGATGATCATCATTAGAATGAGCAGTTCATCAATGCACTTTCGGCGCATGTCCTGCAAGGTCAGCGATCGGAGGTCGACGGAACGACGTTCTTTTCTCGGTACTGTGTTCAAACCTTTGAACGGATCAACTGGCGACTGCAAATAAAACCATATTTTTTTTAGACTTTGACTTAAAAATCACATTTTGAAAGTCTAGTTCTAAAACCCGGCCCTGACTTGACTTTTTTCACTCTTCCTCTTATGCACTTACCATTGTGAGAAGTGCTCCGTCGTCGGTCTTCATTTCTCTTGCGAGATCAAACGGCCTGACGTCCGCTTGCCTATTCGACTCGGTCATTCGATTTCTGGAACTCCCTCCGATTTCAACTTTACCCATATACTCTTCAAATTTATTGAACGGCTCGCTGCTTTCACCCGTGATTTTGACGCAGTGATTTGCAATTGCTCTTGCGGTCATGAGCTCATCTTTCGCGTTTTGCCACCAAACAACGTGTTTCGCTTCACTTCTCGGGTTCAATCTTCCAAACTTTCTCGAATTCTTCTTGTTAATTAATTCGAGGGTTTCGGTCCGGAAGAACGTTTTAGCAACAGCTTCATCGTCACTGCACTCGTCATCTGACACTGGATACGCCTTGTTCAGGTTCTCCTCGTCAATCACCGGAGCCTTCTGAATGTCGCGTGCTTCCGACATCATTTTCCGGACAATCATGCGAATTTTGCGACGAACATCCGAAGGCAATCGTTTTTGAGGGTCGATCGGAAGGGTTCCTCCAGCATCATACTGCCGTATGCATTCCCTCCGAAAGTATGCCTTATCCTTCATCTTCTCTGCATTCAAATCACTGAAACTCATTCCATCTTTCAAAGGAATACTGTAGTTGCTATCATCCACATCTGATGCGTATGCCTGTTTTGAAACCAATCTCCGGCGGACACGTCGATTTGGCTCAACAGGTTTCTTAACTACGAGCATGTTGGAGTCAGCAATCACTCCAGAATCTTCTCCGAACGATACTCGTTTCGCTTTGTCCTCTGCTTCTTTCAAAGGATTTCGCGGTTGAAGACGCCGCCGTGGCTTGTTTGACTTTCCCCGTGAATCGGTTTGCATTGGACGATTGCCAGAATCTGAGAGACTCTTCACAAAGTTAACGTAAGCGGGGTCCATTTTCAAAATCTCAATCGCAGCGGCTGATCGAACGCAAATCTCCCGTAGATGAAGGTGGTTGAACCATGAGAAACAGAACTGGTTGTTTTTCTCCGAAAACCGCGTTTTCTTGATGTTCTGGTAGAACTCCTTCTTCTCTTTGTCGGTTTCACACAGTCGGGAGGCATCACTATCTAAAAAACTTCTGTTAATGCTTTAATTCCCTCCGCTCGGTTATCAGTTTACCGTTTATCAACGCCAAAATGTTAGAGTCCAGCACTTTCACCCTATCGAACCAATCCACGTTTTCGTCTTCTCTAATCTGAGCCAGATTCTTCAGGAGATTGACATGACACTGACGGAAGCAGGCGAAATGCGAAAACTCCTCGCACATCGTCAACAAGTCGCAGATCTTGAAGATTGTCGGCTCCATTTCCAAGAAACCAGCGGTTGATTGCCTGAAATGGGTTTTTTATCTAGGAGAGACGGGTTTTGGAGTGACATACTGGCAAATCGAGTATTGAATCTTTAGAGTCTGCTCTTTCGGGGAGAGTCGGAAGAAGCTGAGGTCGTAGAATTTGGCCTCACATTCAGCGATCTGAAATCTCATGACTAAGATCACACAATTGTCTGATTTTTTATCGATCCCCCATTCTTCTCAACGTGTCGGCTATCGGATTTCGTAAGCAAGGCCAGACAGCAGAATCGTTGTAAAATCATTTTCATCATCATCAAAACCACTGCGAGAAAGGATTTCATTGCGAACAGCTGTGTGATCGCTGATCGTCTACCCCCAAAGATAAAAATAATCTAGCACCCACCATCGCAACCGAGAGGAACATTAGGCGGTACGGGTTGTCCGTCGGCCGTCCGAAACATTTTTCGGCGATGAGCGTGCTGAAGTTGGCGGCGGTTTGCATCTAAAGTGTTAGAATATGTGTGTGTTTGATCAGAGATCAGCGGAGTTGAATTCAAGAACCAAATTACACTGTGGTTGTTTGTAGACAAAGCGTTTTTCCGTTGAAATTTCGGATGTTAATGAGTTTACACTACTCACAAGATAAAAGGTCCGCCGGCTCACCAAACTTTCGACTCACTTTTCCAGAAGCCATAAGTGCTCCAATGACATTGATAATCCTCATTAAGCTCGCCGAGTCGACTGCACATTTGGAAAACGTCGCCTCCTTTTGATATTTGATCAAGTCAAGCAGGTCGTCCTCCGGCTCCGTCCACACTCGGAACAACTTCTTCCCCATCGGCTTCACCCGTTTCAGCCACCCGAACAACTCCATTCTAGTCGGGAACAAGGGTACCGCAAGCTGAAAAAATGAATTTTGAGTGTTTTGAGTGAAACGTCCTGTCAGAAACATGATACGCAGGATGTAACAAGTGAGTTTGAGCTGTGTTTTGGAAAGCGAGCACAGCAGAAATACGAGTTACGGCTCGGTACACACACTCAAACGGGTGAAATATGATTACACAACATGGAACATCTTCTTTTTTTGTGAGTAGTGAGTATTGTTGTGTTGAAGCAATTGCTTCTTTGGTGACTCTTTGTCAGAACTCTTGGTACAAATTGATTGGTTTATCCGACGTTCTAGTTAATTACCTACAACAATGAGAAATGAATGAGAAAAGCTCAGAGAGAGACGGCGGATTAAAATATACAAACAAAGTACCACAAAGGTTTGCACAAACTATCATCAAAACTTAATAAAACTAGAATGGTAAGATATCAGTGCGGGTGCATGCGAATAGAGGGAAATCAATAATATTATGAAGGTGGTGTTATCCAGCGCGGTGCAGTGGGGTTCTTTAACAAGGTTCGACAAGTAGTGAGTATTGAGCAGAACACAATGTACACATGGAGAGAACAAATTAAAACAATTTCTCAAAAACTAACAAATAGTCTGCCAGAAATGTTGGGCGCCGGACGGCTGTCGGCAGATGTTCCGACCCCAAAAAATTTATGGTTTTTTCTGTGTTCTGATGTTGAAAAGATGGCGGATGAGGAAGGAGGAAGGAGCACATCAAAAGGGAAAAACGCAAGCTCATGGAAGCTGCTTCAAGTTCAAAATGTCTCGCAGTTTGCCCTTTCTCTTATCTTACCGCCTTTCCGGGAATTCAGAGCGTCCTGTTATCTAGAAATCTTTTGGCACACAATATTTTACAAACGGGCAGAGAAACCTAATTTCTAATTTCAAGTGAGCCTACCAAACGTCGAAATTTTTGATGGATTGCATTGCATTTCAAATTTGACAGAATTTGTTACGTGTATTTCGCAAATTGGAAATGAAAAGTGAAATTAGACTCATTGACACGTCAGAAGACCAGAATTTTAGTAAAAATGAAAAAAGAAAGTGATATTATTCGGTCGAAAATACGGGCAAAATGTCAATTTTAGGGTTGTTATCACATTTGAAAAGCCCCGTACCGAATTGCGAAAGAGAGAAATTGAAAAGTGCGAGAAACAACAGAAGTGATAAACAATTGGAGGCGGTTATCAGTGAGTGCGGGTTTACACACCATTTTTTCTAGAAACGCACCAGCCAGCCTCGTATTTCGAGAATGGAATGGGTTACCGATAGTTTTGAATTTGAAAATACGGAAAAAGTCAAAAGTTCGAGAACGAACATGATCATTATTGCGGTCAACACGCGCCAGTAACTTTGTCGGACCGACACGAAAGGGCAAACTGGTTTAATTAGCCGGCGGCCTTTCCGGAAGGTTACTCCGCTCGGGTACGGTCGGGTTTAATGACAATGTTTTCGCATTTCGACAGCCGACAGCTGGGATTTATATGTACTCGTGTTAGTTAGTCACATTGGATCCGTATGGAAATGAGAATGAAAGTGAAACAAAAAAGACAAAGATGTAGGCAAAGGCAGAGAAAAAGGAAGCAAAGCCTTATATGCAACTATGGTGCTCCATTCTTTTGCACATGGGCAATACAATGGGGGAAGCGACATAAAGCCGAACATAGGCCCGGGGGCCCGTTTCTTTTTTGCTAGTGTATTAGTAAACATTTTGTTGATATCCACACTAATGCCTCGCGAGACCGGGGGTCCTCCCTGAGTGACAGCTGGGATGCGAAAGTTGATGGGCTTCTGGCGGCGAAATTATTACAGCGCTCACCCCCAGGCTCTCACCCAAAAGTGCAATAAATCAGGCGTCTTTGCGCGAATCCGAGACGACAGACATATTTTTCTAGGAAAACTGAAAGTCCCGTTTTTAAAAGTATCCGGATGAAATAATAGCGTCTGTTTTTGGCGTTTTCGGCTCCTGTCACTTGATTTTGTTCCCGTCATCGAAAATTGGTAGTTGTAGTTCTCAATCTGACTGCTTAACTACCATGTTTTTGTATTCACGCTGTCGTGTTTTGAAGAGATTCTTGAGAGCGCAGATGACTCTCGTAAACAGGATTCTGAGAAGGAGAAAGACATAATCGGATACATTTGGAGAAACTTCCGTATATTAATCATAAATAGGATATCTGTTCGGGAAGTGAAATGTATTTCTAGTCTAAAATCAGCTTACACGCAGGAATATGGAATAGATTCTTCGAAAAGAAAGCGCTCACGTTGCTCCGCAAAAGTCTCTAGTCTGAGCGGATGTTTACCGGCACTTGAGCCATTTGGAATGACTTCTTGTTATTATGCGTTCCGATTTAGATAAACGGGTTAAACATTTCAATCTACATAAGATCTTTGAGCTCTATCTATGTTTCCTGCAAAAGAACAGCATCAACTACTCGGAAATCACTCAGACATTCGAACCCTGGCCGGTCTCCTAGGACTACCCCGTTTTCCAATTCTTTAGATGACCCGATGACATTCCATTTCGTGATGTTTCATAAGGATCGAAAAACAAAAAGGCTCTTTGTTATTATAGCTTTCCCCGGAAACGCGAGAGAATATTTGATGGGCTCATCGAAAGGACCTAACCAATTTCCTGAGATCGAGAACCAACGACACAATCGATTATGTCTAAAACTGGTGAATGACAGGACACAAAAAATGACGATAAGAACAGGGAAAACGGAAAAAAGTGTTACCTAAACTACCCACTGAAAAACTCAAACCGAATATGCAATTAAAGAAATGTTAGTGTGTTGGCAGGCATGCGAAAATAGTTTACGATGGGGAAAAGACGAATAGATAAGGGAAAGAGGTTGGGCTGCTAAACGAGTAAAATCGGTCACAAATGTTCAGCTTAATGACATTCAAGTTACCTGTCTGTTGAAGCTTGAAGTTCCAGGTCCTGGCAGTTGAGAGTAGAAGAGGAAGCTCGTTCGTCCAGCTGAAGAGAACAGAGAATAAGCAGATAGAGAAGGATTGTAGGCGTAAAGTAGGTGGAGCCCTAGAGCCCAGAGGACTGCAGCAACTAACAGGGGAAGAAATATTACAGATTTTTAAGAATTTCTTCAGAAGTTTTGAAATTGGTCATATCACTTCCTTTGTAGACACTTCCTTTGTAAAGTGCCTGGACTGTGCTCAGAGTTTGAAAAGAACAGAAGGTGAAAGGGAAAAGGAAGAAGAAATGAGGCTCAAGAACATCGGCCGAGATGGGAAACACGTCTAATTTGGATTTTTGTTTATGGGTGCGGATGCGTGCTCTGATTTGCCCGGAAAATTGATGCTCGAGCTTTTCTTTCATCTTTCAATCTAGAAAAAGTGCGCAGGAAATGAGCTCGGAAGATAAATGCATCCAGATGAAATTAAAAGTAAGAGCTGTCTGGTTTAGGACTTGATGCATCGTGCTCAGATTGTGACTAATCAGAATCCGAATCAGAATCAAAAACTCTGGACACCAATAAACATACTGAATGACGGAATTGAGTGAATTGCGAAATTGGCGTGTTGACGTTGACGGACGTACGCTTTGTTTTCCTAGAGAGGATCCCAACAAACAGTTGCTATGCATATAAATCATGGACCAGCGAATTTGCATTCTATTTTCACCTCCATTCTTCTGTTTGGAGTATAGCATAAACATTTGTGAACCACATTTGAGATTGAGATTGAGCAACAAAAAGAGAAGCAGAATCTATAGGTTCATGCTAACCCAAGGGAACAAGGATTCTCGCGTCGACCGTGGGAAACGTGAAACACTCTCCGACCCCGACGACCCGGTTCCTGCTTGACAACCGAGTTTTTTTCTCAATTTTTGTTGCTATTAGTCAGAAAATGGCGGATATGTATCATGCTTCACATCAACATCATTAACCGAGATGAAAAACGCCGATGGACATGCAAAAAACCCGATTTAAAACCGGAGAATAGGCAAAAAACGATATCAGAGCTCGGCGCGTTCAAGTAAGAAAAAAAGAAAAAAGTCTTGATTGCACAAAGTGGCGGCAGTGCGGTTGGTGAGCTGTGGAGACAAAACTCATAGGGCAAATGGATTTTCCGGAGATTTATTGGTCGTAAACTTGCGTCTAGCTCGTTCTCTCCTTGTTTGATCGTTTAGTCGAGCTTCCGAAGAAGTCGAGCACGGAGCGAAAATCGAGAAGGGATGGAAGTGATTACACAACCCCCAACCTGCTCATTTTCACTTTGTATGAGCCGGAACATAAAGGAAATTGGATAACAGGGGTGGAGAGAAAGAGAGAGAGAGAGAGAGAGAGAGAGAGAGAGAGAGAGAGAGAGAGTGGACAAGAGGACCGGGTATTTGTTCATGTGAAGTCGAGGTCGGATATTAAAATCATGGAGCATCGAAACAAGCTGAGGGTTTGCAAGAAACGTGAGCGTTCGGAACACTTTTTAACTTTTTGAGTCTTTAAACCCCCGCCTAGTTTACATAATCCAATGCCCCAGTTTGTGACGGACAATGAATTTGAATGTGACACAAAAGATGGCAGTTCAAACCTGTATCTGTTTACCCCGAGAAAATCAAATTGTCTGGCGGTTAGATAACATCTGAACAAATATTTTATTTCTGGAATAAGGAAATGATAGAGATCAAAACCGGAACCACATTTCTTTCATTCATTTCCTCCCATGAAACCCTCATCAAAAGACGACAACAAAATCGAATTAAATAAGCGGCGAGGGGCCAAAAAAGTTCGGAAACGGTCGAAAGAGAAAGAGAGATACATAGTTAGAGAATGACCACCATGATTGTTGCTTTCACTCTCTTCAACCTTCACCGAACGCGCAGCAACATAAAAAAGGAAGTAAGGAAGGGAAAACTGGTAGGAAATGGTGGGTGCCATGGTCAGTGCCTATGTATTTGTATCCGGTGGTTGGTAATGGTTATGGTAATTGCTAGTGGAACGGAACCGACTAGATGGTAATGAGATTCATATTAATGAAGTTATGAAACGGAAAGAGATGATGGTCAAAAGTGTTTTTCTAGATCCTAAAGGCGTCCGGACATTATGCAGCGGAGAGGAGAGACAAAGAGTAATGGACTGCGGGGTGTGTGGGGCACGGAAGAAAGGCAATTTTGAAAATGTGCCGAGCGGAAGATTGAATAGGATCTTACCCACAAACACATGTCTTTGCTCCTCTCAATTTTCTCGGTACCATTCACTGGTAATTGGATCCTTTCTCACAAACTGGCTTATGCTTACTGTCCGAAGCAACCAACCACTGAGCAGCGTACGTGTTGTGTATAATGCGAGTTTATTGACAGAAACAGAAAGGTGAAGGCAGTGTGCGTGAATGAATCATTTCAAAAAGTGTTTGCGTCCTAGGGATCCTGAATACAGAAAAAAGTGATGAGATTAGTAAGATGGAACATTGTCGAAGCCTGGTCTTTTGTACATTCGCTCCGAACTGCGATCCTTTGGCTTTTCAATGGTTCTGAAAAGGAAAAGTGTGATTCTCAGCAACTTTAAACAGGGAAAACTCACTTGATTGTTCCAAACTGACTTTGAGTGAGCTCATTTACAGAGTGATACGAGATCGAGCCACGGAGCGGCGGTGGCATATCCTTGTCATCAACATCATCAGCTACAAATGGTCTGAAAAAGCACACAATTTTAGCAAATTTTGGACGATTCTCTTGGTTGTGCAGGACTTAGGAAACATTTTTAGACCCTTTACAGTCTTCCCGGTCGGATTTTGCGTCGATCCTTAACAAAATATTCATACTTTTGAAATCAGTTAACTACCCCAGTTCTCATTCATATCTGTCATTCCTTCTTGAAGTTACAAAAACGATTTATTCGAAAATGTAAAACCAAAAAGGATTGACATCAGAATTGAATGGAGAATTTGATACAAAACATAGGATAGAATGAATAATCGGAAGAAGAGAAGTAATAGGGCTTATCAGTGGCAGTGTGGTAGAGAGAAGAGAAGAGAAAATGTATTTGAACTGATTTGTGTGACTTCGAAAGTTTGATATTTTGGACTTTTGCTGGTCCAATCGACAGCTATGTACTTTAAGAAAGAAAATTTTGAATTTTTCGAAAGTTCTCAGTCTTCGACTGGATTATAGCTAGCAATCTGTTCAGTAGTGGACCTGTAGAATGCGTTGTGCGCTCTTTGCGGCGATAACGGAGCCGGTTCGACGTGGTGAGCCACTGAGGCCCGACTGATCTCATCCTCGCTTCTCTGCGTGATCTGCACTGGCTTCGGCATCATCAACGTCGTCTCTTGCATTGGAGACGGCACAAACTTTTCTAAACAAAAATGGTTCGCCGTGTTTGGTTTGTTTATTGTTTTTGGTAGGATAAGAATGAGCAGAAATCACAGAAAACAGGAGCATTCGGAATTGGAAGTAGAAGAAGAAGAAGAAGTGGAAGTGGAAAAGGAAGAAATGTACAACATGCGAGATATGTAAATGTTTGTATGATAGATGGGAATTGTTGGATTAAAGTTCAAAGTTTTACAACATTTCTCTAGAATCAGTAGAAACAGGCCGTTCGTACACAATTTCCTGTTTGAAACTCTCTTCAACAGTCTCATGCACTCCATGACGGACCACCGAACCGTTATCGCTGTCGTACACATTGTTAGACGGCCTTCTAAGGTAATTCTGAGTCACTGCATAATCTCGGCGACGGTATCCATCATCCGGACCAGCTCTCTCGATGTCCAGTCCTCTGTGGCTGCTTCCAATTCCGTTTCGGTATCCCCCATTGCGTGATCCAGTTCCAGTTCCAGACTCGTATTTTCTACCGTACGCACTGTAGATGTCATTGGGAGTACTGTACTTTTGCTCCTGGTACGCGTACTCATCGATGAGATCGCCATTGTTACGAAGCGCTGAGTACTTGTTACCGGCCGAGGCGGATTCGTTGGCGTCTGCAATCAACAGGGCGGGGATGCATTAGTTGGAGGGGATTCAGGATTCAGAACACTTCACAAGGTCATGCAACACACAGAATCAATGAATTTACCTTTCTTCGGGCGAGATTTGTACCACTTGGCACAGTAGTAAGCGAGAAGAGCCATGAGGGCCAGCAGGAGCAGAATAGCCAGCACAATAAGGATGATCATGAGCCTAAAAAATTTGGTGAAATCTAGAAAAGGGTCAAAAGGTTTTGTTACCAGAATGGGATAGTTGCATCCTGTGGGATGCAGCACGTCCGTCCACAACATTCAAGATCATAGTCACAACTAAAAACAGAAAGTTAGAAACGAAACCACAAAGAAACACCTACCGGAATTCATATCGTTCGTTCTTTCCTTCAACATCTCCCTCTTCGAAAATGCACTGTTTGAAGGCTTTTGTGTAGCCCTCATAGAGGATACCCTTGCTGTCGCTTTGCAGCGCTATTTCCATAGCTGAAACTGTTGAATACTACTTTTGCAGGCAAAGAACAAAAAGAAGAAGAAACGGAGACACATTACAAAAGAATTTTATGGCATATTCTGGAGACCGTATTGTAACCGAAATAAAAGGTGTGATCGGATAGGACAAAACCCACCCCGCGCAATGGTTTGGTTATAATGGGAGGAAAGAGACAGGAAGATGAGTTTTAGGGAGTGGTTTCTTCTCCTTCTTCTTCTTCTTCTTCTCCTCTTGTGGTGAGGAGAAGAACAATCAATTTCGAATTGTGTTTGTTGTGTAATGGCAGGCGTGGCAAGAGACCTTTCCCCTCTGCCCTTAACTTCGATTAATCAACCATATCACTTCAATTATACTATGCTATGCATCAAGAAAAGAACAATAGTGAAATCAGTGATGGAATGTTGTACAGGTCTAGGGCATTGAGAAAGTTCTGAGGAGGCAAAAATGATTGAATTGAAACGGATGGATGGAATGAACGCATTTGAAATGCATTGATTCTTTCACACTTGCAGTTAGACCGAAGAAGTTTGACAGGCAACTCGCGCACTAACTCAAGAAAACCAAAAGGAGGTGTGGTCGTAACGAACGGGGGAAACGCCTACTCGAAATTTATTTGAAATTCCGCGCAAAGACGATGAGTCACACGTTGAATTGAAGTGATCAGAGATGAGAACCCTATCCCCCATCCCCCATCCCCCCTCCCTTTTTTTGATAGAGTCTATCATTCATTCACTTGACGGAGATGTCAGAAGAAAATGAAAACAAAGGACATATATATTTTGCCGCATTTCTTAACTATCAGAAGCGTGGCGGAACCGAAACGCAAAAACTTGAGGAAAAATGAATGTGAATGCAGGAAGAGGTAGAAGTGTAAGGACAAACAAATCAGTAGGGAAAAGAGGTTGGTAAGAGGAAGAGGAAGAGAAAAAGCATCCCCCCGTGGAGAAGGAGGTGAAAATGTTTTATTTGGGCGGAGGACGGTGCGCAGGCCGCCTCTGGGCTAAGTGCGTAGGCCTTCCGAGTGGAGCAAACATGAAACAACTCTCGCCCGCTCACAGTTTTCTCTGTTTTCTGGTAGGCGCCTCTGCCAATCAGCCAACAAGCCTAAAGAGCATTGGCACGGCAGAGACTGAGTGTGTACCCCACCACGCGCGGATTATCTTTTTCTAACATGCGTTGCGTTGCACACTTTTCTGTCCCTTTGAAACTTTCCGGTGTACACCAACGATTGGCAGTAGGGACAGAAAAGTATGTACTAATCGGGGGGAGAATGAAGTGCCCTAATTGGAAACTGGTTGCGTCTGAAACTAAACTTCCGGTCATATGTACACAGTACGTTTTAAACTGAACAGTAGAAGGCAAAGAAGAAGAAGAAGAAGGAGAACATCAAAAAAAAAAATGTATCACTCGTAGATCAGTGAACAAAAGTGACACCGGAAACCGAAAAACAAAGTAATTCTACGCACGAACATCAGAACTTTGAAAGAATACGAAAATCTCGGGGGCTAGCATTCAGAATAGATTTTATTTGAAACCGAGGTCGCCACAGTCTGATGCGTTTTGAAGACGTTGAGTTAATGATTAAACGAGAGAACCAGTCTTTTCGATGAGGGCCAGAGGGATGTCGTGAAAAAACAAAACACAAACGATTTGCGTACGTCTCTCTGATGGCCGACGGCGGCGAGACCTTTTTTTGCTGAAAGAAAAGGCGACGCCGACAAGGCTGCCGCCGCGAAAAACATTTTTTTTGTTTGTTTCGTGATAAGCGGCTTTTGATGTACATCTATGTATCATATCGTCGTTTATTTATTAGCTGTTGCGCGGAAAATTTATGAGGTTGCATGGAGATATAATTGATACGAATGGGGCTGAGAAGACACTCCGATCGAGGTTTGTTGGAGGGATAAATATGATGATTAGTTTCGGTCTAGAGAAAACATCTCAGATTGATTGGCGCAGGGGTTTCCGGCAGTTTCTGAAACAAACACGAATGTACATATGTACTTTTCAGACCCCACTTGGTCCCACTTACAGGGTATCTGTTAAAATTGAAATATCGGAGAAGATTAAAGTGATCGTTACACAGCAACTTGACTAGTTTCCCCTGTCTATCGATCATCACTTTTGCGAAGGTCTTAACATCTTGTGGACGCCAAAGATAGAGGTACAATTGTTGCATAGATGCATAGGGTTCCGGAAGATCTTCATGGGAGAAATTTAGTGCTCCCATGACTCTTGAGTAATTGACAGAAGGGAATATGTAGTTGGTTGTTTTCTGTAAAAGCTTTTTCACATGTCAAACTGGCCCTCCCACACCTTACCATTCGATGTGAATAGACAAAGTCTTGATACTTGTGCTTCCATTGATAGTACACCTGAAATTATGCATTTTTTCTTGACTCGAAATGACAGAAACTATGAGAACTCACCCCATGCATGAGTGGTCTCACCCAACATAATCGTCCTCTGATATTAGCCGGCACTTCTCCGATATTGTGGCTTTTTACTTCTTCATTTAAGCGTGGTTGCTTACTCATGCATCTTTTGATAAAGAGCGAGAGAAGGAAGATAAACTCGAAGCGGTTCATGCCAACATCCACGTGGAACTGGAGCATGTTTTGCACGATTTCTTCATTCGAAGCCAACGACAAATCCTTCCATTGGCGCCATGTGAGACATTGAAAGAAGTTTTCAAGCCAACAGGGAAGGAAAGTCTCTGTGTCCTCTTTGGTGATGCGCTTGTCCACACTTGCAATTTCCTCGAGCGGTGGCAGGTGAACAACTGCAATTCTGCGCAGTCTGGCTCGCAATCGTTCGTAGTACATGTCCTGCCGGTCTCTTCTCATGTCCAAGTCCTCTATAGCCTTGTCCAATCGAAGTTGGCGTGATATGTTTTCTGCGAGGTACGATTGCTTCAAATGGAACTCCCATTTCCGACGGAACTCGTGGGCCACTGCAGGAGTGTGTTGCAACTTGACAATATTGTCATATGCAAGTTTGTACAACCGATCAACAGCTTCTCTCGCGTGAATTCGGTCATCATGCACCAGGTAACACGTCTCCAGGGCCACCTGACACATCAACTTCTTGTTCACCATGTCGGGCAGTTTGGACACTTGGGGGCTGTGTGGTATACGAATGAGCAGATCACGAAGAACTCGAGGCGTTTCTTGCGGTTTTCTCTGACGTTGTGGCACAACATGAACATCAGCGATTCGCCGGATCTTTGCAATTCGCCGGATCTTCGCAGGAGCAACGTGGGGAATCTTTTGAGGAAAGATTCCGAGTGCTTTCTGAAAAACAGCATTGGGGATATTCTGAAGAGAAATTCCAGGGATCTTTTGCGGAACGACTCCGGGGGTCTTCCGAATCAAAATACGGCGTACCTTCTGAGCAGTAACAGCAGAGATCTTCGGAGGAAAAACAGCAATGATGAGCAGATCGTCTGGGTCGTCTAGAACTTGCGGTTCAGGAACTGCCGGTTCAGAACCTGTCGGCCTATTTGACGGTGTTCCATTTCCCTCTTTCTCTTGCGAGGAAGGATGACCCGATTTCTCGGGGTCCGCATTGAAGTCGTCGAGAAATGGGATCTTGCACGGGGACACTTGCTGCATAAAGAACTCGACGTCAATCAAATCCTCGTCATCTGACAGCGACTCGGATTTGATTTCAACCTTTGATCTTTCCTGCGGTGGAACAGCCTGCTTCTCGTCCATCATTTGTGTCCAACTGCTTCTAAAAACAAAGCTCTAAAAGTACATAGATAATTTTAAACGAGAGTTATGAGTCACTAGTATAAGTCTAGTCAGAAAAGTCACGAGGAGAAGAGGTACAACCCTATGATTAAAATTGGAGTGGAAATGGGCAAGAGCACGTCACGAGATAAGCCCACGTTACGCTGCTTTCTCTCTCCTACAAGGATCTCAAGGTACTACCAATTTCTGATATCTGGGAAGACAAGAAAATGAGGGCAAATTGATGAAGAAGCATAACGTGGGAGATCAAACTCTTTTCAAACTTGAGAAGAAAGCCCTTTCAGACCACAAGCCACAGCACTCAACCAATTTATCGGAATGATGACAAACAAAAGTTCGCGGAAATATCAAAACACGCACTTACCTCAAACGGGGTGGCACCGGAATTAGAAGACGATGAAAGCAAGCAACTCGCGACGGGGCGGATTAGCAGAGCACACTACGGATGAACTGAAAAATGTTGATGTGACGGCCGAGTGTCGTTGTGTAGTCAAGGGCAACACTCAAGAGGGCCACAATCAGAACAGAACAAAGATGGGAGGAAATGAGAAATAATAGATGGAGTCAGTACTCAACGAAATGGAAACGAATAAGCTGATAAGCGTAGGCTCTGATTTGTATATTCTCAATGAGAACGCGGGCGGACCAAAGACGTGGGAGTACGGCGATTCATTATAATTAGTCTCTAAGGTCTTTCATTAGGTCGGTCGGAATCTCCTTCTTATTTGGATATTGAGGAGGTAAATAGAATAAATCCTATTCTAAACGGAATGAGGGAATTTCACGGGGTCTGGATCTTTTGGAAACATACACATACGCTAAGAAATTACCTAGCGTAAACTGAAAATGAAGAAAGTCAAAATTCTGATCCCACCAGACTTCCCGGTCCGGGCAATCAAAAATTTACAGGCCTTGTCCTGCCCACAAACACAGGGAGTTAGTCCTCACGTGAGGAAATGCTCAAAAAAGACGGCGTACAAGTGTTGGTCAATTCGTGAAACCGCGTCGTGCATCTTTTCTGCTATACACATCGTATTTCGGCCTCCACCTCCTTTTCTTACATGTTTCAGATGCACGAAGAAAGTCCAAACAAAATGAAGAGATTGTGTGCCTGCGAGAACCCGAGAAATGACACACGACGTCATGAGCGGAAGGAGATACTTTCATATAACGTTTTGATCACTAAATTGTACATTTTCATACATTGAATCATCACATCAAGCGGAAAGAAAGAGAAGTGAGCAAAAATTGGAATAGATTCTAATAAATTAAAAGAGAAATCTGATTGGAAAAGATTGGAAACCCGTCAACAAATGAATCCTGTTTAAGAACACAGTAAGTACAACGAAAGCTGTGAAAACACAAAAAAGATCGACACAAATGATGGAACGAATCGCTACGAAACGAGATTTGATACATTTACAAGATATGAGCTAAAACAATACTGAAAAGAATGGTGAAGAATGAAAGTGACAGAGCTGGGATTGGAGCAGAATTGCAAAAGTCTCTTTCCCGACAGACACACATCGATTCGGCCCCTCCTTCTTCCAACGGCCTCAGCGTACACTTTCCAATCTGAAAATCAAAACATTTGCGGTCAAAAGAAAGCGGACGCCTTACTTCTGTCTGTGCATCCGCCGCGTTCAAGCATCCTTTTTTGACGATTCCACGGCGCGTTGAGTCATCTGAAAACAACATTGTAAACTTATCAAAAAATTGTAAAAGAACATACCTGGAGTGTGCATTTTGTAGCAGTATTTGCCTAGACATTCACTGCTCGAAGATCCAATTTCCTTGTAACATCGGACAAGACCATCTGAAAACAAGCAGAGTTTTGTGAATCGGTCTTGTAATTCTTCTTCTCGAACGGTATCTTCGATCGATTATTACATTTCAAAACATGGTTTTTTAGTCAAATTGTTGTTCCAAAATCGTGACTTCTTGTAACTTTGAGTTTGAAAGTAAAGTCTTCCGGCTTTTGCTTGCTAATTTCAATTAAAAAAAAGTCATTTTCCTAGTACATAAAAATGGGAAAAATCTATAATCTTTTCCACAAAATTTTCAAACATTCTGAACCCGGGTCAGGTCGATTGTCACCAAGTCTGTTTACGGCCCGGTTCTACACCCCTAAGGTTTTTTGCTTGTCCCCATCCTTTTCTAAGACTCTTTGTACAAGAAAATTTCGAAATGTTCCGTAAACTCTGTAAATCTTGACAGAACGGGTGATTCGTCTTTGCTTTGCCCCCGCCGGCACTGCGGGTGGTATTTTCGCACGGATTTCGCAATATTACGTAGGCGGATGGTACGGTTCTGGCTCCTTTTCTCGAATCGAACAAACACAACTCACTGTTCCGCTGTCTTGTCTGTGCCGCGACGATTTCGGCGATCGTGAGCACCAGTAGACACTTCAATAATGAACCCATTGTTGTTGTTGTGAACACAAACCGAATAGGATCTGCAAAAACGCCTAATTGGGGTGGAAAACGTAAAATTAGTGGGAGAGGAAGGAAAAGTGGAAGTAAATGAATAACTGATAAGAATGGCAAACAAAATCATAGGTTTTATCAAGAAAGATGGGAGGAAAATGTGGAAAAATAATGGAGATGTAGAGAAAAGAAAGAGGTTGGTACTAACCCGCAATTGATTTAATTATTGAAGAGACAAATGGAATTTAGATGGGAATGGAAATAGAGTATTGAGAAATTGAAAGCAAACGAGTATCAAAGATAAGAATTTGAAGAATTTGACCCAGTTTTGCCTCGGAAGGAAGAGGAATGAGAAACTCAGAAAAAAAAGAGAGAAAGATGGGTGTCTCTTTTTTTCTTCCTCATTTTTTCTCGACGCAAGTGGTGTTTTGTCTTTTGACTCGACACAAAAACGATTCCATTTTCAATTACCACTCCAGGGTCATTCAACAACGAGGCGAGAAGACGTGGCAAAGCAGGCTGACCTGTACCTCTGTGTTTGCATCCGAGGTAGGGCAAATGCTAAGACTTATTAGATTGACCGCGGACGGACGGGAATGTGTGTTTGTTCTGAGAGTGACACAAGGAGGAGGGTGCAAGAAAGACGAAACTGATGGGAAGCACACACGCCTCCAATTTTTCAAAGAGTTCGAAGGTAGCCTTGAAAAATCTTGAAAAACGGGCTTGTATTGTCGGACTGAATCGAATTGCAAAGAAAAGTATCGAGGGGAATGAGTCATATTAATATGTTTGTCCATAATGGCAGAAATGACCCTGTCCGGCGGGAGAGCGCAGAAGTGAAGTGGAATCGGAGAACTGTCAGAGAAGTGGGCAAAAAGATGAAGAGGGAACGGATTACAATTCAATTCGTTTTCGTTTGCAACTTCTGCGTACTCCTGTTACTGCATAGTTGTGATTTTTCGGCTCGGTAGAAAAGGCCGGCGCGCGAATGTGTCAACTGTCAAAGAAGCAGTGACAATTATGTCTCCCCCGTCAGCCAGCGCAAAACCTTGACAACGGCAGTATACAAAGTTATCGAGCCACCCCTTTCCTTATCAAATAACGTCATTCTTCTGCATTTTCCAACCGATAACGTCATGGATCAGAGAGTATGCGGCGAGAAGTAGAGAGGGAGAGAGAAAAAGAGAAAAAAAGTTTGCACAACATTGTTCTCATCTGGCATGTGTCTCGCTTGAAACTTGCACATAGGAAAAGCGGAAGAGATCGAGGAAGAGGGTGAAAAACGGATATTTTGATGAATCGGCCTCTCCCCTTCGGCCCTGCACGCTTGTTTGTGAGTGGCAACCGACTAGTAGACTAATACTTTGCGATTGTCAACCAGTGAAACTTGTTTTTTTTTGTTGCGGAAACTAACCAAGCGCTTTTTTTCGCAGAATATGCACGCCATTTACTAATCCTCGATTGCAAAAAGAATCCGACTTGAAAAAGTGTCTCTGTGTATTCTCTTAGCAACTTAAAGGACCAGGGAACCCAAAAATTTTTTTATGTTTTTGTGAAATGTTTTTGTGACTGTTTGAATTGTCTCTTGTTGCCTCATACATTGGTGAAATGCTGCCTCTCAAAAATGCCAATGAACGAAACGGCATGCAGTTGAAGTTGTGGCCGTGGCCTAGCGCCAATGGCCGAAAAATATATAAAAATATATGCGCTTCTCGGCCATTTTATTTTTTCCGCTTTTTTACCGGTTTTTTTCCAAAAATTCACGGTTTCTCCCATTTTGGCACTTCATATCGACTGAATGAAAACAATTTTTTAGCAGTGAAAAAATAAGTAAGTGCCGAACAAATGTCAATCAACTGAAAAATGGGAGAAACCGTTAATTTTTGGAAAAAAAACCGGTAAAGAAGCGGAAAAAATAAAATGGCCGAGAAGCGCATATATTTTTATATATTTTTCGGCCATTGGCGCTAGGCCACGGCCACAACTTCAACTGCATGCCGTTTCGTTCATTGGCATTTTTGAGAGGCAGCATTTCACCAATGTATGAGGCAACAAGAGACAATTCAAACAGTCACAAAAACATTTCACAAAAACATAAAAAAATTTTTGGGTTCCCTGGTCCTTTAAAGAAGAACAAATTAAGCGTTGAGGCCAGCATCCGGCTGATGATCGGGATGAGCGGCAATAAAAGCGGGAATCTGGGCGAGAGTCGCATTGATACGAGTGACGGTCGGGTACGGAGACAGATCGAGGTTGAATCTGAAAGGCAACGACATTTGATTGCGATCGGAAGACGGTTATTTGATGATTCGAATCTGGTCGCGCAATCCTCGTGTTTGTCGAATGACTAATACGTTTTGAATGGGTTGCCACAACACGTTGAGTGGATGTTTTCAATTGAAATTTGAAATTTACTCTTGTTTCGCTTGAATCACCCCGTTTTTGTGAAGATAAATATGTATTCTCACCTGGCAGCAGAATAGAGAACCGACGGAATGACGAGATCCGCAATAGTGACGTCATCACCGACGGCGTACTTTCCGGAAGATTCCTTCAGAAGAACCTCAAGAGCGGTGAGGCCGTCAACGACGAACTGCTTGGCGAACTGCAAACAAAGAGATCGTTCAGATTCAGTTTCAAATTCCCAATTACCTGTGCGCCCAATCCCGCTTCCTTTTTGTTGAGAGTTTGCAGAACTTTCAAGTTGTGAAGTGGCTGGATCCCAGATGTCACCTGTAAAAAAGCGATGAAACCAGTAAAATAAAAAGAAATCAAACTCACATGAAGTGCAATAGCTCTCGCTTGAGCTCTCTTCACTGTATCTTTTGGAAGAAGAGCTGGTTCCGGGCAGACTTCGTCAAGATATTCGATTATAGCCAAACTTTCATTGATTGTCTGACCATTGACGACAAAAGATGGCACTTTTGCGGCTGGGTTGATGGATTTTAGACTGTTCTGGAAAAAAAAACGCTTTTAAACGGACGGTGCAAAGAAAAAGTTGAACCTTGGCCTCTTCCGACAGCAAATCAACGGTCTTGTACTCGTAGTCGATCTTTTTCAGAGCCAATGCTGAAAAAAGAGCTTGTGAAAAGAAAAAAAACTTTATTTACCCACCAATACGCACTCTCCACGCGCAAGACGATCTCCAATACGAGTAAAGAACGGGTTTTTGCTCAGCCATGTCTGAATACAAAAACCAGGAATTATGAAAGAAAGAATCGAGCAGAGAAAAAGAGACAGGTCACAAAAATGATGATAAGATTCTATCGATATAAACAGTGCATGCAAATGGTTTTTGGTGTCCTTGATTATAGACGCAGACTGCCAATGTATGATATCTCTGTCTACGTCGTCAGCCACGTGACCTTGGCTGTGGTAATAGAGGAAATAATTGTCGGATTGACGGGAAAATGAATGAAAAATTTTACTGTACGCATGAAGTTAGAAGAGCATGGCATGATTTTGTCATTTATACGAGTTTCAGTCTGAATATGGGCAGACCGTTCCCATCGAGGTTTCCAAATGCTGAAACTTTTGTTTTGTCTGCTCAAAACAATTTCCGAGAAATGCGATTGACCGATCTATCTTCCTCTGAACACTTTTTACCATCTCTTGCCGAGGTACGCAACGGACCATCATCTCCGGGCAACGCGCAGGTCCGGTCGGCCACCGTCTCTCTCTCTCTCTGCGCACTCCTTATCCCGCACTCTCTCGCTCCACGACACAAAACGACACTCCGGCAGTACGCGCGCACACACAGGTATTTCCAGAACGTTTTGCGTGTTTGTGATCGACCAGGAAGGCGCGGAACAATCAGTCGACGTGTTTGTCTCGGACAGACTAATAGTCATTCGAGTCGTTTGCCGTCGGCGTGGACGATCGGCCAAAGCTTCCACTGCAACATGCTTGAGAGCCAACCCAAAGGATCGTCGGTCAAAGCAGAATGTTAAGAGGGTAAGCACCGCATTGATTCAAGACTCTTAATGCAATCTCTATTTCAGATGGGCCATCTGATCCGGCACCTCCTCTTCTTTTGCCCGACTTTGCGCTCCACACGCACTTCCGAACCATCCGTACCTTAGAACCATCCTCGGGCGCTATATCATTGAGTGGCCGAACCATGTCGGATGATGAAAGGGTAAGAACCCGAATTATGAAAAAGTCTTCCATATAATATCTGTTTTAGATAGTACCACCTCATTCGGCATCTCCTCCATCCCCTCTGCACGGACCACTCGACCCGGGATGGAGATCCCCGCTGCAGTGGTCAACAGAGGCCCGGCAACCATCGTGCCGAGGCCCATTAGCATCTCAATGAGTGGCCGGACGCTGGCGGTGTAGGAGCAGGCGAGCACTTCAATACTGAAAAACTTGTCAATGAAACTATTTTTCCAGACGGTGCTACCTCATCCGGCACCTCCTCCATCCGCTCGGCACGGACCACTCGACCCGGGATGGAGATCCCCGCTGCAGTGATCAACAGAGGCCCGGCAACCATCGTGCCATTAGCATCTCAATGAGTGGCCGGACGCTGGCGGAGTAGGAGCAGGTGAGCACTTCAATACTGAAAAACTCGTCAATGAAACTATATTTCCAGACGGTGCTACCTCATTCGGCACCTCCTCCATCCGCTCGGCACGGACCACTCGACCCGGGATGGAGATGGCTGCTGCAGTGATCAACAAAGGCCCGGCAACCATCGTGCCGGGGCCCATTGGCCCTCTTGACGGGTGGTCGGCCAATTAAGAGAAGATGAGCACTTCAATACTGAAATACTCTTCAATGAAACTATATTTCGAGACGGTGCGACGTCATCCGGCACATCCTCACCCACTGCCATCCCCACTCCGTCCTCCAAACAGGAACCACACGAGCCCAGAGAATAGACTAGCCAAAAGTGGAGACTAGCTTCCAGATTGTGCTAGCTGATCCAGCTCGCTCTCGCCTACCTCCACTCACCACCACAAGGAAGGATCCAGGAGCAATACGATATGGTGGCCGGGTCAAGCCCGATGTAAAGAGGGTAAAAACCTTAGTGATTCCGTGCGTCACAACAAGGGTGATGTGTATTGAAGACGGTGCTACCTTATCCGGCACTTTCTCACCTACTGCTTCACATCCACACTTTATCCTCCCAACACGGACCACCCGAACCCGGAGAATAACGGAAGCAACTCTGGCTCCAAGAGCCCCATTCTTGCTTATAAAGCACCTTGTTTGCTTTCAAAGCTTGTATTATTCAATTATTCGTCTCCCACTCACTTTCTTCTGTATCATCCTATTTTCTTGTTATTTGTTACCTTGTTACATATCCTGTATTTGTTTAAACTAACGTCCGTACTCACTTTCATTCACAGTTTCTATCTATATCTGGCTTCATACTAATTCTAATTTTTGTCAATAAGCTGTGCCTCGATTATGTCCCCTCTTTTTGAAGCAGTTTCAGCTTTGAGCTGTTTTGTCATAGCTCCATTTGCTTTGATGAGAACATAATTCCTTGTGAAGCAGTCACTCTGGTGTTTGCGGGAAACGAAATTGGCACTGGACAGGGAGAAAAGCTTTGAACACACCAACTCTCACCTCATCTTCCTGCATCATAACCAATGTTTTCGTGAATTTATGGACCTTGACCACGTGCAACTCAACTGCAAACGCTCAATTTCCATCTCAAAGTCTGTCAAAATAACTGACCGAAAAGGCAGCCATGGTTGCCTGATGAGAATTTGTCTCGTCAGGCATCCGTGGGCACCTTGTCGGTCGGTTTTGTCTTCAACGCGACACCATATGCAACTGAGGGATTACTGGACCGATTCTTCCATTCAGTGACCTCAAATTTTGCATCTGGTGATAAGCGGATCACTTTTCATTGACTTTTCAAAGTTTTTAACATAACCAACATCTCAGCTGACGTGTTCGACAATGTCAAACTGTGCTAATGTTGTTCTCAGCTCAGGGCCGCAAACAATGTTTTCCCCGTTTTTGAAAATTGTCCTTAAAAAATTCAGGACAATCTATCGGGTAATGAAAACGTGAGACCATTTCGAATACTGGTAAGGGCATCTAAAGAAAATTGTGTCAGTTGAAAAAGCTCATATTCCGGCGAGATGAATAATTATCTCCGTCTTGACAAAAACCAATAGTAAAAAATGTCCGGGTAGTCTCCAAAGTCGAATTGAAAAACTAGATCTGAAGATCCCCAGAATGTTGTTTTAATAATAACACATTTATTCTCGAGTTAAAAAAATGGTGGAGATTTTAAAAAATGGTGGAGATTTTAAAAAATGGTGGAGAGTTAAAAAAAATGGTGGATAGTAAAAAAAATGGTGGAGATTTTAAAAAATGGTGGAGAGTTAAAAAAATGGTGGAGATTTTAAAAAATGGTGGAGAGTTAAAAAAAATGGTGGAGATTTTAAAAAATGGTGGAGAGCTAAAAAAATGGTGGAGAGTTAAAAAAATGGTGGAGATTTTAAAAAAATGGTGGAGAGTTAAAAAAATGATGGAGAGTTAAAAAAATGGTGGATAGTAAAAAAATGGTGGAGATTTTTAAAAAAATGGTGGAGAGTTAAAAAAATGATGGAGAGTTAAAAAAATGATGGAGAGTTAAAAAAATGGTGGATAGTAAAAATGATGGAGATTTTTAAAAAAAATGGTGGAGAGTTAATAATAACACATTTATTCTCTTAATAATAACACATTTATTCTCTTCAGCCACCTAGGAATAAAATTACAACAAAAAAGAAAGAAGAGAAAAAAAGAGGGGGAATGTGGGTGGGGGAAGGAACAATGGCTTGACATGACCATTGGCCGGCAGTAGCCAGAGGTCAGTTAGAATACAAAAAAAGCTAGGGGGATCTTCTCGATGCGCGCCGCGAAGGCCTCAGAGGACAGTCTTTCGGGAAACAACTTGGCCACTCGGTTCCAAAGGGCAAGATGGGTATGTAAGAAAAGAGTCATGGGGTAGGCCAAGGGAGGATAGAAGGTACGGGTGACGGGGGAGACGCCGGGTTTGAGGAACATGCTTAGGGAGGGAAATGGTACTTGTGCGAGATTATGTTGTGGAATGTTCTGAGAATAAGAAGAACCCTTCTGTGGAGTATCGATTTTTGAATTAGATTGACTGAGACGGTCGCTATAGGAGGAGAACCGCATGTTACATCTTTGGAAGACTCTTCTACTGAAAAATCTAAGGGGAGACTCTAATTTGCTGGAGAGGGATGTCGATGAGGGATGGAAAAAGTTCACAGCCGTACTCGAGAATGGGTCTGACGTAAACGTTGAAAAGTTTAAAGTAGAGACTGGGGTTCGAGGAGCGAAAGGCTTTCAGAATTTGTTTGCATTTCAAGAGGGCGGTATTGCTAACTATTGTGATATGCTTATCGAATTTGAGCTTGTCGTCTATCCAGATGCCGAGGTCCTTAACGGAATCTTTTGATTCGATTTCGATGCCATTCAGGAGATATCTGGTTTTGGGATTTTTCTTTCCAAAGTGGAGAACTGCGGATTTATTTTCTGCTAGCTTTAGTTGCCAGGTTTCGCACCATGATGCGACAATGTTTGCACTTTCTTGAAGCGTTTTTGGGTTATTGGGTTATCTCCGAAAATTTTCAAGTCATCAGCGAACGCGGTGACATGGACGTCGGCGGGGAAAAGGGCTAGCAAATCATTAATGAAGACCAAGAATAGGAACGGCCCTGTGACCGTTCCTTGGGGAACGCCTGATAGTACTGGGAAGGAGATGTCGGAGATAAAATTATCGATTTTTACGGCAGATGAGCGACTTTCTAGAAATGAGGCGAACCAATCACATGTTTTAGTGTCAAGGCCGAAGTTCTTCAGTTTGCAGATGAGGAGATTGTGCGGGACACTGTCAAAAGCTTTCTTAAAATCAAAGAACAGGGCATCAGCAAACTTGTTTCTGTTCGCAGTTATTTGCTGGATTTTTGATATCGAATCAAGTAGTGCGAGTGTGCACGATCTGTTGTTCATAAATCCGTATTGGAATTTTGAGATTCTTTCTGAGAATTCAAGACGTATAGAGCTGAGCATCACTTTTTCAAAGAGTCTGGAGATCGGATGTGTCAGTGAGATCGGTCGGAAAGTGGAAGAATCTGTGAAGGATCCTTTTTTTATGAATTGGAATAACTGTGGAGGATTTGAGGAAGTTCAGGGAAGATTCCACTGTCGAAAGACTCGATGAATATCAGTGAAAGAGGGATTGTGATGGAGTCACGACAATTTTTTTAAGATAAAAGAAGTTTATGACGTCTCTAGAGTATCCTATTTTTCGGGTCGAGAGTATCGATTAGGCGGCTTATGTTTAATGGGGGAGAAGTCGAAGGCGATCGGATGGGGGTTTGGGGGGCTGGGAGGGCAGGGAAGGGATCGGAGGGCATGGTGAACGCCTTTGAGAAAAACGGAGGAGAATTCGGCGGCAATCAGAGAGGGTTCGGTTATAATGTCGCCAGAAATCAGTAGTTTTATTTGCGCGGAGCGCGTGGAGAGACGATTTTTGACAAATTGGAACAGTTTTCTGGGATTTTTGGCTCTGATTATGCTGTATTCTTGTCTGGCGAGACGTTTTTTGATGTTCTTAAGGTGGAGCCTGTGCTCGGATTTAGATTTTACAGCGAAATGGGAACGGCGCCTGAGTTTTCGACAGCGGGCTTGCACTGATTTACTCGTGAGAGGGCGTTTGGGGCGAAATGGAGGGGAAATGATGGAGATTTAAAAAAATGGTGGAGAGTTAAAAAAAATGGTGGAGATTTAAAAAAATGGTGGAGAGTTAAAAAAATGGTGGAGATTTTAAAAAATGGTGGAGAGTTAAAAAAAATGGTGGAGATTTTAAAAAAATGGTGGAGATTTTAGAAAATGGTGGAGAATTAAAAAAATGATGGAGAGTTAAAAAAATGGTGGATAGTAAAAAATGGTGGAGATTTGAAAAAAATGGTGGAGAGTTAAAAAAATGGTGGAGAGTTAAAAAAATGGTGGAGAGTTAAAAAAATGGTGAAGAGTTAAAAAATCGTGGAGAGTTAAAAAAATAGTGGAGAGTTAAAAAAATGGTGGAGAGTTAAAAAAATGGTGAAGAGTTAAAAAATCGTGGAGAGTTAAAAAAATGGTGGAGAGTTAAAAAAATGGTGGAGAGTTAAAAAATCGTGGAGAGTTAAAAAAATGATGGAGATTTTAAAAAATGGTGGAGAGTTAAAAAAATAGTGGAGATTTTAAAAAATGGTGGAGAGCTAAAAAAAATGGTGGAGAGTTAAAAAAATGGTGAAGATTTTAAAAAATGGTGGAGAGTTAGAAAAATGGGGGAGAGTTAAAAAAATGGTGGTGATTTTAAAAAATGATGGAGAGTTAAAAAAATGATGGAGATTTGAAAAAATGGTGGAGAGTTAGAAAAATGGTAGAGAGTTAAAAAAATGGTGGAGAGTTAAAAAATGGTGGAGAGTTAAAAAAAAATGGTTGAGAGTTAAAAAAATGGTGGAGATTTTAAAAAATGGTGGAAAGTTTTTGTCATTTTTATTTTTCGGTGTCATCTGAATCATCAAATGTCTCCTGAATCTTTTTGATATGTATTTAGATGAACGGAGCACATTTTGCTGATCATTTTTGCTCTTGGATGCTTCTCGATAGCTCCATCCGTTGTCGAGATATCACCGACACCACAGCGTCCAACGCCGCCCGTCGCCATTATATATACGTCCCATGGGTGATTGAGCCGCGTGGCCAGGGTGGTGTAGGCGGTTAAGCTTGTACTTAGCAATCCGAAGACCGCAGGTTCGAGCCCCGCCGAGTGCAAAGAAATTTGCCTCGGTTAGACACTGATCGTGACGACTTTCAGACCTGACTGAAGGACGTGGCGACTCCGGAAGTGTGTAAACGGTTCAAACCCAAAGAGAATCGGACGAGAGAAAGAAGGATTCTGGCCGGACGGTTGAGGAAAGAATTATAGAGTGAGTTTGAGAGAAAGAAAGCTCGATCCTGTGGTCTTCACACCGTAATACCTGAGTCACCCCTTTTTACAAGTATTGCATGCATGTTCAATGATGATAGGCAGCTCCTTGTGACGACATAGAATCTTGGTGTTTTTGTCATTTATTTGATGTACATCAAATCATTTTTTGGATAATTTTTTTCGGTGTCATCTAAATCCTCAAATGACTTCTGAATCTTTTTGATGTGTACTTAGATGAAAGGAGCACATGTTTCTGATCATTTTTGCTCTTGGATGCTTCTCGATAGCTCCGTCCGTTCTCGAGATATCACCGACACCACAGCGTCCAACGCCGCCCGTCGCCATTATATATACGTCCCATGGGTGATTGAGCCGCGTGGCCAGGGTGGTGTAGGCGGTTAAGCTTGTACTTAGCAATCCGAAGACCGCAGGTTCGAGCCCCGCCGAGTGCAAAGAAATTTGCCTCGGTTAGACACTGATCGTGACGACTTTCAGACCTGACTGAAGGACGTGGCGACTCCGGAAGTGTGTAAACGGTTCAAACCCAAAGAGAATCGGACGAGAGAAAGAAGGATTCTGGCCGGACGGTTGAGGAAAGAATTATAGAGTGAGTTTGAGAGAAAGAAAGCTCGATCCTGTGGTCTTCACACCGTAATACCTGAGTCACCCCTTTTTACAAGTATTGCATGTATGTTCAATGATGATAGGCAGCTCCTTGTGACGACATAGAATCTTGGTGTTTTTGTCATTTATTTGATGTACATCAAATCATTTTTTGGATAATTTTTTTCGGTGTCATCTAAATCCTCAAATGACTTCTGAATCTTTTTGATGTGTACTTAGATGAAAGGAGCACATGTTTCTGATCATTTTTGCTCTTGGATGCTTCTCGATAGCTCCATCCGTTGTCGAGATATCACCGACACCACAGCGTCCAACGCCGCCCGTCGCCATTATATATACGTCCCATGGGTGATTGAGCCGCGTGGCCAGGGTGGTGTAGGCGGTTAAGCTTGTACTTAGCAATCCGAAGACCGCAGGTTCGAGCCCCGCCGAGTGCAAAGAAATTTGCCTCGGTTAGACACTGATCGTGACGACTTTCAGACCTGACTGAAGGACGTGGCGACTCCGGAAGTGTGTAAACGGTTCAAACCCAAAGAGAATCGGACGAGAGAAAGAAGGATTCTGGCCGGACGGTTGAGGAAAGAATTATAGAGTGAGTTTGAGAGAAAGAAAGCTCGATCCTGTGGTCTTCACACCGTAATACCTGAGTCACCCCTTTTTACAAGTATTGCATGTATGTTCAATGATAATAGGCAGCTCCTTGTGACCACATACAATCTTCGTGTTTTTCTCATTCATTTGATACACATCAAGTCATATTTTTGTCATTTTTATTTTTCGGTGTCATCTGAATCATCAAATGTCTTCTGAATCTTTTTGATATGTATTTAGATGAACGGAGCACATTTTGCTGATCATTTTTGCTCTTGGATGCTTCTCGATAGCTCCATCCGTTGTCGAGATATCACCGACACCACAGCGTCCAACGCCGCCCGTCGCCATTATATATACGCCCCATGGGTGATTAAGCCGCGTGGCCAGGGTGGTGTAGGCGGTTAAGCTTGTACTTAGCAATCCGAAGACCGCAGGTTCGAGCCCCGCCGAGTGCAAAGAAATTTGCCTCGGTTAGACACTGATCGTGACGACTTTCAGACCTGGCCGAAGGACGTGGCGACTCCGGAAGTGTGTAAACGGTTCAAACCCAAAGAGAATCGGACGAGAGAAAGAAGGATTCTGGCCGGACGGTTGAGGAAAGAATTATAGAGTGAGTTTGAGAGAAAGAAAGCTCGATCCTGTGGTCTTCACACCGTAATACCTGAGTCACCCCTTTTTACAAGTATTGCATGCATGTTCAATGATAATAGGCAGCTCCTTGTGACCACATACAATCTTCGTGTTTTTCTCATTCATTTGATACACATCAAGTCATATTTTTGTCATTTTTATTTTTCGGTGTCATCTGAATCATCAAATGTCTTCTGAATCTTTTTGATATGTATTTAGATAAACGGAGCACCTTTTAAAAAATCATTTTTGTTCTTGGATGCTTCTCGATAGCTCCATCCGTCGAGATATCACACTATTGTGCATATGGTGCACACTAGTCCCCATATACATGCTTACGTAAAAATCTTTCCCTATGTCCCTCATTGCTCGAGTCTTACGGAGAATCAGTTTTATAATTATGTCCAGGTGTCTATTTGTTGACTATTAATGTGCTTACTCTCCCGTTTATTCACAGTTTCTAACGTTTTAAATATCACCCAAAATAAACTGTGCCTCAATTAAGTTTCCGCTTTGAGCTGCTTCGTCATAGCTTCACGTGCTCCGATGAGCACGTAAATTCCGAATTTACGACGATGTCATAGAGATGTCAGTTTCACAAAAACAAAAATCTCGCTAGGCTGGTCGAACAGGCGATTTCAGGCACCTGTTTTTCAGGCGTCTGTTTCCTGAAAAGCAGGCACCTGTTCGACCAGCTTACGACGCGCATAGAAACGATTCTCTCTTATATATTGTATTTTACTTGACGTATGACTATTGCCGGCCAATGGTCATTTTAGTCATTATTCCCTCCTCCACCCACTATCTATATTTTATATGTTTCCCTCTCTTCTTCTGGAAATTTTTCTGGTGGTCGATGTGAATAAATGAGTTATTATTAAAAATATCACGTGTTTCATTTTATATTCTATTCGAAACATTTGAAGAAGCAACTACTGACATCACAAGAGCATTGGGAATCTTAGTGACAACTGAGGTGGAAAATTACTCCGAAACCGGGATAAAAAAAGAAAAAAGAGATCAAGTCGCAAAATTATTTGTTTGAATTGGAATTTTCACATGACGATGCACACTTTAGAATCTTCCACTTTTCCGTTCTTTTTCCCACTCTTCTTCTCATTCACCGGCTCAAACAGCACACCATCCGACGATGACTTTTCCGAGGATTTCGATCGCAGAATGCTGCAAAAAACGATGTTGGATACTCGCGGAAGTAAAAATAAAACAACTGCCTTGTCGTGTTTGAAGTACTTGTTTGTTTTTGCCAATTTAGTCAACAATGTTCTCTCCCGAGGTCTCTAAGACCATCAGCTCAGACAGTATAAAGTAAATATAAAGAGTTGAATTCAAAAGATGAGAATATGGAACATTCTCCCGCACGGACTCTGACTCACTTTGTGATAATGGACTTTCTTCGGTTTCTTATAGGGGCCGATTTGTTGATTGAAATAATCATCTGAGTCAGAACCTTGTGCGCATCCGCTGCCTTGCTCGAGTTTATTTGCAGGTAAGAGCACCGAGGCCCAAGCTCTTGGGACAGTTTTTCACCCTGAAACCTTTATGTTTATGTCTTGGACAGTTTGCAACTTTTGTATGTATGTGTATTCACCTGGTCAGTAACTGACGCCAGATTATCATCCAGCCCTTTGCGAATTTGTTCCATTGAATAGTGTCTTTTCATACCGTCGCGGTCATCTGACTCATAACCTGAATGTGATGCATTCTCGTGGAACACGTGACTCAGAACGTCTTCTTCGTTACCTTCCGATGCCGAACTCGTGTTTGCCGACGCGGTCTCCTCCAGAACAACTTCATCGCAATCGCAAACAAGAAGGATTGGGAGCTGAAATTGCCTTTTTTGTTCTTTCCTTATTACGTCCATAGATTCTGTGATTCTGTGCCGTTTTCATAGATATAGAGTTACGAAACCCACCTTGGTTAGTTTCATATTTCCCCCGCGTTTCATATCAAGTTACAAAAAACGAAACACCTAAAAAAGTGTTGCCATGTCCTACATGTTTGCACTTCCCTCTAATTTGTCAAAAACTATGATGATCAGTTGTCCGATCCAATTTTGTTGGAAATTGAAGTATGCGGAAAGAGATTGTGTTTGCTCAAAGAGCAACCCGTTCAAACTGGCAAACTTTGTCGGGCAAATAAAGAGGAAAAAGGGCTCTCGCTGTTACTATTCTCGAGACCTTCCGAGTGACTACACAGCTGTCAACTGTGTCCCGTGTGAAAAAAGGAGTTGTTGGAAGTCTCACGATCCCGTGTTTCCTGTATGTATGTCCAGTCATGTGCTCTATGGGAAACGAAAATGGAAAAGCAGACAAACATAATCCTTTAATTTCCGCTCGTTGCCAAGTGTAAATGAGAGAAGCCCTACTCACGTTTTTTCTCGTTTGGAGTGGTTGAACTAATGGTTGAAGGGCTTGGAGAGAATCGATGGACATGGATGAATAGTAGAGGATCACATAGTCCGCGTTTCGAAGAGCCATTTCACGTCCGCCGGTTCTGGCCTGAAAACTGAAGCTGTGGAAAGCAAAAACCGTACAAGTTTTGTCCCCCTCTACTCCTACTTGACTGTTCAGTTATCACAAGGATTCCGCTGCTGATCAGTCGGAAATCCAGTTGAACCGGAAGCAGTGTTCCTTGTCTTTGCGGCACATCTTGCCGACCTCCCAAGTGTTTCTCACATTACCTCGCCCTCCTCTTTTGTTTAACAGAAAAGAAAACTGGCTCTTCTCACTCACAAAACAACACAACTTTCACTCAAATAAACACTTTTTTGAGAGAGAAAGGTGAAAACGATATTTTGAGGACTCGGTAGTCATAGATCACTAACCAATCCAGGATCGGTGACTTCGACAATGTTTTCGGAACCGAGGTGCTCGATGGTCAGGTAGTGTACGTCTTGATAGTGAACGTGTCGTTCGTATTTTGTGGCTGCATCACAAAGTTGTTTGAACTGAAATGTTGCATAAGAGTTTGTGATCGAAACATTGAATGATGAGAATGCGTGGGGAAAAGATTTGCATCAATTGAACTCGGCTACTGACTGACTGATCAACAGTTTTATAGTCTGTATGGAGTTTCAGACGACTATTGTTAGACCCACAACTCACAAAAGTCGCTTTTTGAGCAGTTCCAAGGATAACAGCGCTTCTCTCACTTTTAGCTTCCTCTTTTTGATTGGTCATGTCGCTGATCTGAAATGAACAACAGTTTTGAGAACCGAAACGTGAAGACAAAAATCTTGGGCGCAAACATCCGAAACAAGAGATTGTCTGAACATCACTGAGGGCGACGCGCAAAAAATGCGGGCAGAGTGCGGGGTCGCCAGGAAGAAGGATCTGGCTCCGCCCACTTTTCGCGTCCCTTCTCTTTCTTTCCTTTTTTTTCACGTGTGTGTCTTTTTCATTCTCCGGGAGAAACTTGGTTAGTGAAGTTGCAAACGTAATGGAAATAGAAACAAAAGTTTGGTTATGCTTTAGGCTACTTAATTCGAAAAACATTGACCAGTGGTAGGTTCTTGCATCGAGATATGTAACTTTTCAGTTAAATTTAGAAAAAAATTTGACAAGATTATAGTATTAACCGCATGGTTTATGTAGTGTCGAAGACAGATAAGCAACATGGTCACTGTGAACTTTTATGGGAACTTTTATTGCAAAATGACGGTAACAGAAGATGAAACGTCACCTTGTTGTCTAGAGATAGTTCTGGTCACTTATAAGGTTTCCACAAATCTTTTCGTCCGCCCCGACCTTATTCCAACAAAAAACACTGAATAAGGTGGCATGTTTAAGCGGATTTGTGATCGGATTCGGGTGCGATGAAGAAAGAAAATCGTGGGAGCGAGTGGGCAGTTGTGTTGTTTTCCTCGCAGAAAACAACTGTCTCGCAAAGGTCAACAATGGAAAACTGTCCAAATTCCAGGTGTGTTTGTGTGGTAATGTGGAAATCGAATCGAATCAAATCAAATACGTTTTCACATGTCTTCCTCAAATATTGGGTCTTTTAATGTATTTGAATACCGTGTTTTGTGGGTTGTGCTGGTGATTTTTGGAATTGCCTCTAACTGATATAAAACAGTGTGTGTGTGTTTGTGTGTGATTATGAAATGGGCACGGAAAGAACTCGAAAAGAGTCACAAAGCACAGGTTGAGGGTCATAACTGATGTTGACCTACGCTCGAGAAGACCGACTAACTTTGAGCAAGTATCAATTTTTGGCTGGGGTTTGTCAAGACAGAAATGTCTTTGAAATATGTGTCCTATTGACCCTATTCAGCCCCGAAAACCAAAACCAACCTCTGTTATATCATTCGCTTCCAATTCGTCAAACGGCGCCATTTTTATTGTATTCAGTTCTCTTCTTTTTCTTTTTTTGATCAGAATCTGAAAAGATTCTAACGATATTTCAGTCATCACGTGGTTGGTTGAGAATTGGGGCGAAAAGACGAAGGTTACATAACATAACAAATGATGACGAAGTTACATTGTAGCCGTGAAAGTGAAACTTTTGTGACCGCCGTGTGTGCGCAAAAAATGTGTCTTTGTGATGTTTCCATAGTTTCGCCGAAGCAAAAAATGGAAACGTGCACTCATTTTTTATGCTCCAAGTTGTCTGGCTCGTCATAAAGACATAAAATCGAGGCACTGGTTGAGAAAGAAATGAGAATGGCAAGAAAAGGAGCGAAATAACAAATTACTGGTTGTGAGAATGAGAAAAACGAGCTGAGAAGCTGAGAAGTTTTTGAGAATGTGTAGAGCACGTGAGAGAAATTACCAGGGGAAGGGGTAAGAATGGACTGAAGGCTCACAGCGTCAGAAGTATGCGAACTTTTTGCAGTTCTTAGAATACGTACACATCCCGTGAGACTGAATAGTTCTCTATCAACGTTACACAACTTTCTCACCATTTGATAATGAAAAAAAAACGGAACTCGGGGCGTGCACATAATCTATGGAACCACCTGTTACCGGATGGAAAAAAGGGAAAACAACACACCTTTGGAGGTCTATTTTTGATTACGTCGACTTACTTGCAGCATACGTTTTACTTGAGACATAACTCACATCAGTTGCATTTTCGGAAATTTGAAAAAGAGAAACTTGATGAAAAAGTTGGAGGCAGCAGAGACACGACAAAAAGGGTGTTGCCGTGGACAGGTGATAAGGCCTAGCACACGTGCTCTAATGACCCGGTGCTATCATTCCAATTATGAAATTTTAGAGGAAGAAATAAATGTGGAACCAGAAATCAAACTATTACAGGTGCAAACGCTGAAACTAAACTGCATCCTGGGCTGGCAAATAGGCCGGCCGAGGATTTTCGGAGGCCTGGCTCACACTTCAACCAAATTTCAATACTTTGATTGGACCCAAACCTTGGAGGCTTTTTGGACTTGGATTGGACTTGGAATATCTTGGGTCCAAGTTTCAGACCGATCAGACCACTTGGTCCCGAGATATCTACCTTTTTGGCTTCAAATCAGTATACCTGGAGGCGAGACGATCCGATCGGTCTGAAACGTGGACCCAAGATACTTCAATCCAAGTCCAAGAAGCTTGCAAAGTTTGAACTCAATCAGATTATTGTAAGTGAGTCAACAGTGCCGGTTCCGGCAGGCTTTTACCCAGTCCTGATTGAATCCAAAAATAAAGTTATGACTTATGAACTTAAAAATGCAATTGTTTATTTAAACTGATTATCAATCCCCCGACGCCATAGTTTCCTCATTTAGAAAACAAATTCTACTTCGAAATTTTATAGAACTATGCTACAAACTGATGTGCTCCCCCTGTCAGAATCCAGAGAAAGTGCAAAGAATACTCGATTCTAGTATTGAAATCTGTCAATTCAACAAGTTCGCTGAAGTCGTGCTCAATCATCCGTGTCTTTAAGAATGGCTCAATTAGGGTCAGGCACAAAACAAATTGAAACACACTGCGGAGGGCCTTTTTCGCTCATCTTTTTGCTTCTATTTGTCGCTCGTCTATTCGCCGGTTCCTTCTTCCGAAACAGCCGTCGCGTCTTTGTTGAAGAGGGACATCGTCCAAAAGTGCTTTCCGTCCATCGTGTGCCCTTCTTCTCCTTTCTCATCCTCATGTTTTCGGAGGGTGGTAGAGAACTACAAAAAATAGGATTATGATGAGGAGTGTCGATTTCCTGCGTCCCTTTATTTCCGCCCATTCTTCTGTTCTGTTCCTCCTTTTTTGTAATGGTTTCATGCTTTTCAGTTTCCCCCATCTGACTTTAAAACTTTACAATAACAAGAACGATGATCGGTGTCAACCTTTGACGGACCGAATGGGCAACAAAGGGTCCGGAAGGCGAAGGGAAAGGACAGCAACTCATAGCCATATCAGTATTTATCGGTCCCCGGGGAACTCTTCCGATCCAGGAGCTGTCACAAAAACCAGATGACCGACCCGGCATACCTAAAGACTAGAGTCCCTCTTCAACTTGGAACTACATACTACTAAGTGTGGCTTTTTGCAAAGAACGCGTCCAATATTTGATTTTCGAGTTGGGTTTGGTGTCAAACCCCAAACCCATTTCTTTTGCAATTCTAACTCAAACTCAATTGAGTTCCGAGTGAAAAACTCATCAAAAAGTTGAGTGACCCCCGGAAACTTGTTGTTCGTCCGTTCGCTCATTATTACTTGCCAGTTGTAGCCTAATTTGTTGTTGACGAGAACAGAAAAAGGGTCTTTCCTGTCAGCTACAAGAAAAAGAAGCAAAAAAGGCAATTATCAAAGAAAACGAGAGCATAAGAGCACCTCGTCTGCAGGATTAAGGGTGTACCTCGAGTCTGAAAATCTTGCAGCTTTTCTCTTTTCTTTAGTCTTCTTTCATTCCTAGTCTAGTTTTCTAGTTCATTTTCCAATAACTATTAGCTATTAGGCCTCTAGTTTCCAAAGTATTCAGTCGTTCAGAGGAAACGCTACGTAGTAAGGGTCTACAGGATATGAGCGATTATTATGTCATAGTGAGAAGAATGCAACAGCAGTAATTCACCCCCTTTTCCCGTTTTCCTTCAATGATGAAAAGTATCCACGTCAAATTGTTCCTTTTTGCACATATTCGCTCATGTCAGTTTGAAGAGTGTAAAGTTGTTGTAGGTGAAAGTGATTTATGCGATTTATGGGTGTCCATGCTCGTTCTGCTCTTTTTTCGAACACTAGACCTTTTCAATCTGTCTTTCAAGTGCTTCTTTAAATTTTGAGCAGAGTTTGCCGAATTTCAGTTGAAATTCGATCCGGATCATTAAAATTCAAAGTTTATACTGCGATGAAGCGTCTCAAAAAGGCAATATACGGATTGTGTGACCTTAACGTGATTACTTAATCCTAACTCAATCCACGTCCTTTTACTAAATCTCATTTTCCAGCAAAGGCATGTATTTCCCTCCCAGCCACTTTTCATTAAAGCCGTTTCCTTCTATTGCCCTTTGTTTGCGCCAACAACACAAAAAGTTGCAATACTGTGGGGGGGGAAGATTCAATATTTGGCGGAAAGATTAATTTCGAACCGATTTCCGCCGACGCCAACAGCCATATTTCACCATTTCACACGCCTCCTCCACCCGTGCTCTGGTGCTCCAGCCTTTTCGTTTCCACCAGAAATAATTCCCCGTCTCGTTTACACATGACCCTTGCCGCTCTTTTGTCTTTGTTCCTCCAAACTACTACTAATCTCATAAGCGGAAAAGAAGAATGAAATTTGTTTGTATTCCATTCCGAAATACTAAATACAACTTGTTCTGTTCAACTACGCACGTTATTTTCGGGCGTGCTGGTCGTTGTACTAGCCATCAATTTTTGGCGTATGTATCTCACTTTTTTGTCTTTCAATGTAAAACGCGCTGAAGCCGGATTGATATATGCGAAGGCTACCTTCAGTTTCGTTCTGTCTTGCCGGTCCCAAAGGACGGGCTCCGCCGAAAGTCGTAAAATTCATAATGCGCTCTTCCTATCTCTTTCTCTCCGTGTTCTGCACGAAAAACTGCAAAGGAGAATCTGAAAGGGTCTTATGTTGAATTCTTAGGTTAGTTTAAAGATTGAATTACTAGTTTTGCAAGCAGGAAAGTGTCAATAAAAAAAACCTTTGTTTATCAGCTTTTCCGGCTTGTTGACCAACCTAAAGTGATCCAGAAAGCATCTATTTGCAAAAAAATCTACCTACGCACGAGCCGGGCTGAGCCATGATGAAAACTAATACTATCCGGCCCAACACGGCCCTGAGGCCGACCTGAGGCAACCTGAGGCAAAATTTGCATTTCTAACCGGTTTCACAGTTTTCGAGCAAATGTTTTGTTCTGTATCTATTCGAAAGAAAACAATTCAAACAAAAATCTGAAATCCTCCAGGGGCACGCCGGAAAATGACTATGCTGAAAAACTCAATTTTTAATGTCACACAACACTCTGGCTAATTCACTGTGGCATACATTTTGTGTCCATTCAATTTCTCAGCTAATTAGCAAGATTTTCCAAAATCAGAGATCACAGTCATTCTGTATTCCGTAGGTTTTTGGGAGGGTGTTACCGGAATGGCGAATGTCCTTGTTTGGCTCACACCAGAACACGTTCTCGCTCCGATTTCATATTCTGAAAGGCTACAATGGTTTGTAACCACCATGTTGTTTCTTCTTTTTTTATATTCTCTTCCCACCTCTTCCTACTCCACATGTCTCGATCCCAATCCCCACCTCAACGACTTTTTCCCTTTTTATGTGTCTCTATGTTTTTTAGAAGGCACCCGAGAGGTGGAAAAGGAAAATGATGATGTCGAAGAGTGAATGATATTATTTTTTCATCGGGCATTCAGAAAATATATAATAATGAATAAATTATCTAATAACACACCCGACAATGGTGTTCTTCCTCTTTTTCCTCGAAAACTTGCTCTCCGGGCAGAAAGATGAGGAAGAAGCACAAAAATGCCACACGTACTAGTGTCTCTTTCTCAATTGCTTTGTAGAAAGGGAAATAGCACGGAGGCGAGATACTCGAAATAATAATAATAATAGTAATAATTGAGTCGTCGCTTCCTCCTCTTTCCCGCCTACTCACCACTCATCGTTTCAAAAGCCATCGCCTTGTTCTCAATCATCATTTATTGCGTTACTTTCAAGTTCCTTGTCCTATATCTTCATTTCATTCAGATTCTTGGTGGAAATGGCAATTACAGTAGGCGAACTGCTGAATGGAGTTGCCTCGAGGCTCATCTACGGTACTTTTCCTTAACTTTCTGATCTAACATGTGTAACCATTTCAGAAGGATCTCCGTGTGATAGCCATCCGTGTTGGAATGAGGGAAAGTGTTTTCTGAACGGGTCCTCAAACTTTTACTGTGAATGCCCGCCGGCTTTTATTGGTCCACAATGTGAATATCGGGTAACAAACTAGAAATTTCGATTTAGACAGATTTCTGGATTATAATAAATTTTTCAGCTCTTTGAAATCTGCAAATCTGTGCGTTGTCGAGCTGCAAAATCGACAATATGTGAAGCCGGTGGATTTCTCGCGAATTGCTCGCTCGTTAATCAGCAAGGTACGTCAAAATTGTGAACAGCCCAGGAAGACACCAAAGCTCACGCATTGTGTTGTACCAAACCGAGTGACAAAGACGAGGGTTTGCGCCACCGAATACTTGATGAACCCGTCTCACAACTTCCTCTTTTCTACTCGCTTTCTTAGTTTCATTCAGAAAAACGACTCGTTTACAACTTTTCACGTTTTTCTGTTGCGCTCTTTTTTTTCTCTTTCTCTTTCTCTGTCAGTCACACATCTGAGTTCCAACGTCCCGATGTCAGGAAGGAAAACGAGCACAAGTGCGACTTTTTTAAGTGGATAGGAAGGAAGACGAGGGGGTGCTCGTTTAACTGCTCGTGTCCCCTCTTTTCGGGGAAGAAAAATGTTTTTTTGCGCCTCCGGCTAAGTTTCTTTGGAACCTTTTTGGTTTCTGTAGTTTATGATAAATGAATGTGTTTTGATTCTTTTTGATTTCAATTATGATGTCAATTTCAGAAAGCTTATCCTAAGAGGGAGCTCCTGACGTGTTTCTGCTGTGCGTAATAACTTGATCCTACTTTGCATAAGAACATCCCTTCGTATCACACCATTCGTGTTCATTACCATACTTCCCTTGTCTTGATCTCTGAAACCCAACTTTTCCGGTTCTTTTTCTTGAAAAGGTTTCCCCCGTTTCCCGGCGCACTTCCTGAAAAACAGCCCTATTATTTGTCACCCTTTTGTATCTCACTTTCGCATTCTTTCTCCCCTCAAATTCACCGTACTCTTTGCACTAATTGGGTCAGCGGGCACATTTCATAAATCCCAACGCCCCGCCCCATTGCATCCAGTTGTCGCATGTACACGGCTTGAATAGAGTAAGAAGAAAGCAGAAGGAGGCAACAAATAGAAGAGACGTCGGTTATTTGTGAACACAAAAAGAAGGTGCTCTCCAGTCGACCACTCAATCAAAAACAAAACACCACATCCATTAGGAGAAGAAGGGTCCGTCTCCTAACAAATTATTATTCTTTCTTTCTTATTTCCAACAATGGCGTTTGCTTACACTCCCTACCATCTTTTCTTCAATCTTCCGCCTAGACGATGTAAGTTTTCTTTTCCTTATTCCTTCTTTTTTCTCATTTCCTTGTTTTCTGACGGGTCAGCTGAATAGGCTTTGGTGACTGATCGATGTCTGGAAGATTAGAGCCTCGGAACGCTTAGTGTTAGTTAGATTTCTCCGATCTACCAGTGGTTAATGCTAAACATCTGGCTCGGCGCCGATTTTCTCAAATTGCACGTTTTTCATCAGTTCTGAACACTTGAAAATACTACTTTCAACCCCAAGATGTTGGCCCACTTGTGACGTACTTCCCTACTTCTCTTTCTCTTTGGCACCGTATGCATGTACCCGGATATGAAGTTTTACTGATTCTCTGATTATTTAGCAGGATGAACGTCATATCATCTTAAATTTTTGATTCATCCGCATGCAGTCAGTAATCCGATGCTGAACATGATATCTGAAAGATGAGGTGGAACTCTAAAGTTCACCCCGATTAACATCGGATATTGCATCAACCGCCGCTCCAGCTTCCTTAAATTAGGCGTTCTCTGACAGTTTTTGCGTATTTCGTATTCCTGTCACTTTGCAAGATCAATGAACACGTTTAGCGTCAGAAAGTCGAGCCAACCTACAACCTTTGAACTGAAGCATTACTCATTCATACTTGATACATTCTCAAGTGTGCTCAGGTTCCAGTTGGCTATGAAATGATATCATCCGTTTAGTTCATCCGAGATGAATCACAAGGACTTGGTCTTAGCTTAAGACCAAAAAGATCTCATCATGTTCTCACGGAAAAAAAAAACTGAACACATCAGTCTGTGGGAAACTTTTCTTAAAACTTTCCAGAACTCACGTGGACTTTCTGAAAAAAGACCATAGCGGAAGTGTGCGAGTTTCGTGTACGATAAATTTTGTCGACAGAAATCTTCTGCTGCCTTAGGACCATTTGATCTATCAACAACTTGAGCGGACTCTTGCTTTCTCCGGCAGTTCTTCGCACTCGGAAATCACTTATGGTTCTTTTCGGAAAACAACAGATCTTTTTGTGGAACATGGAACACTGAACGCTTTATGACGAGTACTCCGTTGTTTTCGCGGAGAGTTCCATTTCTTTGTGGTCGGTTCTTTTTGTCATCAAAAATTATGTGTGTTCTGAACAGATACCGTATAGATTATAAAGGGCGTGTTTGTGTCGGACAAGCTTTTTTCTGTCAGATTAGACATGTCCCATGGGATTGGGCAGTTTTGACATTCACTTTGAGAAAGCGTGCGCCTTTGACTTTCTCCGAATTCCCATGAAATTTGGAAAAGCTAGCCCGCCTATCCGACGCCCGTAATCCCATTTCTGTTTTCTGAAACAAATTGGAATTGGAAACTGGGCCTTCCTCTTTCCGTCTGTTGCGTACCAGCTATTTTACTCCACTCTTCCCTTCAAACCCATAATGGGTTCATTTGGTTGCGGTCCGACCGCCGCTTCTTTATTTGGCCGCGACCTCGGAAGCCATCCGCAAAAGATCGCCTCATAAGATTTTTTCGTTTGCCCTCCCGCCCATGATGTATTTGCTGGCCAAATGTAAGTTTTTCCCTTCTTTTCTTTTCTGTTTGCGTGGGGCCACGGCGAGATCTCTGCCAAAGAAAGATAAACTCGATTTGCATCCAATCAGCGGAAAAAAGAATGAAAAAAGAAACATTTGTGAGGTAGAATTCAGTTTTTGAACTTGTTTTTGAAATACCACTAGGATCAGATTGGTGATAATAGAAAACGCACTTTTGGCAGCTAATCCGCATTTTTTTCTCGATTCACTAAATCCACTGTAACTTGATCTTTCAAAAAGTGTGTGCTGAATGCAATACTTAAGAAGAGCAAGCCTCGTTTGATGATTCACAGGGTCGGCCTCTCAATATTTATTCATTTTCCTCTCATTTGTGAATGAGTAATAAGTAATAACTAATAACTAATCAAAACGAAAAGGAAGCATGTTCCGGCCGTCTTCTTCTTCGTCTCCTTCTCCCCCTTCTCCGTTTCCTACTCTATTATAATCTTACGGTAGTCTATATCCGCGTTTCATATGCTCCGGAAACCAGTAATTAGACGAAGTGTATACTCATCATTCTTTTCCTTTTGCCTTCTCCCACGTATCTGCTGCTGTGCAGTTTATAATTATGGTGAATGTGCACAAGGCCGTCAGACAGCCCCCGCCTTTCCTTCTTTTTCATTTTCACTCTCAATTTCTTGCCTCGATTCGAAATCTAGGACTCTGAACTCTAACCTAGGCAGTGACGTGTAACTGATCGATCCTGTCACCTCTAGCGCAAAGATCCCTTCTTTTTATTTCTCTTTTTCTCAAAAACGGGAAAAAAAGAGGAAAGTCACCGTCTTAAATTTGATATTCTGTATTCTGTTATTGCTTCTTGTTTTCATTGCTAGTTTTTGGATTTTAGATTTTCCGATTTCATCTCACCTGCTGAGAACGAATACAAAATAGGATTATCGTGTCTAGACGTCAAATATTTTTAAATTACAAGTTCCTAGTTTTGCTCATGTTCATTATCATCGTCATCAAGCTGGCAAAAAAGTGGTCGTTCAATTTTTGCTCCACCACATCTTGTTTCCATTATCTCATTTCCGGCGCCTAATCGAATACGGATGGCAGCCCAGGGAGGACGCGATTTGACTCTTCCCGCCTCAATTTTTCCTTCTTCCTCTTGTTCTTCTTCCATTCCGAAATAAGAAAAACGAAGAAATCAAATCCAAGATGGACCCCTCATGTCGAATATTTCATGTGTGTGTGAGCACTTTTTGAAAACGGTCCCCAGGGAAACGAAGGCATTTTTCGCGCCTTTTGCCCCCTCCTCGTGCTTTCTCTGCATTTGAGACCATAAAGTTTTGAATGTTATGTTTTTTCTTCTTTTTTGTTTTTCACATGTAATTTCTGCACAGAAACCTGTCATTTGCGCCGTTCTTTGAATTTCGGTCTCATTTTCACAACACGACACAAATGAGTTGGCGTTTTTCAGTTTTTGAAGAGAAAAATTCTGAGAACTTGGTATAGTTCAAAAGCCAGTTGATGTGCTTTTTCCGGGAATCGGATTTAACAAAACTTGTTAAGCTGGCGATCGTAGGTGCGACGAGACTGCGTAACCAAAATTAAGAAACTTTGCGATAGGCACATTTCTCTTAAATACATATAAATCTTCTCCTTGTCTTTCTTTTCATTTCGTTTTGCGTAAATCTTGCTCAAAAAGTGTACTTATGATTCCTGTCTAGGCGTGAAAAGAAATCCGGGAAATGATCAACGATGTACGCTCTTTCTCGAATGTATTTCATTAACTCGTTCGGTAAGATTTTGATCTGGTGAGAGCGTAGGCGGGTGTCGGGATTTCGATGAAAAACAGATTTCTATATGAATTCAAATGTTTTTCTTTTCAGATTTCCTGAGCTCGTGCCTCTCGACGCACTGTCTCAACAACGGAACTTGCGCGAATGGCACCGGCGCCTACCGCTGCATCTGCCCGCCGACATTCCACGGTCCATTCTGTCAGTGTACGTGTGAGAACAAGAACACTTTGGGGAGTTGAATAGAAGGAAAGGGTCTTAACGTAGAAAACAGGGGAAGGAATTTGAATGGATGAGCAGAAGAAGAGAATGAATGGGAAAGGGGTTTAACACGAGTGTTTTGTGGGATTGGACGGGGCCCCTCTTTTTGTTTGGAAGGTGCTCCATCAGGACACTTTGAAACAAGAAGATGCCGGCCTTCGACGTCGCTGAACGTATTCGATCGATGTTTCCAGTTGACGTCAACGCCACCAACTACAGTTGGAGCGCCCTGGAAGTTGCCCTTCTTTTCTTCGTCATCTTCATGATCGCCTTCGCCATTTTCATCGTCTGCTGCGCGTAAGTCCTCCTTTCCCAAACACTTTATACTGATTGTTCTGTGTTTAGATGCCATTTTCCTTTCAGTTCTTCCAACCGCATGGGATTCTACATCAGTGTGCCGAACAAGCATTACAACAGGTTAGTTGATGGGACCAGGAACTGCCCGAGGGGATCTGGTGACTCGAAGCAAAACATCAAAAGCCAAATCGCATTTTGATGTCATAACTTTTATTTTTGCAGATGGGCCGAGGAGGACGATATGTTTGATGACCTCCCCACGGAGAATGGAGAGCAGCTCATGGCGATGGCCGACATACGAAAGTGTGTTTTTAGATGTTTCGCGATTCCTAAAACTTTTTTGAAAGCGCCGAATCTTAATCATTTCTTTTCAGGGGAATCGTGGTGTCCAGAACTCGCGAAACTGTCCTCGAAGAGCTGGAAGACTCCTCGATACTTCAGCTATGATAATGCATTTGATATGTACCCAAATTTTCTCTTTTCCTTGCCCTGTGATCTGATCTCCAAGCCCACCCAACATCCTTTTTCTGTCCACGTAGATGAATAATCTGTTTCTCCCCCCTCTTTTTCTGTTCCAAAACAATGGAAAATTCTTCGAGAGCACGCCTATGGGACTTTTCCTTTTCCCATAAGAATCATAATGTTCCATTCTTCCTCCCACTCCCTCTTTGCCCCGTGTGTTTTCTCTGAAGAGATTTCCGTGAAACGTCACAAAGCGTAAACATTTCTTTCTCTAAAAAAATATGCATGCAAAGATTTCGTCTTGTTGAATATGAAGTACATATGAATCATGGAAACTCGATACACATGGCGATGATCCAAAGATGATCGCGACTGCGATTTCAGTTTTTTCTCGCCCATCCCGCCCTGTTTGTTTAATCGTTCAGGCTCGATGAGTGTGCGTGTTGTTGCCGAGCCCTCCCATAGAGACACCGCCAAAACAAACACGAAAAACGAGGAGTTTGAGGCGTTTTTTGGAGGCAGTCGGAGAAAGTGTTAGTTGGATACATGTGCACTTTTGCGCGGCGGGCGCACCAAAATGAATCGCACGCAAATGGGAGCTGTCAAAAGATTGACACGTCTGGGATTGCCTACGTGTTTCATTCCGTTCAACATGTTTCACCGCGGAGATTATGACATGTGGTAATTCAACATAGAAGGTCAGCAGGATTACAACTGAAAATACGATTTTTAGACCGCTCGGGTATAACAAAAAACAGAGAATTTCTCTTGAAAATCACTGAAGTGTTTTAAAAGTAAATAAATCTCAATAATTTAGCAACCTATTTTGAGGAGATTTGCAAGATTCGAAGCCGGTGTATCCAAAATGACCATCTATAATTGACGGTAAAAGCAAAAGGGCATCTAGCACGAGTGGGGATCGAACCCACGAGGATTTTCATCCATTGGAACTTAAGTCCAACGCCTTAACCGCTCGGCCATCGTGCTGGCGAATAAAGAAGGGCTGGATGCTTGCTATCTACCACCTCTCTGCGGTTCATCGCGCGCGCGCTCTCAATTCGAAGAGAGAAAAAGGGAAAGGGACGGGACGCGCACGGGCGGGGTAGCTAGCGAACGGCGACGATTATGACGAAGTGGAGAAGAGAGAAAAGAGAGGGGCACGCCAACAGTTGAAGGGAGCGGGACGAGATGGATATGCAGACTTGCGAGATCAGACGACGCCCTTTTGCTGATAAAGGTTGGTACATCAGATGAGCTCTTCCTGGTTTCATTGTGCCCGTTTGTGCCCTCTGACCTCGTTAAAATTGAACCGGAACACTTATGTTTCAGACCACTTGACAAGCAGCGACAAAGAGTTCACAAGCTCACCGCGACGGCTCGAAAATCGCGCCGTCTCTTCTCTCCTCATTGTGATTCATTTGCCAGCGGTGGTGCATGTTTGGGTCTCTATGTTTTGCCATGTTTGTTTGCGATTTACGTGTGTCGGCGGGCGTCCGCCTACCGTACGGACGCGGCGTTTGGCGGGTGCGGTCTTCGGCATAAAGTCGGCGCGCGGCGGCTCAACGTGCTTTTCCCGCTGCCCATTTAGTTATCGAGAATGCGGTTGCTCCTGCCGCTATCACCAACCGTCGGTTTGCTACTTTCCACATTTCTAACCATCCAGGTTTTCACACTTCTCACGTAGTTTTCTCATGTTTTCTTATTCAGACAAGTTCTGGAGATCAGTTAGATCTGAATGCTCACTATCACGGTTTTATCAGCGGTAAACGAATGAATGCGTACGTGAATAGTCTCCTTTTTCTTCTTTTGAAAAGTTACTTCCCTCTAGATATCCATATACCGCTCCTGAAAGAGTGGTTGATAAAGCGTTGGCCAGGAAGCACAAAAAACCGCAAACCGGACAGTATTATGATGCTCCCGCTGAAGCCGCTGCGGCACCGGCTGATCCTTCCGCTGATTGTGAGTTATTTACGGTAATAAGTTGAACTTTTTTTGCGCTTTAGTTGGAATGCAAGGTCCTGGAATGCAAGGTGGTGGAATGATGTCAAATAGATTGCCGCCTCTGCAAGTGGTACATCCACCAGCTCCAAATGAAAAGGACTGGGTGTTGACGGCAGGTACTTTGTTGGAACAGAGACTTTGTTTAATTTCAATTTTTTATCGGTTAAGGAAATGAAAGTTTGGTGGATAATGTGCTCGCAATTTCTCTGCAGTACGGCGGTAGACTGGTGTCGATGGGGTACTATCTTCGCGGTCAAGATGTGAACTATTATGCAATTATGCACAAATACTCGGGTACGCCACTCTTGACTAGCATTTGACTCTGTTTTGCGTTTTCTAGGCCCGGTGTTCATCAAGCCCGCACCGATGTCATTTGATGAGCTTATCAAAGCAGTTAGAGAGAATGAAGCAAGAGATCTGGCACTGACTCAAGTTTGTGGCCAAGAAGGAAAACCGGGCGAGATCACGTTCACCACTTACTGGGAACGAGTGCCAGGAGTCGAGTTTCATGTGAGAGTCACGCACGTTTCATGAAATTGCAATCTTCAAACTTTGCAGATCTGGTTCCCGGGACAACCTCATGCGGACGAACAAAAAGCGCATTTCGAGAACAGCGGCTACCGTCTCACTTATCTTTGCGGATACACAGAAGCCGGAAAAGGAAAGTACATTGGCGTGTGGCAGAAACCGACAAAGTCCGAAGCACAGTATGAGGCTCATTATGGGCTGACGATGGAAGCGTGTATGCAGAAAGACAGGCTACTGGTGCAGAAAGGATATGTAGCCACGTCGCTGAGAGTTTTCAATAACAAAAACCAAGTGCTGTGTACTGGAATCTGGGAGAATAGGAACGGAAGAAGCAGTGTTCAAGTGGGTCAAGATCTTCAGACTATGTACAGGTAAGTAATTACTATTCCAGCCGACTCTGAGAGCTTTTTTCCAGAAACATGCAAAGGAACCCAAATATGATCCCAAGACAGATGTCCCACTACTTCGATAACTATCAGAATGTCAGTTTTTGTTAGCAATAATGAGTTTCTGACGGAAAATGTTAACATTTCAGATTGTTTACGTTGTTCTCTGGAGTGATGTGGACGTGAACAGATATCCAAATCCTCCTCCATTGTGGGATGAAAAGTAAGTTTTCTTACATGCCTACATAAAACTGCTCTGAATTTCAGTCCGATCCCAGTCCGTTTTCTGAAAGGTTCGCCCGAACTTCTCGCTGACGATCAGATGGAGTTTCTGATCAAACGTGTCGAGCACTTTATGAAAGATCTCAACATTCCCGGACTGTCCATTGCGATCTCCAAAAAAGAACAACTCAAATTTGCGGCAGGTTTGTTTGTTCATAGTATCCAACACTTTTTCGCTGTCCGCGCAGGTGCCAAACTGGCTTCTAAAAGGTTTCCTTGTTCCTTGTGAATTGTGAAACAATTGGATTAGCGTTCTTCTCGTTGCCAGTCAATAGATGTATGGTTCTTAAAAGAAAAAAGTTAAGTAAAAAAAAAGGATAGAAGATTATGAGATTATGAAATTTTGCGGGAAACGTTTTGGAGTGAGAAACTTGATAGCTTGTAAACATCAAGATGACCAACGTCATGTAGTCAAACACTGTCTTTTCAATGAAATGACAAAACGTTCATTCTTGTCTGTATTATATGTGCATGTATCATTTTTCCAGGTTTCGGATACACCGACATTCGCCAACAAGAGCCCGTCACACCGAATCATCAGTTCCGGTCCGTCTTTGAGCCACCCACGTGCGCATAAGTTATCCTTTTTTCAGTGTCGGATCGGTATCGAAGCCAGTTACCGCCGCGGCAATCATGCTTCTTATCGATAAAGGCCACTTCACACTCGACGCAAAGTTGTTTGGAAAGGACTCTATTTTCGGCAGCGAGTTCAGCAAAAAGTATCAATATCCGAGATATGTGACTGAGATCACTGTCAGACACCTTCTAGAGCACACTTCCGGTGAGTCAGGGAAATTGAAAAATAGAAACAAAACGATTCGATTTTGTGTCACAGGTGGTTGGGATAACCTTCAATCCGACGCCGCATGGGTCCAACCGGACATGACCACCAAAGAGCTCGTTGAGTACGTGCTCATAAATGTACCACTCGAATACAAACCCGGAACCATGTGGATTTACTCTAACTTTGGATACCAGCTACTCGGTAAGTTTCAATCCCCCGACATACATAAACTTTCGTGTATTCTCTGCTCAGGATATCTGATCGAAACGACCACCGGCATGTCATACGAGGCGTTTGTCAAGAAGAACATATTCGCGCCATCTGGCGTTTACGATATTCAAGTGGCGAGGCCGAGCATTAGCGAGCGGGCACCGTAAGATTTTACGCACCTCTCGGCTCATTTTGAAATTTATCACTTTTCCTCTCTTTCCCCTCCTCTAAAAGTTTGCATTTTGTCAGGAGAGAAGTGGTCTATTACATGTCTGGAAATGGATTGGGATTCAATCCGTACGAGATGCTACCGCCAGAGAGAATCGGTCCATGGGGCGGATGGATTGCCAGTCCCATTCAACTATTGATGTTCATGAGCAGAATTGATGGGTTCGAAAACCGAGAGGATATTCTCAGTGAACCGGCGATTGCTGAACTGGCGACCCCGTCCGCTGCTTCCAATGATACTTATGGTAATTTTTGAAGGGATCGTAGACTAGTTTCAAACTATTGATGGTTTTGCATGAATCAACGCTGAATCCGACTGGAAAGACAAAATCCTCTTCGACATGGGTCTCAAACTCATTTCTAAGGCCGGTAGAGCGGTTTGAATAGCCCTAACCCTTACGTTTTTGCAAATTTTGCTCAGAAAACAGAATCTACAGAGATGCTCTCTTTTCAGTCGGATTCTGCGTCGATTCATGTGAAAAGTTCAATTATTTTGAAATCAGTTTACTATCCTATTCAATACATTGAAAAAAGGGAGCAAACTTTCACAGGGTAATTTTTTTTCAGGCCTCGGCTGGTCATTGAACATTATGGGATTCAATGGTTGGCAACATGACGGTCGCATGCCTGGAAGCGCTGCGATGTTGGTCAGATTGGACAATGGGCTAGAGATGGCAGTGACAGTGAACAAGGTACAAAGAGTAGACTTTTAAATCTAAATGAACATTAACTTGAAGGAGTATTCGGAACGCGACTTTTTCCACGAACTCGGCTACGTTCTCCATCACATCGGCAACAATTGCGACTGGTGGAATGACGACTACGATCTCTTCCAGAAGTCAAAGCGAACTATGCGAAGCGCACCTTCAACGAAACAAAAAGTATACCGTGTTCCCGCACAAAGAACGAATATCACAACGAACAACTCGCACGTCATTCGATTTGTTTGAAAACGAAACATTTCTCCCTTCCGATGATGATACCCACTTTCACAAAAAGTATTCCTTTCGTATTTTGATGCAACCAACCAGTATTTCATAATTTATTATGTATTTATATTTAATATTTGGAACGGGACGCGGGTGGAACGTTTTATTGTATTACGACTGACTTTGTATTGAATAATAAAATAAATAAGTAAAAATTTGGATTATCTTTCGTTTTTTGAAATCTGAATCTGAATCTGAATCTGAATCTAAATCATCATAAAGATGGATTTGAGGATGGGATGTGGATGGCAAAATTTTTTTGTATACCAATAAAAAGTGAGATCGAAAAACATGGAAAATAGTAAAAGTTGTTAAAGTATGGTATACAAATACAAATCGAAAATCTAAAGATGGGTATAATTCGAGTTAGGGGAGTAAATCTCATTCGACAACGGCGGCGTGTTCAATTGAAAACCATCAGTCGAGTGACCAGAGGATGAAGAGGAGAGCGGCTGAAAGGTAAAAGTTCATCAAATGTTCACTAGACGTGTTCAGATTAGTACATTGTAGCGGATGATCGTCGATCAAATCAGTTTCTCACCGGGTTCATGTCCATGGCTGAAAGAGGAGCAGAAACACACAAAGGACTGCCTCCTATTATATTATCTTGCAGTCCACGCCGGTACTTGGCACGCGCGTTTTGGAACCAGACCTGTGGAAAAAACAACAGTTTACGGATTTAGGGGGATTAACGTACTTGAAGGACCCTCTTCGTCAGGTTGGTCTTGGCAGCCAGCTGCTTCAAGTCCTTGGCATCTGGGTTGTGGTTGAGAGCGAAATAGGTTTTCATGGCGCGTAGTTGATGATGCTTGAACGAAGTTCGCATTCTCTTAGATCTCTGATGACCGCTCGTTTGTTCTTCGTCAGTTGATCCTGAATTTCTACTATCAGTTGTTTATGTGATTGTAGGAGGCGCGCTCAAGATACTTATACCATTGAATAGAGCGCCTAAAGTTACATTCTTCAACATTCTTCAAGAAAAGTACACTCTCGTGTCACTTCTTTAGTGATATGGCTACTTCAAATCAAAATTTTCCCTCCACTCTCCCGTTTCCCCCTGCCTAGTCTCTCAGCTGACCCGCGCGTATTCGGATTCTGACTAAATGAGGGATTAGCGGGTCAGTGCCTCTCATGCTTGAAATTTGATTCTTACAAGGTATCGCATCGCCGTCTTTCTCCAACCACCTGTGGCCATGTTTCTTTTTATGCACCACCGACTAATTATTTACTTATCATTTCGAATGCACACGGAGAGGATTGGATTTCGAACTTTGCGTTTAGTTTGAGTATAACCAGAACCACATAGAGAAGAACAAGAGCTATTCATTCACACCTCCGGGTTCGCTTTCCGGGATATAATTGCGCGCATGTGTTTGTATACATTCATTGAGACACATCCTCTTATTATAATGAGGATGTCCCCATTCCCCCTTGAGCTCTTATACCAGTCAAGTGTACGGTAGCTGTTCACTAATTACAAGTGCTCTTTCCCCCTCCGAACCTTCCGCTTCCGTCGATGGTTCTCTGGCGAGCGGTTCCGGTGGCGGCGCGGCGACGACTACGGTAGGAGCAGCGGCCGGTTCTTCGCACAACGCCGTCGAACGCACCACGTTGTAATGAGCTGAAAACATGATGATGCTATGCCATTCGGCTCTGTTTTTCTTTCGAGTTACCATGGCAATAGACGTGACCTTGTGGCGACATTGTATAGTAGTCTCCTGGGTTCAGTTTTGTGCCACAGATCTAAAGAAAAATAATATGTGAAAAGATGGAAAGCAAAAACTCACGTAACAAATAAAGCAAGCGTGATGGAAGATCAAATCCTTCGCCCGCATCACCATATCATCACGGTTCAGTGGAATTTCACACTTCATGCAACACTTTTGGTACCGTCTGGAAAAAAAACGAGTTTTTCTCATTTGAAAGTTAAAGTTGAAACATGTTTCACTCACTTGACATGATCCGTTCGGCAGTACAGCGAGCCATCTCGAACATAACACTTGTCGGTAAAGCCTAACGGAACCTGGAATCAAAATTTGAACAATGTTTTTTCAAAAAAAAGTTTCTTACGTCACACATTGAACAACGCACACACTGATGATGATATCCTTTGTTGTCGATAACGCTTATCTCTTTGTCGACAATAGGAAAATTGCAGATAGCACAGTGATCTGGAATTGAATTATATTGCAAGTTTTAGCTTGAAAGTTATGGAAAAACACATTTAAAGGAGCACGTTTTTCCTTTTGTTTATTGCCATCATTATTAGCTTGGTTATTTCCTTCCCGTTTCTGAGATTTAGAAGTGTGAAACCTTAGTCATCGGAAAAGCTCATGTGACACCCTCATACTCACTCAAAAGCGTCGATTCTATTTTCGGAATTTGTATCGTCCGCAGTGTCAAGCTTTTTGCACCGGAGGAAGAGGGCGGGGAGGTGGACGTTAGGTTGGTGTACTGTGGAGAGTTCAGCTTTTCCACCATATCATACTCCTCTTTGAGAGTTGTATTCCAGTCGAAATGAAATGTGGATGGCTCAGAAGTGTCGAGTTTTCGATTCGATTCATTCGCTGTTGAGTTGGTGATCATGAGGAGCAATTTGCTGGAAGGGATCAGTTAGAAAAACGATTAGAATGGGATCGAACAAACGAAACAACTCAGAGGACATGACTGTACCACCCAGAAGAGTGCACGGGAATGCCATTTTTAGGCTGTGAGTATCACAAGCTTATAGAGCGAGGAAACTAGTGAGATTGCGAGAATAAAACCACCTGATTATTGGAAAATTAGTGGGATACGAAACTAGAAAGTCATGCCCACACACGGTCCTTTGGGGATTGAATTTAGAATCTGAGCTTAGGTTTTAGGATTTGGGATGTGCACGGGATCTAGCATCTGGTTTTTGATCTGTCCCGACCCGACAGGAGAAGGGGGCGGAGTGATCCTGGAGAGAAAGCTGTGCATAACACTATTTGAACTCTGATCCAGAGCAAATCAAACTGTATTCCGCAAAAAGAGAAAACGGAAGAGAGAGAGAGAGAGATAGATATTGTTTCAGATTATACGCACTTGATGCGACGGCTGCATGCCGCTTTTTTGCGCCTCTCCAAACTGGCCGATCTCGATATTCGACTCTCCCTTCTCTTTCTACAGTAATCCGGCTTTGTGTCGCCGCACGGCACAAAAACAAAACATTGATTTTGGCGAGCGGAGAATATGAAGAAGTGTCAAAACAAGGTTGGTTCGCGCGCGCGCAAAAAAAAAAGGTTTTCGGCTGTGTTCGGTTCGCTTTCGCTCCGAGCACGTTACGTTTTCTTCGTGGTCTAATGAACATCAACTTGTGATCTCGCAACTTACGCCAATTGATTCACATTGTCAGAGGCGGAAGCACAACCGAATAGTGGAGAGCTTAGCGAAGAGAATAGCGAGTCAAAAGTACAGACGGCAGGCGGTTGGGGGAACATTTGGATGGTTGGAGGAGCCACTGGTCCGGGACTTGTCATCCGGCTTTTCGGCTCTTCCTTCACATCCAACTGAACGACCATAACACCACTGGACAGTGACATTCGGCTTTTGGTGTAGATTGAACCAAGCGAATCGAAGCGAAGAACCGAGAGTATACACAATCCGAATGAGAGTTAGAAGAAGATATACGTTATATTTGTTATCCGTTAGTTTGGGAACTATCCTCAGAGACCAGATTATTTTGCGAAATATGTTATTGTTGCATCACGCCAAGGGAAAACTGGAGGATTCAGCAAGGGAACAAAAACACTGATTTTAAAATGCTAAAAAGAAAGCGAAAATCAAATCCGCTACAAGAGATACAGAAGATCCAATAAAAATGTTCTAGTTGGAAGAGGTTGTACATGTATTTCAGTCACATTTTCCATTTCAACTACAATTCGACACAACGACTCGAATTTTGATCTACTCTCGCCTATAAAAAATGTCCGAGAGCGAGAAAAACGAAAACTACAAAAAGTGGTTTGAGAAAAAGTCGAAAATCTGTGTGTGAGGAAGGGAAAACTTTAGAAACTTTAGAATTTCACACTACTCATATCACGTTTGTTCCGCTTGATGCACTGAAAACTTTGAAAAAACGATTCTTTGCAAAAATGTTGGGAACAGATGATGGTCCGGATAGACTAATTGTATTCACGTGTACATTTGGTGAATGGCGATAACAAGAGTGGCTCGCGCACCTGCTCATTGTCAGCGGGGTGCATTTCTGGCGGGTGGTCATGTGCAAGAGGAGTGCATGTTGTGCAACTTCCGTTATTTGAAGACTAAACGTTCAATTAATCGGAACGAATTTGTCGAAATTATTCGAAGATGCTTTTCGTTAGCGTGCGCTTGCAACAAGGTGCCGAAAGATGATCGCACGCAAATCCTCGTGGCTACCGTAGTCCGTGTTTTGACGGGGGTAGAAGAAAGTGGGCGGAGCTTCACGGCAGCTTTGACGGGTCAACAGAGTTGAGAAGGAATAGAGAGAAGACGTAAAACACAGATGCAAGACAAAAACATTATGTCTTTGTGAGCTCTGAAACATTTTATGAGTTTATTTTCCTGTTCAATTTTCCTTGGAATCGTTATCAAAATCAACAGAACTGACTAATTTATCAGTTTCATTCAAAGATTTCACACAGGCACAAAAAAGAACGTTCGAGGTCTAGCATTCAGCGCTTTTCATTCAGTTTATCATTGAGATAATGATATATATATATATATACATAAAATGGAGTCTTTGCAAATATTCAATGTTCATTCAACTGAAGCGAGCTCTGGCGGCCACGCTGGTTCGAGTTGGTGTGCTAATCGGTGCGCAATGATCACTTCCTTCGACTGATCCAAAATGTTGCCGGCTGATCTAACGGAATTGCGGAAGTGTTCAATCTTTCTCTGAAGGTGCAGTTGGCAATTATGGAAAACTTGTGACCGAGTCACCTCAAACTCCACGTATTTATTTGTGAAGCACAACTCTTCGCGAAGCTTCGGAATCTGGAACTTGAAGAAACTAAGCATGCTTTGCTGGGCGGTGCCTTCCGGACAGTAACGGAGATGCAGTTCCTGAAAAAACGCTGGATAAAGGTTATGTAAGCTGATTGTTTCTAACTATTTTCAGCAGAAGCCAGCCTAAGGCGAAAACGAGGAAATGCTGCTCGGACTTCTGGCTAACGGAAAGTTTTTTGACCTGCATCTGAAATCATGATTCTTGTTGACTGATTCTCCGGGGGAAGAAGCGAGCGAGAAAGAGAGAGAAAGAGAAATAAAAAGAGAGAGCATAAGAGACGAAGTTTGAAAAAAGAGCAATCAAAGAACGGTTAACTCAAGAGTAAAGAAGTTCCCCTTTTCATGTGTCTGTCCAACTCTGTTCAACGTTTTTAACCAACTCTTTAGCAAAAATGGAAGGCAGATTCGAATTCTCCATGAAATTCTCTTTCAAATCATATTTATATACCATTCGAAAAGCCCAAGGTAAGTGTGGCCCTTGGTAACTAACTAACCATCCCAGAAGGTCCATGTTCCTATTCTCAAAGCAATCCGAATAAAATTTACAACTTGGCTCTGAAATGTAGGCCTTCTGTATGGGACACTCCCTGTTTCCATTTAGCTATGGCGCTTCCTAACTATAAAGTTTCGGAAACCTCAAGATCTCAAAAAATCACTTAGCAACCACACAAAAGCGACATAAAACTGACTACTGATTGAGCAACAAAGTAGCGAAATGCTTAATAAAAATCACAATCACGAATACATTTATCTGGGCATAAGAACAAAACAGACACGAGGGACAATTCGACAGTGGGGGGGGGGGTCACTGAACAAAAACATTGATGATGGTGCGGACGGCCGAGTAACCAGAACGGAGTAACTGTCGTCGTCCAATTTGCCAACTGTCGATCACCTGAAAACTTGCAAAGGAGAACCCGTCAGACAGGAAATGTATTCTAAGAAAAAACCCGTAATTTATTGCACATTATTTGATGATATGTACAGTTTCTTTGGCTTCTTTGGCGTTCGATGGAGTTGGTTATATATGTTTTTTTATTGACATGTGTCAAATTTTGTAAAGTGCCCTGGGATCCCCGTCAGATCTTAAAAGAAACTGACCTGTTAGTTGCTCTGTTTTGTTTTCGTTTTGTATTCAGTTACGATGTTATTCCGAGATTCATCCGCTTCCAGGAGCTCCATTCTGAAAACTATGAACGATAACATGCCAAGCACAGAATTCATGTGAATGTTGTCTGGTCTTATGGTCTCACTAGGACGAATTAATGAGAAAATACATCAAAGTTGGAGATTTGTCGAAATGTGTCTTTTAGCACCAAGATATATACCGAGAAGAGGAATAGGAGGAGGTAATTCTTAGAATCATGGGTCAGTTGGACCGTCAACGGAGGTCAGAGGAGGTACCCAAACTTAGCTTCTAAAGGTCTTTTGTCAATGTTGTCGCTTGATCTCCTCCGGAAGAGTAGCCGATCCTCAGATCTGAAAAATTGCAAAGGAAAACCCGCCAAGAAAATGTTCTACTAAACTTCATTTCGAGAGCAGTTGTGAGAGAGATATCTCTCTCAAAGTCATTATTTTCATTTTGATTATATATAGATTTTGATTATATATTTTTTTTGAAGCAGGCCAACCAGAAAGAGTCACCGGGATTTCAATATGGGAAATTATTCCCCTAACGGGTTTTCGTCAGTTCTTTAAAAAAACTGACCTGATACTCGCGTCCACCTATTTTCCTTCTTGCGTTTCGTTCCGTGTCGGATGAGAATCTGAAAAGAAACAGCACGGGAAAAACCATCAGAAAATAAATAAAAGGTGCTCTACTGTCTACTTAATCCGTGATCTCGTCTCTCTAAGTTTTAATGCGGTCGTTACTGATTCCTCTGTTTTTTAAAATGTTTTTTTTTGGTTTTAGTGTTTTGGTTGTGACAAAGCCACCGACTCCGTCCCGGTTCGCGGTAGTCGATGCTCCACCAGGCCGAACCGTCGGCTTTCGGGTGGGTCACTGTCAGGCACTTGTTCAGTGCGGCGCTGGGCAAATAGTTTAGACACGGCGTCTGAGACGCGTTTGCGTGCCAAAAAGAGGAGTCTCCGAGTGGCGTACGAGCCACATGTCAGTTGAACTCCGTAATGAACACACTTAAACTCTGAGATACGAGACGAGCACTTTAACAGACAGTTTTCCGTCAGCCCATCAAAATTGGACTGACCTTTATCTCCTCTCGAACTCTGCTCACTTCTGCCGATCTCATTTGCTGACATCGACCGTCAACTTCCACTGAATCCTGAAATTGAGAATATGAAATAGGGTTTACAGCAAATGCGCTCTGTTCCAGTCTATTCGGCAGATCTACTTTGCGGCGGAAAACTCGGCCTATTTTCTGTGAGATGCCTTTATGAAAACACCGAAAGTATTTTACAGATAGTTTTTCGCCAGCCCATCAAAAAATAGGCTGACCTTAATCTCCTTTTGAACTCCGAGTGACTAGAATGGAGTAACTGCCTTCGTCCGTCTTGCCAATTCTCGATCACCTGAAAGTTTGAAAAGGAGAACCCGCCAGCCACGAGAAGTTCTCACAAAAAAAACCTCCGTAAATTTATATAGTGAATGTTTAACACGGGCTTATTAGTTGGTGACTGAGTGCGAGTGAGTACAAGAAGGTGAGTAACGAGTAACGGGCAAAGAGCATCGAATGAGCGTCCCGGTTAAGGGGCCGAGTCTTCGAGTATTTGCGATAGTGAAAAACCCGGGAAAATTTGGTAGATCAAAACAACGATGTCACGGTGCGTGCAAAAGTTAGCAAGTCTGGTGCGGTGCAAGAGTGGGCAACAAGAAGAGACACTGGTGGAGCGAGGTAGTGAGACGAATCGGCGGCGTCCGAGGAGCGGATCTTCGGCTAAATCAGTGTGCGAGTGGGATCAAGAAGTGTGAAAAGTGGGCATGGAGCAGAGAAAGCATGCGCGAGAAGAACGATCAAAGAAAAAAATATATACAAACTCTCTTAAAACTTTTTGAGGTTAGGGGTCCCCGTCAGATCTTAAAAAGAAACTGGCCTGTTAGTTGCCATATTCTGTTGTGTTGTCCTCACTGTCGTTGTTCTTCTTTTCATCCGAGCGAAAAGTAATCGATCCTCAGATCTGAAAAATTACAAAGGAAAACCCGATAAGAGAATATTCTATTCTACTCTTCTTGTTGTACTGTAGCCTATTGGAAGAGTAACAAACTGATAGTCATTATTTTCTTTTTGATTATATAGATAATTTCATTTTTGGCGACTGAATCTTAAAAAAGACACCGGGATTAAAGATATTGAGCATTGAAGACGACATGAAACCAGTTAATTGAAATATAAACCACAATGTGTGTGAACCTCGTTTGAAATTATTCCCCCAGCGGATTTTCGTCAGTTCTTTAAAGAAACTGACCTGATACTCGCGTCCACCTAATTTCCTTCTTGCGTTTCGTTCCGTGTCGAATGGGAATCTGAAAAAAACGGCACGGTAAAAATCATCAGAAAAGAAAGAAAAGGTGCCCTACTGTCTACTTAATCTGGGATCTCGTCTCTCGCGTCTGAGCGGCGCAACTTAGCTTCTAAAGGTCGTTTGTCAATGTTGTCGCTTGATCTCCTCCGGAAAACTAGCCGATCCTCAGATCTGAAAAATTGCAAAGGAAAACCCGCCAAGAAAAGGTTTTACTAAACTTCATTTCGAGAGCAGTTGTGAGAGAGATATCTCTCTCAAAGTCATTATTTTCATATATTTTTTTGCAGCAGGCCAACCAGAAAGAGTCACCGGGATTTCAAGATGGGAAATTATTCCCCTAACGGGTTTTCGTCAGTTCTTAAAAAAAAACTGACCTGATACTCGCGTCCACCTAATTTCTTTCTCGCGTTTCGTTCCGTGTCGGATGCGAATTTGAAAAGAAACGGCACGGGAAAAACCATCAGAAAATAAAGAAAAGGTGCTCTACTGTCTACTTAATCCGTGATCTCGTCTCTCTAAGTTTCAATGCGTTCGTTACTGATTCCTCTGTTTTTTTAAATTTTTTTTTTGGTTTTAGTGTTTTGGTTGTGACAAAGCCACCGACTCCGTCCCGGTTCGCGGTAGTCGATGCTCCACCAGGCCGAACCGTCGGCTTTCGGGTGGGTCACTGTCAGGCACTTGTTCAGTGCGGCGCTGGGCAAATAGTTTAGACACGGCGTCTGAGACGCGTTTGCGTGCCAAAAAGAGGAGTCTCCGAGTGGCGTACGAGCCACATGTCAGTTGAACTCCGTAATGAACACACTTAAACTCTGAGATACGAGACGAGCACTTTAACAGACAGTTTTCCGTCAGCCCATCAAAATTGGACTGACCTTTATCTCCTCTCGAACTCTGCTCACTTCTGCCGATCTCATTTGCTGACATCGACCGTCAACTTCCACTGAATCCTGAAATTGAGAATATGAAATAGGGTTTACAGCAAATGCGCTCTGTTCCAGTCTATTCGACAGATCTACTTTGCGGCGGAAAACTCGGCCTATTTTCTGTGAGATGCCTTTATGAAAACACCGAAAGTATTTTACAGATAGTTTTTCGCCAGCCCATCAAAAAATAGGCTGACCTTAATCTCCTTTTGAACTCCGAGTGACTAGAATGGAGTAACTGCTTTCGTCCGTCTCACCAACTGTCGATCATCTGAAAGTTTGCAAAGGAGAACCCGCCAGCCACGAACTGTACTCACAAAAATAAACCTCCGTAAATTTATATAGTGAATGTTTAACACGGGCTTATTAGTCGGTGACTGAGTGCGAGTGAGTACAAGAAGGTGAGTGACGAGTAACGGGCGAGCGTCCCGGTGAAGGGGCCGAGTCTTCGAGTTCTTCCGAGAATGAAAAACCGGCAAAATTGGGTGGATCAAAACGACGATGTCACGATGAGTGCAAAAGTTAGCAGGTTTGGTTGCGATGCGAGAGTGGGAGACGAGAAGTGACGCTGGTGGAGCGAAGGGGTGAGGCAAATCGGCGGCGTCCGAGGAGCGGATCCTCGGCTGAATCAGTGTGCGAGTGGGCTCGAGAAGTGTGAAAAGTGAAATCTCAAGTCAGACCTCTTTCGGCAGTTTTGTTCCATTCTTGCAACTTCCATCCGAACGCCAGGAGTTCCATTCTGAAAACTGACAAGTAAAACATGCCAAACAGGGTTGAATGATGTCACATGGACGGGGTGCGAACGAAAGTTCCATGACAACAACATTACCCCAGCTTTGCACTGAGTTTTTTTTCAGATTCCTCCGGTAATTTTCCGTCCCCTTTATTACTGGCCTTTTAAAGATATATACATGCAGGGTGCTGTAACATAATCTTTAAAAAACTCAGCTTGGTCAAATGTTGTGATGATCATCGAATTCAGCATATGTCAAATCCGCTTCTCCGCGTATCCTTTCTGTGCTTGAGCTGCGGATGGGGATCTGAAAAAACTCCTCCTCCTTTTGAACTGCGAGTGACTAGAATGGAGTAACTGCCTTCGTCCGTCTTGCCAATTGTCGATCACCTGAAAGTTTGAAAAGGAGAACCCGCCAGCCACAAAATGCGCTCGCAAGAATAAACCTCCGTAAATTTATATAGTGAATGTTTAACACGGGCTTATTAGTTGGTGACTGAGTGCGAGTGAGTACAAGAAGGTGAGTAACGAGTAACGGGCAAAGAGCATCGAATGAGCGTCCCAGTGAAGGGGCCGAGTCTTCGAGTATTAGCGATAGTGAAAAACCCGGGAAAATTTGGTAGATCAAAACAACGATGTCACGGTGCGTGCAAAAGTTAGCAGGTCTGGTGGCGGTGCAAGAATGGGCAACAAGAAGAGACACTGGTGGAGCGAGGTAGTGAGACGAATCGGCGGCGTCCGAGGAGCGGATCTTCGGCTAAATCAGTGTGCGAGTGGGCTCAAGAAGTGTGAAAAGTGGGCATGGAGCAGAGAAAGCATGCGCGAGAAAAACGATCAAAGAAAAAAATATACACAAACTCTCTTAAAACTTTTTGAGGTTAGGGGTCCCCGTCAGATCTTAAAAAGAAACTGGCCTGTTAGTTGCCATATTCTGTTGTGTTGTCCTCACTGTCGTTGTTCTTCTTTTCATCCGAGCGAAAAGTAATCGATCCTCAGATCTGAAAAATTACAAAGGAAAACCCGCCAAGAAAATTTTCTACTAAACTTCATTTCGAGAGCAGTTGTGAGAGAGATATCTCTCTCAAAGTCATTATTTTCATTTTGATTATATATTTTTTTGCAGCAGGCCAACCAGAAAGAGTCACCGGGATTTCAAGATGGGAAATTATTCCTCTAACGGGTTTTCGTCAGTTCTTTGAAGAAACTAACCTGATACTCGCGTCAATATTCTATTCTACTCTACTTGTTGTACTGTAGCCTATTGGAAGAGTAACAAACTGATAGTCATTATTTTCTTTTTGATTATATAGACAATTTTATTTTTGGCGACTGAATCTTAAAAAAAGACACCGGGATTAAAGATATTTAGCACTAAGGACGACATGAAACCAGTTAATTGAAATATAAACCACAATGTGTGTGAACCTCGTTTGAAATTATTCCCCTAACGGGTTTTCGTCAGTTCTTTAAAGAAACTGACCTGATACTCGCGTCCACTTAATTTCCTTCTCGCGTTTCGTTCCGTGTCGGATGGGAATCTGAAAAGAAACAGCACGGGAAAAACCATCAGAAAATAAATAAAAGGTGCTCTACTGTCTACTTAATCCGTGATCTCGTCTCTCTAAGTTTCAATGCGTTCGTTACTGATTCCTCTGTTTTTTAAAATGTTTTTTTTTGGTTTTAGTGTTTTGGTTGTGACAAAGCCACCGACTCCGTCCCGGTTCGCGGTAGTCGATGCTCCACCAGGCCGAACCGTCGGCTTTCGGGTGGGTCACTGTCAGGCACTTGTTCAGTGCGGCGCTGGGCAAATAGTTTAGACACGGCGTCTGAGACGCGTTTGCGTGCCAAAAAGAGGAGTCTCCGAGTGGCGTACGAGCCACATGTCAGTTGAACTCCGTCTGAGATACGAGACGAGCACTTTAACAGACAGTTTTCCGTCAGCCCATCAAAAATGGACTGACCTCAATCTCCTCTCGAACACTGCTCACTTCTGCCGATCTCATTTGCCGACACCGACCTTCAACTTCCACTCAATCCTGAAATTGAGTAAATGAAACGATGACAACGATCATCGAATCACTGAGTTGGTGTTCCCAAAACCCGGAAAACAGACAACAACACCGGATCTTGGGGGCCAATTCCCAAAAACAGCAGGCCAGAACAAAATGGCAGTTCAATTGAGAAAACTGATTGCCGCGAATAAATATCAAATCAATTTTCCAACATTCCAACGCTTCAACGTTACCATTCTAGGCCATGTTAAACCAAAAAGGAAGAGGACAAAGAAACCAACTCAGCTTTGAACTGCAGTCGCCCCAATGTACTGATCTTCAAATCCGAACGTCCAAATTTGCATGGGAACCGTGATCAGGCGTTGGAAGGAAGCATTGTCAGTACTGTGACGGTCTCACATTCGAACTGAAAACGTTCATAATCAAATACGGTTCTGCTAAGTCATCCACTCATCTTCTTCTGCTTTCCATTTAGGAGATTGTAGGAGGCACAAGGGATGACGGTCGATTTTCAAAATAAAATAGAGAAGGAATCAAATAGATTGAGAAAGGTAAGCACTTGGGATCGGACCCAGAACGTGGCAAATAAAATATTGATACATAATCGCGCGATGCGACTATTCACTGATTAAAAGCTGATGAAAAGCAGTACATTATACAAAAATACAGGAAAATTGAGTTGGAAATCTGCTGAGAAAGTGGAAATCATGTGATATTAGTATGTTGTGTCAAAATCGTTAAAAAAATTGTTCTGAGCAAAAGGCCGATTCGTACTTTCCGAAAGATTTTTGATTTTTCAAGTTTTGACTCAATATTTTGATCAAACTTCTAAAAACGTCTTGGACTTGGCAAAGGTGTCTCAAGTTTCAGCAACGAGAATAATATTGCAACTTTGTCAAAATATCAAGCTTCAAAAATCTTTCAAAAAGCCAGGGCCGGCCTATTGCTCAGCCATGGCCAGTGGAATAAAATGTCGTTGGTATCAAACGTCGCGGAGTCGTTGAGAGCTCTAATTTCTGTCCAAGTAGTTCTGGAAGTCTCTGATCTTCTCTTTAATTTCGTCGATTTCTTCCTAAACTCAAAAATGAATCAAGTCCCTGGGTGCTAGTGGTTCCTACCGGGCGGAGAACGGATTCGATCCACTTGACGCACTGATTGTGAATCTCGTAACGTCTTCTGTTTCTCTCCTTGAGGACCTCGTAGGACGGGCTGGACGGGTCAGGAAGGCGGGTCACGGCGTTGACCTAAAAATGGGAAACATGAGGTTTAAGTTGATGACAGGCAAAACTGACGGCTCTCTCCTGGAGCATTTCGATATCCTGGCGAAGTTTGAAAATTTCCGGGTAGTTTGTCCACGTTCTGCAGTCGTTCACATTGAAATTTGACGGAGTGGACATTGTCGACTCTATAAAGACAGATCATCTACGACAACTGAGATGAGACGGAAAAACGACGGAAATTCAACGGAAACAAACAGAGAAAGTGACAAGCGGGTGAACGGAACATGCTACTGAACGGAAAAACTAATCGAATCCAAACATTTGAAAAAGTTTAGAGCTATAATGAAAATATTCAAAAATTTTAGTGATAAGGGTTCATAGCAAACTAGACAGAACGGGAAACGAACATCGAGCACAATGATGAAATAAAAAATGTTGAAAATGTATGAATCATCGGGTACTGCTCCCCGTCTAACCAGATCATTTGATATGGGAGCAGAAACACGAAGGACGAAACCCCCACGAAAGGACGGAAAGAGAACAGACTATTTGCACTCAATTCGTTGAGGAAGGGATGCTGCGGACTGTCAAGTCCCCAGGAAACGTTCCAAAAATGAAATAATCTACAAAAAATAAAAATAAAATCAATCTAAAAAGCGTTCAATAAAGAAAAGCCCCCCCCCCCTTTATGTTTTATAGGTACAGCTAAAACCAGAATAGTTATGAGAATTCTGTGAATGCAGGGAAGATAGTTCAACTCTAGAATAAAAAGATCTACTCTAGTAAAATAACAAAGAAAATCTGGAATTTTTGAAACGGTAAGCCTCTCTCTCTCTCTCTCTGTCGCCCTTTGGCTTCTAAAACCCCAGTACTATCCGTTGAACGCTCTTTGCGCGCGCTCACTTAGGCAAATCATATTACGGCTATCAAATCGTTTCAATTAAGTAAAACTTTTTCTCTGTCTCTATCTCTCTCTCTCTCTCTCTCTCTCTCTCTCTCTACACCCTCTTCCTCTTCCTAACCCCCTATCATGCGTACTGTTCTGGGATGTGATCGTATCCCAGCATCGCAGCTTCCTCCGTCCCGTTAACATCCATCAATCCTTCCAGTCATCACATCATTGTTCGTGTGTACCATCCGCCCTCGATACTTGTTCCTGGGATCTGAAAATACGGTCATTCAAAGGGTCGCAGAAGAAAGAACTACTTGCGCAGAAACAAACAATATTTCCAGTCCCTTTACATTTTTGTCACAAACTGTGGCCCGTTGCTTTGCCCTGGCCTCCCCATTTGTCTTTGGGATTCTCAGGTCGATCCGTCGGCTCTCATGGTCATTCCCTTTCCCTTTCGCTGAGTTGTTTTTTTCAAATTGTTATGTAACCCTTTGTAGCTACCGCCGGCTCAACTTTCCCCTTTTCCCAATCCAATTCCCCTCACTTTCCAAGTCCTTTGAAAGTAGCTGCCGTTTCATTCGATACTCGATACCGTAACCTCCCCTTTTCGCACACTCCACTCTCTTTCTGTTTTCTGTTAATTAAATAATTGCAATTAGATATTTGGGAGTATGATTAATGTCCTTCGTCTAGCGATAACTGAACATACACCAGACGATTGTAAATCACAAATCGCTGATCTCAAGACAGACGCACTTGAAGGACGTTGAACGAGACAGAAGCCAGACCTTGGACCATACATTCCAAGATTTTGTTTGGAAGAATGTCTACTGGAAGAAGAGGAAACAGAGAAGATATTCAAAAGAGAAAGAGAAAGGGTATTTATTGCGTAAAAACGAGGTCCCGTTACATTTCTGTCGCGGGTGCTCCTGTTCCTTCCTCGATCCCTCTTCTCTACCGCCCGTGACTCCCCCGTGCTTTTCGCCTCCTGACACCACGAAAAACAGTCATCGTCCTCTCCTACGCTGCCCACACTCTCTCATTGAGTCATAATGCAATTTGGAAGGGAATGTTGGGAAGGCGCCCGTTTCGTTACCTCTTTTTCAAAAATAAACATTGGGATACGGTAGATGTTATGGGCCGGCTGCCGGTGACCCTGTACACCCAGGCACCTGCGACTGCTCTCACGGGGAATGTGATTGTTTTGAAACCCGGGAAATAGAGAAATTTAAAACAAATCGGTGTGGGGTACTGTAATAACGAAAAGGAAGTTTGATGAGAAAGGTGTGGAAAAAAAACGGCGAGCAAGGCGGTTGCAAATGACAGATGAGCTCGGAGGAAAAATGAGGTTGTGAGCAGAATTTTACAGATGAACAAACGCCACCAACGGATGTGATAGGAACCGTCAGACCCTCTAATTAAATTGGTAATTCGGATTTCTCTACGATGGAAGAACGAAGGAGAATCGAGTAGCTTTCAGGAGAGAAGAGGCGGCGGATTGCAGATTAACACTAGAAATAGCGAACTCACTTAAAATCCCAATCGCCACATCCGTTTGTCTGTCCCCGAGTTCCTTCCGATAACGTGGTCCCCTCTCTCTGAGCTGAAACGTCTTCTCTAATTTAGAAGGAAGACGAATTTGATGACTGGATGGGGTGAGTAGAGAGAGGAGCAAAATAATATTTTGCGGTGGGCGCAGAAAGATCCCCAAACTCACCAATGAAGATATTGGCTGAAGGAGCGAAGGAGCGAGGGGGGGGGGGGAGAGGAGAGAAGGGAGCGACCGTCCGCGTCCGGCGAAGAGAGTCGAATGAAGGGGAAAGGACCGGGCCAGGGCGCCCGTTGGTGGGCGGGGCCTAGCACTGGAAGCAGAGACGCAGAATGGTGTGCTAGAAAGTTCCGCGAAAAAATCGAGACGACGGAGAAACCGTGACGAAACTGTATGACGGGCCAGGATGCGCGTTTGTGAGTGAAGCGAAGCACGGTCCGTCCAAAAGCCAACGGGTAAGCAGAGACAGAGAGCTGGATTACTGAAGAGTTCGGCAAAGGAGAAAAGACGTCACAGAGAGCGGAAAATGATAGTGTGACACACTGGAAGAGAGAGAGAGCGAACCGAGGTGTAATCGACACGGAAAGAAGAAAGTGGTGAATCAGGCGGAATGGCGTCTTGGTCGTCGTGTCGTGTCACAGTGAAACAGAGAGCTTCTTAGAAGATTTTAGACGACGGGCGAATTACATTACTGGCTCAGAGCGTTGCACAAAGAAGAGAAGGAAAACGGCGTATGACGTGGCAATAACCACCTTTTCCGCGTCCATCTCATTTGCTTGACGTTGATTCCACCGGTTCCTTCCAAAGATGTTGCCGTTTTTAGCCTAAACGTTCTCTCCAATCTGAAAGAAGGAAACTTGACGGGACAGAGGGAGAAAAGAGGAAACGGCTGTTCGCAACTCCCGGCGCAGTAAGAGCCCCAAACTCACCTAGATCCTCAATTGGTTCATTGGATTGTATTCTTGGATGCCAGCGGTTTACCGAGTTCTTCTCATTCATGAAGCCCCCTTCAATCTGGAAGAAGATATTGGCTGAAGGAGCGAAGGAGCGAGGGGGGAGAGGAGAGAAGGGAGCGACCGTCCGCGTCCGGCGAAGAGAGTCGAATGAAGAGGAAAGGACCGGGCCAGGGCGCCCGCTGGTGGGCGGGGCCTAGCACTGTCCAATGGCAGACGAGGAAGCAGAGACGCAGAATGGTGTGCTAGAAACTTCCGCGAAAAAATCGAGACGCCGGAGAAATCGTGACGAAACTGTGTGACGGCCAGACCGCCCGTTTGTGAGCGGAGCGAAGCACGGTCCGTCCAAAAGCCAGCGGGTAAGCAGAGACGGAGAGCAGGATTACTGAAGAGTTCGGCAAAGGAGAAAAGACGTCAGAGACACGCTGGAAGAAAGAAAGCGGACCGAGGTGTAATCGATACGGAAAGAAGAAAGTGGTGAATCAGGCAGAATGGCGTTTTGGTCGTCGTCTCACAGTGAAACAGAGAGCGTCTCCGAAGATTTCAGACGACGGGCGAATTTCATGCCGGAAAGAGGCACTAGAACGTCTGTGACTGTCTCAGAGCTTTGCACAAAGAAGAGAAGGAAATACCTTTTACCTTTTCCGCGTCCGTCTCATTTGCTTGTCGTTGATTCCACCGGTTCCTTCCAAAGACGTTGCCGTTTTTAGCCTAACAAGGGAACCTTTTAAGTGGGTGTTATCTCCAGCACAAACGAACGACACAGTTCGAAAAAGGGACTTTCAAAACCTATATTCCAGTTTTCAAAAGCTGCTTACGAGACCTCTGAGATGCTGAAATTCCAGTCCGAAGTTTGATATTTCTTAACCATAGATTTGCGACCCACCCTCACAGCCTCGCCATGCGCCACGGTTGTCACCGCCCGCAGCACCCTTTGAAAATCGTGGTCGAGTGGCGCAGGGGTTAACAGCTGGGGTGACGGGATTGTGGTCACGGGTTCGACTCCCTCGCTTTGCTTTTTCTTTTTTCTTTCTTTTTTCATGTATTTTTGACGAAATTGTTTTGAAATATTGATTTTTGAAGAGATTAAAGTTGCCAACTAAAGTTCCTTATCGTGTATGCGGAAATTCTTCATCAACACAAATCTTTTTTGCGATGGTTTTTTTCAGAACAGCGTTTGAGTGCAGTTGATTCTTTGATCCATAACTCGAAGGGGAATTTTTGTAGAGAATAATGATCAACTACAAAGTTGATCAGCATGACATTTACTACAACTTTCCAGTTAACCACTTCTTTCTAAAAAATTTTCTTCTTGAGATACAGGCTGTTAAAAATAGTGGTGCAAAATCTTGCTGTATCTCGCGAATTGAATGAGATATCAAAAAGTTGTCAACTAAAGAAACATTGCTGAAGACATTTTGCATACTTTTTTAGTTGACAACATTTTTGAAAACTTGCTGATTTTTGTGATACGACCCACTTTTAATCAACAGCCTGTATCTCAAGAACAAAAAATTGTAGAAAGAAGTGGTCAACTGGAAAGTTGTAGCAAATGTCATGCTGATCAACTTTGTAGTTGAGCATTATTCTCTACAAAAATTCCCCTTCGAGTTATGGATCAAAGAATCAACTGCACTCAAACGCTGTTCTGAAAAAAACCATCGCAAAAAAGATTTGTGTTGATGAAGAATTTCCGCATACACGATAAGGAACTTCAGTTGGCAACTTTAATCTCTTCAAAAATCAACATTTCAAAACAATTTCGTCAAAAATACATGAAAAA